ATCCCACTGCTGGTCTGTGGGCGGTTCAAGGTAATAAATGGGAGTAAGCTCGCCTACACCTTCGAAGGGAGCACGCTCATCCCTCTTTGGGCACTCAGCTTTCTTCAACGCAGCACGACTCGCGGCAGACGCAGCTTCAAATGTTCTATTAGAGTTGCAGGGACAGCGACAAGCTCTGAGCGCGTAGTTCAAAAATGAAGATCATCATCATCATCATCTCCAGGTCTATTACTATCCACGAAAGAAAACGCAGTCGAAAGAAGAAATTAAATAGCGATGTGTGAAACAGAAACCAACAAAAATACACGACTGTGCCTTAACGCTCCGCGACTCTTTCCATCGGATTTCCTGTCGTTCTCTTTGCATTGTATCGAATTCCTTCAGCTGTTGCGTCGTTATCAGGGCCGCCTCTACTTGACCACGTGATAAAAATTTTTTGAAGTTATTTTGGGTTTCTAGTAAAGCACTAAAGTATATGTCATTTCCCACTCTGGTACTTGTGGCCCGACGTAGTCGAGCACCATATGATCCATAGATGTTTTGACCATGAACATGATAAGATGACGGAGTACTTCTAGTAGTGCTCCTCCAAAAGGGACACGTGGCTTTAGAGATGGTTGCTGGAAGGTTTCCTCTTGGCAAAGACGTGGTGCTGCTCGTTCTTGTGGTTGGCAGTTGGAAGAAGCCAAGAAGGTCTAGTCTGGAGAAGTCCTGCTCTAGTGAAGGAAGCGTGTCAATCCTTTCCGTGCATTGCTTGTGAGAGCCAGAAGTGATGTGGGAGTAGGCAAGGAAAACTTCTTGTGGCTCTACTCTAGTCCCTGTGGTCTTGGAGTGATGGTCGTGGTGTCCGTGTAGTCCCCCCGTCTTCACCAATCCCAGTGCTCGTGCAAGAGCTAAATCATGAAGATCTTCTTCATCTTCTAGCTCCAGCTCCTGCCCATGAACACGATTGCTATCCGGCCCATCGAGAGTGAACCATGTGCGCAGTCTAGCGTCATCCTTCAACATTTTCGACTTGATTGAATTAGACGATGAGCTGTCCTATATTCATTCTGAAAGGCATCTTTTCTTTGGAGTGTATTCCCTTTGCAAACACGCCAAAGATGTATGTTGGCTCTTTTTGAGATGAAAAATTAATACGGTAGGTAGCCTTAATTGAAGCGTGTGCAGTGTAGTGCAGCTCTCTTGCGCCAGCAGCGTCAAAACTTTTCACAACATCGTCTTCAGGAAAGTTCCCAGTATACCCTGTCTGCATCAAATGCGCCATACTGTTTGTTTCGTCCTGCACGCTCGTGACATCAAGAAAATAGTCGCGATCATTAGACGAGGCACTTCTGATAACGATAAGAACTCCACGAAGACGAACATGATCTATTTGTATTTGTATCTTTAGCAGGATTGATGCAGTCTTGTGTTTTTTATACATGGGAGAGGAAGTTGTATTTGTTGTAATAACATTTACTATGTAGTGCTACTAGTATGGAAAATTCTACTAAGGAAAAGTATTTGTAAAAAAATGTTAATGTAATTGTATGATCACCTTAACGTCAAAGAGCTCCAAAGCAGGCAGGTTATCCTTCACAAAGAACGGCTTTTTATCTTCTGGGTACTGCAGTACCGACATATTAGAGCCAGCGCACCGTAATGGTCATCCATCCTAAAATTCATCTTGAAGCCGTGTCCCTTATGTGGAACAGCTCCTCCAAAATGTACTATCTGAGCATGGATAATAACAGTATGCACGACTTGAGATACAGATAACAGAAACAGTGTAAACTTCAAACACAAACTAGAAATGCAGGCAACAATGAGTGCCTTTTACAGGTGACGCTGAAGCTCTTAGAAACCTATGCATAGAGAAGTGTTAACGAAGGAGGGGAAGCCGTAAAGAAACTCAGGGTCAGTTACTACAGTTACAATTGAAGCCGTAAACTCAGGGTCAGTTACAATTGAAGGTCTAGATGTTCCAATAGGAGGACTGGTAGGTCGGATGGTAAGGCAGAAACCGTACACGGTCCGCGAGTCGACCACTGCACGCAAGGATTAGAGCTCACCCTAGTCTGAGAAGAGAGAAGAGAGGACCCGCGTCGCGGTCCTTTGGTGTGCTCCGTGTCCACCGTGTCGTGGCCGTTTTCTTTTGGTGAGAAGTGTCCTACTGTGGTCTACACGCCCGACACTCGTAGATATTATTGAGAACATCTTCTTTCCTAGGACCACGTTGACTTTTCATCTGAAGAAGATAGACCATGATGGGAGAATGCCGTAAAATGAATAGCCTCGAAAGGAGGTGGAGGCTTCAGCTGTTTTCTTGGAGGTCACTCCTGCAGATGATTGTAGTCCTGCTCCAAAGGTGGACTCGTCGGATTTTGATGTGTCCGCAAAGAACCCGCGCAAGTCTTCCTCACGTGCACCACCCAGTAAGAAGTCTTGAGTCGATCTTTCATGGTATCTTTTTCCTCCTGCTTTTGCATCTTAGAAGACTGCTTTCAATTTTTTGATTATATTGATGAAAGAGATTTCTCGGCTTCCTCTGACTGATGTATCTTCCTAGATTTATTTTTGATAAATTTTGATATAGCTGTCTTCAATAGAAATAAACCACATTGCGATTATTTAAAGCAGTTCATCCTCGCACTAAATAATGGCAGGACAACCTACTTCACTAAATTCTCGCACTAAGCCATAAACTCTGAGTTCGCGTCTTTTCAGCATTTGTCCCCCATACACGTTCTCGATTTTTAGCTCTATTTTACTCTGGGATTCGATTAGGTCCATCCACTTGTAAAGTTCTCGCAGATGATTGCTGTCAGTATAATGCGGGAAGATTTTTAGCGCTAGTTTTTCACTATTCCTGGCTGAGTGAGTTGCCCTGCGTTCCCCTTATTTTCCCATTGAAATGGAGAGGGGTTCCACTCAGCATAGTCCACAAGAGATAGCGAAAACTAGCCTTAAGTTTGTTCCCGGAGGTGTTCTCGATAAACTGCCAGTATACAACAATAGTGGTGAAAGGATGTCAGCCCCCGTGTAGCTTTGACGATCTGTTTTTGGTTGCGGGTAACGTCTGTCGTCTCTGTAACGGGAAAAACCTGTGTTCTCAATTCGCTCACAGGTTTGTTCTTTTAGAGCTCAAAACATAGTTCACTTTTTTCCTTTATTTCTTCAGAATCCTGAGGTAGAAACAGAAGAATAGAAGGACCGTTGGAAATGAATTGTTCCGAAGAGAGCGGAACTCACTCTCTCGCGATACAAAAAAAAAAGACTTCGACTTGAATTGCATTGAGCCACCTTAACTTTTGTCTTGACGTCAAAATTTTTGCTTTTTTGTACGCGTCCACGTTGGATAGAAGCAAGCGTTTCTCTGTCTCGAATGCGTCCATTCCTGCTACACGTAAGACAGGAGACGCGCTGTCGAAAGACCCAGGTGGAGGAGCCAAATACCACACACGTTAGAGTCGGCTTTTATTCATCTCGGCCCCCTCATCTCGACCCGCCCTTTCCCATAAAATACAAGGGAGAAGGGTATCCAGATGCTGAGACAGATGGCTAAAGCTGACCTTAAACAAGTACACGGGTATCCGGTTCTTCTCGTTCACCCTTTCCGGACACATGTCTTTGTGCTACGAGCAGAAAGAAGAAAAAGAATATGAGCAGGATGTTGGACATCATGTTGAACTGTGGAATCTTTTTCTTCTTAAGCGCCGTAAAAGTACTACTTGTAGTTCTACTTCCCATCTTCTTTTTTACCACCTTCCCATTCTCTTTCTGGTATGTTCATCTTGTTGAACAAGATGTACTGGAAGTAGATATAGCAGCAGACCTCCCAGTCTCCCTCCACGATGGGGTGATATAATGCACGTCACCATGATGTCGTCTGGTCGATCACGATCACGCGGAGTCGGACTCTTCATCTTCCTTGTTTCGTAGGTGACGTGCGCATTTGACAGTGTCGCGCACGTTGTTGTAATGTTAGCACTTCGACGACTTCGCATTTTTTCTTACTTTGGTTAAGGAATGCAAATGCTGACATACTTTTCATGTTGTTTGAATAAGAGTATAAGTAATTCTCAATGGTAGGTATTTTCAATTTCAATGAATTGTACTATAGGAAATAAGTCGCGGATACGGACTTGGAAATTTTTTATGAGTGACATCAACAACTACATTTTTCAATCACGATTCGGGTAGGTGTAATTAGGTCACTTCTGCGGTTGAGGGTGAGGGTGGGAGGCAGAGAGAAAAAACGCACACAAACCGGGGCCATGCTCCATAGTGTGTGAAAATGTAGAAAAGAATCCACAGATGCTTATTCTGTAATGAATGCTCAGCCTGTAGTGAAGAGATAAATTGTAAAAGGTGTCCTTGTTATAATACTATGGGTGGAGCCAAGCTAACTAGGTGTTCTTGTCATAATACTCGTAGTTGTAGCGGAAACCTTTGACGCAGATGGAGGAAATCGAATTATTCAGAAAGAGGAGCCTGCATCAGCATCACAGCAGTGTTTTTTGTAAGGTTTTTGTTTCCTATCATCTTGCTCATGATTCATCAGCAAGTTCACGATGTTCACCACAACAACAAGTCGCAAATCAGTAGGTGTCCTACCTATTGAATAGAAGACAGTCGTGTTCTCGTGCGTGTTCGTTGTCTCTTTGTGGACTTTCTTAGTTACTTCTGGTGATTTGTCTTGAAAAAGATCAGTGTGGACGAGGTGGGCCACGACATGAAAATAGTTCTTTGCAACTGTTGGCGCAAGGTGATCCGTGAAAATAGGCTCTTCGTCGCTTCCAACAGATTTTGACATGGACGAGTTTTGTTCATCTACAACTTCTACTCTCTCTCTCTCCGTGTATTTTCTTTTTCAAGTGGAAGTGTTGACAACAGACTCATCAATATCTTCAACGGAGATGATTTGTTCACAACAACAGATGATCTTCTCTAGTTGCGTCTCTCTCGGTTTCTTGGTCGTGGTAAAGGCAAAGGACCACTTGCACCGGACGCGAACCATAGTTGAAGGTTGTAGAAACTCATTGATTCTGTTCGAAGACGAGTTCCAGACAAGAACGATCATTTTTGATGAGTAAATCTTTAGATTCTATACCGCAAAGTGCCTAAGATGATTTCCCTAGTAACGGTCATTATTCACTTTCAGCTTGGATTTGTTAGGATTCAGATTTAGATGAAAATCAATGAAAATGTAGATCAATGATCGACAGAAACTACCTTGTACTTGAATTGGTTATCCATGATCGCGTACTCGTCAAAATCTTCTGAAGGAATTATCATACTAAGTAGAGAGTTTCGTTATCACAACAGCGTCATACTAAGAAGTACAACTTGTCCCTACATCAATAACGTCTCAAGGATTCATTTTAGAATCATCTTGATGGCACATACAACCGAACAACTTGTTAGTTGGTGAATTTGCGGTGAAATGTTGGAATAATTAAGAATTTGAATCGTAATAGATACGTCGAAATGCAAGTGATACAGCACCGCATCATAGATAAGCATGACAGATTCATCGATCATGTAGTCATCATGGATTAGTTCTTCTATTATTTGGTTCAGCTACATAAAATATCTTCAAATAAGAATCATCATCCTCTGAAAGGCATCATAGAACCTAGACTTGGACGTTCAGGAATCATTCACGGATCTAGAGTTCTTAATTACGTACAAGTATGACACTTTTCTTGCTGACATTTTTTTTTGATCTTGTTCAACAGGCGTTTAATACGTAGTAGATGCAATCCGAGCAGGAGGAGCTCATGGAGTAGTAAGAAGTATTTTTTCTGAGAGAGTGACGCGTACAATACTCGCATTGGAAGGATGATTCAGCCTCTCAGTGGTATTCAAGCTCTCAGTGATCGATGGAGTGTTGAAGTTAGTCAATGATCGTTGTCACTGACATCAAGAATGTTAGTTTAGTCGCTTCGTCATTCCGCAGACGTTCTATTCCCAGACGTCCTGCTTCGTGATTGAGAACGCAACTGTGGTTGCCTCAACTTTGAAGGCAAATCGTCGCCGCGACCCCTTAGTTCACCAGTATAATTGCCTTCTACTTGCTGATCGCCACTAGCCCTGGGCGGCTTTCCCAGTGACCCTCGGATGTTCGGTGGTTTACCAGAGGTGTTATTCCTCTTGTTCACAGGCGAGTTGAATCCAGCGGTTACGTCCTGGAGTACAGTAGGCTTGTCCCTTACAAGCCCTTCTGAGCCCGCTGCACTCGGACGCAAACGATCTTCTCCCGGAGGACGGGAATCGAAATTTTCATCAGAAATCGCTCGCATACGACTCTGCGACAAAGAGCGAGAGCGAGAGCGATCTTGCTGGTCTCTATAATCAATGTCTCCAACAACTCCAGCTGCAGCATCACGACCACCAGTCGTGGCCGCACCACTACCAGATGAATAGTGGTTGTGATCAACGTGATACCCTAGCTTTGGTGGCTGCTGACCAGGAGCAAACGCTTGTAAGGTTCGGACACCACCTGTGTGTAGTTGTCGTCCATCATTAGTTTGCTGGTTTGCTGCTTGTGCTGACCCTCGCTCTCGGCTATTCGAACGACTCCGTAACGAGTCTTGAGAGGACCTCCTCTGAGTTTGACCTCCCACCCCTTCTTGTTGAAAATCTAGCTTGTTCATGTATCCTCTGTGTTGTTGACTACTGCGCAAGCCTGCAGGTGCATGCGATCCAGATCCCTCACTAGGCTTGAAGATGTTAGCAGGTCTCCTTAACCCCGTATCAATTCTAGGGGAAACTTGCCGCGTAAATCGAGCCTTAGGTGAGGACGGTCTCCGACTGAAACTGTTGTCCGCATTGGGATTTCCAGAGCCTGAGCCTCCACGAGAAAAACTCGAATTCAACGCGCCTTGTGTGGTTGGTCCTGCACGTGGCCTGGCGTCCTTTCCCTGGTGTTTCGTCGTGCTCATCAAGTTCATATTGTTCTTATTACTGCTAGATGAAGATGCTGCGGTTCGATTAACGTTCGAATGTTGATGAGGTTGAGAGAAGCTGGGTGAACCCTTCTGAAGATGCTGTGCTGTCGTGGCTCCGTTTCTTGGTGATTGTGGCCTGGTCTGGGCTCCTCGGTTGCGATGAGCGGTGCCAGTGTTGTTGGAATTTGATGTGGTAAAGTTCGGTCCTCTCCCAAAAGATGAAGGCGCGCCAGCTGCTGGCATATTCGACGCTGATGTTGACGAAAATGTTGAGGCAGCGCCTACTCTACCAGTACTATTAGTATCGCGCAAGAACAGATCGCCATCACGACCACGAGCGTTAGTTGTAGTTCCACTGGTATTGGTATACTTGATGTTCGCTCCATTCTCATGAGCATTAGCTGAATTTGAACCGCCAGCGCTACTCAGCGAGGCCGAACTGCCTGATGCACCTCCCGGTCGTCGACTCGGACTCACGCCTCTGGTCAATAGGTCACAGTGTAGCGCTTGCTCTGGACCACTCATACGCTTGGGCGTTCCACTACCACCACGAGAAGAAAGGGGCAGCTCTGATCGTCCTAACTGGACCCTAGTCGACGGCGACACTGCTCGAAAAAGAGGACGGTCATGATCTTGGTTCGAGTGTTGATAGTTCGCTAGAACATCGTTTCTCCTTGTCGTACTTGAAGAAGAAGAAGGTGAGGGGCCTCTTTGATTTCGTCCCCTTGAAATTGAGCGTTCTGCTGATGGACCTCGTGAACGTGGGACAGAGGCAGATCGATTCCTTGACGACTCTGCTACACGTCTGCTTGCTTGAAAACTGTCGTCATTTTGGTTGTGCTGTCCTCTTGGTGCGCGTTCTGCGGACGCACTCCTGCTTCGTGCTCGGGCAGGAGCTGTCCCGCCAAAGCCAGCAGATCCACCAATACCATGACCTACAATTCTTGTCGACGATGTACCTCTCGTCATGCTTGAGGATGGCTCTCCACCTAAGAAGTTCTTGCCTCCAACATCATAATTGCTTCCACTCCCAGCTCTTGGTCGTGACCCGCTTCTCGCACGCTCAACACTGCCACTCCTTGCACGCCGCTCAAGACTCTGACTGCGAGGCCTTTGGTTTTGTCCTCCACCATGATAATGATTTATCCGAGAAGGAGGCTGATAACTTTTCAGATTCTTAGAGGAAACACTCGTATTGTTCCAACTAGGACCAGGAATCCTAGATCGCTGTTGGGAATTACTCCGACTTCGACTCGATTCCACACCAGTACCTCCACCTGCAAGATGTTGTCCTCTACTGCTACCAGTATTCGTATTGTGAAAATTGTATTCGCCAGCAAGAAACTGATGTTGTGCGGCGTCACGCTGATATTGCGACTCTTTAGCCTTATTCGCGTACTTGTCGTACAAATTTCCTCGAGCATGGACTTTTCCGCCACGCCCTCTAGTCTTTGGTGCCATCCTAGAAGTCGAGGACGAAGCTTTCGCTTTGCCCACATGCAAATGCTGAGAGAAAGGCGCGCCCGGGTGAGGAAGAGGATGTTGGCCATCGTGGTTTCTCTTTCTACTATCCCTATCTACATCATCTTCTTGATTACGATGAAATGCTCCTGTACTACTACTACTTGATCCTCCTCCACCACCAGCACCTCCTCCAAAACGATCGACTTGTTCTTGGTGACCTGCTCCTCCTGCACCTCCATGTCCATCGCTTTCCTTTGAAGCTCCCTGTAGCTGTTGTAGATTGTCCAATGTTCCAGGAGGTCCGAAGCGTTTCAGGGTTGGACAAGTTCTGTTGTCAGTCCAACCGACTCCAAGGTGACCCACCAGCGGTGACTCGTCTTCAATATCAATTCGCGGAGGCCCCAGCTCATCCTCCATAGCCGTTGTTGCATGTAAATGCTCGTCTCCGAAGGTTGACTTTGAAAATAATTTTTGCGAAAGAATTGATTGAAAAAAAAAACAACATAGAAGTACGAAGTCTGTAACTAGTAGTAGTTGTACTAGGAGCTTGCTACTAAGAACTATAGAGAATTTTGATCAGAATCAGTACCTGCTTTATTCCTCCTCCCAGTATTTCTCCTCTTCCTGTGCTTCCGCTACTGGTCCGCTCTACTTTCTGAAGGATTCTCTGCAGGTCTTCACCAGGTAGAGCAGGCAGCTCTACGTCATCTAAGGCAATTGGGCTGTAGCACCCTTGGTCGTGTTGTTTGTCGAGAGGCGAGAATCCTTCGATCACACTCAAATTTGGCGTTTGCACTACTAAACAACCTCCACCCATCGTGTTCGTGTTCGTGGCGCGTTTCTTCCTGCGTTGAATAAGTAAAAGCTTCACTCTCACGATCGTAGAAAAGAATCGCATGGTTTTCACGATAGACGTGCGACGAGCGATGAAGGCAGCGCTACTCCGTCTTTTTTGCGCCACTTCTAGTTGCGCGCCTTCATCTGCTTCTGCCTCGCCTTCATCCCAGATGGCAGGCTCTTGAGGGTCTTCTCCTGCTCTGTTTGACGAAGATGAAGTCCTAGAAATTTTCTTCTGTTGTAGCTCTGCTTCCTTCTTCTCCTTCTGAGCCAGCGCTTCTTCGTTTCTTGCGTTCTCCTCGGCAAGTAGGCGCTCTCGCTCAATGCGTGCCTGCTCTTCTTCTAAACGTGCCTGTTTCTCTTCCTCGAGTCGCGCTTGCTCCGCTTCTTCTATTCTAGCTTGCTCATGACGTCGCTTTTCTTCTGCTTTTAATAAGAGTCGTTCTCGTTCTCGTTCCTCTTCCTCACGTCGTTCTCGGTCCTGCCTCTCTTGTTCCACCAGGCGAGCTTCTTCTAGGCGACGGACTTCCTCAGCCTCTCTTGCCACACGCTCCTTCTCCAGCCTTGCTTTTTCGAGCCTCTCAGCCTCGAGTCTTTCCAACCGTTCCCTTTCCAGTCTTTCCAACCGTTCCCTTTCCAGTCTTTCCAACCGTTCCCTCTCCAGTCTTTCCGCCTCTTCTCGCTGCCTCAACCGCTCCCGCGCAACTTCACGCCTTTCTCCCATCAGATTTCGAATGTAGGCTTTTAAGATCGAGACACGGAAGACAAATGTCAAGTTCCCTTCTGCTCGTTGCCGTCGTCGTGCCGCTGTCTGGAGACGCGGTCTTAGCTTGTAGATGATATACCGCCTGCCGTGAACGTGCAATAAAAGCATCCGCCAAAGGTAATGGAGTAGCCAGCGAGCGTTCATACGCACACGTACACGACACAGCCAAGCGTCGAGACCACGTGCGACACGGAGAGTACTGAAGATCTGGAGTAGACAGGGTTAGCAAAAAATAGAGATAAAACGAAGAAGCATTTGTAGTTATTGGAAGTAGTTTTCTTCTGCATCTCTACGATCTTAGTGGTAGATGTAATAGATAGTACCACGTAATTTCTAGATCTAGTTTGCTCGAACTGTACAAGTACCTTCCTCTGCAAGCTGCTTTTTCTTTTTTCTTTGAGAAAGAAACGTGCCCGGTGAAGCCACCGGATCAATCGCACGTAATTTCGCGCTGCGCTAGCTAGACCTTTGAGTAGCCTCCCTTTCCGCACGTTGCGCATCAATTTCGTCATGTAGAGCGTGAAAGAGATTACATGCAAACAGCGCTTCAGCTTCTTGCGCCATACGTGTGCCCTCAGTTTCGCCACGACGTCTTGACCTGCACTCGCTCCAGAGGCCCGCAGAGCCTCTAGCACTGCCATCCTGCCAGCTTTGAGGAAAAGCCTCGTAATGCCCACTGTCCACTCCGCTTGTGGCACTTCAAACGCGATCATCAGAGCCTCGGCGAACATCCTCGCATCCAAATTTGCGAATTCTTGCGGCAGCAAAGGTAGAAAGCGATCAGCCAAGTCCTGGAAATTACACCCCATATTAGAAGAGGTGTAGAAAGTGGCATACTTCTAGTACTAGTTGTACGGGTTCGTTGTCCATCATGACTTTCTTGCTTCGAATTCCGCGAGGACCATCATGGACTAGGACCAAGTACTAATATCTTTATACCGTGTCCGTGATGTAGGACTGGGACTTGATATTTGAATCAAGTATCTTCGAGCAGAGCGGCCCCTCTAGTAAAACCGAATCTAGATCTACGTTGAACAAGAAAAATCTGCCTTAATATTAGGAAATCCGTCATGCATGACGCGTACTAGCTCAATTGTCCCCGACTGAACCATTTGGTCTAGGACGATTTGTCCGCTCCATTCTCCAGGTTTCTGTGCGTCATTCGGCTTGAAGCATCGAATGTAGTGCAGAGAGCATTCGTTCAGAGTGTTCATCAAATCTTCCAAGTTCGCGACGTATTTTTTCCCTATCGTTTGCATGCTGTGATCCGCCAAATTGCACGCCTCTTCGTCGGCTAACTTAGACGTTACTAAGATTCATTTTCATCTTGGAGTGGATCTTTGACGCAGGTTTTGTTCCCTTGAGAAGGAATAAAGCACATCAATAAGTAGAGCCCTCTTATATTGAATCACAATGTGAAATAAGTCTGAATATTATGAGCAGGAGTTGTATCATCAATTCAAGAGCTGTCTTATTGAATCACATAATGTGAAATAAGTCTGAATATTATGAGCAGTAGTTGTATCATCAAGAATTCAAGCCTTAACTAATGCCGCTACTAAAGGATTGGTGCTCTCCTTGATCACTTGTTCCATCGCTGGTCTGAGTCGGGTTTCATTCTTCTCGATCCAGTTCGTGGTGTCATACTCGACTTCACCTGCGTAATGACCGATGACGAAGCCTTCGTTCCTAGCCATTGGAACTTTGCGACGCGCTTTCTTGCCGACGAAGGGGAGCTTCACATTCCTCCGCTTAGCCTGGTGCACGCGATCGGTAAAGGCAGTATTGACCGCATTCTGCATGCCCTTGGCGCGCTCTTGGTTGCTCTGCTCGAGGACAGTGATGACGTGGGAAATGTCACCCAGGACTGGGCCAGCGTCCGGTAACGCGATGTCAGTCCACTGTAACCCTTCACTCCTGTACATGTGCTGCTCTGCGACCAACACCTTCTCGACGAAGAACTGCTGCAACCTCTCGTTCGCCAGGTTGATACACAGTTGCTCGAGAGAGTTTACCTAGTACGATCATGGTCGTCGTGAAGGTATTTTTGTCTCTATGTTGTACTTAGTTGGATCATATTTATAAATATAGGAGCATGGTCGTGAAGGTGAAGATGTACTAGTAGGTTGTTGGATCATAAGGAATATCTTCATCACTATCTTCACATCTTCTAACAATTTTTACTATGCGTACCCGTACTAACGCGAAGATAGCGATACCTCCAACTGTTCAAATCCATAGATGTCCAAGATCCCGATGTAGTTTTTTGATGTTTCCGTTCCGATATTGAGTGCCACGTTCACTTTCTCCACGACCCAGTCGAAGAGTCGACTGTAGAGAATCTTCATGAGGGACTGCAATGCGCCATTGGCCTGTTCCTTGCTGAACCATTTGAGGCACATGGATTGCGTACTTCTTGTGAAGCCCTTTTTGATGAAAGTCGCAGTCCTTGTACAGGATTCTATCAGTTTCTGATCTTCGAAGCCGCCTACGGCACAGGCAAAATCGAAATGCTGACGGTTTGGAATGCCAAGTTTCAGGTCACCGACGCCGTCCGGTTGATTCTCTTCGAAACTGCATTCGCCGAGGTGAATGATTGCCGCCAGTAGGTTGAAAACATCGCGCGTGGGTTCGATTTGGAGGAACTCTAGACCCTGAAGCAGGACCCTGTAGTTGTCCGCGTCGGGGCGGGCGCGGGCAGAGGTTTGTAAAAGCTTGTACGTGCGGTTCTCATCAATAAAAAAGTCGGACAAGTCTGCACAGCCAGCGAAAAACTCGTGAAAGACGTGATACCTGAAGTAAGCGACGAGTAATCACAGTAGGTCCTGGAATGAAAAGGAACAGGGTGAATTCAAGTGCTGTAAAATGATTGTGAATTATTGAACTTATTGTTCGACGTATTCGGGGGTCTTGTTCTATTTCTCCAATAGGAACTTTTCACGAAAAGAGATGATCAAAACCAAACTACTACAAAAAAACAGTACGTCCTTTCCTTCTCGCACGATTTGATGACCCGACTGGCCTCTAGCAAATAAGTTCGCACTTCTGCACCTACTAAGCTTCCCACCGCATTGAAGCATAGGTTGTTGTACTTGCCGAACCGCGAGGAGTTACCTAGTAAGTTGTGAAATAGTGTTGACTTGGCAGTAAGAAAATTTATTTGCGTCTATAATAATACCGCCCACGTGCCCCCGGCGTGTACACACGCCGGGGCAGGGCGGAAGGGTCTGGCAAATGCTACGAGTTACATAAAATCCATACGGCCTACCGGCGTGCTACGAATTACGTAAAGAGTGGCGGGCTATGGAATAAGCAAAGCAGCCCTGCCCCGCGCTACAAGCTACTACGTGCTACATAAACCCCCACCCTGGCAGCACCCGAAACGCCCAAAAGGAACCACTTCGAACGAATGAGGCAAACGGGTAACCAAATACATACGCCGAGAGTCAAATCCTTGAGCAGATCACTCCAGGCCTGCTGTTTTCGGTTCTCAGCGTAGTGGCTGGGCGAAGCACTGCAGTCGACTCCGCTCGCCGTGAGAACCTCGCGCGCCCCCTGGCCCGGGTTTTGGGCGTGGGTCCCCTACTCTTGGAGTGTGTTGCGTCTCCGGCTGGCATGGCAGTGTCACGAGGGGGGCCCCAGGCTTGTCGCTTTCGGTTCTCCACATAGTGGGCGAAGCACTACGCCCGACTCCGCTCACCATGAGAACGTCTACCGTGGATCTTTTCCGTGGAGAGAACTAGGGGGCGGCTCCGTTCTACTCTCGGCCTGTTTGCGGGGTTTTACTCTTTGCGCCGTTTTGGGTTTTCCATCCAAATCACGCAGCTTCATGGTGTCGCGTTGCTGCCTACGTTTCAGCTGCTTCGCGTTTGCTCTCTGTGAGCCATTTACCCTCCCAAGCTTACGGCAAGTTGCGCTCTATCGCTTAGCTTCCCTATCTGCTTCTGGCTTTCTCGAGAGGTGTGGGCATGCGTCATCTCAAAGCTTTGATCTAAGTGAACAAGAACAACGCCACGCGAGCAGTGCGGTGCGGCTTTCATGTGCTTGCGCGATGCAATCTGTGAGCCGCTTGAGCTTTCTGATCAGAAAGCAGGCCCAAGCCTATGGGCTTGCTGGTTACTTATGGCTTACTCGAGAGGCCTTGTCCTTTGCGCCCATTCTTTTCTGATCCAAAAAGCGCAGCGCGATGAAGTTGCTGCGTATTTGTGAGCTGCTTAAGAGGTCCCACCCTTTGGCTCAGTTCAAGACCCTCATCCAAACGGCGCAACGCTGTGAAGCTGCTGGCCCTTTTGACTTGTTGGGAAGGTCTCACCTTCTGACCCAGCGCAGGCACCCTACCCAAAAGGCGCAGCTTTATGAAGTTGCTGCCTACTTTGAGTGACCTGCTTGAAAGGTCTCGGCTTTTGACTCTGCTCAAACCTCCCACCCAAAAAGCGCAGCTGTATGATATTGCTCTCTACGTTTGACCTGCTTGAAAGGTCCCAGCCTTTCAGTCAGCTCACTCAGAGGTCTTCCACAATCAAAGGGCGCAACTCTATGAAATTGCTGCCCACTTTTGACCTGCTGGAAAGGTCTCGCTCTTTGGCCCAGATCTGGCCAGCTTGGTTATTCAAAGCGCGCAGCTTTATGGAATTGCTGCCCACTTTTGACCTGCTTGAAAGGTCCCACCTTTTGACCAAGCTCGGGCATCCTATCAAAAAAACGCAACGCCATGGGGCTGCTGTCTGCTTTTGGCTTGGCTTGCTTGAGAGGTCCCGCCTTTTGCCTTTCTTTGCTCAAGCTCCTTGCCCAAAAAGCGCAATCTACTTCATGAAGCTGCTGCCTACTTTTGGCCTGCTCGTAAGGTCCCACGCTTTCACTCAGTCAAGCCAGGCGCCTTACTCAAAGAGCGCAACCCTAGGAAATTGCTGCCCACTTTTGACCTGCTTGAAAGGTCCCACCTTTTGACCCAGCTCAGGCCACTCAGGCGTCCTATCTGAAGCGCGCAGCTTTATGCGATTGCTGTCGTCTACTTTTGGCCTGCTTGAAGGGTCCCACCTTTTCACCCTGCTCCAGCCTCTTATGCAAAGCGCGTGGCTTTATGCGTTTCCTATCTATTTTTGACCTGCTTGAAAGGTCCCACCCTTTGACCCAGCTCAGGCCCCTTATCCAAAGAGCGCAACGCTATGAAGTTGCTGCCTCCTTTTGAGCTGCTTGAAAGGTGTCGCCCGTTGACTTAGCTCAGACCTGTTATCCAAAGAGCGCAGCTCTTATCTTTGCCGTTGCTGTCTGCTTTTGAGCTGCTTGAAAGGTCTCACCCTTTGACGTCGCTCAGGCTCCTTATCCAAAAAGCACAACTTTACGAGGTTGCTGTCTACTTTTGACCTGCTTGAAAGGTCGCACCCTTTGAGCCAGCTCAGACCTCTTATCCAAAAAGCGCAACTTTATGAGATTGCTGTCTACTTTTGATCTGCTTGAAAGGTCCCACCCTTTGAGCCCGCTCAGACTCCTTATCTTAAAAGCGCAAACTTATGGGATTGCTGTCCACTTTCGAGGTGCTTAAAAGGTCCCAGCCTTTTAGTTTGAGCCAGCTCAGACTTCTTATCCAAAAGGCGCAGCTTTATGCGGTTGCTGTCTACTTTTGATGTGCTTGAGCGGCCCCATCCTTTGAGTCAGCTCGAGATCCTTACCCAAAGCGCGCAGCTTTATGAAGTCGCTTTCTACTTTTGACTTGCTTGAAAGGTCTGACTCTTTGAGCCAGCTCAGGCGCCTGATCCAAAAAGCACGCAGGTGCTAACTTGCTCAGCGTATAGCTGCTGGGTGCTTGCCTCTGTTTGCGTTTCTTTGTTTGCATGTGGGTCCTTTTTGTAGCACATACGCAGACGCAGCGGATTTCCATTCTTCACGAGATGACTGGCCCCAGGCTGAGGCGCTTCGCTCTTCGTTTTTTGTCCATGCAGCGCAGTCCTTGGCCTGTGCTGTTGGTTCAGGGTTTTGAGGTACTGCCGAAAGCCTTAGCAGGAGCAGAATCGCAGGAAAGTTGTACTCAAAAGCGCGGCACTTTTACGGCGCGAGATGTATACATCTAGCCCGTACATCTTTCCCATGATTTCCGTACATCTCAAAAAAGTGGAACTTTGGAAACCTACCATGAATCGCCCCGGTGTGAGTACATCTCAAGAGTACATCTTTCCCGTGATTTACGTATAAGATATATATCTCGAGATATATATCTCAGACGTATACATCTCGCCCGTACATCTTTGCCATGATTTGCGTACATCTCAAGGCGTAAGTTCACTCCTGTTTAGCATTCAAAATAAGTTTTGGTTTATAATATAGATAATTATAGTATCTTCATTGAAGAACGACCATGAGGATGACCAAAGGACATCTTCATACCAGTGACCTACGAGAACCACAGATTAACGAAAGTAATGATATCATATGTCGAGGAGCCTTATTAATACCATTCCTAATCGTAGTCGCGTTTCCAAATGATTCCAGTAATGGGTTCGCTGCACTAAGGATCTTCTCCTGCAAGCTTGCTGCTTGGGACTGTTCTGTTCTAGACCGTTCCCCTAAGAATTTCATCACTATCTTAGCTGTCTCCGTCTTTCCTGCTCCGCTTTCTCCACTGATTACCATAGCTTGCGATTCTTTGTCGCATACTAGTTGTCTGTAGGCCAAATCCGCAAGCGCGTAAGGATGAGGCGGTCGACTGTGGATGTTGCTCAAGTTCTTGTACTCAAGTCGCTTCCGCTCTGTGTCCAAGTAGACAGGCTTGTAAGGATTCACTGCGAAAAGAACGGCACCCGTGAAAGTGTAGATCTGGTCAGAGACATAGCGAACCCTCAAATTCTCCAAAATGTTCGCTTCATCGAGATAGGTCAAGCTTGTGCAGTCATTTTTACCCTCATTGGACGCAGAGGAGGACTTTGACAATGATGTTGCGAAACCTCCAATCATGTTGCGTCCGGAACCAGCTGCAGCAAATGAAGATGACGAGGAAGAAGATGAACCTCCTACACCACCAGCACTGCTTCGTCTCCTGCTTAGCAAATTGGTCTCATCTTCGTCACTGCGTTCACGTGGGAATATTCTGAGTCTTTTCGCACCAACCTCATAGGTGCGACTCCCACTGGGTCGACGTGTCAAGCCACTTGCACTACTTCTCGAGCTGGCAGAGGATTGCTCGACCTAGAGAAAATTCAATTTTTTGAATTGGACTCCTGCTACACGAAATTGAACAGTAGAATCAGAAACTGTACGACGTAGCTCATTGCAAGAAGAAAAACAAGTACGACAATCTGTGGTTCCGTTTCGGAGACGAACCCTGCGACGTAGCCATCCTGAGGGTCAGCAACCCAAACCGAGTCGCCGATCCGCCATGCAGGTGTCCCTGCTTCATGAGATTGTTGTGGTGTCCCTGCTTCATGTTGAGATTGGGACGAGGCTTGTTGTGGAGGAACCAAGGAGAAGGTCTTCATCTTGATGCTCGTGCTGGGTTCGTTGACGAGTGAAGTGAGATTCGACGTGGTCTACGTTGTTTCAAAACCTGGTGTATTTACGTACTGAAACGATGTTGAGGACTTGTTAGGTCCTCCTTTATCAGACTATAAACGTGATGTCGCGCATGCACTCATATATTAGTACGTGTACGAGCTACTCCGAATGAAAATCTGACTGAAATAACACTACATATACAGTTTTCGTTGCGTCATGGTTTGTACTTTGATAATTTTAGGGTCAGTCTATACATTGTAGTTATGTCAAATGACTTCTTTATCTTCAGTGCTCTTCTTCTTCTTCTTCTTCTTACACGACTGTACTACTGCAGGTGGCAACGATCTCGTTCGCCCGATAGATCATCGTATACCGAAAGCCGGTCGCGGAGTATCGACAAACGTCAAGGAGATCTCCAAGGACAGCCAAGTAGACGAAATTACCGAAACTGGTTTCTAACAAACGCATCCTACCGAAGGCGAACACGATGTCGAAAATTTTCGACAGAAACAAGAAGGAGAAGCAGAAGCAGACGAGTGTAGCTCAAGTACACTCTACTTGTTCAAGGAACTTGCTCTTTCGATTTTGAGTAACCGTAGCGAATCTGTTGCGAAAGGAATGAAAACGTTGGTGTGAGAGACAAACCCTTGGGCCTGGCGATATCGAGAAAAAGGAATCAGTTGCGATCGTGCCTCCTCATCTGCAATCAGGAAGACGAAGAATCATGGCGAGAACATCCATAATATCCGAGTCATAAACGAAATTCAAAGGGGTGTGAAAAGTAAGAACGAAGAGTGGAAATCGAAATACCTCCAGCTACTTGAGAATCTGTCTTGTTAACTCTTCTTTTTCTCGAAGTCGAATAGAACGAGTAGTTACAGAGGTGGTGGATAGCTACTTTACAACGATAATTGAGATGTCGAGTCAAAGAACGATTTCAATTATTGCTTACCTTCATCTTCAGAAAAAAACTATAAGTAATCATCTCATAGTAAGTACTCATGATGTGTTCTTCAATTTCAGCAAAATTTCCATTGTTATGTAGTGTCTACAGCTAACTGTCGTGCTCCTCGTCGTGCTCCACCAGCTACATCTTGTCTCTAAATTTTCGATCAAGAATAAGATCTAGGTCGGGCGGCGGCGCTGCTCTTAACCAGGAGACTTTCCTCTCGCAGCATCATCCTCCATGAATTCCCACCCATCCTCCTCGTCACCTGCATACATCTCTTTCTCCCTTGCCGCATCTTTCTCACGCAAAAGTTTTCCCATGGTCGCCAACTGTTGATCCAAGGTAGTCTTTGTTGTGCCGCGAACGTTAGAGAAGATATATTGTTGTATTCGTACTAAGCTACTCTTTGATATGCCGCGAACGTTAGAGAAGATTTCTCCAAAATAGTACTTGTCATGACTGAGAGTCGACGCGGTCGTCGTGCAGACAACATCAAAAAAGAGAACATGTGCGCAAATCATGACTCATCTCTCCTGCACCACCTGCTGTCTAAACTATTACTATTGTCGTATAACTGTATTATACTTCTATTGTTGTATTCGTACTAGTTGAAGAATACGACCTGTAGATACCACTCACTGTACTATTACACTTATTACTCACGATGTCGCAGTTCGCCAACACGACCATCACCACTACATACATTCACGACGACTAACAAATTTAAAGGCGTCATAACTTTTTCACGTCCACCTTTCTCATGCGCCTCTCCTCCTGTCTGGGATGATGATCCGTTTCCCCCTGTCTGGGAAGAAGAAGATGTCTGAGACATGATTTTGTACATCAACTTGTCCCTGTGCTTCATCTCGCTTTTGTCTCCTAGGATGTGCAGATGACTGTCGTTAGCGTTTGGAGAGGATTTCGCACTGGACCTGAAACAAACATTCACAATTAAAAATCAGTAAGTGAAAATAAGCCTTGAAGCAGAAAGAACAGTACAAAAATTCATGCTTTACATCCGAGTCGATGTACTTGTACATCAGTAAGTGAAACTAAATTGACGTTTGGTTTGTTGATTTCAAGTTGCAAGAAGGGAGGGATCTTCAACAATCATGGAACGTGTTGGTGGATGATCTGTTGACTTTACTGCTTAAAACAGGTACCACCAAAAAATAAGGTGACCATCAATGCCGACACAAACTACTGCTACAAGTAGTAAAATTTGTCGCAGTACTTGTCTCGTTTTCCTTTGATTTTCCATCCGCCAGCTTTCGAATTTTTCCCGTCTTCATCGTGCGCATGTGGAGATGGCATAGGCATGACAATTTGAGCCTTGGCGTGCTGGGCTGCCATCCGCTCAACTTTCCCCTGCATTCGCGCAGCTTTTGGTCGTAGATGCGCCATATCGATGCCACCGAGTGGGTCAATTTCGTCGGGCCCTATATCTTGGTCCACTATGGTGTAGTAGGGCAAAGATTCGGAACTCTCCATCGTTCCACGACTGGAGCGAGACGTGTCATCACCCAGAATGTCAGCAAAAAAGTCCTCGGCAGGCTTGTTTTGGAAGGCATCTTTCATCGCGGCTCTAAAAGCAGCGATCTGTCTCGGCCCTTCCTTCTTCGGAATGGCGTGACCAGCTATAGTGCGCTGACTGGTACTGGAAGAAGATTTGCCAGCTACTTGTTGACCATTTGCCGCGGAAGTCTTTGGAGAAGTCTGCTTTATTTGTGACGTACTCGACGTGGACGTCGCAGAGGTCGTTGCTGCTGTCGCACCTACTGCACTGGACGTCGCAGAGGTCGTTGCTGCTGTCGCAGAAGATGATGTTGAGCTACCAGTTGCAGCAGCTGACACGACAGGTGCTGCCGATGCACCAGCAGGTGTGTCATTTGCAGCAAGGCTTTTTTTCTCTACTACTTCTTTTGGCTTCCTACGTGGAGGTACGCTTCTACTACGCGCTTTTTTCGCGTCCTCTTGTGCGGCTTGAAGCTCTTTTTCGCGCGCGATGCATTCTAAATCCGTCTTTCCTCCACCAACTTGCTGTGCGACTGCTTCCCAGTAGTGGGTATGCCTTATGCTTACTTGTTTACAAGCGCGTCTGAGTGCTGCATCCTCAGCAGCCGTCCATCCACCTTCTATGTTGTTTTGTTCGCTCTGCTGGTCTTGGGTGCTTTTTGTCTTTTTACTTGCTTTTTGGGATGATGTCGCGCCACCTCCTGCAGTAGTATTCTCTCCACCAGACGAGGCCTTCTTTTTGGCTTGAGGCTTCGCTTTCCCTTTGGCTTGAGTCGCAGATGTCCGATTTTTGGCACCTTGGCTTGCTGTTCCAGGTGAAGCAGCCGGGCTTTTTTGGCCTTCATCACCATCTTCGTGGTCTTTGCGCCTTGCTTTGGTATTTCTGCTTTTCACGTTCGAGGAAGACATCTGCGAGGCCTGTTCCTCTTGGTCGCTGTCATCATCAAGCATCCTGGCAGCAGCAGCACCCCTTTTGTTGTTCGTTCGTTTTACAGGACGACTGGGAACAACTGCTGCTCCTGAGGCTGAGCTACTACTACTAGTAGTTGTACTACTTATGGCAGCTGTGTTGTTCATCTTGTCCGTATTCTTCGTGGTCGTGTCTTTTTTTGTCGCGCCAGCTTCTACAGCATCAATTACGCCTGTCGTTTCATCTCCTGTTTTTGATGCACGACCGCGACCAACTGACTTGCTAGCCCGTGGAACAGCCTTGGGTACAGGCATATTCTTGCTTGACTCCGCCGCTTTGTTGCTACTTGATGATGCGTCTACTTTTGATGTTGGTGTTTCTGTCGAGACCCTCTGCGCCGTCGAGGAGGCGCGACCGCGCGGAACTGACTTCCCACGGGGTGCGGAGGCTTTTTTCGCAGCTGCCGATGCGCTTGCGGCTTTTTCATCATTGTTTTTCTGGGAAGATACTTCAGATTCACGCTCAGCTTTACCGGTTGGCTTTGCTTGAGCTGCCGACTGACGACTAGACACCGACTTGCCCCGCGCACGACTGCTTCCCGCCGGGGACTCGGCGGCAGCTTTAGCAGAATCCGCTTGTCGTTTCGGGGCGGATGACCTTCCACGCGGCTGTGGATTCTTTTCCGCTTGTCGTTTCGGGGCGGATGACCTTCCACGCGGCTGTGGATTCTTTTCCGCCGGAGGATACTCCCCTTTACCTGCGTCTGCCTTCTTTCCCGCCATTTGAGATTCCGCTGGTCGCCGGTTCGGGGCGACCGACCGACTACGCCCATTTCGCTTTTTCTCAGCTGGAGACTCAACAGGAGACGCCTCTGCTCCAGACTGATGTTTCCCCTGAGGAGCTGCTGAGCTTCGACCCGCGCCACGTCCTAGCGATCTACCACGAGCAGAGGCTTCCGTCGTATCTGAGACTGAGAACGCTGGCAAGAGAGCGGGCTTTATTTTTCCTCCGAGGAACGATTGAACGTCTGCCAAAGACTCTTGTGGCCTTTTGTTGTTTTGGGCTGCCGACTGCCTAGGTACTAACATTCCCCTAGAAGTGCTTGTTGCTTGCATATTCTTTTCCGGCTCAACATTTCTGCTCCTTGTCGACGCGCTACTCTTACTAAGGTTTTCGTCGTTGGTGGTGGACGAGGTAGTAGCTTGCTTCTTGGGGTCAGAGCCCTTCTTTGAACTCGAAGAGCAAGCGGCTTTCTTTCGAGAAGTACCAGATGAAGCAGTACCAGTTGTAGTACTACCAGCTGTGCATTTTCCACCAGTATAATCTTGATCCACATCCATCTCCTTGATGCTTTCCTTGTTCTCGTTCTTGTTTATCACAGCATTAATAGCATCTTCGTCCTCCGAGTCGAGAATTACGATGTTGCAAGAATCAGGGATTTTCAAACCTGCTTTTTGCATGCACGCAACTAGAGTTTCGATTTGAGAGGCTTGCGTTTTCACCTGGCGCTCTAAACGACTTGCCTTGTCCTTCAACTGCGCCTTTGCTTCCTCGACTTAGACTTGTATCTTGAGGGTTGGAAATGGAATAGCACCTCTTTGGTATAATTGCTTGGTAACTAGTGGTACTTGTACTATCTTCCTGTTAGAACTAGAGCGACAAGGTACTAACTAGCAAAGGAAGAGAAAGAGAATCGGATCAAATGGAAATATTAAATGCTAGTACAACAAATGGAAATGCTATCTCATAATTATGCTTCTTCCGTTGCTCGCCTGCTTGCTCATATATCCGCAAAATATCCTTATTCTTTTGTTCCAATTCGGCTTCTGCTTCATTCTTGAGGACTTCTGCCGCTTGATTGTATTCGCTAAGCTTTTGCTCTTTCTCACGCAACTGTCCTAGATAGTACGCCTCGCGTTCGTAGAGCCGCTGCCTCTCGCCACTCATCCAGCCATCGAATGCTTTTGCTTGCCGCAAACACTCGTCGAGCGTCTGTTCCGCACTAAGACCCATCTTCCTCGACTTATCCAACAGAGTGAAAAACCGCGCTTCAACGACACGGGTAGGCATGCGCTTGGTTTCGAGACGGATGGGTGGATTAGAAGCAAAGGGCATGTGACTACCCATGATCAAGTATACGAGTGAATGGTTCCGGTATAATTTGGTAACCTGAATTTGATCATAAGGGAAAACAAGAAGAGAACCCTTATGATCAAATTCAGGTTACCAAATACCGGAGCCATACATGAGAGCATGCGACTACCCATGATCAAGTATACGAGGACGGCGGAACCAGGAGAAAATTATCTGATACGGTGATTATATAAACCAATATGACTACGACCATAAAATAGCCAAGCTTCTCGAAAATGCGTCGTTGTGCTGTCCAGAGTGCCTCCGGCAACGAAGGACTCTTTGGCGTCGGCCCACGCTGTTGCTCTGCCGGTCCGCGCAACCACGGCGCTCCCCTTACTAAGAGACCGTCAAACACTAAAGCGCTCGTCTCGTATCCCGACCCTGCTAATGAGCGTTCCGTTTCGTACAGGATTGCGTCCTCGACTTCTCCAAGCACCTGCGCGAGTGCAGTGCAACGCGGATCCCGTCGACTGTCGTACAAGGCAATCAAGTCCTTGCGTGCCATAGCCACAGCATCCATGCACGACCGTGCTTCTCGCTGAAACTCACTCACAAACTTGACGATCGGCAGAGATTTTGGCCTATTAATGTTGATGTTCGAGGAACAAGAAGACGAGGAAGATGAACCTTGGCCTGCTTTATTTGATGATGTAGCAGTAGTACTTGTCGTGCCAGCGACCGTACCATTAGCACTAGTACCACCAATAGAAGTTGTACTATCATTTTCCACCAGCAGCTCTACCATGATTGGCGCGGCCCCTCCCATGAAACTTTGGGGTGCACTGGCTCTCACATCCTCTACCCATCTTGAGATCGAACCTCCATACAGCAACCGCAGAAAGAGTTCTTTAGCACTATCCCGATTAACACCGTATTGCTGTCGGACCGCAGTCAATAGTCGCTCCCTATTGGCTTCCAGAGCGTACTCGCGGATACGATTCAGGGAGGCTGTTGTTAGGTATCGTTTTTCTAGTGATGTCAGTCGGTCGTGCGGGTGGAAAAGTAGCAAAATTCTAATAAAATGAAAAGTAACATCGAAAATCATTGTGAGATCCACCACCACGTGAGGCATTTGTGGTGAACTTATAATAGAATAAGGCACTTTTTGACCCGTATCGGGTCGAGTTGCTCGGGTTGCTCGAGTTGCTCGAGTTGCCCACCCTAATTTTTTACGCGGCGCCCTTCGGGCGCGGCTTTATGAGACTCCGCGAAACCTTAGCAGGAGCGTACGACACTGCGCGCCGTGTCTCTGATCCTTGATTTTCTTCGCAGTGCACCCTTGAGACAAGAGCGAGTAACCGTCTCGGGCTCGAAACTCGTCGCATTCTACTCAGCCACCCACCTGCTTGGTCATCTAGTTACTCGCGGCATCTAAGTAAAGACGACCAAACTAGTGCGATGACCCACTTCCAGCCCCCACTTCCACCCAGTGGAATGCTTTCTCTAGTCTACTCACCCCAAGCAAGGCTGGACGCGCAGCCCTATAAAGCAGACGGGGGCCATTCGCTCTCACCCCCGAAGTGGACTCATTGGGCACACATCCGAAGAAAAAAGGGAGAGATCGTCAGCGACTAGACGACACCACACGCCACCGCGACACTGACACCAAACAAAAACAACAAAGAGGCGAGTCCTTCGCCCCCTTGGCCTTGGTTGTGCTTTGATAAGCGCCCAGGCGCAAGCTACAAAAAAGAAGGCATAAGGGCTCAGGCGCCCTCCGTACCCGATTGCCCCCTTCATGAGCAACAACAAAAGCGGCAGCCTCCTACACTTCGCCACTTCGAGCGGCTAGGCTGGTGCTCGCACCGCCCTGCTTCGCTCCATTTCGATGGAGCGGACACCTTCCGGCAACTCGTGGCAACTCGTTCCAGGAGTGAAGCTCTTCGCTTCGGCAACTCGTGGCAACTCGAGCAACTCGAAACCCGTTATTGGCCTTACTCTATATATAAGTGCTGCTTCGAAGTATCGTCATCCAAATCATCCAATACAGATGTACTAGTGTATACCTCCTCCTCCTGTCGTCGTACTACTGCTACTCGTCCCTCCTGTTTTCTTAGAACCCGCCAGAGTGCTTTTCAGTGCTGTCGCAAAAGGCTCCCGAGACATGAGGGAGACCAGAAGCGTCGGATAACAATTCTGGATGTCAACATCGACTAAGTAGCCGCCGGCAGCTGCTGCGCGACACTCCTTCGTGACGTTCTGTAAGCACGCTGGAGAGTCCGCATATCTTCGTCCACGCTGGATTGGACCGCGGCGGCTGGGATTAGAAACACGAGGACTAACACTTCAATGATCAACATGATCGCCACCTTCACGTTCATAGTGAACGTGAGCAGCAGCAGAACCATTACTTATTTTCGGATGGCATCTTGTGATTATCATCATCATGATGATACCTAGGTAGAATGAAAGGCGACTAAAGTATTAGAGAACAAACAGCCTTACTGTATGTGACCGGAATGCGCCCTCCGTATTGCATTGCTATCTCCAAGAATTTTATTGCATGCGCTTGCCGACGATCTGTGCCACGCTCTACGTAGTATTTTAGTGTCTGCATGTCAATGTATTCGTAGAAAGTCCCAGGACTTTCAAGATTGCCGTTATCATCACAACTTGGCGGCTCATAGAGAGGCGACGTGCCAGGCTGTGGCTTGTCTGGTGCGTGAAATTTTTTTGTTCCATCCTCATTGAACGTTTGTGATTGTGGCACTTCTACCGCAACAGATGAGTCAGCTTCCCCATCTTGGTCGTGTTGGTCCTCTACCTTACTACTGGAAGCCGCACCGCTCGCGTTGCCATTCAAGAGTGAGCTATCGTCTAAAATGACCGTCTTATCAAGCAGGTTTGCCCCAGCACCTCCACCTACCTGGAGATCCGTCGGTGACGACGCAGACGACGAGCTTAGTAGAGCGGCAGAGCGTCTGGCGGCCACCTTCGCTGCGTACTCTGGTGGCATCTTTGGTCTCTTCGCTTGGGCTTCTCGTGCTAAAGACATCTGCTTTCGCCGTTTCTTCGGTGGGGGTGGTTGCAGCGATGGATGTGCATCTGAAGGCGGCATATCGACGGACGTTCGCTGTTGCGCTTCTCTGTCTTGTTCGGCTTCGAGATATGAAAGAGAAAGACAAGAAGGGCATCTAACAAACTGTAACATCTCCCAGCAGAAGAAGTGGAGATGAGTCTATTCTTCATTTGATACTAGTGAGAAATGAATTTGCCTTCTAAAAAACCTTGTTGAGTTGGGAGCGAGAAAAATCTTCTATCATGCCAATGATAAATATTAGTTAGAATCCGTGGTTTCAATCATAAGTACTACAACACTTTATCAACATCATATCTCGCTTTGCCTCGTTCGCTCTTTCTGCTCGTCGTCGCGCCAGGGTTCATGCGATATGTGCGATATATCTGCTAAATCCACCTTCTTGTCTTCTTCGTCTGCGTTCGACTTCCTCAGTGTCGAATTTCTTTCACTTCGTGTCTTCGTCTTGTTGTACTGACCTTTGGAATCCGACGTTCTAAGATCTTGGCTTCGAGGTGGATAGGTTTCTTGCTCATCTTCTTCATGGCGCCTACAGGTTCCCTTCTTGTCACTTGATCTTCTGGCGTTCCCGTCAAGCGTATCCGGAAGTAGATCAAGAACATCGTCTCCTTGGTGTTGTTCGTTACAAGAAGAGCTATCCCGCGGTAGCCGTCGCAGTGCATCAACGTCGTTCCCGAAATCGAAGCTGTCGAAAATGGTGCAGTTCTTAGATGTAGGCTTTTGGTGTTCGTTTATCCCGTTTGTTATGGCTGTGGTCCCCACCTAAGGAACGAGAGAGCCATAACAAACGGTAACAAAAGCACCTTTAACCTAGTACCCTTACAGTTATTCAAGTCGTCATCATCACAGAGGAGTGATGAGGCCAGCAATGAGGAACCATTCAACTCAACGTGCAGGCTTCTGGCGTCGCCTTCTCCGAAAGACTCTTTGGAGGATCCTCCTTTTTCAAGCGATTCTGTGGTACGGCAAGCAGTTGTTGTCCTCTTCGGGGACGGACCGTTATTAACCTCTAGTACGATTGGCTCAGCGCCAGTTTTGTCAGCAAGCTTTTCACCTTCGTAGGAGCCATTCCTTTCCCGTTGATTCGATCGCCGATGCTGGACACGGTGATCTGAAAAGACAAAAATATAATATTGTTCGATGTAAAAAGTAATCTCGTCGAAACTGATTTGCATGTATCTAATTGTGGCGCCTATTCAACTTAAAAAGACTCATCTTGATGTGCTTCTCACCGTCGACAACATCGCTTCGTCTCTTTGGTGCAAAAGTGCTCTTTGCAGGAGGTGCGATCCCCTGGCCTCGTCCTGCGCTTACTCCTCCTTCACTGCTCTGACTGCGTCGAGGACGGTTCTCCTTGTTATCTTCATCCCTTGAAGATGAAGAAGATCCTTTTTTACTAATGATATTCATTTTGCCAGCAGCATGTTGCTTGACGTCGTTTTTATCGTTTTCCTGCCCGTCTTGTTTCCTTAGAGGGAGTTGTCTCAGAATAAAAGTATCTACTCAGACCACGATGCTGATGCATCAGAAGATGATATTTTTCTTGCCTCGTTGTATTTTTTCACAAGCACCATAAATATTGAAAAATTCAGTGAACAATCCAGCATAACACTTGCGCCACCACAGGTGAATCGAGTCCATGTTGTCTGCGCTGAATGCGTACTCTCTCCTCATGCTGTTGTCTGTAGCGGTCCCTTGCCTCCATTTCCTGTTTTGATTGGACATGGTTTTGATCTGCTTCCATTAAGACGAGACTTTTCTGCTGTGGTGTTGATGACGGCTGGTCGTTTTGATGTGCTGGGTCTAGAAGTAGAATGCTTTGATGTGCAGCTGGTCTCACAGATCGAGTGAGACCACTTTGGTTTCCTGCAGCTGGTTTCACATGATCTATACGAGGAGCGGTCTGAGGCGGAGGTAATGATTTACCCTTGAATTGAAGACCCACGTGGTTGATGTACTTTGATGCAGTGGAGATGGCATTTGTGGTATTCTTTTTCCCCTCATTTCCATCCAGCAACGAAGCACTAGACGCTGAACGCTGAGGACGGTGTTCGCGTTGATCGCCCTCGCCACGTCCTACTTTTTCCTTTTTTTTCCCAGCAGAAGTTGCTCCATCTGGTGCTGGTGATAATGTTGTACTATCCCCCGTAGTACTTTGTAGTTCACGTTGTAGTGCCACTACAACGTCTTGTCGTGGTGGTGGTGGGGGTGGTGGCGCTCTCGGAGACCGATGTTGGTTCACTAGATCTAGATCCTTGTTTGATGAGTTATTTTTAGCTTCAACATGCGGTGGAGGATCGGAATTGGCATTTGATGGAGGACTAGACTCCATAGAGTCTTTTGAAGAACTGGACATATAGTCTTGAAGTTGCTGTACTAGATCTGGGACATTTGGTGAACGCCCACTAGGTGCTGGTGATTGCCCACTTGATTAGAGCTACCGCGCTCGCATCCCCGAGACCCTCCCTGGTCCCTTTTTCTCCTTGAAAAATGGGCCAAGGATGATGTTGAGGATGGTCCAGCGGTAGCCTTAACTTGATGGAGCTCCTGAAGGTGAGCGAATTGATGCTATGTACTTCTGTCCTCCACCACCACCAGGAGAGCGAGCACGACTTGCCGCGTCCAGATATATTTTACCACTCCATTGGAGGCCGCCCCTGCCACTATTATTAAAGCTCAGCACTCAATGGTCACTGATGCTGAACGGAAGAGGCCCCCTTCTTTCCCTTCGTTTTCCCCTGTTGTCTCAAGGGGTCGCCTCTTCGATCTCAGTGACCAACCCCGATGACCATTGAAAGTTGAGCCTTAATATTACCTCCAACTAGAAGATTTCCATTTCTTGCTCCTCCTGTCCTTCTCGTGTTGTAGTACATCGACATAGCACCACTGAGACTTCTGGGAGGAGGCGTGTCTCCAGGAGCTGCTCTTCGAGGAGGAGGAAGTATACCTAGAAGTTCCTCTTCCCCTCCAGGAGCTGCTCTTCGAGGAGGAACAGGAAGTATACCTTTAATATTACCTAGTAGTTGTTGTGGTCGCACAAGAACCGAGGAAGAAGATGAACCTGCAGATGAGCAGCCTCTGAAAAGTAAGGGTCGTTTCAGTGGGTTGTTCCCCTTTCCATTTGTTTTGTTCCCTACGCCAGTATCTTTGGTATTACTGGACAAAGATGAGCCGCCACCTCCAGTACTACTGGGCAAACTACCCGTACCTCCTCCCAGTGGAACTCCGAGTCCTGCCTCTCCCAAGACTGCTTCGAGCTTCACGTCACCGCGCATATGAAAAATTGGGGGACTGGTGACAACACGACGATTGGCGGAAGAAGAACGACTTCTATCAGAAGTATTAGGGTTGTTCGAGCCCAGAGTGGGGCGTGCCTGCTGTTGTTGAGCTTGTTGAACCGTTGGAGGAGGCTGTGGTAAGATGTTCTTATGTAGTTGCATGGCATCCCTTCCTCTTGTCTGTGTTTCTCGACCTTTGGTTCCTGGTTCAGATGCCGAGAACAAGGATTCGTATCCTCTTCTTGATGTCGATGATGAAGACGATGCAGCGGTATTTTGTCCCATTCCCTGCTCTCGTGGCGTCCGTTGTGGTAGTTGATTATGTCCACCTCCAGATGATGACCGTGAGATAATATACGGGACTTCCCCATAGCCTCGTCTGGCACCCAATGATGCTTCGCCATTCGTAGCATTGTCAAAGGGTCGCAGTTTCCGGAGCTCTGATGGTCTGACAGAGCCCCCACTCGCTTGCTCCTCAGGTGAAGAGGCACCACGAAAGACGCTTCCTGCAGATTGTTCTTGTTCCTGTTGCAAAGCTCCTGTTGTACTAAACAAGCGATTATTTGTAGATGATGTTAAAGTGGAGGTAGTATTAAACGCTGATGTGTAAGCAGCTGGTGCAGGAGCAGGAGCGCCGTCTGATAATATATCAGTTGTAGTACTAGAGTTTCTTATCTCTATCTGTTCTTGTTGAAGATTTTCTACTTGGGATAATGTTTGTGAAGCGTGTGGAGTGCCGAAGTTGGACAGCCTCCCCAATGTGGGGAAGGAAGGACGGCCGCTTCCTCCACCTGGAACACTTCTGTCGACGAAGGGGTCACCAGGAGGAGGGTGGGAGGGGCGATCGTATGCTGAGGACATGTCCATGGAGTTGGATCTCATTGATTATGAGGTCAACATCGTGAAACTTCATGATAAGCGTAAATATTACGACGAGATCTTCTTATCAACATTACTAGATGATTATAGATTTAGAAGATCTACAACTATAGACCTTGCTCTTGTACAAGACATCAAAAACATTCTTCACACTTTTTGTATCCTTCTCCTGCTTGTTGCTGGCATGCAAATGCATCATGACCCATTTTCAGAGACAAACAGAAACGCCGTGTATTGTAACGTATAAATATTATGCACCAGCGTCACTGAGTTAGTGCAAAGAATTGAATAAAATCCATGCTCATGCTTGCCTTTTCTAGAAGTTTCACAGAGATGGCTTTTCACACTACGGCCACGTCTAACTGCACTTGTTGCATGGTAGTGAAACTGCAAGAGGACCGCTGAATGTTTCTTCATCTTGACTGATGTCATCTTGACTTCTAGAAAGCTGCAACCGATGTCATCTTTTAATGCTGGCTACTGCAACTATGGAGAGGAGGTTCCATTCTAAAGTAAAGGAGTTGCTATCTTGTAGCTGAGCAGTGTCGTGATTGACATCTCTAGTGTCCTGCTCGAACACGCGTTTATGGGCTCCTCTTTCCTAGTGGCTACAACTGGTGGCACTGATGGATAGAAGGACAAGATGACGGTGAAATGAGGAAGATAGTCGTGTTATGTTTTGAGTTGTTGTTCTTGGGGGCATGCGGCGGGGACCACATGCAGGACTCAACATACGCGATCAAAAAAAAAACCTCATCCAAGTTGTTGTCAGGGTGAATCAAAGACGCCGCGTTTCGAGGATGGTCCAACAATAGATCCTCGATCACGAGAGGACATTGATGACATACCCGCGGGAACTCCGAGTCGTCCCATTCCTCCTACTCCTACTCGTTCAGATGGAGCTCGCTGTTCAGCTCCAGCAGGTGGAGGTCCTACAGAAGTACCTCCCGTTGTACTATTACCTCCACCACCACCAGTTAGAAAGTTGGAAGATGCCCCTCCACCTCCAGTTGAGAAGAGTCTCATCTTGCCTACTGAGGAGACATCAAAGGGCCGTTGTGACTCTCGATGTTTCCCCTGTTCCATTCGGCTCTCGATGTTTGGAGGAACTACAGACATGCGCTCTCTTCGGCCCCCGGTTGATTCAAAGACAAGTGCGTGTTTCGATCCACGGACGACTGCAGGTGAGAGAATTAGCTGTTGCGACGTTTCGATAGTACCTAAGGAACAGCGAGGTCGGTGATTGTGGTTGCGCAAAGGACTGGGCTCAGGACCTCCTGCTCCACGTTGTGTACTAAAAACGCCACCTCCTAAGCCAGCTCCAGCCGACGGTTGTGAAAACAGATTCATATCCTCGTCAACGCCAAACAGAGGTTGTCCTAGTGGTGCTCCAAGGCCTAGTGGTTCTTGTTGGGAAGCCGGGAGAGCATTGCTAGACGAGGGGATATTAAAACCATCTTGAGAACTAGCACGTGGATCAACTTGTGGCTCGTTTATTCTGCTCGACGTTGAAGATGTCGCACCACCTTCTATTCCTGTAGCATTTGAAGATGGTATAATTGGTCCACTGAGATGATCATTTCTTGCACCAGCACCACTATTAACACCTGCACCAGCCATGATGCTCCTTCGACGACAACTAGCACGTTGTTTGCCACGTGCTGAGGATGGTGGAGAAGAGGAGGCTGGCGGTTCGATGTCCTCTTCGTAGATCTCGAAGTTGGTTGCACGCGTCACGCCCGTAACGTTCACGCCCTCTCCAGGACGAGCACGGGGACGGCGACCCCGACTTCCTCCAGAGCCATCGCGGCTTCGTGCTCCGTCAGCAATATTGCCTGTGTTCGGCTGCCCGTTGTTTCCGGGTCCGCTGTTGCTGCGTCCGCGGAAGTAGGGCAACTGTGCTCTGGCACCAAATAACAGGCCGCCTCCCCTGGGGTTGCGAGGGGACAGACCGCTGATGATACGGCCTCCGTTGTTGGTTGATGTACTAGAAATAGCTGTGCTGGGACCACCAGTCTGCCACGAAGATGACGATGAACTAGTACTACCGAATCCACCTCCTGTACCAACATCAGATGATCCACCAGTGTGATTCACTCCTGACATGGCTTGGTGAAATGACGACGACAAACTACTTCCTGCTGCTATTGCGGGTCCCTCAGTCAAAACGCCACTAGCTGCTTCGGCTAGTTCGGCACCGCTTATTGGCCCACCGCCAGCGCCACTCGTCAAGAAACTGCTAGCTGAGGTCACTGCTGGCAATAAAGAATGGCCACCACGACTCGACGCACCTCCAGGCCGATGGTCAGGCGGCGGTACTTCATTTTCGTCAGACGATGCCCTTCTCAATAAGTGCTGGCGAGCTTCCGCAAAAGCCGAACTATTGTTTAAACTACTATTAGCTGGCGAGGCGGCTCTAGAATTCGACAACAAACATTTTGACACACTCCCCGGAGCAGGAATAACACCTCGTTTGTTCGCACTCGCTGGACTACGCGGCCTCAACATTCGATCTCCAAGGGCAGCTCCCGAAGGGGCTGTAGAAGAACTCGAAGCGCCACCTCCAGGTCCTCCAAGTCCAACTCCATTGGAGGAAGTTCCACCAGCTCCTGCGCCACCAGCTGCGCCACTAGTACTTCTGAGACCACTTGCTGCTCCGAAGAGTTTCCGTCTACTGGCGCTGCCAGGCAGAGGACCTGAGTATTCTTGTGACGCGTTCATCTTGTGACAACTCGCAGAAAACATCATGATCTCTTCACGACCGGGTAGAGGCTGTGATAGTGCGGATTCTCGAAGAGGACCTCGTGATGAAGAGTCTGCCTGGTCTAAGATCAATGGCACACTGATCTGCGGTCTGAGAACACGTCCGCCTCCTCCTGGGTGATCTTTACTACGCTGCTTACCTAGACACGGTTGACTTTTCGAGGCGTCTGGAAGAGTGGTAGACGGTCCGATGATAGAAGATTGGGCCTTGAGAATGCGCTTAGGACGTTTCAAAGCTGGCTGCTCCACTGCAGTGGTATCACCATCGCCAAAGAGGGCTCCAACATCTTTCAACGCTCTCTTAGTCGCAAAAGTAAGCTCTTCCTCTGGAGGCGGGCCTTTTTTCGCGCTGCCGTCTCTGCTGTTGTTACAGGGATCCCTGATGTAGGTGTGGTGGAGGATGAAAAACGTGCGCAAGGTCGTGGTTCTTAGGAATTGAATGATTCACTTTATTTATTACCAGTGGTGTCAGTCAACAAGAATTATAGTTCAAAACAACAACAACTCTACAACTTTCACACAATTATACAACTAAGTACAAAGTTAAGACAGGAGTACAAGATCTTCCGCACTTCTTTAGTCATTCCTCCGAACCCAGTGGTCTCGTCCATCAAGTGTGGATTCAATTTCTTGTACATATCCCACCACTTTTCTGCTTTTACCTCTTCTATGGACACTTCTGTGGGCAAGAAACCGTACACGAAGCGGCTCTTCCCTTGCATGTGGTGGACTGGTAATGGGCCTGACGTTTCCGCCAAGGTCAGCTCCCGACTCCGCTCTTCGACATGGGGTCCAGGTTGTGGCTTTTTCAGGTTCAGGTGGTCCCTTTCTTGCATGAAAGAAGAAGATGTGGAGGAAACGGCATGCTGCTTATGCTCTTGCTCTCTGCGATGATGGTGAAGATCTTGCTTCAATATCCGCTCATCATGATCATTGACATTGGTACTAGTTGTACTTCTCTGAAGATGAGCGTCAGTGGTTGATGTTGCAGTAGTACTACTTGAACTTGAGGAGGATGTAGCTTTACCAGGGGCTTTTTCTTCTATCATCGCAGCAAAAGGGTTTTTCCGTTTTCGCCCGCCTGTCGTACTAGTACTAGCAGACGTACTAGTACTAGCAAGAACACCAGATGATGCACTCGGAGGTACGACCTGAGGTGCACCCGGTGTAGCAGCTCGCGAACTCTCGTCTAGTTCTTCCGGCACATCCTCTAGAATTCGCCCAAACCCACCCAGAGGTGCTCTAGATCTTCCACCAGCTAGACCTCGACTCGTTTTTTGAGGCTGTGGTTGACTATCTCCATCATCCATGAATTCGTCGTCGCAAAACATCTCGAACTGTGGTGCTGCTGCTCCTGCTTGACCGCCTTGATGTCCACCTTGTAGTAAATGTGAAGATCCAGTAGATCCACCTGCTCCTGCTTGCTGGCTTAATGTCTTCATGTTTTGACCCTTTACAGGAATAGGTTTGACACTTCCCCAGTTTGGTGCTGTCTTCTTCACATTTTCCGGTCGAAAGGAAGCATGAGACTCCAGAGAAGCTGGAAACGGCAGTTTTTTCCATTCCGCTTCGCTATCAAACAGAGTGCGATGCTGGCCGTCGTCGTCATCTTCGAAGACTTGCATAGTGCTTGTTCGAGCGTTGTTACCTGTAATAGATTATGTTGTTCATTCATTGGGCAGATTTGAAAAAATTCAGACCTCTCATTATATATTAAGTGTTGATCTTCATTTGAAGGATAAGATTAAGAACTGTATCTATTCGAAAAACTGAAATAAGCGAGTAACTACTTACAATAAGCGAGATACTGAACAAGGAAGAGTAGCCCTGTCAGAGCTACCTCCCTTATTTCAGTCAGTAACTCGGTTATTTTCAGTTTTCGAGTACATCAAAACTAGTAAAATCTAAATCAGAAACTCTACCTATCCTCGCAGCTGTCGAAGAAGAGCTCGTTCCCCATCCAAAGTTCCCAATCGGAGGGCCCTGTTGTTGTTGTGCGTTTTCGTTGTTTCGGGAGAATACAGGTCTCCCTGCCATAGCATCACGTGCTTCCCTTTTCGACAGTTCTGCGAAAGCTCGTCGTCGCACGCGCTCATCAGTCAACAGTTGCTCGTCAGTGAGGGAGGAGAGTTCGCTGATGTGATGGGTTAGAGCTGTTATAACGTTGATAATTATATCTCTACTTGTGGTGGGTGATTATAAAAATCGTCATTCTCAATTGTAGTCCCGTTTCTATTGATGTACTAGTATTGGCACTAGAAGAAAACGTACCGAAGTCAAGAACAGAAGGCTTTCTTCTGCTTCCTGGAAATTCAAGAACTAACTCCAATCAAGAACCAATTCAAGAACTCCATTCAAGAACTCCATTCAAGAACTCCATTCATCAAGAACCAATTCCTATTTCCATTCATCAAGAACCAATTCCTATGTCCATTCAAGAGGCAACTTGAAAAATCCTTAACTGTTGCAAGTCTCTTCGAACCCTTTCCACCATCCGTATTCGAAATCGCTTGTAGTCCTCCTCCAACTTCGGCAAGGGCTGTGCACGACGTGCCACTCCCATCTTGTAGACGTCTTCCACGTCTCGGAAGCGGCGAGCCTTCTCCAAAACCGACGCCCACGCCATATAGAGCAGGCCAAACTGGGTGCCGACCCCGTTCGCCCACAAGAATTAGAGGTTGCGACATTGCATTCTTCAGATCATCCCTGACCCTTTTCCTACTGGAAAAAAAGTCAAGGATGGTAGTGAAGAATGCAATGTGGTAACCCTTAAAAGAAGGGGAACATATCAATCGAATCCTTGAGACAGCTTTCCCCGTACATGAGCCAAAGAGCGAGGTAGCGGTAGTCACTATGGGCTTTTTCGTTCTCCCAGAACTTCTGCGTTCCTTGCTGCAGGACGTCGTGAAATCCGAGATGACCCTTGGAGGAGCTCGCAGAAGAGGACGACGAAGAAGAATTCTGCTGCCACCACTTGGCATAAGCATGCCTGTAATATTAAATATTTTTAGAGAGATATAATGTATTCAATTGATGTGAAGAGGAGGACGACCATTTTGTCTTTGTGACTTCATTCTTGATGATGTCCTTCTTGATGATGTCCTTCTTGATGATGTCCGAAAAAAAGATCAAATTCTATCAGGAATCGTATCACAAACCATGTCCCCAACGCATCCGGATGCTTTTCGTTTCGGATATCGGCTTCAAATTTGGTTATTTCCGCTTCGAGATCACTCTTTTCGAGTTGGTGCAGATCTCTACCTGTCCGCAGAGGCAGGATATTCTCCTTAGACTCCTCTATCTTCTGTATGTCTACCATCTTGATGTGGTTTCCCTTCGTGTTCGTGTTGGAGACTACAACTAGCGTTTAGATGCTGTACAAGATGAGCGCTCTGGAGGACGAGGTGCTCGTCAGTAGTGTTGTTTGTCTGGTACTCACTGATGGATCAGGTTTCCTTTCTTTTTGTTAGCCTTCAGTATTTGCGGCAGCGTCGCGTAGAAGTTGTACTACCTGTCATTGTAGGAATTCGAATTCTACAACTTGGTGCAACAGGTGCTACAATAAAAAAAAATCTGCTCTTCTGCCTGTGCTGCAAAATATTCTGCATCGCGCTATCGAGGGGTCCGTTGACATCATCAAGGATTTCTATTTGATTGCTACTTACGGAAAAAATAAACTGCATCGTGCGTTGACTGTGTCTGCGTGTTCTGCGGTGGGTGGAGAGACGCACATCTTTGATCATCTCTCGGTCTCGCGCAACGACCTCTAATCATTCTAGAATCAGTTTCAATGCGCGAAGGAAAAGAAAACAAGATTGATACGAGGACAGACTTTGTTGCGCAAAATCTATCCAAAAAATGACTCAGCATTTTCGTCTACTGTTTTGTCATGTACTTCTTGTTGGTAGACTTTGTCCTCATCAATCCGAGACGACTCTTTCCCTTTTTAGCATAATCACACGAGGACACTCGAGGAGTTGGAGTCATATATTTCGTTCTTACCAAGATTATACCTATATCTCGACTCCAGGATTCGTCGTTTCATCCTGCTCGACCGAAAATAAACGTCGACTCAAGATTTTCTTCTTGGTTAGTAGTTGCTGTGCGAGATGAAAAAAATAGAACTCTTCTTGTAGTACGACACGATCAGTCATAAACCGATCGAGTGTATGTTTCATCTTGTACAACAACTACGAAGAATCATCCTTTTTGTTATCGAGAATCCACTTTTTCGTTCGTCACTGTCGACGGAGCGTTGTTGTAATCCTTGGTTGTACATCGGGTCCTTCGTCACGCAAAGGATAAACATTGCTTTCCTCTCTGCTAGAGCAGCAAGGTGCGCTTTCTACTTCTGCTTGTGATGTCTTTTAACAGCGCCAGGTTATGGCTATAATGAGGTGTTCACTGAATCTTCATGATCATTTTCGGATATGACTCCAAATAACTGGTAGGGCGTTTTCATCATCGTTTACGGTTGAAATAGGACATGAAGTCAAGAACAGAAAACTCGCGCAAACTTCTTCTTCTAAATGTAGACATCAGTAGTAAGTTATCATTCGGCATATTATAGTGAGTCAGTACAGTATATTTGTTCTATTTTCGTATAATATTGCTCGACGTTATCGTGGTAGAATACCTCCGATTCCTATGTACTTATATACTGGATGATTTCCCATTCACGACCCAGTCGCATTCACGACCCAGTCCCATTCACGACCCAGTCGCATTGATGGTTTTCAGCCTAATTAGATCAGGCTCCAAGAGTTTCCTTGTCATGTGATTGCTCTGTTTCATGTTCTTCGGGAGCTGATCCACAAACGTGAACGCCTCCTCTGCGGTATGGACACTAGCATGAAATTTCTTCAGTAGTCTCAGAAACGCCGTATTCTTGTCGAACTCCAGATACATTCGCTGTGTCGGTAAGTTGGCGACATAGATGCGGAGCTGGAAGGAGGTGATGAGCGGAAATGTGGACGTGAAAATTCGTCTTCATCTTTGAAGTGTTATGCTTCTGCGATCTTTCTGACGACGAGACAAATTTGATGTCGATGGACTTGTTGTTCTCGACCACTAAAAACTGAAATACCTAGTTGTACCAGTAGTACGACGAGCTTTAGGTTTAGCACTCCAAATGAATCAAAGTGCTAAAAGTACCTCCAAATAGTCTTTGATGACATATTTGCATTGTTCTAGCCATTCCGGAGTAACCTTGGATTCGTAGAAGACGCAAGCTTCCGCTAATGGAACTGCGTTGTCGTAAAAGGTTTTTGACTTGAGCTCCTCACTGACGCCGACCACAAAAGACCAATTGTCGTGGATGATACCCTCGATTTCGCGAGTCTGAGGATGCGGTTTTGTAACTTGTACTTTTTGATTGAGGTAGTTGGTGCTGGTAGCTCGAGCCCCTCTGCTTTTGAAGGAGATGAAGTACTGAAGGTTATAGATCAAGTACTGCAAAACAAGGAAAAGGTAATAAATCAGCTGAAGGACTAAAAAGGTGAAAATATGTCCCTAAGTAACTACATGAGCGATCAAAAATATAATTAGGAAAACAAGTGCAATAAATATACAAAAAGGTTCTCGTATTCCTGCTTATGCGGTATATCGAGCTTATTCTCGGCGTCCGTCAATTTCTTTTCGATGTCCACTAGGGTGGTTACTTGTCGAAGAACCTGGAGAATTTGGGTTTCGTCATGTCAACACTTGAGGATAATACTTATTTTGTGAAGATATCAACATCGAGAGTGAAGAGGACGATACCCCTACGTCAGCTTAGAGACATATAAGCAATACAACCTCGCTATCGATGTGGTTCTTCGCGTGGGTGAGGTACTAGAGCATATTCAAGAGATTAGAAATACCTCGCTATCGATGTGGTTCTTCGCAGTGAGGTACATTTTCTCGTACTCTGTCCATGCCTTATCAAAATCCCCAAGCTTCTTCTGCATGTCTTGGTTGAACTGGAGATTTTTTATGATTGATATTGATAGGGAAAAGCTATGCACCAGAAATGGAGAATGTAGTAGAAGTACCTTCTTCAGCCTACCGCTGTGCTTTCTCTCTGATGAATTAAGGATGTAGAAGAGCAGAACTAGCAGAACCGACTGAACAAGAGCCGACATGTCTACGGGACCGAGGTCAACAGACTCAGAACAGAGGACAAGAGGAGATGCGAAAAACTCACGTGGCCGTAAGATCAGGTCGATCGCGATACAGGAGATATAGTAGAAAGGACCTAGAAAATTTTGTTGACCACGATTTATTAGCGAAAATTTTTAAATATTTGCGGTGGAGCCGACCTAACTAGAAAAAAGACAGACCAGAGGAAGATATAAAAGAGAAAAGGGTAACTATCAACAAGTATCCTAAGGTATCCTGCTAACTGCTAAAACTAACTGAGCGCCGGCGCCATCGTCGTCCTCCTGTCAGTCTGAAATATAAAAAAGTAAAAATAATACCTTCTTCAACCCACTAGGGAAGTCTGCTTTCATTTCGGTTTCGAAAGCGCTTGCTAGCGTCGTCATGCTGGTGTCTAGACTTTTCAAGAACTCCTCACTTTTCGCTGCTAGTTCAGGTGCCATCTCGTTGTAATCGAAATCTCGCCCATTGTAGGACACCTGGGTGCTGGCTGTTATCGCCCTCGCCACCTTTATCAGACTAGCTGGATATCCCTGCGGGAAGTACTGAGGTGGGGGATCGGCTAAGCTGTGGTGCAGCTTAAACCTATACTCCTTGGTCGAATCGCCTTTCACGAACGTCGTTAGGAGACCCAGCTGTAGGTGAGATGATGAAGGTGGAAATGAAAACTACCTATCTGCTAGTGCAGGTACATCAATCAGATAAGAAACATAGATAGGTAAAGGTGAACTAGAATATGTACCTGTCCTAGGTAAAGGTACATTTGATAACGACCTAGAATATAGAAATAGACTATACCATAGATGCCCTCTAGGTGGCAAGTCCTTAGAATAAAATAGAAGTCTGCTAGTGCAGGTACAACATCAATCACATAAGAAACATAGATAGGTAAAGGTAAACTGTCGTGCTACATCAATCACACAAGAAACAATATAGGGAAGAAGTACCATATTCAAGAATCTCGCAACTTTTCGAAATGACAGGTCGTCTAATATGTCGCTCGCTACGAACGGTAGTGACTCTTGAATCGAGACACATTCTTTTAGGAGTTGAAATTCCTTCGTCCCCTTGAATTTGATAACCTCCGGCGTACCGGTTATCTTCTCTTTCTTTCCCTTTCCTGTGGTTGTGATGAAAGGAAAATACCGGTTAAAGAGCGTGGGAGGACGAAAACCATAAGTCATAATAATTGAATAATTGTAAGGAGCGTGGGACGAAAACCATAAGTCATAATAATTGTAAAAAGGCGTCGTCCTATTTGATGAATTTCAATTTGACTCATACAACATGATCAGAACATCAAAATAGCAATACCTTTCTTTCCCATCTTGCCGCTCCAAGTGGTGAAAAATACTACGAAATGAATCCAGCCCACTTAAATGCGCAACTGAATGGTTCCGTCCTACTCAATGTTGATGAATCCAGCCCACTGAAATGCGCAACTGTTCGTCTAGGACCCCTCGTCCAATGTTGATGAATCCAGCCCACTAAAATGCGCAACTGTTCGTCTAGGACCCCTCGTCCACGAAATGTTGATGAATCCAGCCCACTGAAATGCGCAACTGTTCGTCTAGGACCCCTCGTCCACGAAATGCTGATGAATCCAGCCCACTGAAATGCGCAAGTTATAACAGTTTCGTCTAGGACCCCTCGTCTGCCCCTATGGGGCTGACGCCATAACAGTTTTTCCTACAGGATTCTTTCATTCAATATCAGACTTCACAGATCAAACAAGCGCTGATCCGTAGCCTATGTTGTTTTTTTGTTGAAGGTGTATTCGAAGTTAGAGTTTTTAGTACTTCTTACTTAGCTGTAGATGACGTAGTGCTCCTCCTCTTTGTTATCCTTTTCGCTACAGGCTTTCTCTTTTCGATTTTTGTTGAGGAGGAGTTCGTTCGCCGTCTTCCTCGATACATTGTTCTTTTTGCGATTTCCAGACGACTCCCTCTTGTCTCTCTCTTATATTTTCAGTCGATAAAAATTCTCAACGAAAACGACCCACCGAATGAAAGTTGACATTTTCCAGCACACCTCCTTGTTTTTTGAATCCGATTGCACCACACGAAAGCAGGTTGTTGTTACTTCTTAGTAAGTGCATCGACAAGTAGATGAGGGGTAAATAAACCGGCTTGCTTTAGGGTCGTCGATGAGGGAGTAGGGGTGGAGTATCCTGATAGGGGAAGGATAGTGAGAAAAGAAATCATGAAAATGAATGATGTCGTAGAGGTACTACAACTCATCCAATTCAGTCATCGATGAATGTTCCTGCTTGACCTCCTGTGAAGTTGGTCATGTTTCTCTCTTGGTCTTGTACTCTGCTTAGCAGTTCCTCTGCACTGCTAGACGCAGACTCCCCAAATCGACCTAACTGTAATGCTGTGCCCGCTTCGTCGTCACCTACAAACAGATCTGCCTCCGAGGAGAAATTTGCTGTGCGCTCTAACACGTGCCGGAGCAAGTCGTTCTCGGCTTTTTCGCCATGATAGATGAAGTTCGCGCCTTTCTCGATCTGCGGTTGTACTCCATCCCGATACAAAGTGTCCACGATCTTATACGCATACCCTTGTTCCACTAGGTACTGCTGTCGTTTGGTCGCGTAGTACATCTCCTGCGTGTCTTTTGAAACGAGTGTGTAAAAATAGGCGTTTGGCACTGGAGCTTGGTTCGCGGCGTTTGAGGCGTTGCGGCTACTTTTAGCACCAGTACCTCCCATTCCTCCAGCACAACTAGAGGCTTTTGACGGCGCCACTTTTTTGGGTCGCAAAATACGTCCCAATCGCTGAGCTTCCTGTCTTCTAGACGCAAAATGGGCGTTGATTTGGATCACAACGTTCGCAGAGGGCAAATCAATCGCATTGTCGCCTACCTTGGACAGAAACAACGTCGCCACAGAGGGGTCTTCCTTGAACTTGCGGAGGATTTGCTCCCGCTCTCGATTCGCTACTTCACCGTAGATGAAGTAACGCCCTATGGCTAACGCAAACATTTTCAGAATGTCCGTGTTGTCGGAAAAGACTAGAATTTTGTCCCCTCGTTGCTCGTGGAAGCGGATTAAGAACTCGGCAATGCAGAGTTTGATCGGGTTTAACGTGCGGTTTAGAGAGGGCGGAAGGGACGAGTTTGTGCGACAATTTCATCAATTTCACTTGTCTACTAGCAAGCCTGACCCTGCTGAGACTGAATCTTACAACAATCGTGCTGGAAAAAGACCAGGAGTAAATAACATCTTCATGGTCGTCTGATTCTGCTCTGACCTAGTAACATCAGGATCCCCTAAATTACAGTGTCATTTTACAAGCTTAAGCCATAAGTACAATAACCGCGCCGTCGCGTGTTGCCCCAATACGTTGATGCGTTTCAGGTATTCCTCGTAGAAGACTTCACTCATCTCACACCAGACTTCTACGCATTGGACACGCGCCAAGTACCCCAGGTCTTGTAGTTGATGCCAGTTTGCTTCGTACAACTTTGGGCCGATGAGCCATTGCAAGTCCGTGATCAAATCGTCTTCACGAACTAAGGTAGCGGTTAGGCCTAGTTTGCATCGAGAGCGCACCGTCAAAGCCACCTGACGAAAGGTTTTTGCTGGCATCACTTGGACTTCGTCACACACTAAAAGGCCCCACTCGACAGACTGAATCTGGTTCAAGATATAGCGCGTGGTCTGACCTCTGCGACCTGAGAAACCAATCATGCTGTACGTCGAGATGACAACACAGGCTTCGCTGGCGTCCTTAATCGCTGATTTGTGCTCGGCAGTCAGGAGAAAAATGTCTTCTTTTTTGATCGTCGAAAACTGGAGGAATTGTTGCTGCCACTGTGACACAGCCATAGCGGTTGAAGTCAGGACCAGAGTCCGTTTTTTGACCGTCGCGGTCGCTGTAATGCCCACACAGGTCTTACCCGCACCACAGGGGAGCACGATGATACCAGACCTAGCTCGGCTCGGAGTCGTAAACATCTTGGACAATGCAACTTCCTGATATTTACAAGTTGAAACAATTCATAATTATCTGTCTTACATATTTGACACGTTTCTTCTTGAAATGTGCCAAATCATGCGTACAAAAATGAAATGCTTCAACGCTTAAGATATTCTCGGATGTGCGTTGAGGTTCGCATGGTAATGTCCAAATCTGGGCTGCGTCGGTCCGCCTTGTAATCATACTCCTCTAATAAGGGGAAGCGATTCTCAAAAGCGATCCGCTTGACTTCTTCAGCTTGGTTGCCATCTACACGAACGTACCAAACTTTTTCCGGTACTATGGGAAGAGCGTCCTCCTCTTCGAGGATTAGAGGTGTCGGTCCAGCACAAGAAATATCAATCCGATCGATTTTTGCAGTCTATTTAAATCTAAGTATTAAGTTCATCTTCATTCTATGCAGGCCCTCTGAGTAGGAAAAAAGTCGTGATTGGAAAATGGGTTATCGTTATGGTTATTGAAGAGATGAGCGCACGATCACGTCTTCATAGAAGAAACATAATATCCGCTGCGGCCACATTCTGCCCCGTTCCAAGTCCCAGTGCACCTACTCCTTGTAGTTCGCGTCCCAGCGCACCTCCTAATCCTTGTTGCTCGCCTCCAACTGCTCCACCACCTGTCAAAATGTCCTGGAGTTCTTCTTCACGGCGTCTTCGCTTGCTCTTATACTCCATTTCCTCTTTTGGAGGCAAGGACTCGGTAACTAGGCCACGCTCTTGCAGGATGTTCTCCAACTGAAGCAACGCATCGTAGTCGGTGCTTTCCAAGTAGTGATGGGCTGAGGATGTAAAGCCGCCGATTGTTAAAGCTCAGCATTCATTGGTCACTGACTCTGAACGGAAGAGACCCCTCCAAGGCTCTCCCCTTTGTTCCCTTCATTTTCCCCTGTTCTATCCAGGGGACTCTCTTCGATTTCAGTGACCAACTTCTGTGACCAATGAAAGTCGAGCCTTAATATTGGATAGCCTGGAACTCTGCTTAGTAGTTCACCTCCTGCTCCACCAGCTGACGATTCCCCTTTACTCCACAGGTACTTCACTTTCCCCAAATTAGCCGCATATTCTTGGATCCACTTTAACAGTTTACTGCTCACTTCGTTCTTCGACAACTTTCTCAACGTATCGGCTATGTCCTGCACAGTCAGGCCACTGCTCACTGCTGAGTACATGCTAAACGTCGTGATCTGGTATTCTTGTATGCTTTCAGGTCTCGCGATCGGCTCCGCAATCGTAATACAGAAATCTTCTGCAGGCTGAAAGTGGGGATGGAAGGTCTCAAGCAAGATCTGCCCATCATTCCACACTGTTAGAGGTCGACTCTCGTGTCCGCGCACCAACGTACAGGACTCTCTGGGATCAAAGGCGATGTCAGGCTTGCCAGGGATTTGAACCAGGTTGGCCTCCAACCCCGACTCCCCAATGTCATCATAATTGTCGCGAGTGTTGTACACGCCAGACATTTTTTCGTCGATAGTGTTGTCATGTATGAAGGTCTATAATCAACAAAAGTGTTTAGATCAGGAGGCTAAAGGCAACTGACGGCACACGAAGCACAACACTAGGACTTTCGAACATACTACTCCTACCTTCATCATGTCACTTTATCACGATAGTCACTCCATTCTGAATTCTGACTGTTTGACAGACTGTGTCGCCGACAGTCACGCATCTTCTATTTTTCCCATCAGGTTACAAAAAGTGGCGCTAAAAAGTCCTGTCGTTTTGTTATCACATATACTAACTTCACCGTAGAAAAAGATCTGCTACAAGTCAACGCAATCTAATTCTGTGGCCTGATGTACTCTACCATTTTTGGATTTAGTAACGTCTACATGGCACACGCACATAGGATACCTCATGAAGACAAGCGCAGTTGTTCTTTGAGGACTGAGCACCGAGACGTGACCATACTGTGGTTGTTGATTGTTATTTTCCGCATGTAGCTGTGACTGTGTTTATCGCATGTAGCTGTGAGTATGACTGTGCTCATCTTGTTCTTCTTCATCAACATGTCGAGAGTGATTCCTTACTGTAGCGCGAACTGCGCTTGCCTGTATGATGTGACGTGAACATGTTTTAGTGCTACATCGTTGATGTCTTGTAGAAACATCCAACCGGTGTACTATTACTCTTCAATTCGACAGTGCTTAGCATCACCATTTGGATCCAGGTCGAGATTGGGAGTGCTATTAGGATTTCGAGAAAGAGAAACATGAACATTGACAAAAATTCTTCTATGACAAAAATTCATTAGCATTTATTGGACGAGATTAAGTATCCGACTACGCTGATGATATGATCAAAATGGATACAGAATTGTAAGTATAGCACCAACAACATGTTGTGCACCAACCAGTACCACTCAAGGAAAATGAAGTTATATATATATAACAATCTTGATGTATTTAATTGGTGGTCTGATAATCGGCGGTTTTAATTGTGCAGTCTCTGTCATGATGAGTAAGAAAATAATATCTCCTGCCCTGATGCACAGAGGGCGAGTAATGCAAGAACTAGAGTAACAAGTACATCTAGACCACATGATATTTGAAACACCACCTGTAGCAGTAATCAGTGAAAAATTGACTGAGGGTTACTTTTCACACAAAGATAGCCTCTTGTACTTGTTGATGTGGTCCCTTACTACGTCCTTCGGGGACCCCTGTCTTCGTAGACGCTTCAGACTTCTTCACTTGCCTTCCTCCAGCACCTCCGCCTTCATTGTCCAGCCTCATCTTTCTATTTTTCTCCGCAACCTGGCGTATAATGTCGAGACTTTTCTTCATTGCCGCAGGCTCGTGGATTAGAGGATCAGACATCTCAGCTTCAAAGAGGGTCAACCACTCCATTCGGTTCTCGGTAGTAGACGTGGATCTAAAGTTGTTTTGTTGATGGTAAAAACAATTTTACATCCACCAACATCCAAATCTCATCCTCTTCTACAAAAAAATCTGAAATGGTGAAAATTTGCCTTAACCCGCACATTCCAGTATGTCCGACGCCGTTGTACTGGGATACGTGGACGTAATGCTCGGGATCGTACTTCGGATACTGAGTACAATAATCCAGAGACCTAAGATTCACAATACCATCTCCAGAATGAGGTTGTACTGCCGGATCGATGATAGTCGTGTCGTAATGAGGATGATCTTTGTGTACGCTCTTCTTGCTGTTTTGTTCGTGGTGGTTCTTGGTCTTGGTAGAGGTTGAAATGAGAGGATGGGACGAGAAGTAGAAGTCGGGGAAATTACTTTATTACGGCAGTAACAATAACATCAATTCTAATATAGGACTTGTTCAAAAAATCATTGCCATGTTATTCCTGTCCTGTGCGTATCTGTCGGGAAACGGATCAGCAAAGCTGAGTGTACAGTCAGAAACACTCTCTAGCACGAAATCACGTCGTAGACACAGCTACTCCCATAAGTTGATAGTCCGCAACATTTTCCATCACAGTTTCCGTAGGAGGTTTCGCGAATCCATTTCCATACACCCAGCCTACTCCAGTTTCAACGTTGACGCCATACATGCATGGATGTTAGAGTTTCATCGTGGGAGCGTACTTACATACTTGACGGCCAGAAGAGCGGGCTGCGGCTGTGCCGAAAGCGTTGAGGGCCGTCGTTTATGGATCTGACTCATCGGCGTGCCTCACTGGAAACCCTGGAGACCTCTCAGCGAGATTGATCGATGAGAAACTCACGGCGCGCGCGACGTTCTTGAGGACGTCGAACCGAGTCAAAACATGGAACGCAGCCCAGACATGTTCTGCCATCCCAATGGGTTCGCCGTCCTTTACCAGGGGCGAGACCTTATCCTTATTCTCCATTTTCTCAATAGGCCGACCCGGTGGCGTTAGAGGTGGCGCCGCTTCTGGGTCAGCCGTCCACCCGGGGGGATAAGCTAGCCTGCGAGTCCTGACTGCCCGCCTGCTCCCCTTCCCTCTCTTCCTGTCGGGCGTGTAAGAGATGCCGCGTGCTACTGTCTGGCGTTCTCTGACACCTTTCGGAAACGGCGGCAAAGCAATCGCAGTAAGTTCGCTGTACTCCTTTTCTGTTGGTGCTACGTCAAATCCACCCGCTTCCCGGTCTCGCTGCTTCTCCATCCATCCTCCCGGGCTCCGGCACGCGCTTGGTGGGGAGCGCACAACTTCAGGCGTGGTCAGCCCGTCCGTGGAGATCATTAGCGAGGCACACCAGCCAGCACGCATGCCGCCGCAATATACGGCCAAAGAAAAGACACCGCCCGACGTGGATCGAAGAAACACCCCAGAAAGCAGCACGACCGCAGAACCTGCCAACAGCGATAAAGCCGCCAAGGCTTTTGCCCGCTCTGTGTTGGATTCTGTTGCGCCAGTAATGATCTGCGACGGGGAAAGATCGGGCGACGTTGCTCTGTCTGGTGAAAAAACGAAGAGGGCAGCCCGGGCTTTCGCAGTCTGGCCCGGTTGGCTGTCCATTCGCTGGGGAAGGCCCACCCTCTGCATAGTCGCAGCGCACGCCGTGACCGTCGGCCTTGTTTTCGGTCTGGTGTGCAGGTTATTCCGCGCGTCACGAGGTGTCTCTCTTTCGCCCCCCGTGGGAATGGTGGGGACGCCGCTGCCGCCATAGAAGCGCGAGCGGCCGCCACTTTCTTTGCCCACATGAGATGAGACGAAGCCAGCAAGCCCCAGCGCGAACGCCTCCCACTGCGTACAAGAAGAGACGGCAAACCCTGCCAAGCGTTGAATGTTTGCGATTCGACCAAAGGCCAAGGCCTTCGATTGCATCAGGCCCATCGACTTCCACGCGCCCGGGTCGAATAGGGCACGTAAGTGCCAGCCGCTGGCTTGCCTTGATTGTACTGGAACCGCGTCCGCCGTGGGCATGCGTGGCGCCCTTTGCTCGCGGGGTGCGGGCGCTTGCGGGCAAGTCTCGAGAAGCAGGCGGCAAGGCCTCACAGGTGGCCTCTTCGATGGAGCGCGTCACCGGCTAGGGGCTCCACGTGGGGCCATGAAGAACGGCAGGAGCCCCCGGCCTTGCGGCTGCGGTTGTGCTCCCTGTTCCAGCCCCGTTCGGCTTTTTCGGAATGAATCTCAATATTGTTGATAAGGTGGGTATGGGAAAGAAAGCCTGTTCATCATAATCAATATTCACACCAGGCACAGCATTGGAATCGCGCAGGTCTGGCATTCGATCGACGATTGCTGCAGTGACATCTCGTCCAGCGGTTTTCAGAGCCTTTACGAGCTGCGCTCCCTTATACGAGACGACCTTTTTCTTGCCTTGCTGCCCATCAGGGGGCGCGGTAGTGCTGTTCTTTGTAGAAATTAGAGATAAGTACTCAAGCGGATCCAGATTACATCTTCGTCATCGATTCCGCTAATCCCCATTGCTTCAGATTCATTTTCTAACCAGAAAGGAGCGTGACTTAAAAACCAAGTGCCATCAAGAATCATACTGCAGCGATTACTCCATCAGATTCTGATTCAGACTCAAGAAGAGTCACAACTTCTATGAAATTGAAAACATAACTTCATTATCATTCTCCTCTGCTCCACCACTCCCATGAAGCTCTCGTCTCCCTCTCCCACGACACCTTCATCACCAGGTTTGTCGACATCGACAGGCGCCCACAGCACATCGTGATCGTCCAAGGTCTGGGGAAACATGGCTAATGGCCCAGCCCAAGTACCCACGATGTCTCGGATCTTCGTTTTCGTGATGTACATGGAAAACGGAAATTTTGTCGTAACTCCATACGTATCGCGATCTGTTGGCATGATTGCGTCCGTTAGAAGAGTGCAGTGTCTACTGATGATGGCGTCTTTGTTTAATATGGCCAATAAATCGTCGTGGTCGTAAAGGCGGTTAAAGAGTCCCAATCTTTCTCTAAGGATCTTCAAAGTTACGAATTTTTGTATTTGTAACTGGAACGGATTATACAAGTGATCATTGTGTTGATTGTTCACTGTCCAGTAAAAGAAAAACTTAACTCAGAAACCATCTCCGGCGCGCCAGCAAATACTCCGGACCAACTGATCCACACCTCGACTCTAGAGCTTTTCCACTCGCGCCCAGCACCCTTTCCCATTGTTTCCTCAATCCACTTGAAAAACCATAACATGTTTTCGAGAGATGCGCTGTAGCAGACTTCTTGAGACAAATAGACATCTGAATGCACTTCTGATGTTGATTCCACCAAGAAGGAGTACGACTAACGCTAACCCGCACGACTAGCCGTAAATGTAAGTTGCCCCCATGCTTACGGAGTTCAGTACAATTTTCTTCGGTTTGTAGCGATCGTAGTAGAAGTCGATAGTTCTTTTCGTTTTCTCGAAAGTTCCGTCTGCTGCATGCTCGTGGTAGCCCTTGCGCCAATCGTAAGCTACCAGTCCACCCAATTTGTTGGTATGGTTTTTAGACATTCAACCATTGAACTAAATAGACAGTCTACTGCAGTTGTTTTTACGTCGTATCTCCTGGAAGGATCACGACCACTTAGCTGAACTAGAGAACTCATCTTCTCTGACTTAGAATCTGAGTCGTGAAGTGAGGTTATTGTCACAGTTGCCTTAAAGTTCATCTGGCTCGTTAAATTCCCCCACAATACCCAGTTGTAGGCCTGAGTAGGCGATGCTCCAGCAAAGAGAGGAGGAAACTCTTCGCCAGTAGTCACATTGGCGATTGGGGGTAGCGGTCTCTGCACGTCTGGAATTGAGTAGTAAAAGCCTAACTCCTCATCTGCGGAGTCGGGAAATGGGTTAGAAGGATGCTTGTTCGCGTAGCGGCGACGAAAGTCCATATAGCAGAAGAGGAGGAACAGCGACAAGAAAGCCTTTCTTCTTCGTGGTTATGTGAGTAGCAAAAAGAGCCTACTCTTTGTCCTCTCTAGATCTATCCCTGTGCGAGGAACTGCAAGAACGCATTTGCGAGTTCAGACAGGGAGTCTGATCCAATACTTCAAGCGCTGGCAGTTGGGGCCGCAGGCGCCATCTCTACCATCTGGCACCTTCTTAGCCTTTGCAAAAGCTTCGCCGGCCTGTTCTAAGTCGCTAGGCACTTTCTTAGGTCGCCCACCGTTGTGCGAAAACTTAAACTTTTGCGCCTGAGTTCGTTTTTTCCTTCCATATTAAGTAGCAAAAAGAAACTATTCTTTGTCCTCTCTAGATCTATCTCTTCCTTCATAACAGCAGTTTTCTTTTTCATGCCGTCAGCGTCTTCACTACCACCCTCGTCTCCCCTCAATTTCCAGTGTAACTTCGCAGTGTCTGCCCAGCATTCGAATTCGAAGGGCAACATGTTCTGCGATGGATCAAACCAGACTAGGTAGTCTTCGGCATTCTTCGTACAATAAAAATGTGGTGGGCTTTTGCGTTTGTCCAATTTTACACGAATCTCAGCGCCGACCATGCCGTGGACAAAGACGATTGGTGAAAGATCTGAGGGGTCGGGAGGAGGGATGTTGCTTCTGTGGTTGTCTGTGCCGATAGCTTCGGCGAAAGAGGAAGAGGTGCTGTCTTCTCGGACATTTTTGTGGCCTGGTGCTCCCTGTTGTAAAACTTCAACTTCTGCTTTATTTGGAGTGGATTCCTCTTGTACTCCAGGGTCGTCACCGCCATTTGGATACACATCAGCTGGCCTCACCTGTCTACGTCGTTTCCAATCGTCATAGGCCTTGAGGCGTTCTTGACGAGACCCAGCCAAAGGCCAAATGCCCCAAAAACCTACCGTAAGATCACGTTCCGACCATGGCCATTGTAGACTTGGGAAGGCATGGGCGACTGGTAGTTTTGGTCCCAGGACCGAGAGAAAAAGCAGGACGAAATTGGACATTGATATTCTTTCGATTGGTTTCTTTCTTTGTTGATTTAGAGTTTATCTTTTTCTTGAAGTTGGACGGAGATGATGATTAGAACAATGTAACCGATTTTACTTAGAAATGATAGTCTACTTCTCCGAACTGGACTGAGGCTGATGATTGCAGAGGCACCAAGAGCAGGGTGATCACAGCAGACCCAGCTGCCAAGTCTCCTTGCGGATCATGTCAAAACCGCCAGGCTTGTCACCTTGTTGATTTTTTCTATTTCACAGTCTTCGGCCAAAGGGCCAGCGCACAGGATGGGGTGGGCGCAGAGAAGTCTTACCTTTCGCGGACAATGCGCCGGTCCGGCATATACCCGAGACGGCGCCAGTGCACTAGTGCAAGATCAGAGTCTCTAGATTTATACGAAATCGCAAATAACAGGCGAAGGGAATAGGAGACGCGAAGTCGATAAGAGGGGGAAGACGCGAAGTCAGTTAATAGTACATAGACGTGAAGTCAATCATAAAGTAAGACGCTAGGGCACTAAATAGTGCTCGGACAAGTTAACAGAGCGAGAGAGATCAGTCAAGAATGAAAGCGAGGCCGCCGACGAGAGACGAGAGAGACAGATGATACAGCAAGAAACGAAGAAAAGCAAAGATCTAGCAAGGAAACCGTGGAGATTCACTCAATCCGCATTCAACTTACACGTCAATGCTTGACCTTCATCGACTGGGCCATTGTTTCCGAGAGCCTCACGCCGCCGGAATCGCTTGACTGTAGCATAGCTACCAAGGCAAAGCGCCTCAGGCTCAGAGAGAGTTGCCAGCGCATATGGTACCACGATGCTACGCGAAGAAAAGTGAAGAGGAAGACCAGTACACCAGGATAGATGAAATGCAAGCGGCACCGCCGAAAGTTCCGAGTTAACCAAGAAAGCAATCACCGCCAGGCAGCTCGTCAGCAGGAGACAAAGCAGCACATCGAAGGGAAGCCTAGAGGGCCCTGCACAGAACAACAAGGAGCGTCGCCATATTTCTCATCCGTTTCCATGCTGTGAACACCATGTTGCGCATCAAAATAGAAAGCAGCGTCGTCAGCTTTTATGTCTTTTTGAAGCTCAACCTTGAAGGAACGCGTCGAGCAGTGGTAGAATCTGTCATATCATACCACATCTCGTCGTGTCCTCAATTCTATGTGCTACTGTATGCCGAACGACTGTTGTTCGTTCGTGTTGCTCATTGGTGTTATCATTATGTTAAAAACTGTCTCCTAACACAAGTAGGGCATCATAACTTTAAGACATCAACTAAGTTGTTGCATGGCGTGATGTCCAAATCGAAACAATAGGAAAACTCAAAGGATGACAATGTCGAATCTTACGACATCCCTACTATGTCGGAGCAGCTGACAAGGCAACATGTGACCTCGCTCCTCGTTTACACATTATCATTATGAACATCTATATATTCTCTTTGCTTTTATAAATATTTATTCTTGGAGAAGATTGTATAGCGTCGCTCAAGAAAAACGGATATTTGTATTTTCCATTTGATTAAAAACATCAACATGAATTGATCGCAATATGCATCTTCATAGTTCCACTCATCTTCTAGGTTTTTCAGAATGAAAGAAAAAATTCACTTTTCGTTGGGAACAAGGCCTTCTTGTTCCTGACATAAGCGCAAGTCAAATTGGCATCGAATACAAGGCTACACAATGTTGCTCTATAATTACTTCCCAGACGACGACCGCTCGATCTGCCTATATGCGTTATTCAGCACCACACCAGCGACGACGCGAAAGAGAGACGCCAACCCAAGTAGCATCAACACGGAATAAAAGGTGCTTTCGCCGATATCGTCAGTATCCTTGCTACGAGGCCACACATCGCCACCTGTCATACCCAAGTTCTGCAAGGCGGCTTCACAGGTAGTCACAGGACAAAGACCCATTTCGCCGATTAGCTCGCATGTTAGAAGAATTTTGGACAAGGAGTTGGTGCCTCTGCACATGAGGTTCATCCTCTCACTCTCAGTCACAGAGAGATCGATATGAAAGAACCTAAGCACTTGGGAATGAGTAAGAAGATATTTATATTATATTGCAAGAAGAGAAAACATCGTGTTCGTGGCCATAACCGTGGATCGCAACAGAAAGGACATGGAGAATCGTCACAGGATTTGGCACCAGCCGTTCCAGATCTACCCTGGACAATCCATCCATTTGTTGGATCTGAGCTGCTGCACTCCGGTGGAGCTGTCTTGCAGTCAAACTCGTTGAACGTCATCCCCTGCCAAGCAAAACGGAAAAACATGATAAAGCTCAGCCAGGAGGATGAATGGGGAAGAAGTCGTGGGCTATAAGCTCCCAGAAGAGTGAGCTTCGGGAACTTGTGGAAGATGTGGAGACTGAGGTGGAGAGGAGGAGCAAGATGGAGAATCTTCTTTATCTCTAACCAGGAAGTAAATTATGCATCTTGGAGCTACAACAATTACTTGTGATTGATGCCTTCAGTCACATCCACCGCGTCTAGTTCGTCGATGTTCTTGGCGTACGATTGATTGATTCATCCTTGTCATAAACTGAATGGCGGATACATGCTTCCGACGTCGATCATGAAACCTGATAGTAGGACCTGCGGCAGCACAGTTCCCGGCAAGATAGCCAACGTTTTGCTGATGTCCCCAGTCTTGGCCGCCACGAGAAATCCTATGGCGCCTCCGCAGTTCGCCATCAGGGACATAATTAGCATCGCGTAGAAGTAGTTGTGAGGCTGGTCGACGTTGAGACCTACTAGGAAGTAGGCGACTGTGCCAGTGAGACAGGCATAGAAGGTCTGGAGAGGGATATCCAAAAGAATTTTGGCAATATAGTACTGCCAAGGGGTGTAGAGTCGGTCTAGGGATTCGCGTAGAAAGACCGGCCGTTCGCCAAGAAACACATTTACCATGCCGAAAGAAGCGAAGAGGAGCTGGAGGTAGAGGGGTAATCGTAATTTATATTTCACTTGTAACAAATATCTCGTACTAGTAGTGGGATTGAGAAAGACATAAGATCATCTGAAGATGAGTCTTGGTCTATTTGCCGTGCTGTAGTGACCACACGACTGTAGTCGTCCTGAATCATAAAAACACTTTGTCCTACAAGTACAATATGTAAAGTTCACAAAGCGATGCTCCATTTTCGAGATGAGTACCTGCGTCAAGCACAGCAAGAACCCGATGGCAGCTCTGTTGCGAACTCCTACAAGATTTCTTTCGATCTGGAAGAAAAGAGCTCCTACGAAACCTCCTACAATGAGACTCTGCGCCAGACGGATCTTGGTCATCCAAGGCTCTCTACGCATACACCTCGCGTTGCGACGTAGTAGAATGCTGAAGACTTGAGAATAGCTGCCACCTGCGGTAGGAGTGGAGAAGATGGTTAGGGGAGTGCGTTGAGCACGAGGAGAGCACCATCGATATTATTTTCAGATGATTGATTGATAGATTTTCATAGAAAAAATTATTATTTAATTGATTCTAAGTAGTATGTAAAAAACAAGTTTTACATAACTGTGCGTTCGCTTTAGCTGCTGTCGAACTTGCTGACCCAGCATCTTCCACAATCTTGATTTGCTTCAAGCCTTCGTTCTTATCTTCAGCACTAGTAATCGAAGATGGCATAGAGTTGTATCGTCTTTTCATCAACTCAACTTTCTCGGATAAATCTTCGAGCACATCCATTATGTGTTCGGCGAGATTTGTTCCTGGCGGAACTGGACACCCAATCTCCTTCAAGAGGGCACGGAGCTCGTGAGGTTTAGATTCAAAGAGAGTAGAGGTCAACTGAAGAAAAGGTCATTGACAAATCATCTAGAAGGTCAAAGTTATCGAATCCTCTAGAAGGTCAAAGTTATCGAATCTTCTAGAAGACCTCGTAGATGATATTAAGCAGGCAGGCCAGCTAGAGGTCGTAGTTGGTATCTTCATCTCTTATAATAATTGCTCTTGTTGTTCCACTTCTACATGTGGACGATGAAAGACAAGCAAAAGAAACCATAACAATACTCCCAAAGAAAGCCACCTCACCCGCATGAAAAAGAAGCACTTTTTTGAAGAGTTCGAAGGTTTCTTCAGATGGTTGATGGATCGTCGACACAATCGTCATGCCAGAAGGGCCATCCTTCTGAGGTAGCGTCAAATCCTTGAGATCTTGGACTAGATTGCGGGCTTTTCTGTGGTGGTAGGAAGATCATAGCATTTTTAGTTTTCTACTTGTGCATTATGAATGGTGTCGGTAATATTTGGTAACCTGAATTGGATCATTTAAGGGAAAACAAGAAGAGAACCCTTGTGATCAAGTTCAGGTTACCAAATACCAGAACCATACACATTAGTCTTCTACTTGTGGCGATTTTTCACAACTGATTTACTTGATGCGTCATGCACATTGAAACGACGAGTTCTAGACTCAAATGAGAAGAACTACTACCTGCTATCCAATCCACTTGTTGGCTCGTCCAGCAGCAAAAAATCGGGATCTCCACACAGTGACAATGCCACGTTCGTTCTCTTTCGCTCGCCACCAGATATCCCCGTGTGTTCAGTCCCTGGCTCTCCCACAATAGTATCAGCTGCTCCTCGAAGACCCAATTGGGCTAACATGCGATCCACTTGCGTGTCTAGAGGCTCATCAAGAATTGTCGTGGCTTTGTTCGTGCTCGTCCCTGATGTAGAAGAAGTTTGTGCTTCTGCTTGCGGAGGAGATGCAGATGTACCAGAAGAAGGTGCAAGTAGTGTGGCTCTTTGACGTGCTCGCACTAGCTCAAGTCGGAATTGAATTTGCTCTCGAGGCGTGAGTCGGTACAATATCACGTCGTCCTGCGTTACGTAGCGGTGTTTAGATTTTGGATTTGAAAAGCTATAATGTTGGTCATATGAGGATTGATAGCTCTCAGAACCTATTAAAGATACTTCTGAAGTCGACACGAATGAGTTCGAAGAGTTCATCTACTTGGTCTTGGTTATCGGACGATTAAATAAAGCCTCTCGCCTTAACCATCCTCTGCCGCAATTTATCTCGTTCCGCGAGAGACGAAGACTTACCCATATTCACATTGCCGTCGAAGATTAGGTCGCCAGTCCAGGTAGCGCCAGCACCAGGACGACCCATCAGCGTGTTCAAAAAAGTGGTCTTGCCTGCACCACTAGCACCCATGACGGCAATGAAGTCGCCTGCTGCGATTTCTACGCTGACGTTTTTCAACAGAGGTTTTGTGGCTGGGAGAGGTTAGAGCAAATAGAGGGTGGTACTTTCACTATAGCCCTGGACTTGACCTTGCTAGTGCGAGTGCCTGTGCCTCCTACTAGCTATGATAGTCTCGCTTCCAGTAAGAATAAATAGCCCTAATACAAACATCATAAGGTGTTGGTTCGGCTAGCTTGGCCTTCGTCGTTGTGGCGGATGTCGTGGGCACGACGGCCACATTTACACACAGGTTCTCGCATTTCAAGCCGATGCCCCCTTGTCGCAAGGACTTGCGAGCCAGTGGGCTTCCTGCCACCTGTGCAGGAGCATCTTCGTTGTTGTCGCCTTGTAGTGCCATGGTCAACGGGGAGGAGGATAGAAGGAGAATGACAAAGGTTAATATCACACACTACTTTTTACTTAGACTTCTAGTTGTACAACTACAGAGTTACAACATGGAGGATGAAGATGGAGGGGAGCCTCAGATAGACATGAACTGTGGTGGTCACAAATAACTCTGGACACAAAAGAGAACGCGATCATGCGAAAGCGATACTGTCAAAGAAGAACAAGGAAACTCAAAATCTAGAATTATCAACAGCATGATGAAACCAGAGGCACGACGGAGCCAAAGAGTTGTATTCCAGTAGGTTGTAATGTTCAGGATAGTACATTGGCCATTGCGAAAAGAATCTGTATTTGAAGGGGTAAAAACTGCAGGGAGAGTGACTCTATTCTTTAGGTACCTAGTCGTACTCTTTATTATGGGAGACTACTACGCTTTTATCTCCACTCAGACCGAACAAGAGGATGAGAAACAGACTCCGAATTTTAGTGACTCGTCTGGACGCAACGACAAGATATGAATAGAACAGAGCAGTTTTGCTATTTGGTCGTGGTTGCAGTGCATGTTTTAGTATATTACTTTTCCTTTGCAATTATGAATTAGCCTGTGTGATGTTCTCGACAGATTGCGACGACTGCCGACTGCGAATGTCTCTGACGCCTGGTCTGGCTGAAACTCTTTTGCAAGAACCCCAACTACGGAACACTGCATCATAAAAAATGAAAAAGGAAGACAAACTGGTCGGTGATGCAAATGAGTGCGTTGCTTTCTTCAGCATGGCTTCTGTTCTTGTCAGACCGGCCGTGTGCCGGTCTGACAAGAGAGACCGTCGTATCTTGGTTCAACGAAACAAGGGATCCATCACATGAGCGTGTTCTTGATTTTGCTCAAGCTCGTCAGCTAGAGCGTTCTTATCTTTGATGTCATGATGGGGGTGTCTCCAACATCTCCACAAATGTGATAGATACTAGAGATATGTTGGGGGTGACATGTCCTTTAGTACACATCCATAAGTATGTTCTGGAAATTGTGCGGGCTTCGGCTTGGGGCTGAGGGTGTTGATTGCTCTTGTATGAAAGCGATACACTTCGCCAACTCTTTTTACTCCTGTCGCTGACGACTTGAATCTATTGTTCCGCAATGTGCGGGAGATTTCTCTGCCGACTTATCTTTGTCATGATGGGGGTGTCTCCACAAATGTGATAGATACTAGAGATATGTTGTACCTAACAATAAGTAGTCCTGTTCTTTGTTCACATCATCTTTCTTTTTATCTGCTTCACACCGTGTCCGGCTTTTGCATCCGCGGCTCTACAAGTCATCTTGTTCCCCACCACAAGCAGCGCCTTCGATAATCTTAACGCTCTTAATCTTCGTCAGCTTCGGGAAATCCTTATCGAGGTAGCTGTTGCCCTGTTCCCGAATAGCACCTTGGTTAGGCCTCTCGCCAATGTTGAAGATGAATTTCTCCAGTTCCTGTGAGTCAGTGTACTAAGAGTATGAAGATATGTGTGTGAAGGGACTAGATTTTGAATGTTGCAGTTCTTGAAAATATGCGAGCTCGACAATATAGCGGAGAGGAAGACAAAGACAAACATACTTACATAGATAAAGCACAGTATCTGAATCTATCAACTCCAATATTCCTACTAGCAACTTTTCGCGTTCCTCGAAATTAGAAGTACCTTCGCCTTAGCTCCAGAATCGCCTTCAATCTCGCCAAACGGCGTGAAGCCCATAGGGTCCAAGTTGGCGTTATTGGCATAGTTGATGAACAACTGCGTAGTTCTCGAATTCGGCGCGCCAGTTTTCGCAAAGGTAATGCGTCCCGGAAGGTTGGAGATGTCGGACTGATTTTTGCCATTATAGGTCGTGAGGGAGCAGGGTAGATTAACAAAGGTGGAGGATTATGTGGAGGTTGAGGATTCAAGTATAAGTTGTAGATTGCGATGTTGAAGAGGTCTTGGATCTCTAAAAATTCAATACCCTCACAGGATCGTCTTGGATGTTCGGGTATTCACTGTTCTTTTTCGGGTCACCGTTCAATCCAAACTGAGCCATGAAATTTCTGATGACGCGGAAAAATCTTGTGTCATCATAGAACCCGTCAGAGACCAGCTTGCGGAAACGTTTGCTGCCTTCTGGAGACCATTCGGGAGTGACTGCGACGATCACGGAGTGAGTGGCACCACCTTCGTTTTCAAGGGAGAACTCTACCTTGTACGGCTGCTTTTCACACGCGGAGAGAGCGGAAGCAGACAAAGGAGCAAGCAACAAGGCTCCTCCGAAGTAGAGAGCTTGACGGACGAAGGAAGACATTTTCTTGGAGATACAACTAAGTAGGTGGGTGGATAAGGTGAAGGAGAAAAAGTAATATGGATAACTCGTTCTCGTGCTGTGACTAGAAAGATTGTATGTGGAGGAGGAGGTAGTAGTTTTTCTACTTACTTTCTTGTTCTTGCCTGGGTTAACGAAGTTGGAAATAAGAGCAGACTGAACAAATACCTTTGGATTCTAGTCATGAGAAGTGGAGAATCCAGCATTCTGAATGCGTGATAATCGGATCGTTTAAGATTGCATTTTTCAGCATTGTCATCAGAGTTCTGCAGAGACGCACACTACATCAATGGAATAACACGACGCCGGTTCCGATCTAATGCATTCTTCAGCAAACGCAGCCCAGGCGGCGTCTGTTGAAGTATAGGCATAAGATCAAGCAGCTCACTGCGCTGCGACAGATCAGCATGGGGATCCTGATCCAGTTCGGCCACCATCTTCATCCCCATCCTAGTGGTAGCCGTGCCACCTCTCTAACCCACAGGCGGGTAATCGTGACCCGAGTAATTTCCCTGACTTGCATGCGCGCGGTGGCGTGGTGGTTTCAGTGTGTTCATTCTAAGTAGCTAGTGGCGTAGTCACTTGGTCGGTATCTCAGTCGGTGGACATCGCTAACATACAAGCAGAAAGGTTTTGCGTCGGTGCTGTTGCAAAAAGTAGCACAGCCAAACACTATCCATCTCATGAAATGCAAATGCAACGACGCAGAAGTGCATCATCAAAGTAGTCAACTCATCGAGATTGACGCATGCACATCTAGCTTCCAGAAGATCTAAACCTGAGTCTTCAGTTGTGACATCAAATAGCAACTACTAAGCTGCGAAAGATACGACGGATCGACGTAGTTCGATCACTACTTCTAGCAGTCACTTGGTTTTGATAAAAAAATCTAGACGAAGATGTAAAATCACAATTCTTAGAACCTGAGCCAAAAACTCCTTGTTGCGGTTCAGGATCAGATTGATGAAACGGAACCATAGAAAGTACTAGTATAATACGGGTGGAGCCAAGGAAGCTAACTAGGAAAAAAAGTAAGGTTAGGTAAATGGTATACTAGTATAATGATTCTCGTTCACCAATATGCCCAGTAACTGCGTTTCTTGCTGAAGCCCTTGGTTGAGGTCGGTCTAGATAAGCTTCGTTGAGCGTTCCATCGGCGTAAGAGAGATGAAGTGCTACCATTTCCATTATTATCCTCGGACAGTTTCTAGGGTTGTCGGATTCAGGACGGAATGGATCGGATGGACTTCCGAGGTCCGCTAGTCACTTTAAGGAGGACCCGAAGATTTAGGGGGGTTCATCCGATCCATCCAAGTCCACCCGAGGATAGGATAGGAGGTGACTCGCCGTCCACAGTTTGACCTGTATCCTCGGGCGAATATGTGCAGCCGCAGAGAGACTACGCTACCAATCATTATTTATCTTCACTTCACTATCCTACCTCCGTTCTATATATCCTGTACTTGAACGATGAAATGGAGGATGAAGATCTACTTGCAAATATACAGAAATCCATCAAGCGACGTAATGCGAAGCAATCAACCCTGAGGAAAATGAACGATCTGAATAACTGCGGCCAAGCTACTCCACTGAGGAGCAGTGAGCCTGCAGCTACTTATAGCGCTTACCTATGATGAACACTGTAATCGTAGTACCAACTAGAAATCAGTCATAACAAATTCTTTTAACATGGGACGGTTTCAACCAGCGAATTCAGCATAGCTCTACTTCCTTCGTAGAAAGAAAGTACAAGGACGAAGTAAACTAGAAGAAGAAAATCAAATATTAACTATGAAGATCATCTTTATGTTTATTGTTCCATCCAAAAAGTACGGAGTGAAACATTATACTTATCCAACATCTTCCAGCATTTGCACTTGCTCTAAAAATAGCTCTTACTATTATAAATTAGGAGCAGCATGATCTCGAAATCGATAAAAAACATCTTCATTCGACTCGGCTAGTTTGTTACTTTTTCATTAAAAAAATCTTAATCAATCTTCGCATTCATTGCGTTTCTGAGTCAGCTTCTCGACAACGTGTTTGATGTGTGGACGGTAATGGTTAAACATGTTGTCCTGGTATTGACTCGATAACGGCGCAAGGTCACCTGGTGGTCCTACCCAGAAAGTAACGTCATCTTTCCCAATCTCTAGAACTTCTCCAGGTTCTGGTAAAAGAGTCAACGCTCTGATCTTGTTCGGTTGAAATTTGACGTTCACGACCCTTGGTGTTCCGTTTTTGGAGGAAACAGCGATGAGGTGGAGACCAAAAGCGGAGTTAGCGTCCAACACAACTTGGCTGAGGTCAACTATTTCTTGGGCATCTTCTTGTGTGCCTTTGCTTTCGTCCTCCTTTTCAACTGGCTTCGAATCGCCTCGCGTCATAGCTACTACTTGATCGACTAGATTTGCTTCTGAACTCCTGGGAGATGCACTAGCAAGCAAAGGGAGACTGTGACTCGCACTGGCACCATCAGAGGACAGGGGATATCGAAGAAGTGAAGTTGCGGAGGCTCGTCCCTTAAGAGAGTAAGTACTAGAGTCCAAAGATTTAACTGCAGTGTTGAATAAGGATGCAGCCGATTGTCCTACAGAGGAAGAAGCATCATGAACTTGTTCATCTTCGGCTCGATGAAGGCAATTATCTGCATATGGTTGCCGCGAAGAGTCTTTCGAAGTCACATGAGGAGATGCAGAAGATGAGGACGGGTTGGAACTAGTCGTACTACAGGCAATCGCACTGTGGTGGTCTTCTTTCAGTTTCATCTCCTGGTCCTGCTCAGAGAAAGACTCAGAGGGCTGTTGAAGAACTTCAACATGGGTTTTCGTGGTTCTCAACGCTTCTGGCAACAGCCTATCGACTTTGTTCGCTTGTTTCGTCTCTTGCGTCTCCTTCAGCTCTCTCCATTTAGAAGCAGTTTTTACGGCTTCTAGGAGCTCTTTCTTGGCAACAGAGGAAGCATCTTCTCCCGAAAAAGGAACAACTCTCTGGTTGTCCATCCACGACTCCTTCTGTTGAGGAAACGGCACAGCTTGTGCATCCACCATCACGTCTTGTTGCATCCACGGTTCTCCCGTGGGGTCGTAGTACATGCACATCCAAGGCATAGTCGTTGGTACCATAGTACTGGCATGATGACCACCATGGTTTGCATCAAACTGCTCTTGAATCATGGCTGACAATTGCTCTTGTTCTTCTCCTATCATTTCATTTCCCCTGCCCACACTGCCCATCATCATCCACGGAGAACAAGGAGCTGGTCCCCAAGTAGCATAGCATGGATTCACCATCATCATATTGAGTGCTGCGGGATCGTCCATCATTTGCGGGCATTGACTGCTGTCCATCATCTGCGGGTATTCACCATTGCTCCACCAAGAGGTCTCCATTGCCATTGCTTGTTGTGCGGAAGTAGGAGGTAATCGCTGTTGATGTCGTTGTTGTGAACAAATAATAGGTGCGCCTAGTTGCACTGGTGCAGCTCCATCCTCTACTCGTATCTCAGAAGTTTTCCTTTTCATCTTCTCGTCTTTCTCTGCTTCTTCTTCCTCCTCGTCTCTACGGATTGCTTCAGTTGCAGCTTCTGGATCAAACAGCGTTCCAACCCTGGTCGGATCTTTAAGGAGTTGCCAAAATTTCCTTCTCAGAAGGTTGTAGACCGTCTCTACCTGCGATGGCGTCGCGCTAATTTTCGGGTTGTAGGCGCGCGAGCTATCAAGGAAAGCGCTTACAACTTGGTCGGTCCGGGTTGTGCGGCAAGCTCTTTGAAATGCAAGCCATGAGTGATATAGTCGATCGTCTACTGAGGGACTGTAGTAGTCGGGTCGAACAAACAAGCCCCATGACACGTGTTGCTCAGTAGAAGGTTTACCTCTACTACCATCTCTCTCTCCATCTCCATCAACATCTTTTTCTGCTCTAGTGGAATTGGCCTTGCTACTTTTTTCATTCACAGAAAGCTGGAACAGTTGCTCTAGTAGGTGGGAAACTTCAGCGTCGGTAATCGGTGTAACTGCTTCTTTTGTACCACCTGCTCTACTAGCATCACGCACTTCACCTGGAGGACGAGGGGCAGGTATAGAAGCCTCATTTTCACCTCCATCGCTTTTCCTGTTAAGGATAAGATTCTTCTTCTTCTTATCTTGGATAATGCGCGCGCAAACCCTCTTTGAGAGCTCTCGAGCTTGCTTCGTCGTATACTGCATCGGGTGGCTCCTCAGGCATCTTTTGTGTTAGAGAGGTAGAAGAAACTGACTAAGACTGAGATTTAAAAGTAACAGACTGAACAAAACAAATACAGTTAGAAAGGTAAAAAAATTACTCGAAAAACTGAAATAAGCGAGTAACTGATCAGAATAACCGAGATACTGATGAGAAGGAAAGGTAGCCTTGACGTTAAGCTACCTCCCTTATTTCAGTCAGTAACTCGGTTATTTTGAGTTTTCGAATACACACAGAAGTGATGTTCTACAGCTACTGCCAAAAGTACAGTCTTGATTGAGAGAGTAGGCGAAGCGTATTTCTATCACACTAGTATCTGCACTAGTGCTATCCTCTTAAGTTTCTGTCTCGAGTTTCGGTTGCAGTCTTTTGCGCAACTCCGCACGCATTTTCTTGCGTCCCGTGGAAGACGCGGAATCGAGAACTTCCTTCTGCTTCACGGGGTCGAGATTCAACTGTCGAATCATCTCGAGGATCTCAGCTTGTCCAGGATCACACAACCGTCCCCATCGATATGGTTCAACTCTTTCCGCCCATTTGATCATGCTACCTTCTGGTCCTCGTGTTTCATCGACCTTTTCGAGCCCACGAGGATCTTCCTCTTCCTTGGATACAATGGTCACTGCCGCGTGCTTGCCGTCAGAGCGATACCGGAAACAGAGTCGTCCTTTCGCGTCGCAACTCAGAAGCGCCGGTGTGGCTAGAGCACAACGGAGAAAATGCTCGACTAACGGTTCCCCTTCCTCGCGCTTATCAACGTCGTCGTGATGGTAGTAACTGCAGAGAAGCTCGCCGACCGACAAACAGGAGCCTTCATCACAAGAGGTCGTGGTGCAAGTGGAGGTGCCCCCGTGGAAGACTACATTGTCTTTGTCCCCCTCCCCCGCATAAGGTTTATCTTTATCCATGTAATAATCGACAACGAATGATGGTGATCGTCCTGATCTTGCTGGAGCCTCACTGTGACGATATACACTGTTGCACTTCTTCGTTTTCCATACGTTTCCTTGATTTAACTGCGAATATGAATGCGCGTATTCGCAGGAAGATTGTGATGGTCCTTGTTGTCCTCCATCATGATCATGTTCCGCACCATGATCGGCTGAAGCAAACTGTTGACCTCGCATGCAGCAGGCACCGAAGTAATATGCGCAAAGTTGCGCATGCATCATCTGCCCTGACTTACTAGGTGCTGGATTTCGTCTACTAGTCCATTGAGATGACGAGGGTGGCGGAGGAGGAATGGCGTCTTTTCGGACTTGCTCATCTTCTAGTTGTTGATCTTGTTGTCCATGTTCATGAGATTCTTGAAATTGAACGGGATCTTGATCGTGGGCGGGCATGTACATGGGGACCATCTCAAGAATCGGTGATGTAACAATTGGTACGAGGCAGTAAGGAAATCCCATTTGTCCGCGTTGTTGAGGATTGGCGCCTTCTTCTTGTTCACACGTAGTACCATCCTGCTTTCGTCCTTCGGATATTTCATCAGTTGTTGCGGTTCTTGAAACACCCTCGTTCACTGAAGTCGACGCCTTGAACAAGATGTCCTCTGCAACTACTGTCGAGCTACTACTAGATCCTGCTCCTACTGTGCTCGTAGTCGAGTTGTGAGAAGAGCGACGTATACGCTCGTTGTATTTTCCCTTCGTGCTAGCACCTTGTCGTCCTTGATGCTGGTTTGTTGATGCTGGTTGGTGCGCTCTTCGTGCTTCTCTGTTCAGCTTGTTGCCACGTTTATTTCCTTCAGACATGTCTTCTTTCTCCTCTATCTGGGCGTCGTCCCTCACTGTGAACACTTCTTCTTTATCAGCAGCACCATGATGACCGTCAAGTAGTAATTCAGAAACATCTTCGCGGTTCCAATGCCCAAGCCCTCCTTCAGCGTCCGAGTCGGACATATCAGCCCAATCCATACTGGCGGTCGCTCCTGGATTCCCTAGATTCAGCAGTGCGCGTGCCCGTTTTAACTCTCCCAAAGTAGTCGGCGTCGACAATTCAGACGTAGAAGAAACTGGACTTCCGGTAACAACTCTGTCTGCTGGGAGGACCTCGCTTCCTGGAGAATCGCTGCTCTGCCGAGAGCTCGAAGATGGTGGTGAAAAGCCGGCGGCGGAAACGCCTGGGGCTGCGAGCAGACCCGCGAAGCCTCCAAAGAAGAGGGCTCCCTTTTGCTGATTCAGTCTCATCTTTTTGATGGAGATGTTGTAGTTTGGTTTTTTCTGAATCTAAAATGATGTTGTAGTTGTTGCGGTATTACTGTTAAGACGGTTTGGAGTCCTACACGACCTACCCCTTTTTTCATAATAGATGATCTACCTGCTATTGCTATGATAATTTTGCTGTAAACAAATTCCTTTACTAACATTCTTGAATTAAAGAGATTGGAGAGCTGAAGAATTGACACAATTCTAGTTTTAAATAAGGTCTTTATTGTCATCTACAATGAATCGTAGAAGGTCAGAGTGTATGCAAAGGATTTCAATCGACGAAGACAGACTAAAATAATGCTATCATTGATTCAATCAAGAATAGTGGAGCAACTGAGTGTATTCAACGCGTCAACAAATTCATGATTGCCTGTGATTTTTTTATTGTTGGGAGGAAAAGAAATTCTTGACCTTGAAACAATTTCTCACGATAGATCGGAATAAGTACAATCAATGAACAACAGGTTACTAGAAGTTATTGTTGTGATTTTTTCGCTTTCGGGGGCACGGCACAGCAACTTCATCTTAAACTCAATCTTTCTGAAGATCCGATCTGATTTGTGACTTGACATTTGTACACCGAGAAAGCTAGAAGGAGGACGCGTTCTTTTTGAAGATGAGGATCCCATATGCACGTGACCAGGACAAACATCAGGGGATAAAAAATAGTGCGGTGAACGAAATCTAAGACCAACGACACAGCAATAGCAATTTTTCAGAAGACAAAAATTAAGAAGACAAACATTGAGAATATTTTTTGTTTTGATACCGGTAGCTGATGGAGCAGCAGCGGGATGTGGACCAAAATATTTCTTATTCATTTCCTTTTTCCTCTTGCAAAAAGAGGATGAGGAAATCAATTTCACAAATCAAGACATATTCACAACACGCTTTGTTCCCTGCAGGGAAATTGCTCCTACATCTTCGTCACACGGCGATTCTGCTCGCCAAGCCCGTTGCTTAGCCGCAAGTTCTCTGTCTCGGAGGGCGAAGAGTGTGATGTAATGGTGTCCGTAGTCTAACATACAGCGAGCGGACTTCAGCCAGGCCTCATCCAATGCTATCACTGCCTGCGGAGACAAACCGATAGCAGGACGACCAGCTGTCGGAGGTTGCCTATGTTGAACAGCAGATTGAAGTGCACCCGAAGAAGGAAGATTTTCAGGTTCTTGTCCTGACGCTGTTGTACTAGTTGTCCTTTCATCTGAACGTGTACTAGAAGAAGTATCATTAGTCAAATTTTTGCCTTTATTCTTGTATCTCCGACTCTCCTGTTCTGGATGATACAGAAGACCGTAATCGTTATCTAGGAAAATGTCCAGCAATTCTCCAGGTCTCTTGTGACCAGTCTCTTGTAGTTTGGCTGGGTCCACCTCAAAGAACCATACGCGGACAATGCGAGAGTATAGCAGCTTCGACGCACCACGTAAGATTTCCACCTCATGACCTTGGGCGTCCATTTTTAAGAGACGGATGTTCTTTATTGATGGGGAAGATGTACCGCTAGCCGCGCCCTTGCTTGCTCCACTGCTTGGACCTGTCGTAGAAGGAAACAAAAGCTCGTCCAGTGTCTTCGTCGGGACGTAATGAAGTTCCCTACGTTTTCCACTTGCTTTGAAATATTCTTGGTCGATTTTTTCATCTGCTCCGTACCTTTTGAAGTGTCGCTCACAGACCTCCTGTGGCAATATACCAGAGTCACCACGATTGAATGCCCATGAGTAGAAGCATATTCCTTGTTGCCTTCCTCGATGATCTTTTTCGGTACCAGTGATGTCCTCTGGCTCTGTCAAAGCTACTTCATGCAATGTTACTTTTCTTCGCTTCGCTAATGGTAAGCCCGCAATCGAGTTTCGGAGATGAAACAGGTTATCCTCAAAAGGCTCAAACGCTATCACTTTGTGCACTTCGGGTCGCACAATCATCGGCATCGCGATGGCTCCAATGTTTGCGCCGATGTCGACATAGGTCTTATTTCGGGCGATTTCGAGCGGGGTTAAGGATCTCAAAGCCAAATGCAGCTTGTAGTCTTCCTTTTTAATATCCTTGTCAACCGCAACAGCAAATTCTACATCGCGGCCATCGACGTCCCGTATCAACATGTCATCGGAAAAGACGATCTGAGATGGCGGCAAAAAACCTCTTAAATCTTCTTCAGTCATGCCCTTGGTGTCCTCTTTGTACTTCTTCTGTAAGTAATCGGCATGTTGTTGGACGAAAGCAAAAGAGTGATCCCATGCGCGCTCCACGTCCTCCGCATCCTCCCAGACGCCTAGTTCACGAGTGCCGTCAGTTAGAAGATTGAACGAGTGCCGTGAGTAGGAAGATGAAGTAAAGAGTCTTCACTTAGTATGTGTTGTAACTACAGTCGCAAAAAGAACTGAAATAGGGAGATGCTGAAAGAAGAGGAACGTAGTAACGACTCTGCCATCTCAGTCAGTATAAGAGTAACTCGCTTATTTTGAGTTTTCGATGGACTTTTTGAGCTCTAGTCACACGCTGAACAAAAATATTATGACACATGATCCTTAACTTCGAGACGCATTCGTTTGAATCTGGGTGTCTTAGACAAAGATTGACACTCAATCCGCTCACATGCGAGGGTCTGGTTTGGAACCAGTGACAGGTTGGCTCTTCATCTGGACTTGCGGAACAAGAGGTTGCGGAATATGACGATTCTGGAGAAGTGGATGCTCCTACAGGAAGAGGAACAAGCGCCGAGAAGGAGAGGAGAGTCAGAAAGAAGGAGAAAAGAAAGAAAAATTGATGATAAAGGTAGCACCGGAGCAGGAGTGTCTTCCGCAGAAGTCCGCTTTTGGCTATAATTCTCCTGCAGATGAAAGCTGATAGGAGTGAAGTACTACTTCTTCTTGAGCTTGACAACTTCTCCTGGTGGGATTTCAAAATTGATGGAAAGAAACCGTTGTCCTTGGAAGGCACGTTCTGGGCCATTATGCTCATTCGCTTTTCTTGTTGATTCATTTACGCATCAGCATTGATTCATTTACGGTTTTTTACAGATGCGAGCGTTGAAGATGATCATTCAGCGTTGAAGATGATCATGCGCACCTCTTGTGCGTCGAATCACATGGCGGGCATTTGATTTTGAGATAGGAACTCTTCGCCTTTTGGTTTTATCTCCTCAATTCGTATTGTTCACTCGCTCCCCTCTCACTTCTTCATCAAACGCTTTATAATTGTGTTTCTCTTAAGTATATTTTCTTCTTGACAGAGACAGAGTTTTTCTGCTATTGTACCACTCCGTGGTCACAGCTGAGTACGATCCCCTATCACATCATGTCTATGATTGCAGGTCGCAGTTATGGCGCAAACATCTGCTGTCCTGGTCCTCAATACCTTTGCTCTTCGCAGTAAATGTCAAATATTATGCAGATTCAGATTCAGATTCAGATGTCAATAAATTTCCTTCGCGGGATAAGACCGTACTGAAGTAGTTGCAGTGAAGGATGCTGAGTCCCTCCCGCTCGTCCTGCCAAGCTTCAATCTATTCAATTATACTTAGTAAGGAATAAATGTGCACTTTGCAAGAACAGCTAATAGTACAGACACCACAAGAACAATATGATTAAGTTATCGTTTTTATCGATTTCAATTACTTGAAAAGATGAAGATCCTGTTTATCCCTTCACTCCGATTAGGCTCGGCATCGCTGAGCTACTTTGTTCGACACTTCAAAGCTAGGTTACAAGGTCACTTTGTGGCACAATCATGAATCACCTCAGTAGATATTAAGAAGTTTGAGTTACTGATTCATTTATGTTGTTGAAGCAATTTTAATACTTTAACAAGGAAGACGAGCGACGAGTTATCGCAGCTCCAGCTGCTAGTACTATCCATTTAAAGTAAACAAACTCCCGCAGGGTTTACTTTCAATCACGAGAGTTCACTCCACAGTCAGTACGAAAGTCCCCTCACCCTTCCCGTCCCTAGCTATCCCTGAAGTCAAATCTAGTACTTATGAAGAAAAGAGCAGGAGAAAAGAGCGGGTGGGGGAGCCTAACTTTTGATGGACGAAGTGGGTGTTAGTGTTTGTAGTTGAGATTATGCGTATTTAAAAATTAATAGTGATCGTTCTGGAGTAAGTTTATGAGCTGTAGTGCATCACTCGAAAACTCTAACTCAGTAGACCAGGTGCCTTGTTATTCTATCAAAGATAGAGATCCTGATCATACCATCACAGTCACTGCTATAGTAAAAATTGATATAGCTACTTCGTAGCTAACTCTATTAAATTCATTGTTCACAATTGTTGTTTCCCTATCCCTTCCCTATCTCTAGCTGTATAAATTTTCCTCTTCAGTCCTCGTCTTATTCTTATTCACAATTGTTGTAATATTTTGTTCTTCTTCATCATGATGTCTCCTCCCGCTGCTGCTGATGCCCCTATAGAAGGAGACGTCACGGTCTCCCGTGTCGATTCGCAGGTTGGCATTGGCATGCATGACCCTAATCCTATGTTCAACAGGGAACTGAAAAGTCCTTCATAATTCCCTGTATAGGACAAGAACGCGTCGTTTTCTCCACTAGTTGAGGCAGGTGAATCTCCTTCAAGCACTGTAGCTTCATGATGTTGATGAAAAAGCGTTGTAGCTGGTCCTCCACGTGATATAGTAGATCCTCTTCCTCTACCATCTGTAGTTACTTCCTCCATCTGATCTTCGGGTAGACCACCTTGAACCGAAAACGTTTCTCTTTCCCCTAAGGCAGAGGAGGAACGACAACTACGAGGGGATGAAGCAGGACGTCCTCTAGTACCAGTTGTCCCAGCTAGAAGTGCTGCTTGTGGATCATGATCAATTTTGTCGACTATATACCTTCTGTGGTCTTGTAGCACGATCGCTTGACCCTTAATATCCGCTCCCGCGTTCGCCTTTTCAAATTTAATGACTGGCAGTTTCCAAGCGTTAGCCGCGTTATCTACTGCCTCTTCATGTACTTGTTGTTGTTGTTGTTGTTGTTGTTCCACCACTGTAATACTTCTAGTTCCAGTTCCACCACCACTTTCACAAGTAGTACAACTACAAAAACTACAATTACAACAAGTACTAAATCGATGAAAATCTTCTTGTCCTACTTCCACCTTTGAAATTCTCTTGATGCTGCGCAGTTCCTGTTCTTAGGGCTGTCCAACCTTGATCATCTTCGATAGGCATCCTTGAACCGTATCACGATGGGAATAAAAAATACTCAGCCATAGATACTTTTCAGGGATGCTCTCGTCACAGATGATTGAATTATCTCTAGCCTTAATGTTCTGGGCCTGCCTCGTCCTCATGCTCTTTCTCGGAGTTGTAGTTGTTCCTCATACTCTTGCTTGGGCTGCAACAAGGGATATCATCATCATTTGATGCGTTGTTGTTGCATCTACTCTGCAACCTGTTGAAGAACTTCTTCCTGCGGCTTTGTAGTGCTGGGTCGTTGTCACCCTCTTGTGCACCAGTTGGAAGAAACGAAGATATGTTGTTCATCTGGTGCCAGGAGGTCTTAGATCCAGAGGTAAAAGGCCAGGAGCAGGTCTTCTTAAATCTAGAGGATGAGGAATGCATAGGCCGCGTCTTCTTAAATCTACAGCAGGTCGTCTTAAATCTACTAGATCTAGAAGAGGAGTTGTGCCGCGCATACCAGTCCCTCAACCTGCAGATCTGATGATGGCGGTCTACTTGCGCGTTTGCGCTCAACCCAACTACATCTTCACTCTGAGGGTGAGGACAACTACTCTCGGAAGTATTAGAAGAACTCGAATTGCTGGAAATATTAGAAGAACTGCTCGAAGACGAGGTCGAAGAACCCTCCCTCCACGAACGAGAATCAAAACCCTTGTAGCAGTTGTATTTGAATTTGTTGAAGATGGTGGTCATGTTGGTCACCTTGCTGTTGTTACAACTGCTGTTGTTACTACTGGTGTTACTACAACTGGGAGTAGTTTCGTTGCTTCTGTTACTTGTAGAGTTGCCGCGAGTCTGTAGTACGCTTTGGTCCTCTAAAAACTCACGCAGAAAGCGTCCATCATACGCGTGAGCGCTGCGTGTCTGATCTCTAGCTTGTTGTTGTTCTTGTTGACCAATTTGCTGTTGTTCCTGTTGTCCAAGAGTCTGCTGTTCTTCTTGTTGTCCAAGAATTTGCTGATGTTCTTGTTGTTGTCCAGAAGTGGAAAAAAGGCCACGAAGAGGGCGTCTTCTAGTACCTCCACGACTCGCATTACAATTTCGAATTCGAGGGCCGCCGCGTCTTCTACAACTACTTGTACAACTAGTATCACTACAAGCACTACAAGTGCAACAAGTACAAGGTGGAGGTGGGTCAATAAAGACACCTCGCGCATACCAGTCCGCGAAGGCTTGTTGGTCACCAGGTAGACAGCTCCCATCCTCGGACTCATGATTTCGTTTTTTTCTCAACGCTGCACGACCTGTTAGAAGAACGTAGAAGCACAGGCAGAGGTACTTAAATGCATCTCAATTTCACGATCACGAGCAAAGAGGATTATGATTCACAAAAATGATCTTCTTCTTAATCAAGAAACGCTGGACTAAGGATGGAAGTGATAGGATAGAGCCGGGCGGAAGCAAACAATTATGTTGGTGTTCGTAAGTAAAGAAAGTAGATTTTCTGGAGGAAGATGCTCATAATCATAGGCGGAGAAATCAAGTGATTACATGACAAACTCAAATAAATCCTCAAAGTCTCTGTCTCCATTTAGTAGTCTTAACTTGAGTGCTGCCCTTGTGTGCGCAGCTGCCACGTCTGCACTTGGCGGAGGACACGAGTCGAAGACATTGGCCCACACCTCTTTTGCGACACTACGGGGTAAATCGACTGGGTACTCTTCCGTATGTTCTCCAATGTCAATCAGTCTTTTCAATTGGCGTGTGTAGAAGTCAGCACCGGCGCCGAGTCGCAGCGAAGTTTGATGTTGGGAAGAAGGAGACTCTCCATCTTCATCGAAGTCAGGAGGAGATCGTTGTTCTTGTTGGTCGTTGTCGCTAACTGGAGATGTAAAGTAGTTTTGTAGTGTTTTGGTTGTTCGGAGTTTTGTACAAGGGTAGTCGTCTCCATGCTGTTCATGTTGATGTTGAGAACAGTTTCTGGATGAATTTTCGTAAATAGTGCCAAAACCGTTAACCACAACTCCATCGTTGTCTATATCTCTCTTCATTAACCGCTGGAAACGAGCACAGCGTTGTTCATACACAACTTCACAAGAACAGGAAGGTCCTCTGCAATCTCTTGCATCTTCATCGAGAATATTATCGTCAGCATGCCACACCGAGTGGTCATGCTCTGAAGCCATTTGATGCGCATATGAGCCAACTCGTAGTTGTCGAAGGCCCCCTCTTGCATTCGCCTCCACGTGGTCTCCGGCGGCCTCTTGTTTCCTCGTACTTGAAGATTGATGCCTTTCTTGTCCTCTTTGAGGAAGACGAAGAGGATCTTCAGGCTTTCTAGAAGAACTAGAAGTAATGGTGCTATCTCCATCATGTTGTTGCGAGGCCTGCGCTAAAAAACATTGTCTCTCTTTTTGTTCTCGAAACTGCCGCAGAGGACTGCTACCGGCATGTGCGCTCCAAGAAGCGGCCTCTGTAGGCCATTCGAGCAGACCTCGAGATCTCACCTGCTCTGCACCTCCCAGTGACTCAATCTGATATGATCGCTCACGTTCTTCTCTGATAGGAGATATAAAAGGAGGACTAGGACGAGATGTCTCAATAGCATACGTTTTTTTTTCCCTTCCAGCCCCTTCTTCCCCTATTGCTCTTCGTGTTCCTTCTTGTCCTGCTACTCTTTGTGCTAGTACAACAACTTCAGTTTTGAGTAGAGGGTTGTTCGGAATCTCTCCTGGTTCCGACGAACTCGAACCAGCACCAGCACTGCTCAAACTAGTAGCGCTGAGAACACTTGGTTCCCTTGTGCCTGTAGAATTCCACGTCGTCATATTATCCGAGAACGAAGGAGTACTAAGAGATGAACTTCCGAATCGCGTACTTGCGTCTCCTGACAAGTTAAACCACGACGACCAACTTCCACTAGTACAGCCTACTTCTGCTCGTGCTAGTTGTGGTTGTGGTGCGAACGGTCTATCTGCAGCTGCTCGCAGAACGACCGCATCTGCACCTTCTATAGCAGATAAACTCGATGCTAGTATTAACCAAGAAGCAACTACTGCAGCAAGAGGTTGAAGAATCCATGACATTTTCACTTTTGGCTTCATCTTCATGTTCATGTTCGTCATGATGATTTTCAATTATCAAACAATTACACACAAGACGTAGAATTATTATTATTATGGAAGGGGTTCGCCAGACAGTCGTGTATTGGGTGTTGAATGACATCAACCAATGAATCATGACTAAAGGAGCTTCAAAAAACTTAGACTTCTACGCCTGGATACTTTTTTAAGAACATGAAAAATATAAAAGCTAGTACTTCTAATTCTTGTTCTATCGATCCGCATCCTCATTCTCTCAACCTCAACCTTTCTTCTACTTCAAATCTAGAAGCGAACCAAGTTCGAGAAATCACTAGCGCCGGTTATCTTCTTCAATTAAAGCATTCCTCAAAGGCTTTGGGCGTAGAACGCAATACATCGTGTCCGCTGACCGGACCAAAAAAAAACTTTTATCAACTTCAACAAGATTCGAGTGTTGCCACAAAAGTGACGGATGATCTTCTCAAAAATGTAGCGGCTGCAATTCTTGTTGAAGGTCGCCACAATTGTCGATCATGGTATTGGCGTGGTGGGCAACCACATGCATGTGTAGCAGTCAGTCAATCAGGTTGCCTCCGCAGGGCACTTTTTTGTAGTCCGAGAACGCCGAAAGGGTGATGATCCCAGTGTTGTCCGGTGTACCTGCCGGCACCGACCTCCCCGCAGCTGCGACTGCCGCACGCACCTCTACGCTCCAGATTGCAGCATCAATGTCGCCCCTAAGAGTTGCCCGCTGTGTTGGTTGCCACCACGACGAGGACGACGACGATGATCGATGTCGATGAGGGCGACACAAAGGAGTAGAAGAAACAACAAACAATTTTGGTTTTGTTCACTGGCGTCAAGAAAACAACACGACGAGGTGAAAGAACTTTTTAGCGCGCGGAAGCCCTTACCTCATCTATTTAGAATAAAAATGAGTCGACACAACTCCAAGTAGATCTAAGTTTCAAGTAGACACAAGAACTTCGAGCAGTAGATCTAAGTGGTGAAACTAAATGACAAGGTTATGACTAAGAGCGCGCCTCCAGGATATCTATCTAGTTGTACTACTTGCGTAGAACTAGTTCCTGTAAATACATCATCCGTTTTTTTAGTTCATTTTTTTTTTGAAATTTCAACGCTTGAAGAAATGATGAAAGCCAAATAAAGTTGGTTTTTCGATAAGAAAAAAGACGGATCAAGCCACTCAGGGTCTTGATCATCATCTCAGACTCTGTGCTAGTATAATTCGACAAATTTATTTATGGAATGGTAGCTATGAAGAAGTATATTATAATACTAGATATTAGGACCACCGTAAGCACACCTCACGGTCGAACAAAGACAAACTAGGAAGCTCAACCATACCCATAGCATTGTCTGGTATAAATGAAGTCAAATCTAGTATGAAGAAAAGCGCAAGATAAGAGACCGGGTGGGAAGGCCAACTTTTGATGGACGAAGTGGGTACTTGTCGTTGAAACAATGCGTAATGAAAAATTGACATTGATCGTTCTGGAGTAAGCTTATGAGCTCCTGCAATTTTAAATAGTACCAGGGGTGTTGGCCGCGAATGGCAAGGAGAAGCATCCTCTACATCGTTGCAAAGATGGAGATGAACTAACAACCATGCCATCGCAGTTGATCTTGCTTCACTAATGATCCTAAAACATGTCTAAAAGGTGGTTGTGTTGTACTTACAGGAGGGGTAAAAAAATAAAGGGGGTAAACATCGCAGCTGCTAATACTATCATTTTAAAGTAAACAAGCTCTCGCATTGTTTTTTGCTTTCGATTACGAAAGTTCACTCCACAGCCAATACGAAAGTCACCTCACCCTTCCCGTCGCTATCCCTGAAGTCCAATCTAGTATGAAGCAAAGAGCAGGAGAAGAGACCGGGTGGGGGAGGCCAACTTTTGATCGACGAAGTGGGTATTTGTCGTTGAGATAATGCATAGTGAAAAATTGACATTGATCGTTCTCAGAACTGGAGTAAGTTTTTTTATGAGCTGTAATGCATTCCTCGAAAACTCAGTAGAGCAGAACGTGCCTTGTCATTCTATCAAAGATAAAGTCGCAAGCACTCACACACCGTCACAGTCTGTCACTGCTGTAGTAAAAATTGATATACCTACTTCGTAGCCAACTCTAAATTCAAATTGTTCACAATTGAAATTCTCAAACTTCCTCTCCCGAGGATGCACGTATGCGTCCATGTTGCCATCTTTCCTGATATTGAAATTCAAACTCCCCCTCCCGAGGATGCACGTATGCGTCCATGTTGCCATCTTTCCTGATTTTGGAATTCAAACTTCCCCTCCCGATCATGCACGTATGCGTCCCTGTTGCTATCTTTCCTGATAGCTGTAGTTTTATCTTCTTCAATATTCACAACAGTCACTTCAGTATTCCTCTTCAGTCCTCTCAACATGCTTATTCAGAGGCGTTGTAATAGTTTATTTTTCTTCATCATGATGTCTCCTCCTGCTGCTGCTGATTCTGGTTGTATATTAGGAGACGTCACTGCCTGCCGTTTCGCTTCATAGGAGCAGGTTGGCGTTGGCATGCATGAAGATCCTATGCTCAACAACGAACCGAAAGGCAGTCTGTTCCCTGTATAGGAGAACACGTCTTTTTCTCCACTTCTAGGTGAGACAGGTGAATCTCCTTCAAGCACTGTAGCTTCATGATGTTGATGAAAAAGTGTTGTAGCTGGTGCGCCTCGACGTGTTGTAGTAGATCCTCCTCCTCTAGCTCTACCATCTGTAGTTACTTCCTCCGTCTCATCTTCGGGAAGACCACCCGGAACCAAAAACGCTTCTCTATGCCCTGAGGCAGAGAAGGAACGACAAGAGCCAGGGGATGCAGCAGAAGGACGCTCCTTATCTTCAGTACCTCCAACTAGTTTGCCATCGTCAGCACAGTTATCTACTGCCTCTTGTACCCGTGGTTCTGCATTATATGAGCCAATTTGTATTTGACGAAGAGGATCGTCAGGCCTGCTAGAAGGAATTTTATCTCCTGCTTCATGTTGTAGTTGCGTTAGAGTCTGCTAGGTTGCATTTCGGCCCCCTCGTTTCTTGCCCCCTTGTGCCTTGTATTCCATGAGAATACAAGGGAAAAGGGTACCAAGATGCCGCGAAAGATGGAGAAAAGCTGACCTTAATTGCGAAGCCTGCGCTAAAACACATTCCCTCTCTTTTTGTTCTCCAAGCTGCCGCAGAGGGCTAGTAGGAGTATGTGCGCTCCAAGAAGCGGCCTCTGCAGGCCATTCGAGCAGACCTCGAGATCTCGCCTCCTCCTGTTGTGCTCGTGTTTGTTGCGGTTGTGGTGCGAACGGTCCATCTGCTGTTCGCAGTGCGTCGACTGCATCTGAACCTAGAGTAGAACTCCATGCTATTAACCAAGCAGCAACTGCAACGAGAGGTTGAAGAATCAACGACATTTTGACTTTTGCTGGCTTCATGTTCGTGTTCATGATGATGATTTTCAATTATTCAACACTTACACCACTAGAATGACATGAACCTCCAATGAATCATGAGTAAAGGAGCTTCAAAAAAATTAGAGTTCTTCGTATCAATCAGCGAGCAGGGTTGGCGACCCGCTCAAAGGCACAACTACGGGTCCTAGCAGTTCTTTTTGTTAGATGATAGTTCAAAACCGAACTCTGAACACAACCCACAAATCAAGTCACAAAGGGACAACATCACGTGGTCGGTCCCAAGCCTCATGAAACGAGCCAAAGAAAATAGTAGGAAGTCCAAAGTCAAACGCTGCATTTGGAGTGGAAGCAGGAGTGATGTTCTTACTACGTTCATGTGTAGTTAACGTCTTTCAACTACCTCCACCTTGCTTCACTTCTTGTATGTGATGTTCTTCACCTTCTTCAGAACTTCAGTCTCATTCTTTCAGATCTTAGACTTTCTTCATACGATTCTGCAGAAGGTTCAGTTTCATTTCTTCGGCGATGTCCTCCAAAGTGTTTCTCTTCTCACAAACACTTGCACGACGAAACTTGACGACTTACTTTGTCAAGACCGATATACCATACTCAAGTATCATAGAAGATGTCATAACTATGACTATTGGCATATTTATTTTGTACACCTTGCTCCAAGTCCAACCACTAAGATATATAATATACACAACTCTTCTACTTTAAAAACATGAAAAATACGAAATCTAGTATTTCTTGTTGTATCGCTATCGATCCCCTCAAGCTCAACAAGCTCAGCCTCAGTTTGAGAAGTCACAACTCGCGATTATAATTAATCTTTAACCACCAGAGCTGTCATCTAAGCGTCTTCCAGCGTCGAAGAACTATAGGAATCAATAACACCTTCTACTTTTAGCTCCTGCAGTCTTTTCGTCACACCAACTTCTTTCCGTCAAGATCATGAAGAAATGAGAGTTGTAGTTCTGAGTAGTACTAAAGCGGAGTACGACCCTTTTCTCAGTGTACTTTTCGCATTAGGCTGGATCTTTGACCACATAGAAAGGTGGGCCGAGAACGTCGATTTTTTTGGGTCGCGCCCACCAACGGTCACAACAGCGGCAATGGCAATGCTTGTCTTCCGGTCCTTCGTAGCACTTGCGGCAACAGCTAAAGCAGCAGCAGCATCGGCAGCGGCACAGACAGAGGTTGACCCAACTGGCGTCGTCGCACCTGTAGCCACACACGACGGAGAAAAAGTCTAGAAAACACATCAACAGTGCAAAAAAGACTAGTCCCATTGACGCACAGACGAGGGCAAAAGCCCAAGGCTTTATGCGAACCTCCGAAAGTGGCGGCTCCGTACTGTCGGCCATAGATCTAGATGGATACCCCCTTTTGCCGAATGATTGTGGTTCATCCTGAGCCAAATAATTGCTCCAGGACCAAGCTTCGAAATGCTTCTCCTCTTTCCACTCACATTTGCCTTTCAGCGAGTCTATTTCTGCGTTGATTTTTTCCACTAGAAGACCATAATCTCTTGGCTTTTCAGGTCGAGGCGGCATTTCATGTTTTTCACCTTCAAGGTTTGCGCTAGCATGGTCTTGCTTGTGGTTATCATCAAGCGCTCCGCGCTTTCGCAAAAGAATGCTCCCATTCGTGATCTCTTCAACTTCTACACCTCGGCGCGCGTTTCCAGAAGTACTGCTTGGTCTACTATTTCTAATAGTGCTGGCCATTGGTGAAGCTGTCGGACTCGTCCTCCTGCTTATCTTCGAGGATAAAGCTTCAACTTGCCCGCGTCGTCCTTGTTCTGCAGCGACTAGTCCACGCTTCTTTGCTTTTAGTCTCTTCATTTTTTCACACGGGTGTTGCGGGTCTGCGTCGATCAACGCCCAGGATCGGATCCATTCCCCATAGTCGTGGAACCACATCATTGCGCCGCAAGTCCTAGGATTAATCTCGAGAAGGACTGGTCTGCGGAGATCGTTGTTTTTGTATTTCAAATCTACACAGCCTAGGCCCTTGTAGTTCAGAGCCTGCAGGATCTTTTTGACCTTGGAGAGTAAACTCGGATCCGGATCCAATTGCACGGAGTTAACTGCGAAACCCCCATGATGGCTGATGACGTTCTCGCTCCCACCCTCTGCGTAGCCACGATGTTGTCGAACATGTAAATAAGTTCCATCACTAGCTGCACCTTTCGTGCTGGAGTAGTTGTCAGAAGAAGAATCGCTACGATCTCGAGTCTCTGTGGCTTCGTCCTTGTCCTCTTCCATGACGCCAGTCGTGGCTGAGTCAAATACGAAATGCACTGAGTCTTCTACAGACGATTTGAGAAACTCGGAAGCAATGAAATTTACTTTCGGATTGTCTCTCAGTAACTGAGTCACTTGGTCCGGAGAGGTCGCACGCTTGTACAGGTGCGTGACAAGCATTCCACCCGAACCGCTAACCGGCTTCACCATCCAGGGCCTGGTGGGAGTAGGCCTCTCCAACTGCGACGGGAAGTTTAGACGGTCTCTGCCGTCCTCCTGTGAAAGCGGACCTGCGTGCTGTAGTACTTGTCCATCATCTCCTTGATCATGTTGTGGCGTTTCTTCTACCAGAGATATGGGGCCTGACGGGATAATCATATCACAGACTCCGTGATCTCGTGCGCGTGTGCTTCTTGATTGAGCCGGTGTATTGCAACCGAAATGCTGCGAGAGAAATAGCATCAGTTGGTTTTTGTCGGCGACGCGGGTCCACGAATCTTCGCTGTTCAAGTTATTTAGCATGCGCGGCACAAGCAATTCGTCCGGCTGCAGCTTTGCCAAGGGTAGCCCGGCCGCTTCGTAGCTTCCTGTCATCACCTTGTACACTGAAGAACTTGATGAACCACGACTGGATACTATTTGCTCGTTGAGTGCCTTCGCGAAGAGCTGGCTCTTCTCATCCTCCGACAAAGAAAAGTCCTCCGATTCTTTTCCTGTTCCTCCTGCGTGAGGACTCGTCGGAGCGAGCGGCGGCAGCACGAACGATTTCAACATTTGCGAGTCGTAGTTTTTCGTAACTCCCAGTGTACCACTCCCTGTCGAAAAACCAACCGTGGGAAATGATTCGCACCCAGGGTCGGCCATCCTCACTTCGCGAAAACGCTGCGCTACTGAGAAACTCCCACGACCAAGTGAGGGAGGCAGCGACGGTGATAGTAAAATATAGCACGCTGCACCAAGTCGCCTGGCGTCGCCACACCGTATCCCGAGGAAAATCGAAGTGCATAAATTCGTCGCTTGTTTTACCACCAGGCGGGGGAAGTAGAGCATCCTCTTCTTTAACGTGACCAACACTTTTTTCGTTAACACTTTCCACATCCTTTTCGTTAACCTTCATCCTCGTAAGAGCATCACTTTCATGTAGTTCCTCTTCAGACGCATCGTCCTTCTTCACAAGTGGTTGCGTATCCTCGTCGAGCACTTGTACGTCATCGAAAGGATTGGAACTCTCCATGGCCATCTTCGTCGTGGCCATCTTCGTAGGCCTTTTTATTTATATAAAGGGAGACGCAGTATTTCGACCAGGAGACGAGATATTTCAATAGGGAGACGACGACGAGTTCTTTTTTGATATAGTGAATGCGCGAGGGAAGACAAGATATTTCTCAGCTTTTCATTTCTTCACTCATGTGCCTGTTCTCGAGGCTTTTTTTTGCTGTTGCCTGTTATCGAGGCTTGATTTCAGGCACCGACTACAATATCAAGAATCGCCCCTGATCTAATTCCGATGCATTATTTTTGCTTGCCATTTTTGAGATTGAGTATACTCGAGGTCCTTTTCTGAGGCTGCCTTCTGCTTCAACTGCGTCGAAAACACAATATCACAACTTTGAAAAGGTCTACGGGTTGAGGTGGAAGAAGATCGTCTTCGCTAAGTATCTCGTTCTTGTCCCTGTTTCTCACTCCGGTCCTCAGTCCGGCGCAGCTCTCGGGGAGTTTATTTGGTGCCTACCGCTATATGGTAGGGTTAGCCTGCTCCCCCACCACCTCCACACCCACGGTCGAACCTCGATCAGCGAACTCGACGACGAATAACGACATGTATTACTAGACTAATTTTAAACGAAAGTGAAGATAACCCGCTACCCTCTAGCAAATTAACAAACGACGACACAGACAGATAAGCCTAGGCATGACAACGAAATAGCACAATCAATATATCCATCTGACAGTCTTGTTTCATTCATTCATTCTATGGAAAAAAAAAGTCGGGCTCTTAGGCCGTGTTTCAACAGAAAAGTTAAAGTGTTGAAGGATGATCTTCTGCTCAGGTACCTGTCTCGCATGGCGGCAGCTGTGAGTATACTGCGCGAAGTAGATCTACAAAATTGCCGATGATCAACATGGTACGTATTGACATGTTGGGCAACAACATGAAGGTAGGCATAGTTTAGCCTTGAGGCAAAGCAAAACATGGAGATGCATGTTTGGTTGATGATGTAGTCATTCACATGCGGAAAGGAAGATGTAGATGATGAAGCTGGAGCAATCGATGAAGCTGAAGATAGATCTCATATAATTATGGCATGTTTCATGTTATTTTTCATTCATTCATTCGCGCTGCCACCTCGATCACTTTTTTTTGGGGGCCTGGGTCTATATTTATTTCTCGCGATGCGAGCATTTAATTACCCTGCGAGAAGCCTGAAGCACAACGGCCAGGCACCTAAAACTACCAAGCGATCACTTTGTTTTTTCCTCAGCGTCCTGGGTCTACAAGTTCCCGCTATAGTTCCATTCAATTACAACCCATCTCGATCACTAGGTAGCAACAGTCTCTCCTAAAAAGGGTGTTTTTTGTTTGTGAGACTACATCTATCGCCGGCGGCACAAGGGAGTAGAAGAAGCATCAAACAACTACAACACTGACTAAACTTCGGAACACGTCGTAGGAATCATTATGAAGATGAAACTAAACGACAAGGTGATGACTATGAGCGAGCCACGGTATCAATCTAGCTATACTACTTCTTGCGTCGAACTAGTTCTAGTTGTAGATAGATAAGGGTTGTATCCGTGGTTCTTTTGGTTCATGCCTTACCCTTAGTGATCAATCATGTTTATGTTAGTCCTGGCATCATTGACCTTGTATGTGTGTATCCCTGAAGATAGCGCCGCCACTAGTGCCCGTAGAGATAAGTTCTGATAGTCGTGAACATGACCGAAGTCATCAAGAGCTAACAGTACAGGTCGAACTTCATGCACAGTTATCTATGACAAGAAAAAACGAGGCGACGTAACTTATTGTAATGCGTGAAGACGTGAAAACCGGTAATACCTATGAACAAGTATATTCATCGAGTCGTGCGACCATCCATCTCAACTACACCTTACGGTCGAAGAAAATCAGACTAGTGCTGGGCGTCGTAGCCGTAGTCTCAGCTCCAGGAGCAGACTGTGTGTCCCGATTCTAGGAAAGGAATGCCCCGACTCTAGTAAAGTATCAGAAAACGCAAAGCCTTAAAGTACCAAGCTCAACTAGGTAATTGGTGTATTTCTTGAGTCCTTACAGCTCCTGCACTTCCAGGTTCCTCTACTTATTTCTGACCTTCAGCTCTCATTTTCTCCATCTCCATCATCGCGCTGGTGTTGCGGTAAGTCGGTCCTCCTGCTGCTGTTCCCCTTCCCGCTAACTTCATCATCGACGCAGTGGACGATGGGCGAGCGAGGATCGAAGGGATTAGAGATTTTTTTTCTTTGAGTTTCTAAAAAGCTAACAACCTTCTTTGGAGATCACTTGGTTAGGGCTTCAGGCTAAAGAAAGGATAGGTTAAGATTTTTCCCATTGTGATTTTCTTCCAGATGACTTTGGAGATGAATTCTCTACACCTCAAATACTACTAGAGGATCCACCGTCAGTGATAATGTTTGACTGAGATCACTATAACTACTTGCCCCTTAGTTCATGAAGTCAAGATGTAGTCCAACAGCAGACTCTTCAGTTCCGCATCTGTGTGCATCGCCATTCCTGCTGTTTGGACGATCAAATCCCTCAGTTCATAAAGAACCCCTGGTCGGCATCTCGGTCTCATCCACCACGTGGTTCATGGATATGGAATAAACGCTCGATGTTTTCTGTCTATCAGCACGACTGTAGAGCGTGATTGATCGGCCTTCACTATTCTGGACCACGGAAAGAGGAACTTTCAAGTCTCCCACCGGGTCCTCTTGTGCCTCTACGTCTGTCTCCGGTGTAGCTGGTTTCCCGGGACCGCAGTAGACGCTTGCGTAAGAGTAGACTAGGACGCCTCCTACCAGATTAGAAGAGGCGGACGAAGAGAAGAGGGTTTCTCATTTCTTTATTTTATGAAACGGAAATCTGTTATCATTATCAAGTTTCTTAAGTAGAAAAGTACGATAATGATAACAGATTTTGGTTTCATATATTTCCCTGTGAATGTATTGGCTCACTAGCCACACATTCTGAATTCTTTTTTTCTGACCACGGACGAGGAGAGCAGTATACAAAACGATGCTGATCATCATGTAGCTTGACCCACAGCGCGAATACTAGGCTCACCCATAATACTCAATCCTGTCGCAATTCCGGTGAAAGTGTCGATACACTGTTTTGGATTGCTGTCGTAGTCGCACCATAGCATATGCGACAGCACCACGTAGCTACCGGTCTGCGCACCCTTAACCATGCCACAACTGACGACACCAATGTTGCCTAGAAGGAAGAAGAACGACGCTGCGTGAAGCCATGAGCTGATGAGGAGCTTAGAAGAGGGAGTACAGTTGTAACCGGAGTAACTCCGAGTGCCTTGAATGCTATAAATGCATAGAAGATCCTCCACGCGCCTCCATATCTTATGCAGCATACGAACTACCCCATCAACTCATGATCAAGTAACAGGAGGTAGTTATATTGTTGCACGGGATAAGTCTACTATTGTGATCGAGGTGAAAACTAACCGGTTGCTTTACTTATATAGTTATATAATTATAGCGAGACTAGTATCTCAATCTCTATCTTCTTCTTCGGTGACAGAAGTCGTGATCAAAATAAAGAGCCTTAAGAAGACCAATGATTCCGATCCAAGCGAGGGTCCATTTGTCGCTATTTACCGGCATCAGTACAATATCCTCCCATTCCGGATAGACCCATCCGAAAAAGTAGAAGCCATACAATACACAACTTATAATGCCGATCATCACGGCTAATGAGGCAGGAGGAATCGGCTTCATTTCGTCGGTAGCGCATGCCTAGGATGGAGGAGGATGACAATAATATTAGGGCTAGAACAATGAACGAGAGCAGAGGATGATAAGTGCACTAGAAGTGTAAGCGATCTTCAGTCTAATAATCCGATCCCTGAGTATGATGGTGCTGATGAGCACCAAGATCCCGAAACCTTTGAACAGGGTACTGGTGTTCATCGCAATGTTGAAGCTCCATCGTTGCCTTCGCTTTAAGCCGAAGCGTAGCAGATAGCTTCATTGCAAACATAGACTATAAGGCTATGGCTACGAGAACGAGGACAGCAAGAAACTTTACAAGTGTCTGTACCGTCAGAATCTTCTGATTGAAAACGTTGGTCAGACTGTGGAGAATCGTTCCTGTCAGCATGAGCATGATAGCAAACAAGTCACCAGAACCTTCGCTAGCGATAGTGTCAAAGCTCGATTTGGACTTTGACACCAAGCCGAGGATAACGAGAGCCATGCCGACCTGTCGGGGAGGTGGGAGTTCGTTGACGTAAATGTACAAGTATTTTCACAGAAGCTGTTGATGCTGACGTTCGTGGCGGTAGTCTCCTGCAGATTCTCTAGTGTTATCTTACAGTTGCAACATCAAGTGGAACTTTCGAATTACGAACAGGTGATAAGTAGATTTACAACTAAGTAGGCGGGAGTAGGTTTGCAATCGATTGAGCACGAGTAGAAGGAACTACTAGATAGGAAGATGGAAGCACGACGAGTAGAAGGAACTACTAGATAGGAAGATGGAAGCACGAGGACGAGTAGAAGGAACTACTAGATAGGATGGAATTACAAATTACAAATTTAGAGTTAAATAGTGTACGATTTGCCACTGATTCAGCTTTTTCTCCAGAAAAAGCCATGCGCCGATAGCTGACCACACACTCCCACTGCAGTAGATGATTGTTTTCAGCTGCGCACATGACAAAACGATGCCCGTGAAAAGACATATCTGCGCTAGTCCCTCGCAAATTGCAGGTTTAGAAACAAACGGTTACGCTTAAACGCACATACGAATTTTAGGGAAAATTAGGGAGCCATAATATCCCCTAATTTTCCCTAAATTTTGACCTCCTCCACAAGCGTGTCCGTTTGTTCATAACAGGTCCAGCTGCTAGGACCCAATTTTGTTGGTGCAACACCTTTGCCTCAGCAGGCTTGAAGAAGAGGACCATTACATTTCCCAGACGATGAATTAGGAACGAGAACAGGTGCATCGGCCTCGCCACGAGCTTTTGTGTCATCCATGACGATATTTCTTTATCTGGAGTGGTGAAGTAGACTTAGGGTGAAGAGAGGGTGAATATCATGGTGTCTTGGTGGTGCCAAATAAATTTGACGATTTGAAGGGAATGCTTTTGGTGTCTAGAATTTTGTTCCCTCATTATAGTACAACTGTACGTGATGTTCCGAAAAAAAATCCAAGTACTTGTTACCTGGATTCTCCCTCATTACGTACTCCATCTTTGCCACGCACTCGTCTATTGCGCTCTTCGACGCCGCTTGTTGCTCCACCAATCTGCCCATATTCTGGTAGTGCACTAGCGGGTTTAGAGGGGGTCGTCGAACAATAGCCGTTGTGCTGGGTTCTATAGCATCCGCCGACGCCGCAAGGACTATGTCCAACCGCTCTCCCTTTGCTGGCATGACATTGTCGCAGATCTTCGTACTTGCCTTCTTCTGATGTGGCGAGCTCAGGTATGCTTCGTTTGTGACGACAGAGATGCGACAATCAGCCTTGTGTTAGAGACTCAGATGTTGCGGTGTCACCGCGGCCATCTTGTTCCATTTTGAATTGGAGTTTGTTGTTGCAATTGGTGGAATTGTGCATAGGCTCCCGCTGCCGCTCCCCAAGCTATTTTTGAGTTTGTTTAATTTTGAAACAAGACCAGCAGGAGGAGCGGTCGGATGATAATGCTGACACTTTTACATCTTTCTGGTGCGAAAAAAAAGATCATTGCCAAGAACATAATCATTCGCACACGTATTGAGCCACTGCAGCATCAATGTTTTCTTCAGATATTCTCCTGACTCCTCTCCAGAGTCCAAGCTACTCGAAATCTCGAATGGAAACGTCATCGGCTTACCACCGTTTACGTCCACTTTATACTTGAAATTCCAATAGTTTATATTGGAATCGTTCATCAAATCCGGGAAGTAGACCTCGCCGATCGACGAAAGCCACAGGATGAAGAGAAGGAAAGGAACTCCGCATATCCAGGACGTTGGTCCCTCTTCGTCTACTATTTTTTTTAGAGCAGGTGGGTTTTTGCTTTTTGGTGTTCGTTTACCCCGTTCGTTATGCCTTTCGTCCAGCTTCAGCAGGAAGGCAAAACGAACGGCAAATACAGGAACACCTTTAACCTAGTACCCTTAATATTTCGTCGACCTCTTGTTCTGGGACTGAGGGGCGGTTAGAAGGTCCATCTGTTTGTTACTTCGTTCGAACAACAACAAAAAAATCCGATGATTGTGTAAGTATTTCAAGACCCCGTGCCCGCTGACAAGGATCGTGACTACCTAAGCTACTTTCCCATACTAGCGGACTTGAATGATCGGATTTGTGCCTCATACCGAAAAAAACGCCAAATATTAAGCCATAACACTCGCTATTGGTACGTCCCGCAGCTCTTCTTCCTCCTCTGGTACACGTTGTTGCAGGTTGGCGCCAGACTTAGACTTCCTGAGGTCCTTTAAATGACCAGAGTCCAAAGGCAAGCAAGCTGACTGCGTCTTTGGCATCATCCTTTGTTGCTTTGGTCGTGATTGGACTTTCACGGTTGAAGGAGTTGGTGGAGGTTGGAGGGGAAGGAGGTTGGAGGAACTGGTGGAGATTGGAAATAAATCGGAAACAAGTTTTAGTTTTCTGTAATTTATAGAGGACGGGTTATGAAGCAGTCTATAAGGTGGGATCGAACTAAACGAGCCTCAACGATAATTGATTGTTCTTTTTTAGAAAGATGACCTCTCCTCAGTGATCGCGTCACAGGTTGATTGCCCTCATACTCTCCACAAAACCGATCACGACACTCAAAAGATACAAGTACGTAGATACAAGCTCAAGTCCGAGGACCTCACTCATGCCAGATTGCTAGGTGGTGCAACGGCTTCGCGAGAGATTTTTTTTTTCCATAGAACTACATGCTACCTCCCATTCAACTACTTAAATAACTTCATTTTACATACCGGGAGAGCAAGGAGACCGTGTCACAACGGCCAAAAACTACAACTATCTGAGGGAACCATATACAATAAATCTCGCACAGTTTTCAGTGCAGACTGGAGGGAGTAGTTGAACTTTCCCTAGCCGGAAGTAGTTGAACTTTCCCTAGTGAGGATCTGAAGAAGAGCCAAGAGCGTGATCGTGCGGCATTAAACAGGCACGACTTTCAAAGAGAACACACATTTTGTGGAAGTTGGGGAGCTGTGGGAGTTGGTGGTTGTCGTTGTTGCAAGGATTAGGATTAGGGTAGGCTGGTGCAACACAACCAAACCGTAATGAGTAAAAAAGGATGAAAAACTCAATCATAGTATTAGTAGTAGTAAACCCAATCCAGGGGTATGTCTTATAAGTGAGTTGGGAAGGGGTTATTTGATCATGAAAATGATAAGTAGTGTTGGAAAAGTGATAAGTTGATCAATGCCACGACGAGGTTGAATGAGACTAAGAGTTCCAATGTTTACGAGCTAAAGAGGATTTCCAATGTAGAGCATCACAAACCTGTTCAACCTCAGGATTCAGGATGATGCATGCATGCAATCGCTGATGGTATGATCAAGGCTATGAATGACAGAAAATCATTTGTTCATGCTGCAGATGCTCTCTGGGCAATATGCACCGAGACCAACATAGAAACTAATATGCATATGGTGCGTCTACAAAGAAAAAAGACTTCTGCTTTCCTATCACCTCAGACGTATAGTTGAGACTCCTGAGACAATGACAACAACACTCATTCTCATTACGAAGTTGAACATGACAACTTACAAGAAGCCGCTCCTTCAACGTGGCGGGAGGAGTACTCACTGTAGTAAATAACAGTTTAACTCATCAACACAACTGCACACAAGATGATATTGAGAATGAGGAGCTTATGGCCACGACAACGAAGCTCATCCAGAAGGCTGGCGATTCAGTTGACTATGAGGCAACGGACCGCGGCTCTCTTGCCGCTGCCTCCGATTCATTTTTATTTTGTCGGTACTGTCTAAAACGAAAATAAAACCAGCTAAACGCCAAGCACATCATAGATCACAAAGTAGAGCACGAGGGAGCGAAGGAAATCAGTTCACAGAGTAAGGTCTTATTCTCTTTCGTCCAGTCACTGTGGTCCTCCTATATTACATCGAAGTTCTAGACATTGACAACAAATCATAAATCACCTCCTGAAGATGAATCGTATAACATCAACATTAGCCAAACGTTTATTCCGTCGAGCAACGAAGGAGATGATAACTACTCACAGCCTAACGCCCGTCTATGAGTTAGGACACCTCCTAAGTAGAACGCAACACGCAACATCTTGGAAGTTAACTATCTAAGTTCGCTATGCATCAATTTCAATGGTTTCTCTTCTAAGTAGCCATAACGCTAACCTGCCATAGTACTGAAATCGTTATCTTTGCTGTCGCTTATTCTTTTGTACACTGTATCTCAATGAACGCATGACCACGTCGTTGGTTTTCTTGATACATAAGGAACAACACGATGATCGTCCTCACTAGATTTATTGTGCAGTTCATAGTCTCTAGCTATCGTCGATAAATTATAGTCTAGTCTTGTCTAAGTTGGTACTATCAGAAAAAAAGAAGCTTGTTGATTTGACAGTCAAACACCGTAAAAACTAATTGTTGAAACAAAGCTATAGTTGAAAGAATTCTATAAATGAGATTGTTTAGGTTATTTTGCTCTTGACGTAGTCGTTGGTCGTCGTGTACAAGAATTTTCATCACTAGAAACAAAAAGAGATCGAGGTTCGGGTTTCATCTTAAAAATAATAGGTCTTTCTAGTTTTACAAAACAACAAAATCGCCGTGCAGTTAATAGAGCTCCTTCTGCGTCGTGACACCTAGCAGTAGCACGCGTTGAACTTGTTGGTGCTGACGTCTCCTTACTTGACCTGGTACGTCTTGATGATCCTGGCAATCGGGTTCCGACACAATGGGCACAGACTTCCAATATCGGTGGAGCAGGACTGACAAACGACCTGGTGACCGCAGTCCAGGATGACAGTATCGATGACGTTCTCGAAGCACACCTTGCAGATGTTGTCTAGGTCATCCTCAGCTGCGTCCTTCTTCTTTTTCTTCTCTTTTTAGAGATTGCCTAAGGCTATAAGAAATCCTTTCAGATCAAGATCTTGCTTCTGGACATTTTGGTTCACCTGCTTCTTGACATAATTTTGGTTCTTCATCTCGGCGTTTTCCCACCTTTGAAAACAGGACCAAAATGTTGTTGTCGTTGTTATCGAACAACCAGATCTGAAGCCATAATTCTTCTTCGACGCCGGGTCTTTGTGTTTTTTCGATGTTGAGCTACCACCTCTTGGATCTACGACCTCCTCATCTTCGGGTCCATCCGCTGGATCATAGTTGTCATTCCTGCTACCAACGCTCCTCTCGAAGCTGCCGGGTCTAGTTGTGCGACTCCTGCTATCGGAACCAGCAGTGAGACCGAGTCCCGCTCTTGCCGTGTCGGTTACTGAATTTAGAGTCTATTAAAGACCTGCTCAGGTATCTACTTACTTTCATCTACTGAAGACTCGGTGAAGCCCATCTTCTTTGATTCCATTACATCAACCCTTGGAACTAACTTGTTGCCTCTCTACCAATTTGGAAATGACTTACTTTGCGAAACAAGCCAAGCCTTAATGATGTGGCTCCAGTCGGCAAGGTTTCATCTAGACTCAACGTGCTCATGGATTGGCGAATAGACTTCAACATCTTCGGTGGTTGACCGCCGAGTGCCGCAGAACCACGTTTTTTCAGTTCCTCTTGCTTCTTTTTCCATTCGGTCTGAAAACATTAGAAGGTTTACTCTAGTACGCGTAGAACAGGAAAAGCATCAAGTACTAACTGTAAAAGATGGGTGGCTTATCACGGTATCGGTAACTCTAATAACTTTGAATATCAACTAACAAAAGATGGGTAGAAGTTCACAGCAGCATGTGTTTCCTTAAAAGCAGTTTCCGAATACACGGTATTCTGTGTTGTTCAGAATGTCGATCAGTGAGGCTAATTCCGCTGAAGGCACGCCATCCTTCAAAGCTCGTTCGACGTCATCCCGCTGGTAACCCTGTGAGACAGCTGCGGACGCTAGCCGTTCTCTCTCCTTTTGTTAGAAGAGTACGCTGATGAGTGGGCACAGCTATCAGTATCACCTGAAGTTGTTTTCCACAATTTGGATAAGATAGCGTCAACGAGCATCTTCGTGTGCCGATAGATGTATGGTAGGGGTTAGAAGAGGATGTATGCTATCACCCTGGAGGAGGTTAAGGGGCATCTTCACTATCACCTAAACAAAGTTGAAGTTGTTTTCCCCAATTTGGATAACATGACCGGTACTCAATAATCGCTACTATTTCAAAGGTTATTTCAGTGCAGCTCGCCTTAATGTTGCAGAAAAACTGGCAACTCGAATGTATCTGCCGCTTTGACTTGTTTCACTGTGAGTTGGCCAGTCTTCGCGAGTTTGTCTTGATTCTCCATTGACGCCGGTGGTTGAATACCCTTCTTCTGGAAATAGTTGACGACCTGAAGGGGACTAGATGGTAAATGACTAAGAGCCTTTTAAAATATGTTTGTAGCTTTCAGCTGACGAGAGCTCAGCTTTAGAAAGTCTCGCTTTCACTATAGCTGAAGAAAACTCAGCTTTGGAAAAACTCATTTTCTCTTTAGCTGAAGAAAGCTCAGGAGCTTTAGAAAAACTCGCTTTCACTATAGCTAAGGAAAAGCAGCAGTACGTTCTGCACCTTCAGCAGCATCCTTAAAAATCTTATTACGTTCAAGTACTAGATAGAAGAACAAGCAGGTAGAAATACCTCACGAGGAACCTCATCGAGGGTGCACATTGCCAATTCGAGATAACTTCTATCCTTGAAGTCCGCGAAGGGCACGAACTGCACGATATCGCGTTCCATGTACACGTTCTCCACCTGATTCCGAGTGACGTTGTGTGGAGAGAGTTCGCCTTCGCACGGGGATAACACATCAGTTAAATAATATTTCTACCCTTGATCATGTTGATGATGCAAGTTGTGTAAGGATGTTGAAGATGGGGTGCTTGTCGTTCTTAAGAATGTACCGTTGAGTAAAGTGGCGCCTCATCGGCATCTAGTTCGTCCATCAATGAAAAGTCCTCGTCGCCCACACCCACGATAATGATGGACATTGGAAACCTCGTTGCTCGCACGATTTCGTTTATGGTGTCTTGCATATCGTTGATCACGCCATCAGTTAGGATGAGGAGGATGAAGTACCTTGAAAGGATTTTTTGATCACACCATCAATTACGATGAGGAGGATGAAGTACCTTGTAAGGATGGAAGGTAGAGCAAGTACCTGAAGTACCTTGTAAGGATGAAGTACCTTGTAAGGATGAAGTACCTTGTAAGGATGTTTTTTGCAGCATTGAAGGTAGTCGGTAGAACAGCTTGAGAGATGAATGAATATGAAATCGCACAATCATTATAGGCTGGTAGAGGTTCTTGTTACATACAACTTCATCATCAGTGCGTCTACCTCTACTGTAGCAGTACTACATACAACTTGTTGTGCTGGTTGTCTCTAGTAATAGCAAAGACAACGAGTGCGTTCTTAGTCTAGTTTAGTACTTCATATTCTCTGGCTCAGCATCCTTAAATGGCTCTGCGAGATTCGCCGCTAGTCGAATTATCTCTCTGAACTCTGTTGGGCCGTGGAGGGTTAATATTGGCAGCGTCTTCTGATACGCGGTGACTATGCCGTCGAGACCGTCGACCTATTTGATCAAAATAAAAGATGGAAATTTGGATTCAGATCGATTTTTGAGATGTATAGTGCAATCCTAAATAAACTAGAAACTACAGATCATGATCAACATGATCCATCACGATGTGGAAAAAGCAAAAGTCTATGTACCTCCGGATCAAAGAAATCCCCATTAAAGGCGAAACATCTGCTCGTCGTGGTATATCCTGGTGGTATTTTTGCTCCAAAACCATAGACTGGATATTTTTTATCACTATCGTAGTGCTGCAAGATTTCCCCCACTGCTCTAATGGCCATGACGTAGTCGTTTGGCTCTTCCTGGGTCGCCATGAAGTGCAAACTGTCAGGCTGCGCCGGATCCCCATTACTCCTGGTACAGTCTATGCCTACTATCAAGTTCATCTCCAAGCCTCCGGCGAGATAATCGAGGAAGGAGAAGGTTTTCGTCAGCTTGATTTTGTCGATCTGTGGTTGTCAGAGAGAGAGTCCTATTCGATGAACAAAGAAGACATGAAGTGGCAAGAAGGGATCCGCATGATCCGGTTGGTTACACGAATGATCCGAGTAAGACAAAGAAAGCAGACAAAAAGAAGAACAAAGACCAAGGAGAAGATATTGGTTTCGTTCAGCCTGCTCGTAAAAAGCTGCGCATCCGGTTGCAAACAAAAATAATTACGATGAGTTGTCCCATGCATCTCGGTTTTTTCTTCTTTTTCCCCTTATTTGCACCCACTTGTCCCTCTTTCGCAGGTGCTGAGCTGACGGCGCTCATGCCTTCTAGGTTTTCGTACAGTGCTAATATGACCGGCTTCCCATCATCTCCTGCCCTTCTGATTAGAAGTTGCTATAGAATTCCATGTACCTAGTTATGGCCTCTCATCACAAGACTAGTCGTGCTCAGACTTATCAAACATCGTGGGAAAACGAAAATGGCCCCAAGTTGCTCCTGGTCCTAAAGATTCCACGAAAAATAAAACCAGCATCCATAATCTCAAATCCGCTAAACACGTCGTCGCTGATCCGATCAGCTTGTCCGCTTGCGTCCTGTTCCAATCGTAGACTTCTGCTATAATCGCCCTAAACTCGTCGCCTCTACACAACTGCTGCACGGACATTTCAGTGGTCTCAAATGTCGGATTCAAACTTCGCTTTATCGTTTCGGTTGAGATTAGAAGAGTAAAGAAGACTTGAGTAGAAGTGCTGTCACGTCGGGAGTCAATATGATCCTTTCCTTTTTCTTCTACACTGTTCGTTCGTTGTGAGACGAAAAATTATAATAGAACAGTTTGCAAGGGTTCCCAACATGGCTGGGCTGGGCACGCTGGGAACACTGGGTCGCTGGGCGACCCAAATCTGCCAGATCTGCCGAATTCTGCGCCCAGCGTGACGCTGGGCGTCTCCAATTGCGGGGCGCCCTTCGGGCGCCCGCTTGAGAACCCCACCGGCGGCGCTAGTCTAGCGTAGGGCAAGGCCAACGACGGCGGCGAGTTTACCGTTGTGCACAGGAGCGAGTTTACCGTGTTAATATAACTAATTGATACCGTTCGTTGTGAGACGAAAAATTATATTATAATTGCGAACAACAGCATCAGCACTAGAAAGTTAGACAAGAACTAGACGTCAAATAAGATATTCATGCTGCCGTTTTGTCATAGCTTAAAGACCGGGACTTTCTGTTTGAACTGTTCTTCTTCGCTTATTCGAAGATTCGGCACTGCTCCACGATACAGGACTACATATGGATCCGAACTCCTGCTGAAGAAGTCCATGACTGGCAAACTCTTCGCGGACATCTGAATTAGAGCTAGTAAAGTGCTCATGAGCATAACTGAGTTGTCCTTGGCTTCCTGTACCTGTTCCTCTATATATTTCAGGCAGAAAAAAATAAAAGAAACGAGGATGATAGAAAGATATGGGGGATCGATGGTTGGATGCTCCTGTAGCGAAGATGGCCTACTTAACTGAAAAGCGCACTGTAATTTCGTCGTTTTCATCTCCTCCGCTTGAAAATGGATCATCCCATTGTTCTTCCTTGCATGATGCAAAATCTCCTTCTCGCAAGTATCTCCCTGAGACGCCACCATCTCGCCAACGAAGATTTCCTGGAGAATAGTCAGAGTATTTGATGTAATTGGAAAATGAAGGGGGTGAAGGGGAAATAATGGGCGGGAACTAATTTTTGAATTTGCAAGTTGCAAATTGCAAGTTAAAAAAAGCCTCAGCCTAGAAAATAATGCACTCCCCAAGAACAAGAAGTCCCATTGTGATATCATGATATGTTCTCTTAGAAGAAAATACCGCACTCCCCAAGAAGTCCCATTGTGATATGTTTTCTGACGTTGCGTCGCCACAATGATACACTTCGAAACGGCATTTCTGCTGAATTTCGAAGTTGTATTCTATGGTCCCTGACCTCACAAACGCTCCCTGATCCACGTTGATCAGCGTCTCCGTGCGCAACACCTCCGTCCACGCCTTGTCCTGCGCACGCCGTGTGTAGAAGACACATCTGAGAGGGATCATGGTGGTGCTGGTGTTGTGGACAGAAAATGTACCCCTCTTCTATCGTGCCCTGTTGTGGACAGAAAATGTACCCCTCTACGGGATGGGGGGTACATTTCTACATGGTGGAAAGGGTGAAGATGTACCTAGAGTCTACGGGACGATGGTATCTGACGAGGAGGTAGAGGTGTTGAGCTTGTTGACGAGACAAATGAGAAAAAGATCGGATGTGAAACTGAAGAGGAGGGAGCTATAATCTTACCTTGGATTGCATTTTTTCTTGAGTCCGCTTACGCGGACGTTGACTTCGACCCTTGACGAGAGATCTTGTTCGAGCAAGCCGCCACCAGTTGCGAGCTGCGCGGCCTCTGTGACCTCGTCTATGTGCCGAGTTGCCTCGGCTTGGTTACTCTTCACCGCCGAAGCAGCGCTCCCCATCCTATTCCTAGCTTGTTGTTTCTAGGATACGACACTCGAGCATCCGCATGCTCACTCGGCGCCCCCCTCCGGCACGACCGGTGCCTGGAAAGAATTAACTCGGATACTCTAATCTCCCCTCTGGCACGACCGATGCTTGGGAAGAAAAAACTCTAATCTTGTCCACACACTGTTGTGAGACGAAATCTTGCACACAAGTTCTATTACAATCTTGTCACACAAGTAAGCAATCTTGGGATACTCTAAAAATCTTGTCCACAAGTTCTACTAATCAAAGGAAGCTACCAAAACTTAGGTCTGCCTCTACTTCATTGTTCTAGCTATAATGGTAGTATTCAGAATCAGAAGATGAAGAACGCAGTACTAAGGAGCGACTAGTATGAGCACAAAGCAATCAGGTGTGAGTAAGGAGGGCCAGCGTGCACGATTTCATCTGCTGAGCTGTGACGCGATTAAAGACTCACCAAGCTGGCAGATGACTAGGCTTGTGACGATAAGAAGATGGAATTTCTGTGGGTGAGGCAGCGGGCAACGTCGCGATCTTTCATGCAAGGAAGCGGCCTCAGATGTTTTCGTCTTGGATGAAAATGAAAATTCACTCATGGATATCTAGGGACCTTTTTTTACGGTAAAACTAACGGTTTTTTCAAAACAAAGCAAAAACGGGGATTACTTACAGTAATACAGGAGGGAGATGTGGGCGGGCTTCTGGAAAAACATTTTTTTGTGAGAAAATTAGGTGCTTCATGCAAAGAACCAATTTGATGGCCTGGCGATCGTTATTTGATAGTTGAGGATGAGGGAGACGAAGATTTCACAGACTGATTACTTGTCAATTTCGGTGTCGGTCACACTCAATAAGCTTTGTTTCAACATCCTCGATTTTTCCGCTCAACTCTAGCTCTGCTTGAACACCGAAATGACATCACACACTTCTCGTATACATAGTCTAAGAGTGAGATCTTCATCTACGTTTTCAGCAGTACTATCGTAGTGCAGTAGTTGCACTTGGTGCACTCTCCTTCTCTGATACAGCTATGCTGGTGGACCGACTCTCGGGAAGAATCCTCGTACAGTCAAAGGGCAGAAGGTAGAACAACACTTAGAAGCCGCTTTCTTCAGACCACTTGCACCACATGCACATATGGTGTGGCCAACGAGAACGAGGGAGAGCAACAGCGACTGTAAGAACAAGAAGAAGTAAGTACAAGGCGGTACTGAACTCATCATAGCTCTGCAAATGGTGACCATCGTGATCAAAAGATTCACAATGACAACTAAGTTTGTGGTGTAGCTCTTGCTCCCTATTTTCGACAGGACATTGCAGCAACAAGCCTGTCGAAGGCCGAGAACATTGCAGCTACAGCAAGCGAGAAAGTTGAAGACGAGGAGATTGTACTCCCAGGAAGACGTCGACATCATGAAGCCCCCCAGTAGTGGTTGAAAGATCACTAGCACTGCGTCGTCCAACAAGATAATTACGCGTCAACAATCCTTGGTTCTTCCAGCAACGCTCGCAAAGCTGGATAGTTTCTATCATTCTTGTCGACGAAATCAAGCGCCACTCGGTTTCGCAAGGCCAATGAACGGTCTGCTTTGCCTGTTTCGACTAGAAGAGTGCATGCTTCTAAGTGGCAGTTTGCGGCAGCAGCTATCAATGGTGTAACAGGTGCCGCCAAATCTACCGCAGCTCCCTTTTGCAACAACAGTTCGATCATCTTCACATTGTTTGAGCTACTTGCAATGACGAGAGCACTCTTACCACAGCTAGATTTGTGATTCACTAGGAACTCAGTGACTTTCATCATGCTCTTCACGCTTGTCGTGATTTCTTCTCGTGGAGGTGCTTCGTCATCATCGTCGTCGACTTCTACAACTTGGGTACTAGTGCTGCTTCCAAAAGATAGTTCTTGATTTTTGCGCAAAGAAGCCGCTTTCAAGTGTTCCACCAATGATGGCATTTGAACGTGCAGCGTTTCAGTCCTCTCCATTTCCTCTAGGTGGGCCAAGATTTCTCCCAGTAATCGCGGAGACAAACACCGAGTGATGGTGTTGAAGCCTTGAGGATCTTCCATCAAGGGATCCGCACCTGCTGTCAGAAGGCACTTAGCTACACGAATTTGCCAAGGCAACGTTGGATCTCTATCGTAGTCTCTTGGGGCGTCAACGGGGACTACAGCAGCTGGATGGTCTTGTGTAGAAGTAGAAGTAGATTCTTGTGCTCCTGCAGTACCCCTGGGAAAGGGAGCTGCAACATCCACACCCGTCTCTTCGTCTTGGTTTTCGTCCTCACTGCCGACGACCATGCCGATCGTAGAACTAGATAGATTAGAGAATGCGATCGGCATGGTCGTTGGCAGTGATGTATTATTGAGAAGAGAAGAACGAGAGGAATATCATCAAAATCAAATCTATGCAATCTTCCTATTCGAAAAACTGAAATAAGCGAGTAACTACTGAAAATAAGCGAGATACTGAACAAGGAAGAGTAGCCCTGTCAAAGCTACCTCCCATATTTCAGTCACTGCCAACGACCATGCCGATCGTAGAACTAGATAGTTCTACGATCGTCTTCTCTTTTCAACTAGAAGAGAATGCTTTTATTGAAAAGAGAAGAACGAGGAGGTGTGAGGGAAGTAGCTTGTGTAGAGAAGAGAATTATGGTAGAGGAATATCATCAAATTCATGCAATCTTCCTAATTTTTTTTTACTTTTTACTTCATAATAACCGCTAAGATCAGTGTTGGCACCCTCGTGCATTTTTCGATCCGATTCACATCTGCGTTTTTCTCCACCACCATTTTGTGAATCAATTGTGCTGATCTATTCTTCCTCACTGCACAGGTCAAGGGCAATTGGTTGCCTTCTAGATCCACGTCGATTTCAGGAAATTCGTCTAGCATTCGCATAGCCAAATCATCGTTCAATGCGTTGTTTGCTAGGGCAGCAAGCAGCGGAGAAAACCCAGCATCGATGACTTCCTCGTCCTGTGGATGCTCTGAGAGTTGTCTCGGCAAATGATTCATGTATTTTCTTCCTCCTTGGCGAATCAGAAGGTCAAACATCTGTGCAGTCTGGAACAGGTTCATCGCCATGTGGCCATTTACGGAGGATTGCGCAACGTCGAAGCCAAAAGCTAGGAGCATACGAACCGCAGGCAGGGAATTGGCTCGGACCGCTATGTGGACATTAGAAGTCGTGTGCTTCGTCTTATTTTGACCGCTATTTACATTATGTTTATATGGGGAAAGTCGCATATATGTAAGGAGCAACCCTGGAAGAGGAATGGAGACTATTCCAACCACATTTCTATTTGTGCAGAGCACAGCCGTAAGCAAAGGTGTTTCGCCATTGAGAGTTTTGACGTCGTTTACAGTTAGATACGCGTCCCGCGAACTTGGATTCTCCAGGTTTTCGGATGGTAGTTTGGTGTTGCGGTCGCAGATACCTAAAAAGAGTATTGAGAGACGTTGACGGGAACATCATAGGTGATAATTTAATCTTGCACGACTACCTTTGGCTTTGCGACAAGTGGAAGATTTTTATCTATCAATTTTTTGTTCCCTTTGGCTTTGCGACAAGTGGAAGATTTTTATCTATCAATTTTTCCTCCGCACAAGATCAAGCTAAACATGAACTTTTACTTTGCAATCCCAGCACCGCACTTGAAATCAAGGCCACATCACTTTGCGAAGCCCAATAGTGCAAACACGTAAGACCAGCCGCGTCCTCCAAGTGTCCCCATGGGTCGGCGCCATTTGCCATCAAGGTCCGACAGATTCTGCCGGTTCCCTTCTGACACGCGTGGAAAAGCGCGTAATCCAAAGTCTTCTGCTTTACTCTCTGATTGGGCCAATGAGCGTGGTTTATGAGGTGCTCAATCACACCCACATCGCAGTCTTCGCCAGCTGATGCTTGAGCTAAGGGTGACAGCTCATCTTCGACGATGGGACGAAGATCGTTCTTCAACTGCCCACCAGATGGTACACCAGCACAAGGAGAAGCTGCATCACCACCTCCAGCAACGCCACCTTCGGGTGAAATCAAGTGCAGTGAATCTGAGGGTGGTGCTACTGTATCCGGTGTCCGCGGTGTTAATGGAGAGTCTGATTTTTTAACATCGTCACAGGTTGATGCTGCTTGTTGCTCTATTTCGTCAGTTGGTGTTGATATAGATATCCTTGTAGATTCAGTGCTACTAAGTCCTCCACACGAAAGTCGGTCTTTGCAACTGTATACTTCCGCCTTGTGCTCCAAGAGCAGCTCAATGATTGGCCGTGCGGACACTGCATAGCGTAGACTGAGCTTCAAGCAAGACCTTCCACGTGGATCCAAGGCATTTGGGTTAGCACCTTTTTTTGTGCGAAACAAAAATGAAAAAAATTGAAATTCAGTCACAAAATATTTTGAAATGAAGGGATGAGAAAGTAAAAGAAGTAGTTGTAGAGCAGTGGCATACAGAGATCGGAGCCAGGAAACCATATGTGCCTGAGCGTGTAACACGAATACCCTGTTTCAGCAACTCCTCAACCAAATCCTTTTGGTTTTCTTTGCACGCCAAACAAAGCGCCAAATCCAAAGATAGACCCCATTTTTTGACAAATGGTTTCAACTCGTCGTCAATGAGGCCTTTGCAGGCTTCTGCAAGGTCAGCCTTGTTCTTCTTGGTCAGCTCGTCCTCCTCATCGTCGTCGCTGTTGAGCGACTTCTCAATACGATCCCACTTAGCATAATCCGTCATCCTAGGGATTCCTGACTAGTATGTGACGAAGACGATGTGATGGAAGGTCAACTCAAGGCCAAGTGGTGCCATGTACATATAGGCTAGAGCAGTTTATAAGGTTTCACAGCTCGCATGGCATGGAGTGCATGGATCACATGGAGTAGCATGGAGCTAAAGGGGGAGCTTCTTGCGCCCCTTAAAGCTCTGCGCTCCATGCACTCCATGCTACTCCATGCACTCCATGCACCATGCGTGCTATAAACTACTCGTAATTATTATTATTATTATTTTGTTCGCGCGCGACCCTACCGCCTCGCACGTGACGCGCTCGCGAGCGCCCTTACCATCTGTCACTAAGGACGTTGATGCAAGGGCTCAAAGGACCTTCCTGACGATCCGGTGGTTGTAGTGGGTTTAATGGGAAGAGTGCGTGCTACTACACGCTACGTTCTCTCTACTCCTCCTTCTAATCCTTCTCCTCACATCTCCGCAGAACACCATGCGCAACCCGACTTTACGCAAAACCCCGATCCGGCTCACTATCGTCGGGTTCGCTTACCTGCTCACAGGGAGGCGAGGCGACGTGCAGCGTTAGACCGCCCATCACATCTCAGCCCCCGTGGATCCGAAGTCCTGCTCCCGCTGCACCACACCGCTCGCACGAACAACGAGCCTGATAGCAACCCCTGGGAAGCGCGCCAACCCCGTAACCTGCCGTCAGCACCGCCAACGCGAGTGTGCATATCACTTGCGCTCCGCCGAAGCCGAGCGGGTCTCCGAGCGAAACCAGGAGCCATCTGGTCCCACCCGGCTACGCACCGCCCCATCTTCCGCGCTCCCCGTCGCGTCCGTATCATCGAGATCCAGCTCGCCGACGTCGCACTCCGCACTGTGGCAACCGAAAGCGTCCGCCACTGTCCTCTTCACGCCCTCCCAACATTGCAGAGTTCTCCAGCGGGAGAGCCGGGGTAGCGTAGAAGCCTTCGCGTTCAACATCTTGTCATCAAAGTCCGCTGCTGATCGCAAGAGCAACACGTGGTCGCACGTTCGCACGTAAGTACCCGTCTCCCTGCTTCTCGAGGCCACATCACTCGCGTTTCAAGCGGCGCCTTGGCGCTTGCCAGCTCCAGCTTCGTGCCGGCTCTCTGCAAGTCATGTCTGAGGGCCCACAGCACTTCCTACGCAGTCGCGCCCTCTCGTGGCAAGGTGTATCAGTCGCATATCCGGACTCGCTGAACCGACAGACCAAGGGTTTCCGCGCTCCTGACTGCGTCCTTCGCTGCCTCTACGGCAGCCCACATGTTCTTCGCTATCCTGGCTAAGTGGGGACTCACCGACGCGCCTGGTGGGAATCGCACGTCGACCTCGTGCGCGCGCGAATCCGGCGCCACGTCTTTTCCTATATCGCAGAGCTCCTAGTATGATTCTTTCGACTCCTAATTTTCGCGCCGACTCCGGTATTCGCGGCTCCATGTGCGAGCCCGGTGCCGGGAGTCTGGTTGTCCGCCGGGCAGCGTGTGGCGCCCTACGCTCTATGTGCGAGCTTTGTCTCGGCGTATGCTCCTGCCACCGCGGCGAGGGAAGAAGCAAAGACAACGGTCGTCTAGGCAAAGACAGACCCGACGTTTCGCCGCGGGAAATCTTCAGCACTTCATCATGTTGCTCCTGATGTTGTCATCTTTCCTTGTCCCCAGCTGCGGAGGGCTCTCTTGCATCTCATGTTTCTCTCATGCGCCGCTCAGTTAAATACCTAAAGTCCGTCTTATCTAAGCCCAAACCCCACATGGGGGAAAGGGCGTGGCAACAAGGTGCGGACTCAGCCTTGAGCCAAAATGAGAGACAACAAAAAACAAGTCAGGCGGACCACTCACGGGAACTTGCTGCAGGGGAACAAAATCTCGAAAAAGCTGATCTGGTGTTGACTGTCCTCAGAGTTTCATCCGAGTCACGAGGGAGGCTCATTAGTTCTCACTCTGGAAGAAAAACAAAGCGTTAGTGCCAATAGTCGTGCAGCTGAACATGGAGCTGGACGTAGGATTTTTACTAGGAACACAAAAGAAAGTTGAAAGGCTAGAAATGCATTTTGTTCTTGCTATAATTGATTATCTGTGTCTTGTTGCACTTGCAGTTTCTTAGCTGTATAAAATTTCTAGATGGTCATGCTTTCATACATTTCTATAAACATCTTAGACGGTGCAGGTGGTAGTACGGGAATGCTCAAATTACTCCTGATCAAAGCGTCTGTGTCTGAATACCTAGCAGAATGAACACGACGGTCTTATGCTAGTAGATCCTAGAAGGGTCGTGTCGAACTTGTCGTCCAATAAGGGAAGTGATAGAAATTTCAAAGATAGCTTACATTGTCTAGGGCAAGGAAGGTTTTCAGTCACAAGGGAGAAACTATAATCAATGGGAACTAAGCTTAAGCGCATCACGTAACTGGCACCTAGTGAATAATGGTTCATAGTAGAGTTTCTCTGCTTGTGAGTTCTCATAGGTTACTGTTACCTTACAGCTTGCTCGATTAAGAGTGTTTCTGATGGCATTTCTTCCTTGTAAATTCTACTTCTTACTCTCGTCGGAAAAGATGATTATTGAAATACCAATTGCTATTCAATGAATATTTTTGGATCGTCGTATGACGACGCTTCTGTGCACTAGAGTGCGCCCTCTTCATCCATGATTTAGAAGTGAACAAGAAGATCGAGATTTAACAGGTCGATGCAGAGTCTGTCTACTTTATGGGGTTGTCTTAAGACATCTTCCAAGAGGCGGGCACGCTGCTTCGCGACAGCCCCTATGGCGCAATGGCAGGCAATGAATCCGAGATGTAATTCGGCCCGGCGTCATGATCAGTGCAGCTCCTCTTGCACGACTGGGTCGTGCCTTGTTGATCCAATTTCTTCGGCTATGCACTACTATTCTTACCATGTCTGATCGAGGAACATACTCTACTAAATTTCATGATTATGAAATCGCAACTTCATCTACAGAGTGGCACGACATAAATATGGAATGATATACCGAGGAAGAGAAGCAGATACCTGGATACATGATCCTGCTTACTGCTGCTTGGTCTGAATATGATCATAATTTCTATGCAGTTCCTTCCTCTATGCAGGAGTAGATCAGGATAGCGGTATGCAATTTCTGTGTCGACTTATATCCTTGTTGTATAGTACAGGTACTTAGATGTAGTTAGTTTGCTACAGTCAGATCATGAACAGGACGGAGCTATTGATGAGTTGACGAAAGAGTCTGTGCTACAAGTTTTGGTGGAATGAAAGGCTCTACTTGTGTGTGGCTATGACAAGCTTAGACATGCTTGAGTGACAGATAAATTGTTTATCGATCCACGCATGACATTATTAATAAAAATATGTGATCATCAACTACTTAAGCTCGACGAGCTTCCGTCGAGCTGAGGGTAGGTGTACGAGTTCAGAAGACAAGATTATGAAATGGTAAATAGCTACAAATTTGAATACGAGGATGTGATGGATGGGCAACAATAAGAAATATCAATTTGAAGTCAACGATCACATATGTATGCACATCAAGTACTACTTCAATACGAGGATGAACATGAAGGGACATCTTTTTCAAAATGTTCACGATTAACAAGCACTGCTAATGCTATTGCTAGGAAGTTTTTTCTACCGGCGCGTAAATTTGAATCATCATAACGACTAACTTCTACTTAACTCGAATATTTCTACAATGGATATAACAACAGGTTTCTGTTCACGTAACATACTAACAGGTCATAAACATAATCCTTTGCTAAAATTCATCTAGGTCTAAGAGTAACACTGGTGTCAACATGCTGGTTAAGATTACTTGATTCGAAAGAGGATCAGCTTCAGTTTCAATACTTCTGGTAAATTCATCTTACGATCATATTAGGTGGCATAGACTCGTAAGTCGTCGAATTGAATGAATGGTTTGTAATTACAACAACACGAGGACTGCTTGTGGACGATGGTGATAATGATCTTCTGGATAGATAACGATAACGTGTTCCCCTGATAATAAATGAAAAACGGCTCTCACAGCTTCACAGTTGTGAATGAGTGACTTCTTCATTGATGCAAATACACGATGTTGATGCAATATTACATGGTACAAACTTTGAGGTGGACAGGTTCTCACCAAAATTTTGATTTGATAATTTTACAGTAGTACGATAATGACAATTCGTCACCTAGTAGATGGACTAGGACAAGATTTTTCTACTTATGGTTAATATTTCTTCTATGTATATCTATTCAAAAATAGCTACTAACAACACGATGTAGTTCTTCTATGCAATCAACATATGGCTTATCATGTTGTGATGTTTTTCTGTTCAAATGGTTGAGCGAGATAGCTTTCGCATAATGCGACGTGCGAGTGTGTCTTGATTTACTATAAACTACAATGTGAATCTACTTAGAATCGATGGATTGATGGAACCAGGAGATTGATGCAGATGCATCTTCGTGGTTAGTATTACAAGGAATAGATAACAAGTGTAAGAATGACATTCATGATATTGCTCCTTAATCCGTTGCAGCTGCTGGTGCTGCGCAAATGATTTGAATCTTCATCGTTCGAGTGATCTCCCTCCTCTACGACGCTACAACTCCTGCGTTTGCTCGTGGCCAGCGCCGATGCGTCACATCCAATCCACTCCTTTTTGACCCGACACCAGCTCCACTGGCGCTTCCTGCGCAAGAGGTCCCAACTCCCGTATCACTCGCAGTTGATCGACTACGTGCGAGAGCGCGACGAGTGCCGCCACTTCGATGTTGTTGGAGCGAGGAAGCGATGCTATTGCTGAAGTTGTGGTCGACCTTGCTAAGGGAGATGACACCCAGACCCCAAGGAATCGCTTCGCCCGCGGACATTACAGACCTGGATCATTGACATATACCAGAGCAATTTAAAAGGTTTCACAGCTCGCATGGCATGGAGTGCATGGACCACATGGAGTAGCATGAAAGGGGGAGCTTCTTGCGCCCCTTAAAGCTCTGCGCTCCATGCACTCCATGCTACTCCATGCACTCCATGCGTGCTATATTATACAAAAATGATTTGAGAACGAGATGAATGAGGAGCTCACTTATTTGTCAAGAAGAAGTAACAATAAGTACGTGTGAGTATGTGCTTAGTGACGTAAAAAAATGGCTTTACCGTTGATCTAAATTGTGCATCGATGACGTACTCGGCTGCATTGATCCTTCTGATCGCAACATTCCTCTATGGTCATGACGCACTCGATTTTTCAGTAGTCGTAATCGATCTTTGAAGTCTTGCTGATCTCCCAAGGAAGGTCCTCCGTGCATTCCGTTTATTGTGCCAGCTCCACCAGGACCAGTGTTGTTCATGCTCCAACTACCAGCAAGGTTCATGTGGTTGTGATTACTATGCTGAAAGGTGTCGATGTTGAAGGCGGTGCTGCTATGTGAGCCATAGAGGCCGTTGCTGACGACGTGGGGACCTGCAGGGTTCTGGAACCCGCCTAGAGTTTGGTGGTGTGGTAGCATATTGAAGGCACCATTAGTTGTGCTAGAGGATGAAGTGGGGCCAACATTTCCTAGACCCCCACTCATAGGCATACCTCCCCCACTACCTGGTGGTCCGCCTGCCATATTAATGTTACTGGGATGGTGTCCGTGGGGTCCTCCTGTACCAGTATTAGATGTGGTACTGTAGGAATGCGACCGCATCATCGCACCTGATGATCCTCCTGTCGTGTGGTTTAGCTGGTGCATAGAAGCTGCGTTTCCTCCCCCATGTCCATTGTGCTGTTGTCCTCCTCCTGGAGCCTGATGAAACCCCTGTTGTGACCTGCCAGCTGCGTGTCTCTGCTGCAAATGGTACCCTAGACTACTGTTCGCCATATCATTGTGGAATCCTGATGGCGTCGCTCCTCCACCAGTGCTACTACTAGATGGATGATGGCCACCATGTTGGCTGTTGTACTGTTTAGGATTGTTGTACTGCTTAAAGTCGGAGGATAAGTAATTTTGCACCTCGTCGGCTAAAGAGTTCGCGTTCAGATTCATACCACCACCAGAGGACATGGAGTTAGTACTTGTGTGGCTGTGGTGGATATTATGCTCAGGTTAGCGTGTGCTAGAACAATGGCGCATCTCGGTCCCCCTTTTCTTGGGGCCCCTTGTACCTTGTTGTTTTTCACGAGAATACAAGGGTGGAACAGGGGACCAAGATGCCGAGAATGATGGACACTAAATGTTGACCATAATCAGGAGCTCCAAAGTTCTTAGACGGCGAAGAGGATAAATGGAGCGACGCCGCTGCTGCGAGTTTGCTACCACCATGCTCGCCTTTCAAGCTCAAAAACGTCTTCGTTAAGTCGCCAACGCCAGAACCGTGAACGCCGCCTGTTGGATTTTGATACCAGTTGGGCCCAGGGTATATTTTAGAGTGTGCAATCAGCTACAGCTCATGGTGGAACATACACCTCTGATCTGAAATCTAAAAACGAAAACATTACCAGTCTCCACACCCGAGGTTGAGTTGCTTGCCGAAGATGCTGCACTAGAAACGCCACAACTGAGCGACCCGCTGGTTGAGGCTGAGGCAGCTGTAGAAGTACGAGATACGATCAAGACCGCAACATGATCAAGTTCAAGATCTTCAAGTAGAATAACTTTAACATCTAGAAATCCAATTCCAAGCAAATCCTTTAGAAGTACAGCTTCGACTTGAAGAGTGTTTTTCGTCGCCTACGTCCGAGAATGTGACTCTTGGTTTTCTGCTGCTATTTGTCGACCCCGAGACGCAACTCATCCTATCATCCGTCTTCAATATGGGCGCTGGCATCTTCCTTACTTTCGACATGTTGTAAGCGTTGCTACCGAAGATATTGTCGCTGCTATAAAAACCCCCGAGAAGCGAGGAGCCGGTACCTAGTAAGTTTGAGTGAGGAGAACAACATGTTGTACTGGAATGAAGCTCCAGGAAGTGAATGAAGCTGAGTTGGATCTTCAGGGTGTGGATGAAAAACTACGGCTTTCTTGCCACCAGAAATCGTTAGCGAAAATGTAAATGTTGATTTGTACCTTCCAGTGCAGTCTGTATTTCTGGCGCATATTCGAGGAGGCCTTCCTCATTTACGGCTGGCAGCATGGCGTCGCGTGACCTTGAAACTTGCGACCTCAAAATGCTTGTGTACTTCTCAGAGGCATGCGAATACGCTTCTTGTGGACCAACGATGCCAAGTTTACGTGATGTCACTGCTAGACCTGGATGAGTTAGGAAAGATGTTGAGACAGTGACAGCTGACAGCAAGTGCCAGGTTGTGTAGTTGCATGGCAGAGTAATGATGAGAGGACGAGACGGCGTTCACCAAGGAGACCAGCATACTGTTTAAGGTTCTTATTATTCAAAACGAGCACGCAGGTTTTTTTTGTGGGGATCTACAGGTAGTCTAGGGACTGGTTTTTTCTTGCATGGCACCAGAATAAATATAACGATAACAACTAGGCACTAGCACGTAGAGGTCTTCCAAGTATGTAGTACCTTCTCCAAGCAATATCGCTACTCGTTCGTCCTTCGTTTTCTCGAACCATTTTTGGAGCCTTGTCGATATCAAATTCGCCATATCTTGACTGCCTGCTCTTGGACTTACGATTAGCACAGTCGTTAGGACTGTCACAAGCGCTTCGCTCTTGCCTCCTGAGCTATTCTCGAACTCTTCGAATAGGAGGTACACCAGTTGTAGCAGATCGGAATTCATGTCGAGATCCATGGCACCTGTTGGATAGGGACGAGAAAGGAAGGAGTAGAAGTAGAATCTCTGAATTCATGGCGAGTTCTAGGGAAAGGAAAGACCGGTGACACAGTAAGCTCAATTCCAACGATGGATAACGATAAGATAGGCATTAAACTACTGTAAAGGTGATTGTACCTATGATTTTCGTTACAAGTTTGCATGTCGTTTGTCGTATAACGAATTTGGTGTCGCCGAGTTTATCGAAGATGCGATGGAGTATGGATGGCAGAACTTTCAATGCGGATTCCTGCAAAGCTGTTGCTTGATCCACGTTGTTGGAAGCTACCGGAGCCACTAGGTCGCCGATGATGTACAGCGTCGTCAAAGTCACCTTAAAGTGCGTCTGAGAAAGCACGCTCTCCATAAACTTCTTGAGCACGTTGACATTAAGTAGAGATACACACTCCTCGGTCATGGGATCGTACCTGTTGGTTTTTTGATTGGAGGATACTTGTTGTAGAGTTACATTGGTGTTATTTACCTCGATGATGTTGTTAGAAGTTGTCCTTGATGTCGTGTCGTCAATGCCCCAACTACTTACTTAATAAAACGGGTGGAGCCAAGCTAACTAGGAAGAAAAAGTAAGGTACTTTGTTTGTTTATCTTTGACGGAGAAAAAATAGGTACCCAACTGGACTGGCTCCAAGGATGACCCCATGGACGTCTTCCAGTAGTTGCATGTTGCTATCGTTTCTCGTTATTCTCGACACGAAGTCCGCAGGTATTAGAGGCACCCTTTTGGAGGTGTTCGTTTACCCCGTTCGTTATGCCTTTCCTCCTTCAGAAAGGCACACCGAACGCTGTAACAAGGGGACGAAGGTGAACATCTTTAACCTGCTACCCTTAAAGGTACCCGAAAATACGGAGAGTTTGTGCTACTATTCGACAATCCTGCTAGTGGTGCTGTACTCGAGGATGACCCCCCGACTGTCAGCTGATTCTGATGTTGTGATCCCCCACCTCCGATCAAAGAGCTGCGTAATGAGTCGCTCGAACCGTCAAAACTACTGTCTACATGCGTGCTCGATCGACTTATCTGTAGCGGATCTCCGCCTATGGCCCATCCTGGCGGAGAAAGGTGGTCTGTTGACGAGGTGTCCATCTTCATTATTTGTCCATGTGGAACTGCTCCTCCCATACTATTTGATGTAAGATCTCCAACTCCATGGTCTCCTGCATTTAGTAGTCCTCCTGTGCCATTAGAAACACCTACTTGTGCTTGTCCTCCACCGCCCATCATGATATTGACATCATGATACCCACTATTATTAGTGCTTGATGCAGTAGCACCAGCACCATTACCTCCGTTATTGTTGTCCGACCCGCCTCCATTGTAGTAGGATGCGAACTCTTCCCACAGGACTAGTGTTTGCTTTGATGCCTGCTTGACCAAATCCGAGGAGTCACGGTCTAGAATGCCAGTCAGGGCGTCTTGCAGTATCTGCTTTTGTTGAGGAGTGAAGTTGTGCAGACTTTGCAACGCTAGAATAGCTTGCATCCGAACCTGCCATGAACTGCTCTCCAACGAGGTAAGGAATGCCGGAAGAAGGTACCTGGCGAGCAGTTAATGGCGTGCGGGATATTTGGCACTAACCTGAGTTGGATCATAAGGGAAAACAAGAAGAGTAGAACCCTTATGATCAAATTCAGGCTATACCAAAAATACCAGAACCATACAAGAGCGTGCGGTACTAGAGACGAGGTGGATACAACCATCAGGTTGTTCACGCTGACTAGAGCAATGGAAGACCACAGACTTGGTCGAAGTAAAAACTCGAGCTTTCTTGTTCCAAAAACAACTTTTACTCCACTATGGTCTATGAACATCTACTTCTACATGTTGAGCTAAGACACAAAAAGAATACTCTGGCATATCGAATGCGTTTAGACAGGACAGAATATGCGTCCGCATGTCTGCCGATGCGGTCCCCAATCGGTCGACCAGTAAGTGCAGTATGTTTGGTTCATTCCCTGAGGCCACGAAGACTTGATAGCAGTTCCTACTCTGCTCTGTGGCCATCCTCGTGAGAAACTGCAAGCACGAAAGCTGTAGTTGTTCAGGTGTCTAGTTTTTCACGCTATTTAGAAGATGTTGAAGATGAAGGAGGCGAGTGCTACTAGTTACGATCATCATTAGGATTAGGATTAGGATTAGTAGGAAATGGGATCACGGAAATGATCTACTGCTCGACAACTCTATGCATTGCTTTTGCTCTAATCATGATTCATTCATTGTCATTCATCTACCTAGCATGAGGTACTGTCTCTTGTCATTCATCTACCTCGCTTTTTTTGTAGTCCGAGAACGCCGAAAGGGAGATCCCAGTGTCTCAAAAATTGATTAGGATGCAAACAAGGCAAGATTGAGGACAGTCACAGTCGACAACGACAACACACATCATCATCACAAGCCTACCTCATCCTGTCCGCCCTGAAGTGCGCTTCGGCACTTTCGCCGGATTTCCGGCGGCGCGTCCGCTGTCGAAAGATCCATATTCACATCAAATACAGATGAGCAACAACATGGCTTGTTTCCACTCCGAGCAACAACTCACGAGCAGTTCTTTCTATGGAGGTCGAGGTGAGGGTTGTTTTTTCTTGGTTCAAGTTGGAGATTCACATTTCTTTTAACAATAACGCAAGTGAGTCTAAAGAAAGAGGGTCAGAAGTTTTGCAGGAAAAGGGATGAGGAGGGAATACCCATGATGTGTGGAGGTTTTGTACACATACAGTGACTTCACGACAGAAGAACCGATGGCACAACGACCGACTCATTAAGATCGAAGACTAAGTGGTACCAGAACAAGTCTTTACTCAACAAGATCATTCATCTTGACTTCTAAGTAGTACCAGATTACCAACCGATCCGATTCCGAACGAGTGCCAAAGCCGATAGTTGCTGTAACAATTGCCGAGGACATCGACATTGACAGAAAGCATTTATTTTGCATTTGCCAGATACGTCAGCAGTGTGGATCGCTGAGTATCAACATCACAATGAATCATCTTATTGTGAATATTGCCCTTCATTTTGAACACCCATGCTGACGCACTAGCACTAGATGAAGAGGATGGTCACGCTAGTAGTTTTTGTCATCGCTCTCCGTTTTTTGTCATCTCCCGACTGTCTGTAACACCGGATGTACCATTGGTAACGGATCAAACGGTCTGAGATCGTGAGCAGCACAGGATAAAATGGCTGCAGCCTTACTCCCACCGAAAAGGGAACGGAAGGAATTAGAGTGGTCTCTTGTGGAAGTTGGAACCGATGCATCTTTCCAGAATGAATGATTCATATTCATATTCTCTCTTGTTTTCCCCCTTCTTGATCTGACAACAAGAAAAGAGAGAGAAAATGCATTCATCTTATAAAATACTCTACTTAATCAAAATGAAATCTAATCATAACTCTCGCCGCCGATGCTTCCAAGTCCATTCTCGCCTCGTGGACTGCGGTGTAGACGTCCGAACTGTACCACCATCTCCACCAAGTGGTCAGACCGTGCCAGAAGGATCCTGCTTGAAACTGGTCAGCGATTCCGACATCTCTAGCTTGTCGCAGTCGGTCTAAAACCCTATGATCCAAAAAACCAGCTTCGCGTCCTGCATATTCGCCTTTAAGAATGGTGCGAGCATAGGCTATCTTGTGCATAGCCACATCGATGGCTGGACCGACCGCACTGCCGGGACCGGTTTGCAGGCGAGCGGTCAAGGAGGATTAGAGGCAGAGAGGGGAACTGGAGGTGCTGGAGCAGTCAGAGTCAAAATGCGCATATCATAACTCTTGTTATACGCCGGCCCCGTTGGAAGTAGTCAATGAGTTAGAGTTACTGATGTTACATCAACAACCCTTAACTACTCGCGCCACCATCCGCTTCCGCATCACTACTGTCCGACACTTTGCCAAGTATCTTCTGCTGATGCGATGGTTGCTCACAATACCCATGCCTGACTGGAAGCGTGGACAGCTCGTCATGGTAGTCACTTTCAGGCCCACCATCGGCAGGCTTCGGGCCAGGCCAATCGAAGAAAAGTCGACGAAACTGAGACCCAGTTTGTGAAACAGTGTCGTGTAGTGCAGTCGAGAGGGCAGTTGAGAGGGAGACCATGTTTTTCCTTGTAGTCGAATTTTTTACATAATGAACATGAAGATGGAAATGGACTCAAGAACGTCGAATGTGCAAGAATATTAGGGAAAAGCGATTAGGATAGAATGGAGCAGCTTGCTCGATGGTTGTGGATCTGAAAAAGCGTGAATTTATATGACGAGGACGATTCATACTCCATGTACGAGTTCACCGACGAGGACCGAAGAGTCCAACGTGACCCCCTTCGACTCATGCAAGGCATGCCATCCATCATCCATCCATCATCCATCTTAACAAATGCTCTATTTAATATAACTAAGGTCTCTTGTTGAGAGACCTTCCAGAGTCCACGGGACCGATGTGGCACTGTCATGACAACTCTCTCTGCACCGACGAGAGACTAGAAGACGGAATATTACGGATCCAGCCACAAGAACTCTCAATCGCGTGAGCAATGTCATCTTCGGCAGTACTACACATCAACTTTCAGCTAAATGTACCACGATATTCTTGCATTCGTAAGCGACGTGGTAACGTAAATTTTTTGGCTTACTCCAGTACAACGCTCGCTTCGAGGGTTCTTAGACTTGCGCGCATACGAGCGTAGAGGTTTGCTTTGGAGTACTTTATGTGCAAGTTCAAAAACGCCCGCACAGAAGTTACGTACTGAGCCAAAAAACTGACACGTTCCATGGATTTGATTTGAGCAAGATGCAGCGTGAAAACTAGAACGCCCACCGTGAACTCGGATTCGCCCAGCTCAGAACATTTTGCCCGCAGATGCGCAGGCGCACGATGCGCATGGAAAGAACAGGGGATGCGTCGATGTGCGGTCTCGTGCAGCTCTTGACAGAGTAGAAGCGCAGTCGTAACCTCCAAGTCGTTCTCGTATTCTACGGCGACGCAGACGGTTAGGTTTGCATCTGGGGTATTTTCCAAGTCGGGCCTCGAAAATAACCATACAGCGTCACCGCGCGCACTTGTGTAAAACTTGTAAACTTCTGGAAGGATCTTCAAGCTCAAAATGCTGGAGATGTTCATTATTTGGTCCTCTGGGAGCTCACCATTTTTGTCACCATCTCGTCTTCCTCGTTCCTTCATGACCATGGACAGCAGGTAGATGACCACAGGAATCTTCGTCAACGTTGAGGAGAGGCGGCTGAGAAAGTCCACTGCTTCTGCGTCACGTAAGGAAGACATTGGGAAGTGCATACTAAGGGAATTCGCAGACGATGATCCTCCATGTTGACGACCCGCTCCGGCGGAAGATGCATCATACACTTGATTCCACCAGCCTCGTATTTCGTCTAAGACCGTGCTGACAACTGCAGTGTGGTTGTCTGCCTTGGAGTTGGTGGAAGAGGTGGTCGTTCTTTCTTGATTTGTCGCGGATGGTAAAAACGAAGATGTTGAGCTACTACCTAGTACTAACTTCCGAAGAGCATCTTCCCACTCTGCAACGTCGTGGTCTTGATGTGCTGCACCTCTCGTTCTCTTTCTGCTAGAATCTGTTATTTCCTTTGCACAAAGCGGCGCGAAGAGGTCTCGGAGGTACGGAAACTCGACTCGTAAAGTGACGCCTGAGAGATCTTTCCCGCTCTGAATATCGTAGCTCCATCCATCAATGTCAGGTATTCTCATATTCAGTGCTGAAATGGTATTGCTGGTTGAGCTAGAAGATGAGGCAGTTGCACCTCCAGAGGCAGCTTTATTTCCGTTCTTTTCTGACTTCGACTTCTTCGATGACAGCTCCGCTTCAGTTTCTGAGTATCGTCGACGCAGGATGTCATAGACTTTGCTGTTTTGTGTCTCCAGAAACACACACATATCTTTGCCTGGTGGCAATACCTGGCAACTCAACGCCGTCATTTTGTTTGATGATCTATTCCGTCACTTAGATAAAGATTGAACGTAATGTGTAGTAACCCGAGTCTGGTACCTACAACGAAAAAACGGGTAGTTGCACATACTAACTTAGAAGAGAGCAAAGCGACGTGGAGCTGGAGTAGGGCTCCTCAGAAGTCCTACTTCAGGGGTGATGATTGCAGTGAGCTTTTGTCGACGTTGGCGCGAACATGTTGGTTTTTGGGAACAAGCTGCAGACATAGCAACTCGAACACTTGCAAAATTCAAAAAAAAAACCCTTGTCTTCGTTATTTTTGATTAGGCATTCGTGTCCTCACACAGAACTTAGAACGAGGATAACTGCAACTATTACAGCTACTATGAGTATAATCTTGTCCTAGGGTCATACTCCCTGATTTTTGATACAACCATATTGATTTTTTTTTTTTTGATCATCCAAGCAAAGTAAAGGTCGTAAAACCCCTCCAGCACCGATTATAAGACAATTGAAGAGAGAGACTCTCAAGATCCAGACAGAGGGTCTCAAGATCCCCTGTCTCACACCGATTGCAAACGTGGCCGCGCTGTCTTTCCACGGTGAAGGAAAACACGGTTAAAGCGAGCATGAAGTTGACTCGAGTCTACCCCCGTCAAGACACAGAATCAGCAACGAAATAAAATGGATATTACTTTTACTAGTTTGCCAGCGTCCAAGTTGAGTATCAGTACATAAACATATAATGTATGATATCAAGTAGGAAAAAAGCAATGTGACGGATGATTCAAACTCAACAGTTTCTTTTTGTCGTGCTGTTACAAATTCGTTATTGTTGTTCGTGTTCATTAGTGTGAGCGTGGAACAAAACTCCTCTGCGCCTCCATGTTCCATGTTCAATGTTTATCGTGTCTTTTCAAAGCTGGACCAGCCTCGCCCAGTGCTACCGTGACTTCCGCGTCGCTGAAGAAGTAGCGATGGGATAATTGATGCGGAGTGGAATGAAAATCACCTCACTGATATCAACACTCACGTACCAATTCTGCATGCAATTTCTCTATCATGATGATTGTCTATGGCAACACCACAGGGACAAAATGGACCTAATTCTACTCATTTTTCTTCTAGATTGTGCATACCACGCAGATTCATAGCCATAGTCCTCTAACATTGTCCGAAAAAAGAGATCAAATTCAATACCACTTTCGGTTGAAAACTGTAAATGTCCACTCCCTGTTGGCCGTGTGGGGTGGCAGTTTTCGAGTTGTTTCGGGTTGTCGCTGTTGAAAAAGAGGGTCCAGTGAATTGCTGTTGTCGAAAGTGCGACAATGCCGCATTCGCTTGCTGTAACGAAGACCGGCTTGCTGCTGCGCTACGAGCAGCACCCACCGCAGTTGTCGTTCCAGAAGCAGAGGACTTGTTTGCCTGCTTCGTCATAGATGAAGAAGTCCGTCCGGTAGTTCCGTCGAAGCTGTGGCGATGCTCATAATGATGATGGCTATTAGTTCTTGTTGTGCTAGTTCCTGAAGTAGATGCACCCGGCTGACCTACAGTAGACTGAGGACTATACTTTCTTAGAGCTCACCCCCATTCATCTTGAGGCGCATCCTGGGTCCGTTTTCCCCTTGAAAGCTACTCCAGGATGCCGCAGAAGATGGATAAGGATAAGCCTTAACTTACTCGACAAGAATTGGTGCAACCTGCTAGTTGACCCGCTAGAATTGTTGCCTCCTGACGTAGACGAAGACGATAACGTCCTACCTAAGGACCCGCCCATATTGTTGTTGTAGTTGTTTTGAATTTGATGGTTGCCAGTACTACTAGAAGCATTCGAGCTACCTTGTGAAGAAGAAGATTGCAGCGCACTTCCACGAGCATGATGTCCAATACTGCCTCCTCCTCCTCCTCCTCCTCCTAGACTAGCACGATGGCCACTGGCAGGCGTTGCGACGACAGAAATGTAGGGGTTCAATTTTGACGAGGTGCTGGGTGGAAGGACACCTCCAGAAGTATTGGAAGCATAAGAACCATAATTGTTCAACATCTTAGAAGAAGACGATGAAGAAGAGCCATTGCCGTAGGATGGACTCCGTAATGCCGGATGTTGCTGCAGCTCGTTGACGACACCAACAACATCAAGTACTTCGAATGACTGTTCGTGCTGGTGCGTCTTTGGTAATGCTGCGTGAATGTCAGAAAAAGAAGGCGTTCTGGTTTTACCTCTAGTGGTAGTTCCCTTAGAATTCAGTCCGGAAGAAGAAGCGTACGATGCAGCTGCAGCTATGGAGGCTGCTATTGAGGTTCCTGTAGCTGATAAAATATTACTTTCCACAACTCCAGGTGTACAACTACCGCTTTTTCTGATACGTGGCGCTGTTACTATCGTCGGAGAAGCTAGTATTCCTATGCCAGGGGACGAACTGACCAGTTGATCAAGTGCTTCCTCTTCGTCTGGTGTATGTGCTATTTTTCTAGTGCCCGAAGAAGTTGTTGTAGCAGAAGGTTCTTTCAGAAGATTCATAGGTTGTAAAATGCGTTCATCTCCTGCTGTTGATCCCTGATCTGGCGATGAGGCACTATTGTCGCCAACAGAGCCTGTCAATGTGGGCGATCTACGACAAAAGTCTAGGCTTTTGGAAAGGAGGGCGAGACTTCTCGAGGACCCCCATGCAGGAGATGAGGCCATGTTGTTGCCACCAGATGTGGTGGATGGGCTGGAGCTGGTTGGAAGAGTATGACTAAACTGGGCACTTCTTGTAGATGCATTTCCACCAGCAGAAGGCAATGTCGCACTTTTGTTCAAAGCCTGCAGTTGTTTTCTGGACCCTTGATGACGACTAGCCTGCTTTTTCTGGTGCGGTCCCCTAGTAATAGCGTTGAAATTCACAGACCCGCCAGGTGCTGGCTGTCTCGTGGCACCACCTCCAGACGATCCCGATGCGAGATGCTGCATAGTTGGACTCAGCGGGGGAGGGCTACTCATGATCGTTGAAGAATTCGTCCCACCCAGACTGGCCTTGGAACTCGATTTTCGTGGTCTACGAAAGGCGCCAGCCACAGGAGAAATCACCAACTTTCCGGTAGAAGACGTCTGACCCTGGTGGAGTGAGGGAGCCATACGTTGTGGGAAGGTTGGTACTTAGGGTCAATCTGGTAGGTGGGTACCTAGGGCTAATTTGATAGATAAAAAAGCTTCGCGCTCGCTGATTCTGAAAAAGCAACAGACCAATGAGTCAAAGTGTGTGGGGTCAGCTTCGTTAGATCAAACAATCAATACGCAAGGCAGCACCATGTAGGTGCAGCCGAGTGAGGGAGTTTCCTTCTGGTAAGCGTAAGAAATCAAACAGAACTAACAACCACGCGGGCCTTCCGCCCCCGGCCGCCGGGGGTCGGCATGCCTGCAAATTATGAAAGCGATGCAAGCGCCCGCTCCAACTTAGTGGCACCCAAAAGCCACCCGACGAGCAAAGCACGGCATGGATTTACCAGAGTGTGCCAGCAAATTTAATCCCTCAGAGGCGATCCGCTGCCCCCAGCCCCACGACCACCTGGGAAGCTTCACGATCGACTTGGAGCCTCGTTTCCTTCAGACAGAGCACGTCTGTCTCTGTGCATCGCGCTGAGACTATAGTACACGGCAAAAACTATACAAAATAAAAACAACGCCCATAATGCGGGAACAAATCCAGAGCCTATGCTGCCGACCAGATTCCCACTTGCCCGGCTTGATATGTAGCATGGCCACCAATGGCCTTCGCTTGGGTCTTGCCCTCATGTGCACGGGGGCTGAGGCGCTCCTCTTCCTCCGCCAGTCGGGGAATCATATCGACCCCTTCCCTTCGGGGGGCCGACCCAGTTGAAGAGTGCGACTCGACACCACTGCCTCACCCAGCCGCCGCCGTGGCTCATCCTTCTTGCCCTCCGCTTTGGTGTGGATTGGTTCCTGCTCAGCAGCGGAGCCAATGGAGAACACACCACCGCAGGCGTGCGCAAGCGAGTCAGTTTCCCACGCCGGCAAACTACAAACAATGTTGTTTCAAAAAAGATCTAAGTACAACGAAAACGGCTACAGCGCATGTCCATATTGTACCTCATTCCGTCGCGGCAGCACGAGGGGCGCTCTTGACGACTTTCCTGTGCTACCGTTCGTGCTACTCGTCCCAGTGGTCCCCCTAGTATTATACGCGGCCGCCAGGCCGCGGCAATGCGCAAGAGGTGTGTAGACAGGCGTGCCGAAGGCCGTGGATGGTGTTGCTTTGGCAGAACCTGGTACGTGCAGCGTCGTTCTAGCGCTAGCGCTTTCCTTTCCGGCTCCCAGTGGCGGAACAATAGGAACCACAACTACAGGAGACGATGCTGCAGCCTGCTGCTGCTGTTCTATTGCTGTAGAGGAGGCAAACTTTCCTGCTGGTGGAAGCCCGGTAACTCTAGTAGAAGTTGAAGATACGGAAATTGAGTACGGCATTGCCTCACCTCCTAGAGGAGATGGCGGCACATGCATCATCGCCACATCCTGACCAGCACGTGTAGTACACGAACTTGTAATCCCAGAAGCAGCCTCCAGATCGGAACACGGTGAAGTTCTTTCATATTCCACTAATTTGTTGGCGTTGGCGTTCTTGAATCGTGCTTGTGCTTCTCTCTCTTTATTAAGATCTTGAAGTTCTTCCCTGATTGTGCTGTATTGGTGTTCTAATTTTGCGATCACAGTTTGGAATCGGTCTGCGAGCTTCTTACTGCTAATGGGCGAGAGCCAACCGGCTTGTCGAGCTTGCGTCTGCCAGGTTGTGCAGCTTGACGAAGAAGCACTGCCACTAGTCGTGCAGGTAGTTGGAGGAGCTACACATTTACTAGAGCTGGAGCTGCATAGTACTTCATCATGCTTCTTCTTGTTGATCGTCAACAGTTGCTCCGCCAAGCTGCGTCTAGAAGAACTTGATGAGCTAGGGCTCTTCGGGATCGTATGCATCGACGTACTAAAGTGTGGAAGAGTTGTTGTAGTATTCATTTTCTTCATCGAGCTTGCAGTTTGCCGCGGCGTCTTCTTTTCTCCTGACTGTGGTGTTCTCCTCGAATGGTAAAACGAAGGAGACGACGTAATCACCGTTGAAGAGGTGACACTTCGTCTTGTCGGCACAGGGCTTCCCATGCTGGGTGAGGGCACCACACTGCGCGTCGGTGTAGGACTTCCGCGTCTCACTGGTCGTCCAGCATGATCGCTGACACCTAATTCTACAACATCTAGTGTCTGCTGATCTCCTTCTCCTCCTCCTCCACCACCTCTAGTTGACAGTCTTCCAGAAGTTCCAACTGCTCTTCCGCGAGTAACATTGAAGATGTCAGAAGAACACGTCGTAGTGAGAGTCTGATGAATCGCTGCACTAGTGTGAATGTGATCAGGATCTGGAAGATCATGATCTAATGGGCTTCCACGACAGGACAAAGACGTAGATCCTGTTGTCGCAGAAGCTGCGTCATCTCGGTCTGCTCCATCGTCAACGGATAGGGTGCTCGGAGCAGAGAACTGCAACTCATCATCTTGATCTGGGAACATCATACTCGTTCTTGATGTGAATCATTCAAGGGGAGTTGGGGTTCTAATCCTCGTATCAAGAAATTACCTCGGCCTCGCGCGAAAACTACTATTAATTCAACTACGTAGAAGACGTAAAGGTACAGCTCTAATAAACTGTTTATCTTGCGATTTTGGTCCTGTTGATGAAGCAACTGGTGTCTTCTACAAGAAGATGTAGAAATAACCAGACCCACGTATAGAATTGAAATGGACCACTTCTTCGGCTCTGCAGATTTTTTGTTGTATGACATGTAGGTACTATGACTATGTTGGCACAACTTCTTCTTGTGCCAATGATTTCGTGAATGGCCATCATGGGAACGCAGCGCTTTTCTTTCCTGTGATGCCGTTGAGCACAAGAACTCCGTCGCGCCACGACCGAGGAAAATCAAATGTGAAGAACTACATGAACACCTATCCAGGTGGAAGCTCTGTCTGCTGCTCGGCCATCAAAGCTGGTCCTTGTAATAGGACGATCACGACCTGCAAAGAGGTGAATGATATGAGTCATGAATTCTTATATGCAAATATTCTTGTTGTCGATATTCTTAGCGTAGTTTGTCATCATAACGATTTCTCCCTTGCGAATGTTTTGTTTCAGCGTTAACTCGTTGCCTCTTTGGACAGTATCCCAATGATATAGTCACTTTTACATGATAGATAATGCTTGATAAAAATGTTATCTTTCTGTATTTTCTAGACCTAGTAACAGTAGCGTGTAGTAAGTTGTAATGCGAGATACCAATGAATGGCGATGCCGCGTTGCAACGTCCTACTTCTTTAGGTAGTTCCATGTACTTCTGTTATTTCAATCAACAACCGCAGCAGCTAGGCGGCAGCTGTGATCAAAAAAATGTTTATTTGTTAGTCAGCGTAGTAGTAGTTGTATCAAGAACAGCCCTTAATATTAGAGACTGATAGTGACATCCAGTGATATGTTAATGACAAACAAAGTAGATGATTGCGAAGTTATTACGTGCCTATTTGTCATTTCTCTAGTACCGCGACAGTTCGAGCGTAGAAGTTATTTACACAATAGATACACTACACCCCCCTGGAATGTCACATAATGATTAATACGTAAATCGTGTTTGTTCTTGCGTTTCTTCTCTTCTTTTCTTCGTCCTGAAATCGAATTCCCAGATGGATCAAAATAAATACGAGCAGATGTAAATCAAGATACAACGCCGAGTTGAAACTCGAAGAGCGCTTGATTTTTGCACGACGGCTATATTCTGGCTCCTTTACGTCTTCTACATCGTGAATTATTTCCTAGTCCTCCAAGCCATTCCCTGTGGTCTGCTGGACGATTTCAGTGGGACTTCGGTGTTCAGGTCTTTCACGAAGCAAGTGCCCGCAGCACCCTGGAGCACGCTGCTGTACCAGACGCCGTTCACCTCAACCTCGATCGGTGTTTGCAACTGCATGGTCTTAGAAGAGGCAGCGCGATGTATCAATACCATCACTACTACTTGTGTTAGTTTGGAAGAACTTGAACTGCATCTGCACAAAATGAAAATCCTGATACTTAATCAGTGACGATAGTAGAAGAAGTGTAGCAGTAGCTCAGAAGCTCAAGCCTTAACATTACCCAAGCCACCTGGTGGCGGGGCAAACGCGTTTCCGAGGTTCATCCCTCCACCAAGTTGCGGCACTGCGCCAAAAGCTGCGGAAGGTGCGAGAAATGAAGATCGAGCAGGGAAGATTGGGTGGTAGGGACGATGATGGGTCTAGTACTGGTCATGGAGAGCAAAATTTTCCTGATGTCACATTCATGTTTTTTTGCGATTACTTCCTCTTCCTCACAAAAACTATTAATTCCAAGATCATAAAGGCATAGCCGAAGACGTCGTGAAAACATTTTGCGCGGCACCCGCTGCCTTGTTCATGACCAGGTTACACTCGTTTCTGCCGAGTTGGGTACCATTCTCAAGCACAACGAACCTGCCGCATTTGCTCAGGTACCTGGCGATAAAGGGGAAGTGGTTGGAGAAGGAGTAAATAATTGAAGTGAGTATTTAGTTAAATATACATGCGGTGGAGAATCTCTACTGAGTCCGAGTTTGACCTGCACCAGATGCGATCCGGATCTATGCCAAGCATAGATCTATCGGGTAACAAGTACAGCGTTCTTCTCCTCCTCGGTCAACAGTCAATCAGATGCTTCTTCTCAAAAGCAGAGTTGTAAGAGTTGTAAGTACCCCTTCACTTGACTGCCTCTGTAAGTCCACGTGCTGTAGATGCGGTTGCTGCCAGTGATCTGGCCGAAATTGAGGACCGGTTGCTGCATCTTCTCCATTTTGTCTTTTTTCAAAAAAACTCGATGAAGATCTTAATTATAGTATACGCAAACAGGCTTTATTACTTCTTTCGCACTTATTCTTATTCTTCTATAATGAAGGAAGAACACTACTTAGGTGGATTAGGAGAAGAGAGGGAGAAGATCAAGATGTCAAGAACATTCAGAACTAGTACTTTTAGTTTTACAACAACTCTTCTTGAAAATGGAAAATCAAATGGTTGCTCTGGCCTCACACGATTCGCGGCATTTTTTTTTATTCACTACCCGCAAAAATTCTGCGTTGACTCCAATAAATATGGATTCCAAGACCAAGACGAGAAGGTCGACGAGAGCTCGTATCTTTCAATATCAACTACCACTGCTGCCAGGATAGTGATCATCGATCGATGACAAAAGGAGATTCCGTCGAATAGTAATAGCGATCTCGTCATGACTGGCCTTCTTCTCGGGGAAAAAACTTCTTCAAGCAAGAAACGGGGGACTGCTATGTCTTGTATTCCCTCTCACATTCACGCCTCACTCGACGTCGACATCATACTTCCCGAAGAATGCAATAGCTTGCTACAGACGATATCTTGAATTACAGTCGGAATACGAAGAAAATATTAATCGCAGGAACTCGAACTCCATTGAAGGAAAATAAATCCGCTTTGACTCGGAAATCGTGAAAGGTTTGTCAATGATATTTCAACGAGTGAGCGTTGCTTGAGACATCATCGGGGGCTCTTTGAATCCCATGGTGCGGGTCGGGGAAGGGGACAACGCTACATGTTGGAGGGGTGGGGAAGGGGAAGACATGATACAAAAAACTCAGTATGAGAGCAGAGTTCGCAGACGGAGATACCACTGACAACTATAGTCACAGTGACAAAGCACCTCTGAACCCTTGTGACAACTCCACAGATACCTTTTCTCCATCATCGACAGGATGGGGAAAGTTCAGTCCTACAGCAAAAAGGCATAAGCCGAGTTGCTGTTCCATTCCTTCATCAAGAAGAGTAAGAGTTTCAGTTTCTGTGGGCGTGGACGTCTTCTTAATACGATATAATCGATCCCCGACTATCGGATGGCCTAAATACAACGTGTGTTTGCGCAGCTGATGCGTCCGACCTGACTGAGGGAAAAGATCGACAAGCGTAAACCAAGAATTGCTACCATGCTTGCATTGGAAGTAACGGACGATACTGCATATGGTCGTCGCCGGTTTGCCATCAATAGGGGAATCGATAGTACAGCTAGTCGTCTCAGCTGTCGAGGCAGAGGTCGTACTAGAATCAAATACTATTCGCTGTAAAATTTCTTGGAAGTTGTTGAAATCGATCTCGTCAAGCTGAATCGAGGCTTCGTGATCAGCGTTCTTCTCCTCAGACGCAGAAGAAGATATCCGTTTCCGTTTTTGCATCCCCAGAACGTTTAATTTCCCGTGCAGCAGCGCTCTGTATCGCTTCGAAACCCGATGCAAACGAAACGACTCGCATAAAACCCGACAAGCGAGTTTATTCTTCCCAAATATCACTAAGCCTCCTGTGTCTTTGTCAAGTCTATGCACCGGTTCCGGAGCTGACAGGGGCTGCAAGTCAAATCTTCTCTTCGCATCGACATTCGCTGCAGCTACTTTATCACATCTGTCTTCCACCTCCCACGTTGACCCTCGACTTTGTTCTGGTAACGAAAAAGGCATATTCTTAGGCGGGATATAGAAATGTGGACCCAGAGGTGGGGAGCTTTGCGGTGAAGGATTTTTGAGGTTCTTCTTCGCCCTGTTTTGAGCATCACCTTGCTCTTCTTGCCCTTCCTTTTCCTCCTGTCCGTCCACAGAATCACCAGGTATCTCCTTCGTCCACAACCAGGGTCGACCCACAAGCATCAGGTCCTCCCAGTGTTTGAACTTCGTGGTTTCGACACCCCGTGGTTTGAATAGGACACAGACATCAGCGTCATCGTACACTATCCTCGCGTCGCAGGGAAGCGTAGCGCCATCTTCGGCAGAAATATTGTCCTTCAATCTGTAAAGACGCTTGCTGCGAGGTGGGGGCACGTCGACTTCTAGTGCGCAGGAAGGTTGTTCCAGAGAGTCCTCCTTGTTCTTATCCTTCGTATCTTCTACTAAAGATGAATGGAGGCACACAGCATCAGTATCAGGCTTCTGCTGCAGCTGCTTCTCAGCATTACTAGCAACGCCAGGTTCTCTAGGACCGCACCAATGGGTTCGCACTAGGTGGAAATGGATACTCCCGAGACTCTTGAATTTCTTGTTTGCTCCCCTTTTGTGACTCCATGTCCTCCTCTTGGTCGGCGAAGCACATCGCAAGCAACGATAATACGGCTTTGGCTTGCGATCACAATCATCTAGCTGTTCTTGGTACTCCTTCGTTGCGTCGTGCTCTTGTTCTCCCGTCTTTACTGCGTCCGCCACATTGTTGTGCACAAGGGCACTCGCTGGGGCAGGCGTAATGGTCATCTTGTTATTTTTAGGACATCTAAATATTCAACATGTGTGATAACATCATCATCGTACAAAATAACGAGTAGAATATTATAGATACACGAACGACCGGCCCTGAAATGATGTTCGTAGGTGCGCAGGGATGTAAATAGCAAAATCAAAATCGAGGATCTCATTTGAAAGTAGGACGACAAGCAGTTTTTACCTACAAAGCTTGATCTTATTTTTTGTCTTAATAACAGAGAAGTTCAATGAACGTGTTTGTGTGAGGACTGATCTTTTTTTGCTTGCTGTGACTACTGACGATCATATTAAGGAACATGTGTTGTGCGTGTTTTTCTACTTGTCAAAAATACGTGTCCGGAATCGCTTCCAGGAGAATAAAGCGCACGGAAAATTGATACACAGAAAAGTTCCTGAGCTCTGCATGTCGTATTGCTAAATGAAGAAGTGTTTTAGTTTTGTTGTTCTTTCTGTAGACCAGTATCTACACGAGGACAATGACAGAAAGCCCGTCACATTATCCTGCTGTAGCATCCCCCTCTTTTCCCTTTGCCTCGTCTTCCTTAGGAGCTGCTGCTGGAGTGCGAGTGCTGTTTGAATCTCCTGGCTGTTCTTCAAGTTCTTTACTCGCGTTATTGTCGACAACACTTGCTATTTGGTCGATATCGGCTGGTGGGGCATTGTCTGCTGCTACTGGAGCGTCCTTCTTGTCAGTTGAGTCTCTGTTTGATCCCGGACTAGACGGCAAGTTCTTGTCAGGACTAGATGGCTCGTCTTTCTTCTCTTCTTTAGGAGCATCTTCGCGAGGAGGGAGACCAAGAGCAGCACGAGCAAGAGCCTCCTGTGGTTCCCGACGGTCCATCAGTTCGAAGATATTTTTCCTCGCCGTCTTAGGCGCCTTCAAAATCATCGCACTATAAATGTCGTCATCTATCGCGCGAGTTTCCTGAGGGGGGAAAGTGTGGCGTGCACGTTGTGAGTGTGAAGGAGGGATGCCGATACTATCAAGAAGTTGTGTGCTGTGTGAGAACGGGGGGCGTATGTTACGCATGAAGATCCAGAGAGCTAAGCACAAGGTTGACGCTGTAGGGATCGACGTGGGCACCCACTACGAAATTACCAAAAGCGGCAGGCGGCTTTGAGAAGGTAACCCTTCACGGTGGGAGTAGAATCACAAAGATCGCGAAAAAGTGGAACGCGTTCGACTGGGCCGAGAAGTCTTCTCCATCGTGCCCGAGTAGGCTGTAGTAAACAACTAGCATACAACAATTCACAATTAGGGAGTAAAGTATTTTTAAGCAGTACATGCGTCCTAATCAGTCCCAGTCTATCGACTGCTTTCTCTGCTTGCTTCACGAAGCGGCCGCCTTGTTTCATCATGTGTTTCTTGCCGTTTACCACGTTGTCTTGCCAATCTTGCACCAGTAAATCCACTTCGGGACCAATGGAGCCTGTGTACTTCCTCGTATCCTCTATCTGGTCCAGTAGCTTCTGCGCAGCACCACGGATAGATCGAGCCTCTACGATGCAGCTTTTGTTCTGGGAAAGTTGCTTGTCGATTTTCTGCATCAACTGACCACGGAGAGCTGACAGCCCTTTGATTGCGTCTAAGGCCTCACCGATCGCTGTCTGGATCCCCGCTTCAGCAGTGTTACGAAACCAAGTTTTCACACCCGCAAATTAGACACAACTTATAAGGATAAGAGAAAGTAGAACACCATCATGAACATGAGTATCTATGAGTTGCTTTATCATTGACCGCGTAAATAAAAATAATCTGCTGCATGCCTGTTGCGTGCAATCTTCATCAGGTTTTTCGTAGCTAGTGGACATCATGGATCAAATTCAAAGCAACAAGACCGAAGATCTAGAGAAAATCACTTTCATGGCCATGCATAATCCATAATTTTTAGATTCTCGCACTTTCTCAAGCTCAGCCCACGTGTCCTCCTGGAAAGTGGAAATATGATCGCCGATTGCGCCAAGTCTCCCTAAGACGTCACGTACCTGTAGTCGCGCGATTGATGTTGGCTTTGATGTCAAGAACTGCTTTTGTTTTTTTGTAGTAGTTCATCTACATCTTGTTCTTGCTCGTTTGAATAATGTTTGTACGGAGAGTAAACTACTTTTGAGATATAGATAGTAGATTTCTTGATTATCGAGACAAAGACATCAAGTACCCTCCCTTCCATGCAATCCTTTGTCCTATCTTCCCGAGGCATGACACCGTCTTCCACGCCTTCCCATCTCGGTATATTCTGAATCAATTCCTCCAGTCTTTGTTGAACTGCGATTTCCCTTTGTCTTTCTTGCCTCTCCGCTTCAGCCAGTTCCTCCTCTGTAGATTCGCCCATCTCGTCATCTGAATCGGATATAAGGCTCTTCTGATTCGCTCCTCCCGCTTCAGCTTCTGCGACGATAGCGTGAGAACCGGCGAGGGTTAGAGGAGGAGAGAGCAACGATGGAAATGGGGTTGGATTAGTACAACTCTTTTATTTGAAGAATCGTATTCAGAAAACAGAACAACGACTCAATGATCTTATTGATTCATCAACTTCACGTTCACTAGGAACGTTACTACAACTCAAATGTAGAAGCACTTGTTCTATTCTTACTCTGCCAAAAATTCATCTGGTACGGAACAACTACTTTCTTGTCAACTGCAACGTAAATCTGAAGGTGACCCTTCTTGTTGCTCCTCTTCTTCTCCTCGTTTCCTATCGTTCCCACCTTCGCCATTGCCTCCAACATTTTCACCGGTTTTTTCCTTCGACTGTTTCTTCGATGACTTTCTTTTTGTAGGCTTCTGTCCACCACTCTTCGACGCTGCTCCGGAAGAGGCAGCACTGCCAGACGATTCTTTGGAGGCGCTTCGACGCGCCTTTCCTTCCTTCCCGGAACCTGCTTCGGATGGTGCCATGATGGTGATGCTAACGGAGTGGCGAGCTTTTGGTGGTATCGTTGCGGAGGGATGGATTTGAAAAAATGTTGAAGTCGGGGAATACGCCTACGCTGAAGATATGTTAGTAAAAGAATCTTCAATAAATGAGAGAGCTGCAGCAATCGCAAAGGCGTTCCCGGGACAGCTGGAAGCGGATAGCGAAGATTTCACAGCCGGCGAGTCATCAATCGACCCTACTTTATCATAAAAACGACTTTTTCTACTTGTACTTCCAGACGAAGGGTTGGCAGGTCTCGATCGCCGGTTCGAACCTGGATGGCTAAAACGTGCGACGAAGCGAGCTCGAAATGGTTCATGCACCACTAAAAGAGGCGCTATCATCGGAATGTTCTTCACTTGGTCCGTGAGAGTATGGCATGGATACCCCATGGATTTCATTGGACCAATATAGTCAGAGTGCTGTTAGTATTCTCATTCCTATGCGTATGAACTTAGTTCTTGCTGTGCTCTAGTTCTTACGAACTACGCTTTTTTTTATGATGTGCTACTATAACTTGTTCTACTTCATTTACGTTATTTTGCTTATGCTCAAAGTCAAAACCTATCTATGAAATAAAATAAAAATAAAATCAGCCTTGCTAATATGTGAGAACTTTTAATACTTTTACTTTTAGTACGTTGAAGATTGTGACTGATCTCAAAATCTTGGATATTATCATGAACGAGTCATGCTCATTCTCATATGGATATGCTGAGCTAAACGTGATGATGCTGGAAGTGGTTCTATACAATTTCTCCGAACTTCTACTCCGTTATATATTCATGCATGAGGAGATTTTCCAATGTGAATTTTCTGTTACAGGGTCACCAGTATGGGTGAAAAATCGGATACCAGAATTTTCTTACACTCATTCGAAGAGTTAGAGTTCAAATTTCAGAGAAATGCAGAATCTCGTCGGAGGTAGAGTGTCAATTTGCTAGTCGGTTCCTCCTGCCAACAACTAGCTCCTCACCCCAACCTTCCTGCACCAAGAGCCGGCAGATTTTCATCTGTCAGCTCCATATACATCTGTCGGTTTGTAAGGCGCATTCCGACACCTCGTCGTTTTTTGTAGGTCTCGATCTTCCTGACAACTCCCCAAGGGATGAAGTATTTCAGCGAAGCAAAGCCTGTCTTCGGCGGACCACCCATGTACCAGCCTTGGTATTAGAAGAGAGGGGTAGAAGTAGTTTAGTCTTTGTAGTACCTACACCTACGTACTCCTGCATTTGAGTCATGTCTGTTTCATCTCACGAACATGTCTAGACTAGTAACTTACCGTGAAACGATGACTATGTACTAACTTGTTGGCAATAATTCCACGACCCCGTCGTATGTCTACTTGCAATTCAATCAGTTCAATCAAAGACCTCAGTTTCATGAAATTCATGATCACCCCGCTCTTCATAACTCGGTGGATTGTACATTGCGTCTTCTCGGTCGTGACCTCCAGACCACTTCATGTCCTGCAAAATGACCGTTTGATAGGCTGTCGTCTCATTGTCGCCAAGCTTGAGCATTTCCATAAAACACCGCCAATCTTCAGCCAATTCCAAATCGAACAAGTGAAAGGTCGATTGAAAATTCGAAATGTCGACACGGTCACGCAGGTAACCAAGGCGTTCGCAGACTTGTGGAGGTTAGAAGGAGGTGAGAGGATGAGGATTGTGTAGGAGTAGAAACAAGATGAAAAGCACTGGCCTTGGTGGTGTTGTATCATATCCTTAGATCAAACGCATTTTCTATCACTACCATTCCATCAGGTAGTACACGTAGACAATCTCATTCTCACTCACTTCTTCCATAATCAAGTAGGCCTTGAGTTTGAGAGTACAAGAAACTTATTCTCTACGATAAATGAGTGCACATCCCTGCAACAGGAAGAAGACATAAAGATAATTATCCTGCGTGAACGGTATGGGCTGTGTTGCTTTCGCATGCTTCTCTGCTTCTGCGGGATTTTCGATCTTGGATTTGGCGTATCTATTATCTAGATTGACCCAATCGTGACATATTAAACGTCCCAACCGAAAAGAGATCTGGTACATCGCGAAGACGTCGAAAAGCAGAGTGCTGTAGAGACACTCCACAGAGCAGACACGCTCTAGTTCTGGAGGTTAGAGGACGTTGATACACACTTCTAAGCACTTTTGGAAGAACTAGATGGTGTTGCTGACTCCATTCCGAGTAAGATGTGTCGGACTAGTATCTCGAACCAGGTGTACTTTGCTTGAGGCGTAGCCGCTATGACTAATACGAAATCATGGAATGACCACGCTTGCATGATGAAGTACACCTACACGCATTCAGATTCATGATCTTCACAAACGTGGATTCAGATTCATCTTGTTCATATAAGACGATCGGGCCATAAGTACATCGAGAAAAGAGGCGTACAAAAACGTCGCATCTCGAATGCCACTGCGTCAAGCCGTGCGCAGCCACGCGGTCTTCGAGGATTCGGCCTATACCATCTTCCGCTGTCGTGAACCCGCCAGTTAGCCTCGTGATCAGATCTTCTACATTCAAGTTCTCTCCAAAGTAATGCGACAAATCTTTCGGCTTTTCTGGTTTGAAAACTAGTAGTATCCGCACGAAGTCCTCGTATGAAAGGACCAGTTTATCGCTAACGGCTGTCAAAGCAAGTGCCCGCGAGGCGACTGGAATTGGAACGCCATGTGTTTTCTTCTCGGGAATCGTGTCTACGGCTGCTGTTTTTGCTCGTTGCTTCGCGAATGCAGTCTTGGAATTCGATCTGCCCTGCTGTTTGTCCTGCTCGACGATTGCTGGCGTTGTATTTGCATGCTTCAGCGCTACTTGCTTAGCCGGACTACTACCACCAGACTCATTTGTTGTCGTTCTTGCCCCGGCGCCTCCAACTTTCGTGCTGGCATTTGTTGAAGATGATTTTTGCTGGCCACTGGCGTTGATACCCTTGATGGTGCTGTTGGGTGACCCTGCGATACTGCGCGACTTCGACTCAATGGGTGAAATAAGAGCATCTTGCTCTTCCTCCCCCTCGTTCTCCTCTTCACCATCGGCTTCTTTTGACAAATCACGGTAAAAGGTATCGTCGGGGCCCAATATCTCCGAGAAATCTCCAACACCATTTGGCAAGTACTTCTCCGATTCTAGCATGTAGCAGATACTATCCATCGCTGCTGCGTGGACTTTCGTGCGTTCTTTTGGGTGTGGATGTATGGGACTATAGTAGTCCAATTCGACCGACAGTCCGTCACCATCCCCGTCTCCACCACCCGCACTCGCGATCAATGCACCGACTGAAAGTTGCACCTTGCTCTTCTTATTCACCAGAATGCTGCCGCTGCCAGTCACTACATGCTCTCGACCATCGAGAAACACGTTGCGCATCAACTGCAAGTCTCCATGCTGTGCGAAGTCCGGACAGTTATGCGACAACAAAATCTTTTTTTGCCACGCTGCGATGATGACGAGACGCTGAAACACTTGCACATCTCCGTTCTTCCCGAAGTTCAGAATATATCTCCCACTAGGATTGAAGGAGTTGAACCGCAGAAAGTTCACAAACGTTGACTTCAATTGAAGTCGCTGCTTTTCGACTTTGATGAAGTTGTACAGTTTCGCATGCGCAAACGCCTGCATCGCAGAGCTCAAGGTGTCGTCAATCTTTACAGCACCCGCGATGTCGGAAACCACTTGCGCCCGTTCCCACGCAGGACAGGCCCCAATAATGTAACGAAGTTGAGAAATGCTGAAGATAAACTCCTTGCTCAAACTAGCGAGAAACATTTGTCTGGCTACTGGTCTCGCTTTGACGAACTTCTTCAGGATCTGTGCGATGCTGATGAACTTTGACAAAGGAGCATAGGTCTTGTTCTTCTCCAAGAAATATTTGAGAACTTCATGGTTTTGTCTAGGTTTCTTCGTCTGCGGGTTGATAACGTCGATCATATGTTCGGTTTCGCTGTAGGAAAATTTGCAAATGACGAACTTTGCTTTCTTCCCGCGTTTCCTCTTCTTAGCGCTAGTCTTTTCCACTATCCCTGGTATTTGAGGGAGATGCCCTGTCGTGTCCCCCTCAGTTTCCACTTGAAACCAAGGGGGGCTCCACTCTGTACGCTTCTGGTATTTGGTAGCCTGGATTTGATCATAAGGGAAAACTACAAGAAGAGAACCCTTGTGATCAAATTCAGGTTACCAAACACCGGAACCATTCACACTCGGGAGCATACTCCACACGTGAGACTCCACTCACGAGCATACACGTGACGAGGATAGTGATAAATTATAGCCGTAATCTTCTTCTTGTCATTCGGCGATCTTGGCGATGAACTTGGACTCTTGCTGCCTGACCGTGACGGTGATTCCAAGACCACTTTTGGGTCAGGCATTGGAGGCTGAACGACGTCCTCAAAGAACTCCTCGTGAAGTTCTAGAGTGTTGTCCAGATATAACGGTCGCATGCACACCGCAGATCCCTTGAGTCTCCGTGCTTTGGCTGGTGGCAAGCTGGAAAAATTGCTGAAGACGTTGTTGAAGTCCTTACAATTGCCGCCAGGAAGAAACTTGATCTTGCCCATCTTGTACGCGCTGCAATCTCGATACAGCAAAGCACGTAAGAGACATCGGTCGTAACTGGAGCGGGTTAGGTGCAATGTGTAGGTGGAGCGACTCGGATCCAAATTGTTGTAGCTGGGGGACTCGGATATGCAAGTGAATCCAGCATTGGTTAACACGTCAAAGGGCTGCTTGAACATGTTACGATCTTCAAGCGATTCGGCTTTTGAGAAGGCTGGTAACCGCACATCGGTGTAGTCCACTGAAAGTTCGGTGGACACTTCCAGCTTCTCATCGCCCATTTCGGCGAAGCACAAGGCGCGGTTCATAGCTTCGATGCCTGCCACCCCTATCGGGTTACCGCATGCGTCGACCTCTGAGATGTTAGTCTTTTTGCTCAACAGCGTCTGTTCCAATATGAACATCGTCTTCGGAGTACATTCGCAGTGGGAGACGTCCAGCATGCGCAGCTTCGTGTTCTCACGGAGACACTCAAGCACGTAAGGAATCCCCAAGCTGTCGATGTCGATGCAGGGGATGTGCGAGACGCGAAGTTCTATCAACGACTCGAACTCGTTTCTGCGCAAAGCATCGCCAAACTCGTGCAGGTCTGTTTGAAGCAGGTTGTGACTCAAGTCTAGTTTCTCCAGTTTCATCAGAGATTCTCGGATCACCTTAGTCAAACCAGCACCATCGTGTGCGTGCTTAAGATAGCCTAGTTTCGTATCAGCTAGGTCTAGATCGCGCAGTAGAGGTAACCGCTCTATGGATTCGAAGAAGCTCTCGTGCGGAACGGCGAATAGCTTCGTACCTCTCAAGGAGAGACTGTTCAAATTCACAGGAAAGGGCAGAAGTACGCTCATAGGAGTCGTGAGCAACCGTTGCAGCATGGCTGAGCTCAGAGGACTGAGAGACCGTCCAGCTGTGACAGGATACAGCTCTTGATCCCGCGGCGGAATAGGATTTCGGTTGTCGGGATCTGGATTCGTGAAGTCCTCAGTCTCCTCTGGTGCTAAAAGAACGTTGACACCCTGCATGCGGAGCATCTGCAACAGATATTCTTCAGTCAGTGGCCCGTCATGGTCCTTCTCTTCGTCCCCGTAGGCGTCCGGATGCACGATCCAACGGGCTCCACCTGCAGTACTATACCCAGTGACCGAAGAGCCGCCACCAGCGGTTCGCGGCGTGACGGTTGCTGTCTTATTCTGTGACCTGGCGGATCGTGGTGAGCTGCGCTTGCTCTCGCTGCGCGCTGAAGGACTGCTGCTGGCGCCTCGCGGACTCGAGCGCTGAGACGATAATGTGACACGTCGATGATGCTCCTCTCGCTCACGCAGGTTCTCCTTCGCACTAACCGGGTTGCCACCGGCTACTGGAATGGCAGCCAAAAACTTCGATTTGATCCTACCATTATTTGCAGACAAGAACAAATCTCGTTGACGCACATGTTGCTCTTCTAGCTCCTCATCTTCCAAATCGTCCAGAGAGCTTATCACCAACGCTTGTTTCGCCTGCCCGCTCCGCTTGAGGTACGCCGGACTATTTCTGTATGCCTCTGAAATGCCATGAACCAGTAAAGATCCTCCTCTTCGGTCCAAAAGGTTGTTGGTAGTCCTGGGCCCACCTCCCGCCGCGTCGTGTTTGGGACTATTCAAAATGGGAGATCCTCTTGCAGCAGAGACGTTCCTGTTGCGAGAACCACTTGTCGTTGTTCCGGCGGAACCGCCTGCAGCGCTTGGTTCATTATAGTACATGAACTGACTCAAACTTGCGCCAGGACCACCACTAGCGGCACTAGCAAAAGCTCCACTACCACCACCTCCTGTAGTGCCTCCTATAGAGGTGCTGTTTGGAAGACCACTGAAACGTCCAGGAGTTCCACTTGCTCTGATGTCATCGTCTTTGACTGGCGTCGTTACGTCCTTCTCGATGAAGCCCATCTCTTGCAAAGCCTCATGTTTCGCATTGGAATCTCCAGTGACTGCTTTAAAACTACGGTATTCTTGGCCTGATCTTGGAAATTTGTTGTGTATCACGTCTGACTTGCCGATCTTTACACCGCGCAAACCCGCCTCACCACCACTCGTCACTGGCCGCCTCCGGATCCCTAGTCCCACGTCGTGAAGCAAAGTTTCCTTCCTGGTCCCATGAACTCCCACAGCATGTTGCGTGCCGTTCAACTCGCGATTTCGCAAGACGTTTTCACGTTCATAGCGAAATTCGCTATTCTTCTTGGCGTTCAGAAGCGGCAGAGCTTTCTTCAGTTGGAAAGGAGAGGTTGCATCGGCTGCAATAGACGGTATATCAATCATCGAGGGTCCATCGGGTCTCCTAGGCATATTCACGTCCCCGCTCAACCTTGGAAGGTCGTTCGGAAATTCGGCAACATTCTCAGCTCGGAGGCTAGTGTAGGCATTAGATGAGCTGCTATTTTAGTAGAAGACGCTAAATGTAGATGTACCTTCTGATTTTTACCCTCACTGAGTACTGTAAAAGCCAAACGAAGCCATAACCAAAGTAAAATTAGTCGATCCACTCCTCGCACCGCGTCCTGCCATGGTGTTTGGCGCCTCAATTGTCGTATCCACTGCGTGTCTCAGTAAATTCCGCAAGTCGACCCCATGCTTGCTTTTGTAGCTCACCAACTCCTTGTTCCCACTCTGGAACAATGCTTGTAAAGCCATGACTCCAAAAGCACGATCTCCATTCAGATTTCCCCAGATCTCTAGGGTCCGCAAGTTGCTCCAGGGTCTATTCCGCAACAAGTTGTAGACACTCTGCCAGTGACACGAGCCTCCTATTCGCAAGGTTCTCCAAGCGCAGGCTTGAGGCTCAGGCCCTCCTCCTGCACTAGCTAGACTTGATGTTCCAGCTGCTGCATTTGGTGGCGGTGCAGTGGAGTCCTTGGCTCCACCCTGTTCTGCGAATTCTGCCGCCATCAACCGCTTATCGCCTAAAAACGGATGTCCATCGTAATCCAATTCTGGCGCTACGGGGACGATCTTGTTGGCCTCACATGCTTTCGCGTACCTGGCTTCTCTCGTGCTGATGATGTTTCCCGCTTTGAGGGGCTTTTTGAGAACATCTGCTGATTGTGGAAGTCCCCCAAGGAACTCGCCTAGTTCATGCTCATTCTTGATTTCGGCTGCGAGATCGCGAATGTTGCGTCCGCCCTCAACCAAACGGTCCTCCTCTTTGGTCTTCTGGATCGCCTTCGCCATCTCCAATCTCTGCTCAAAATCCACACAAATCTGCTTCACCATGCGAGCGGCTAGTGAATTCCCAAGGTTCTCCATCGATAGTTAGACCTTGCAGAAATCCATCGCGGTGAGCATCTTGGATCTCCTTTTCCCTTGAAAACGGGACAAAGATGCCTGTGAAGATGGATTTTCTCAAGCCTTAAGATAGCATCTCCCTGATTCGCTGCTTCCGACGTTCCTCTGCGCGTTCATCATCGCTGTTTTCTTCGTCCGAAGAGCTGAAGATTCCGAAACCTACGGACATCGAGAAGGCCTTCTTGAGTTGCGCACTGCCTTCTTCCGGTTCCTTTTTTTCTGCCTGATGCACCGCAGAAGCGAAAGTGTAGAGCTTTCTCGCCCTCCGCATCAGAGCCTTGCGGTAGCTTTTCAAAGCACGGTCTTGGGCAAGCATTAGAGGAATACATAGGAAGAATGCACACGCGACCACTTCTACGCACACACTTCTACTTCTACTACTTGTTGCAGCGACTGCAATCAATAAAAAGGAAGAAGGGTAGGTGTAAGCACATCACCGAATGTCCTTTTGTATGACGTGTACTTGAGTAGGCCGACGACCGGTAGCTATCATTTACATTTAGTTTGTTGCTCTGGGTAGAACTCGCGTTTTTTCTCCTTAACTTCAACCTCCTGTCATCCTTTAATCGTTTTCGCATTTTGGCCTTCAGGTCTTCTGGTCCCACAAGAAAACCGTCGCCCTCACAAGAATAAGGTTCATAGACAGCGGTCTCCATACCAGCAAAGGTCTCAGCACAGTCTGAGCGCATACCAATCATAGGTCGAATACCGTACCCAAAATCATCCCTTGCAGCGGCACGAACGAAACTGGCAGTAAGCGGCCGATCTGTGATGTTGCGGTCACGGCAGGCCTTTTGTGGTTCCATGATAGCAAACTTTGGTGGCTCCAAGGCACATTCAGGATACTGCTCCTTCTCCTTCAACAGATTCCTAGCATCGTGATTCTGCTTCATGAAACCTATATGGTCACAGGTGGCGGCATTCCAAGTCTGTGCCCGCATTCTATGCAATGTGGTCGCAGGAGCTTGGGCACTACGAGTTCGTTTGCGGTAGTAGGGACTCTGATGTGCGACAAGAATAGACCGTTGACCGGCACTCAAGGACATCGCGCCTCCGGTTTCCATCATCTTCGCAATGCTGTTGCGCGTTCGCAGAGCAGCTGCTTGCTCAAGTTCGCTGCTCCTCCCTGACGTACCCACCAGTGCGGCGCCTCCTCCACCATCCTCGTCGTCATAGTCTCCTCCGTATTGTCCTCCAGACCCACCGCCCATTCCAGCTCTCCCTCCTGCACTTATTGGACGACTACTAGCTGTAGAATTAGTTCCAGGAGTTCCATCTGGACCACCTGGGCGTCGTCCACGTCGCCCACTCCTTGAGTTAGATCTTCCTGAATGATTCAACATCTACTCCCGACATATTCTCAAAATGCAGGTAGAAGGAACCTGAGTGAACAAATAATCTGTGTGTGTGTGTGTGTGTCATACTTTTAGATAGTGTGCGTACGAATTACAATTACTTTGAGCCTTAATTGATGGTGTTCGTTGCCCCTTGTAATCCTGCAGTTCTATGCGAGCGTCACGAGCGTCCTTGACATATCCGACGCCTGGGAAGACCGTTTCTGCTTTTGCTAGTGACAGTTTGGACGCCTCTTGTGCCTGCAACCGCTGTAGGGTGCGTTGATTGCGCTCACGCTCGTGAGGCTCGATGTGTTCTGCTACGCCGACGTCGACCCACCATTCGTTGTGTCTGGCATCACCACGTACTTTTTCACCCGAACTTTCGTTCTGCTCAGTCAGCCAGTGAACGAGGTTGGCAATCAGATCGTCACGTGTTTTCAGGGATTTGATCTGTGTGCGGACTTTCTGAATGATACGGACCATGGCGATGGCAGCTTTAGATGCACGCGTTCCGTCCGGTTTGATTGTTCCTCTGGCGGAAAAAACGCCGATGCTGGTGTAGTTGGTAGTAATGTATTATTGTAAGTTAGTATGTTGATGTCAGGACGAGGTTTTTCGTTTTGTCGTGAAGCAAGTTCAAGTTCTAAACAAGGTGATGAAGAAGGTCATCGTGATGAACATAAGCGAAACCACTTCTATCAAAAGGAAAAGAGCAGGTGCGGCAACGATGTCTTCAACGAACTCTACTAGTTCTTGTACAATAGTTTCTTTTTCGTTTTTCCCCATGTCTTCTTCGCTGCTGTATCTGCAAAATTCCGACCATTTTCTTCCCATTGCTGCTTCATCTTCTGCACTTGTTTGCTTTTTCGCAAGAAGTGAATCCGTTCTATGTGGTTCAAATCGTCTAAGTCGCGGATGAGACGACACTGCTTCGACAGGTGGACACTGATTTGTCCCGATGCACGCATGATTGTTGATTTGTCCTGGGCTTCGCGTGTCAGGCCACGTTTCGCTTTCTTGGGGGAGGGCGTCTTCTCTTTGTCCCCTTTGCCTCCATTAGCCGTGACACTGTAGCAGTAAGAGTAGATTTGGTCGTTTTCCGGACGATCATAGAAACGTGAATCTTGTAGTTGAGGTAGATGACAAGGAAGAGTAACACCACTACAACAACTGCGACCGGCGCTCTACGAGCAAACTCGCGATGTGAATCCAAATCCATTCGGCGAGTTGCCTAAGATTTCATCCCTGACGAGGAAACTATCAATCTTCAACACAGTACTTCTCTACAGACAGTTCCCCACCACGATAAATTCATATGTCTCTACTTTATCATCGACCTCGACTCTGATGGTGGATTTGACAGAGCTCTTTATTCATCGCCATCATGTCAAAATATTTTAATCTTGTACGTGTTCTTCTTTATATTCGTGGCTTCCTGTCCCCTCATCAGGAAGTTGTAGATGCTGTCTTGTTTTCGCTTCTGAAAGGCTGCTGGATCCACCTGAAGTTCCACGTTTCCCCACATCGCATCGACTAAAATCGTCAAATGATCGCTTCCTAATTGTTCTACCTCATCCTTCACCATTTGTTTGTTTTTCTGTCTTGCGCGCTCTTCGGGATCGAGGCGTTGGGAGTTAGAAAAGGAGAGGTAAAAAGGTAGTAGCTAGAGGATTGAGAAGAAGATTGTAAAAAAGAGAGGCATAGTACACCGGTCCTGTGAAAAACAGAAGGTTAGCTTTAGGAGGTGCGTAAGCGTACTACTTGTACTACTAGTACGATTAGGAGTATGTATTTTTGCCATAATCCCAGCCCCTTCCGCCATTAGATCTTCCACTGTTTCAACGCCAAGGACGTTGCCAGGCATGACTCGCATCTCCTCTTGCTTCTTGGAACCAGAGGCATTCATGGACGACGCGTTCATCGATGCCAAAGTTAAAGCCCAGCATTCATCGGCCACTGACTCTGAACGGAAGAGACCCCCTCCAAGGCTCTCCCCTTTCCCTTCATTTTCTCCTGTTCTCTCAAGGAGGCCCTCTTCGATTTCAGTGACCAACCTCTTTCTATGACCATTGAAAGTTGAGCCTTAACAAAGCATCTATATTCCCAACTATTGACGAATTCTGTCCACCAGGAATGGGTTCACCTTTGGGTGAAGCGTCTGGACTTCCCGGTTTTGGTGAACCAGAAGGGTCCGCCGTGGCGGCATCTTGGTTTGTGTCTGCCATCTTGTACGCCTATATATGCCTCCAGGGCTCATATGCCTCCAGGGCTCATATTAGGAGTTGTACCGCTTGAAAAAGATCATGTAGTCGGCGCTTTGTGCTCAACAGATGTCCTATGATCGTATTTGACAGTGGAAAACGATTTACAGTGCATACGCCATACTAAGTGGTCAAAGCGCCAGAATTATACCAATAACAGCAAGGGAAAAGGGGGCGGTGGCCTAAACAAGATACTGTTCAAGATTTCTTCATGCAGCTAACCGATAGCATGATCGCCACAGACTAAAAATAACAACTTGGAAGGAGCAACGACCTCATCGGATGTTCAAGTTGAAGTTGTTCAGACACAGACACCGAAATAAATCATAAGTACACAGAAAGAGAACCTTGTTTTGGCCATTAAACCGACTGCCTGGACGAGTTCATAACCATCGACAATTCTTTGATATGTACCTCGCGAGCTGAAACCGATTTTCATTTGAACAATGGGTCTTCAGGGAGGAAGTAAAATGCTAGCCCAGGTGCTCGCGCTCTTGAGCCTGTGCGCAACAAGAGCAAGAACGCGATTGTTGTGCGGATGTAGTTTCACTTTCATTTGCAATCGCAAAGTAGCATCGTTATAAAAAAATCAACAATTTTGATCTTCGCGGTGTCAATATCATCTAAATTCCCAAGAATAAGGTGCGTTCATCATACTGTTACTGTGAGATCGCTAGCTTGTAGTTTGACAACACCTCTTGTGCATGTATTCCATCACCTTACATTTCCATCGGTGCAGCTGTCTTTCCTTCCGCAGCACCTCCTGCCTTAAATGCCGTGTTCTTAAACAAGTTCATCGCCACAGCCATCAATTCCCGCTTGACTTCCTGGCCAATGCCTCTCTCGTGGCAGTGGACCTTCAGCAGTTGCTTCAATTTCTTTCGCTGTTCGTCGTTGAAGTCAGCCTTGTAACGCTGCACGAAAAGCAACAAGCATCGATGCCACACTAATGGCAGTTCGCGTTCGTCTTCGAGGAAGGAATAAAAATGGTCCACCAACTTCCCCATCACCGAGTAGGGGAGAGAATACCTGTTTCCGGAAGGCGATATGGTTCAAGTAGAGCACGTTGTTAGTGTTGCAAGAGAACAAGGTCGAGCTAGAGAAATAGATGGCTAGACTTCACACAAAAGTAAAAGTCAGACGTTTGATTTCAGTCGTAATTTTTATTTTGGAAAATCTGAAAGCAAAAGCAGTACTTTTTGTTGATGAGCACTGCCATGTACATCGCCGTCGTTCCGTACCACTCTGGGTTTTCCGCTAATCTGACCAAAGTCGCTGATGCATGCAATACTGGCACTGAAATTTTTCCCAACACTGAGCACACAATGTGCGCTTCCCGCAAGGTGCAGCTGTCGCGCGCCAATGGCAGTAAAATGCCTTTCATAAAAGCTGCCGGTTTGAACATGGCTTTTTTCAGCGATTCGTAGTAGTGGAAGTTGAGCTTTTTGTTTTCGGCCATGTCACTGCGAATGGCCGGTAGGAGGACTAAGTTGTAGAACCGCTGCGCCATTCGGCCGTTGAGCTGAGAAGCGAAAATCTTCGTTGCTTCCCGAAGGGCGTTCGGACTCCAGTCCAGAGGATTCGTCAAGCACAGGATTTCTTCCCAATTCTGCAGAGACGGAATCACCAAGAACGGCTTCGGCATTTTTCCGGACTTGTAGGTTTTCAACCACTTTCCGATCTCGGTGTAGGTCTCGATCACCTTAGGGCTCAGTTCGTTCGCGTGTTGTGCGGCACTGCGTGCAGTGGCTTCGTTCGGGAGACGGGTGATCTCCTCAGTTCTGTCCTTCAGCTTTTCGAGAACTATGTCGGCTAAGCTACGGGAGTGCTCTGCTCCAGACGAAGAAGTGCCCATCATCATATCTTCATCTGTCATATTCTTATCTCCTGCAGCTGGAGATGAAGTAGTGCTAGATGCGGATCCACCTTGCTGTGCAGAAGCTGGAGAAGAACTAGCACTAGTTGTCGACGTATTCTTGTTCCTCACTTGTGGAGGTAAAAACATCTGCAATGCTTCTTCCTCCTCTGGCGTGAGCAAACTCGCATAGTTGCCGAGGTTGACGAAGCCGTCCTCGTCCTCTAATTCAGGCTCCTCAATTTCGTTATCGAGGTTATCTTCATCCTGGGCTTCCTTGGCTCCAGCTAGATCGAGCTTGGATTCTAAGTCCTCCTCGTTACGCTGGGCCGCGATACCGTCGAGGACTTTTTTGGTCATTTTTGAGTCTAGCATTGCGCCATTCTCGTCAGCGGCGTCGTCGGCGGAAGCTGTAGTAGAGTTTGTGGCGAAATGATAGATAGTACTGTTCTTTCCATTATCATCGTGATTCTTTAAAAGTAAATCAGAATTCAACAAAAACAATGATGTTATACCTTTGTAGTTCTGTGACTGTGGGGAATAAGATAGAACCACGCGATGCTATCAAATACAAGGGGGTCTTACATTTTACTCGTCCCGCTTTCTTCCGTGGCTGCGTGCGAAGGTTTCGGTTGGCGTCGTCAGCCTCCATTTGGACAGCTAATGGGTCGTGCCTCATAGCACTACCCTTCTTTACTCGTGCTACTTTCGGCATTTCGTTGGGGTCGTTTTATTTTTCAAAGAAATGTTTGAGTTGCTTAGAACAAATATGAGGGAGGAAGCATATTAGCATGAGAATCAGCTTACTTTTACAAAGAAATGTGTGAGAGTGAATGGATCAAATGTTCTCCGTTATGAGTTAACCCGATTGATTCAGCAACTCCCTTTGTATCGCCGTCACACACACCTGCCTGCAAAAATCGTGAATTATGAACAACTATCATAATCAAAAAAATGATATCGAAAGGTAGCGCCGATCACAAGGATCTAGAGGATTTGCCTCTCGAGATCTTCTACTTATGTGGGATCTGTGACAGTGCGGGACGGATCAGTCTTGAAAAATACGTAGAGGTTCGTGAGGTTCTTGAGATCATAAACCGTTAGATCATCAAGTGATCTCTTTCGAGGTTTGATGTGCATATGATGTGTGGTTCGTGATCGTGTTGCAACATCAGCATAACTGGCTTCAGAGATCCCGTCTACAGATTTGGATCCATGACCGTCGACCGATTTTCATGTTCTTGAACTTTGTCAGAGCAGGGTCGTCTACAATCATGAAGGTAATAGACTGAGTGCGACACAGTTGGAATGTTCGGTAATCCCCAGAGTGAGATATTCGTGGCAACCTAAAAACTGAAGAACAAAGCGAGCGACATAAGAGTCGTGATGGACAATTTTTGTCCGACGGAAGAGGAGAGATCTTTGTGTGAATTATGTAGCAGTAGCATTCATCAGCATGCTCACATTCAAAGCTTGTCCACGTGCGCTTACGTCAGATGATTTCTTACCTCTTAGTATACGATAGCGCTACAACGCCATTCTCCCGACATCAGAAGGAGATGACTGCTCGACCATCTAGTGCTTCTTTCTATTGCCAACAAAGACGCATCAGCGATATTCATGTTCAAATTAAATTTTTTGTATCAGCCACTTCTTTTCGTTAGTTCTTCTTCTTCTGGTTCCGATCAAGATCGTAATACAAGCATTTTCAAAGCGTAACGCTAAATACACTTTTGTGATAGAAGTATTCATGGTAAGACTTGAGAACATCAGGCTCCGCAATCATCGACGGACTATGACATCAACATGATCAACTAAACGTATTCATAATCGTCACATGAAATTGAAATAATTTCTGATGAGTACTACGATTAAGCACGTTGTCATGATATTTCTTTTGTTCAAAATTCCAACTTTTGCGTATCCTCTGTTAAAGGAGTTATCCGGGCCATGAAGAAATCACATTCATGCCGTGCGCGTGCTCTCTTTTATGTTCTGACAAATTTGCTGATGTTATGATGTACAGGACAGCGACAGTGAGTGTTCTCCTATAAAATCTTTTGCTTTCTTTCCCCTATGCTGGGCCATGAACATGACAAAGCCGATTTTTCCTACTATCCTCAACAGTTCTTCCTCCACCTTGCACGAGAAAGTAGAACGTCTCCTAGAAGTACGGTTCCTCCTACAACTCTTCCTTCAAGTCATCATGATCATCTAAGTCTCCAAGTTCGTCATCATCATCATCAGCGTCGACCTCATCCAGCTTGTCGAGCTCATCTGGTTCCTGCACTGCTTCGAGTCCGCCACTGCTCACGTCCTGGAAGAACTTGACGATGGCATCAACATTGAACTTGTTCGGTACGTCGGAGAAAGATCGGATGTACTTCTCGACGACCGTTAGAGCTGAGGGTGTTGAGGGGAAGATTCTTTTCGTTTTGATTCTATTACATGGATGGACATGGACTTTTCGAGAGTGGTTGGACTGACTTTTATGACAGTTGACGTGAGAGAGAGAGATATATTTGCTCGAAGCTCACTATTGGATGGCTCCGGTATTTGGTAACCTGATTTCGATCATAGGGGAAAACAAGAAGAGAATCCTTGTGATCGAATACCGTAAGCGTGCAACTATCACTTCGCCCTTCTACTTCTACGTGAAATAGTTGCTCGAGAAGAAGCGGTTGGACAACTTTACTCTACATAACTTCATATCCGGGTCCTCACCCATGAGGTTGCCTTTCTGCAGGACGATAGTGGGATAGTTGTTGCAGCCAAGTTCCTCACGTGCATGCGACTCAAATTCAGCCACGTCCAGCCATACGAATGGCATCCTGTTGTAGTTTGCCGATTTTTTTATTCGGGTCATGACTCTATTGTAATTGTTATTCAACGATATCATCATCATCATCATCATCATCATCATCATTGCGTCTTAGATGATCATACAGGATCGTTGACGATAATTAGCATCAGTTCTAATTTTCTTTTTCCCGAACTTTCTTTACGTCCTCTTCGTTGTAGTTGTTGTACAATATGAATATCTCTCTTCTCTCGCTAATATGCATATCGCTCCTTCTCTCCCACTTTCTCGTCCATCAAAAAATCTCTGGTCATACAAACAAGAAAAAACAAAAATCTTGAACTTGGTGAAGCACAAACTAATACAGGTAAGTGCACATCAACATCATGCTCATGCACCTAATAAAGTGAAAGGTCGATGACAATGTGTAACATCAATTATAAAAATAGTACGGAAATTCCGGCATTGTCGATTGAACTTTCTGGTAGGCTGTGACGACGCTGGAGGAATACTTTTTCAGTTGGTCAGATAACGACTCAGGATCAAGGCAGACCCAGAAGAGACCTGGTGAAGGATAAAGAGGGGAGGGAAATGAGAACAAGGAATCAAGTTGTAATCAAGTTGTAGGTCAACTGTTTGTAAGTACAAAGTGAAAAATAACACTACGAGAAGACCTTCCCTCCAGTTCTTGAGGTGATAGTTCATTCCCTACCATAGGCATAGTCGTAAATGACAGGATACTCCAAAGGAGAAGAACTGCGAAGAGGTAAAACTATTACCGCTCGTCGCTTGTTCGAGGTAGATCTCAAAATTGTCTTCGTTGATTTGGCCGAAGGCTGGCACACGAGCTGTCTTGAGCCAGGCGTCTATGTTCTCGACTTCATAGTCGCCCGAATATGAGGCCTGGTTTTTTGTAGTGATGAGGTTGGTGGCATGATGACATGAAGAGTCCTTGAAACAAGTAGAAGTTAAAGTTGGTGAGATTGTAGAATGTAATCATTGATTTTCGTCTGTTGATCTTAAGCATTCACGAACATGGAAATGGAATTTTACTAGCTAAAAAATCAATTACCGTCTCCTCCGTTCCCTTGTAGACAGTGATGCTGGGTGATGCCGATGTTTCCACGAACGCGATTGATACGTGGGTTGTATTCAATGCAACGTCGTTCAACTTCTTCTGTAGGGATTCATCTCCCTCGCCAACGACGAGATTTGTTGACCATTTCCTGTTCTTAATCAGATCGCCGATTTCCGATGAGCTATAGGTTTTCACGGCTGTGGTGGAGGTATTGGTAGTGGTGGAGGTATTGATGGTGGTGGGGGTATTGATGGCAGTGATGGTGGTACGATCAGGTGGAGAAAAATTGGCGGGCGGGGTCAACGATATTATGAGGAAACATATCATCTTTAATATTACACGAATTAGCCATAAACCGAGTATATATTTATATACTTTTACCAGGTCCCATATTATCCTTGAGCCATGCGATTATGCCTTCTGCGTCCCGAGGTCCGGTGTACTCTGTTTTCGCGCCTTACATTAGAGGATATCTTTTCTAAAATATCCTGAAATTGAAATATCTTCTGCTCTACCTATTTATCTTCATGAAATCTTTTTTTATTAACCTCTCTGTAGCAGTTTGTGTTGACGAGCAGCTGGTGTGCCTTCTAGTACCAAGCATAATTTGACAAACCAGTAGAGCGTTGGATACCCCTCTACTTTGAACTTGGATGCGAGCTCTGACTGGACAGTGGCGTCTACCTCCGCCAGCACGACTGGTAAGTCCTCTGCCTTAGCAGTTGCGGCTGCTCTTTGGTAGTCGGCGGCCATAGCCTGTTTGACGAGTTTAAGTAGTTTTATGCAATAGATAGGAATTGTCGTGGTCGTTATCAAGCAATAAATCATCTGTGTATCCTGCTTCAACAGTGGTCCCTGTGACTGTGAAAACACATCTTATCGAAGTATCTGTGCTACCTTGCAATGTCCGCACCATGGTGCGTAGAATTTTACGAGGACGAAATCTTCAGATGCGAATATTGAGTCAGCGTTCTCCTTTGTCATCTGGAGCACAGACTCCACTTCTTGGCCTCTTGCTCCACTCGCGACAGCCAACGCCGCCACAGCAAGCCTTTTATACCATGAGGACTGGGAAACGCCGCCCATTTTCGTAGTTTCTTTGTACTACTAGTCGCAACAGCTAGTCTTTTGGAATAACCACTCTTCGCAATTGAGTAACACGCGTCAGCGAGTATAACTTTACGTTCGTTGGTCTTGGACTTGCTCTCGGTGAGTGTTGGTTTTGGTTATCAAAAAATAAAAAAACAGATTTCAGCGGCCCGCCTCTAGACGGAAATGGAAAACACAAAACAAAATAAGTAAATCTATGCGTCCAGCACTAGATAGAAATTACAGAGGATGAAGGCCTTAGTGGCCTAAGTCTTGCTCTTGCAGAAGGGGAAAGAAACCTGTTGATATCATTTTTCCATACGCGCAAAAAATCAGAATCACCGTGACTAGAATCTGTAGATAGGAATCGCCTGACAAGAACTTTACAACGAACATCGTCATAATGCAAAAACACGTTGCAGACCATGATAGTCCCAGTCGTCACACAGCGAACACGACAAGTTAGTCTCGTTCCAGAGCGTCTCCATATTCCCAGAGGAATATGGTTCGTCGAGCCTACTGTCTCTCTTCGAATCTTTTTTACTCTATCTCTATGATATTTGCTGTCACTCTATGATATTTGTGTCTCTCGCAGTTTTCCAGCTATGTTCCTTCATTGCAGCACGCCATGACCTTTGCATGTGCTCGTATTCGTCTACTACTTCTGAAAAATCATATGAAGTTCATCTAGATCTGTATCTAACCAATATATGCTTTCGTTTCATTTTCTAACAGTGTCCCAGCTGTCGGAGTCGCAGCAGCACTACCACGAGCGGCCGGCGGTTCTAGCATTAGAAGAAGCTGAAGCTCTACTAAACGTAAAAACACGTAGGACAACATCTCTCGCGGCTATCATTGGGCTGTTTTCATCTCCCCAGAAAATGAGAAAAACGGCCAATTGTAGTGATTTTGATAACAACGATCCTGGATCTACTGAATGCTGAGAGACCATGATCGATTTCGATGTTCCGAGCCTTAAATCCGAATCCGGCTTTGCAAATGCATGGCCACCCCAGCCATCTGCGTTACAGAAGTCCCACGTCCAGCGATGCTTGCCCAGAAAGTGGTCGTTTATCTGGTCCTTGTGATCCAAGCAGCGCATTTCTACTGGACACACCGAAAATGGGCCGTGAATTAGAGAAGGTGGTTGATGGGGATGTGGTAGGGAGGTCACCAGCAAGGGTCGTGAGCGCTAACCCTGGTAGGTGAAGAATAAATTCAATGTATCTATCATATATCAATATCTTCGGGTGAAAGTAAAAAATGAAACAAGAGAGCAGACGAGATAAACACATGTAGAAGTTGCCTTAAACTGATGCCTTCCACCTTGCGACAGACTTGTTCAGATGGCTCTGGCAAACGGTTCGCTCTGTGCTGGACACCTTCCTCAACGTTCACCTCAGCATTCTGTCCTAAGGAAGGAGTAGGAGTGGCTTGGAACCCTCCTTCTCCATGATTTCCTCCACCAGCACCACCTGCATGCGCCCCACTAGGGTGGAACATACCGGCAATTGCTGCTGAAATTCGATCTCGTAAGGGGATCCTATGAAGAAGGGTGTCCTGCGCACTCCCATCGGCGGCAAAGGCAGCTGCGTTGATGTCCGGATTCAAGAAATCTCGCACTCCTAAATATTTCTCATACTTTTTGGTGAAAAAATGCTTCCACTGCCGCATCTTCGCATCAATAGACGTGTTGTCGCCTCCGGGATTTCAGGCCTTAGAGGGAACAAGGGTGCTAGGTAGAGGGACAGCGCACACTTCAATTTTTGCATGGTTCTGGTCTTTGGTAACCTGATTTTGATCACAAGGATTCCCTTCTTGTTTTCCTTATGATCGAAATCACGTTACCAAATACCAGAACCATTCAATTTTAGTCTTTCGGGCTAGTTAAGAACCTACTAGGTATTTCTTGCAGTTGAAATACGAACCAAAACGAGGAAGAACAAGGAAGAACTTTTTCTACAATCCTTAACAGTCGGATCCCTGACACAGGAACACCCTGGATGTGCTGTCCCGATCACTCTTGGTGGACCTGTATCTTCCGTGAGTGGATTGCCGGTATCTCCTGCTCCACCTCTTTGTGAAGCAGAACCTCCTTTGGGCACTGATGGCGGCACACAGTAATCCCAGACTTGTTTCGATTGTCTCGGACCTTCGTCCATAGCATAGATGTGCCCTGGCGTTCCCTCATACAGCTTGTGATCGAAACCTAGGACGTCTTTGGCACCACCAGTGGCTACGACACCACACCTCGAAGACGATGATGACGATCCGCCATTCTTTACTTGGCACCATGTAAACGGCGTCCCCTGTTCTTGCAAACATGGAGTTGCACATTCGCATCCACTACTCGTTTTTATCACTGGCCCAGACCGAAATTTCGCCATCGCAGCTGGATCCAAAGCCAAAAGGTTGGGCACCAACAATGCCGGTTTCCCCGCTGCCACTGCGTCTAGCTGTTCCGTCTTCGTTTTTAGGACATTTAGTTTCTGATTGATATCGCCTAGAACAGAAACTGCTTCGCGTGCTCCAGAAAGTAACGACTCGATACGTTTCATTCGTAGAAAAGAGTCCGCTGCACCAGCTTTAGTTGCATCGAGGTCACGTATTGGGCGCGGTTTTTAGACGAGACGGGAGGTACCGCCAGAAGCTACACTCTCGAAATCTCATCGAATAATCAGGAAATTTTCGAAAATCATATTTATATGTAATTTCCTTGCACAACAAGTCAAAGTCTAGGAGATTGCTAGACATCAACATGAGGTGGCTAGTACCTGCTACCAAGGCCAAACTCTTTAGTGTTGGTGTTCATCCTCCAGCCATAAGCTTTATCCATGAGTATTTTCGCGTGGTTGAATTTCTTGAACAGAAGCGGTTTCACTCCGCGATTAAAAACCGCGGAAAGCTCGGCACTGCCTTCATCCACTCTTGTCTGCTGATCCCGAAAGACCTGGGCCACAACCTTGCGTTCTACGCGCTTCGCTTCCGCAAGCAAAAGCCGGAGATCCTTGACGAACTGGGGATTTCCTGGCTGTATCTGCACAGGGGGCATGGAGGCTGCGCCACTGGCTGCAGCGTTCATGGCAAGAAGGTTGGAGTTCATTTTTCCAGTTTTTCTCATGTGGAAGATGTGGTAATGGTTGACGTAGTGCCTTTTCTTAAAAACCGATCGTTGTTGATGTTCTTTGCGATCACTCCTTCGAAGCTAATCTAGCTTTTGAAATCGTTAAGTAGTTCTTGGTCGTATGAGTAGTAATGATCTCCAGGAACATGTTCATGAATGATCATGTCCTGTATGAAAACACTGTGATGTAGCTGTGGGCTTAAGGTAGGTTCAGTCTATTCACTCGGGGGCAACCGACAACGATATTAAGCTGTTACAGAATTATGCATGGACCACCCGCAAAGGCAAACACAGATGAACATGATTGAAAATGCTAGTACGAGACAGAAGATCACCATCACAGATTAACCGAAGTTCTTCATGAAGATATGCGAGATTCCGTAGTTTTCGTACAGATTGGCAGAGTACACCGAAGACTTGTTCTGAGGTAGATCCTGCTCAGGTCACGAGCATGTAAGAGGATCCAGAAGTATTCCTTTTCGCCAAAGAACACTGGTTAGCACTGTCCTTGGTCAGGACAGAACTAAAAAGAGGCTTTCCTCCTAAAGTCGACGATGTTGACCACTAACTTGATGTACTAAATGTAAATGTATGATATGTTGTCACCAAATGTTGAACATGTTCTTGGAATTACAAAACAAGGGGAAGAAGACAGGCAAAGAAGTAAACGCACAGCCGTAGCGTCTTACGAGTCTCGAGGAAACGAGTCTGGCAGAAGAACCCCAGGACCTGGATCCGCACGTTTAGCCCAAGGCGTCTCGTTATGGGGAATTTTTCCATGAAATGCCAGGTGTGCGGAGGGATACTTCGGCAAATCTTCATCACGACCACCTAAGAGGCCGCTGGAAGCTTCTCTTGGGTATTAGAAGGAAATCCGTTGCGGTCGGATTTGATTTGGATTCATGATACGGATTTTCCCTGTAGAGCTGCATCATAATTCCGGAGATGGAAAAATGCATGTTATTATAACTCAACATTAGTTTTACTTTTAGTCTTAAGCATTGACTCCACCTGCGAATTTCTTGTTCATCTTCGCACTGTCGATGGCGTCTGTGTAGTGTCCGAATTTCGTCAGTTCTCGGAGTCGCTGCGTCTCCGCCTGCAGGCAATTCTTCTCATGCCTTATTTCGTCTGTGGCTTAGAACAGGAAAACGCGCTTGTGCTGGAAGAACTGCAAGAACGAACTAGGAGCCCGGGAGCTCATGCGACTGTTGAGTACAACTACAACAAGGAAGTACTAGTAAATTCGACTACGCAAATTGTGATTTAGAATACGAAGATGAAGTCAAATATATTTCAAGTAGATCATATTGTTTGTTTCCCTGAGGACAGAGGACTGAGGAGTGGTACTATCATGTACTATGATCATGTCCTGTCAAGACACATCCTTAAATTTCCGCTTGCTGCAAATCGATGAGTCTTTGTTGCTCTCGTAGCCGCTTCAATATTCGACCATCAGCCACGTTGGAGACGTCCTGGACTGTGTGCTCATACTCTGCCACCGCCGAATCAATCTTGGCCTGCAATCGACGCTCAAGTTGTTGGATCCGCTTGCAGTCTTCCTTAAACTCTGCCAATCGAAGCTCTAAGCCGTCTTTGAACATCAATATCGCGGGGTCTGCGGCTTCCATCACGAGCTGTCCAGATGCGTTTACGTACCTGTAGAGTAGCAATAGTAGGCGAAATTGCGTCGATTACTCGTTGTAGCTTGCAATAGTAGGCGAAATTGCGTCAATTACTCGTTGCAGCTTGTGCAGAAACTCAATAAGTGGAAAGATGCCCCTGCCCCACGAGCGTCAGGCATTTATTATGCACATTCAGAAAGACGACCAAGACGAAGGCCACCTAGACCTCTTAGCAATAATGATGAGAGGACTAGCTTTTATTTTCGACCAACTAATACTAAGGACAAGGAATAAATTAAAAAAGTACGGCAGCAGCATCTGTGAAAGGCGTTCTTGGTCGGACAGTAGGAGTGTGTGGCAAGCGTTTAGTTCGACCAATTGTTGCTGGTAGAGGTCGCATAGTTGTTGGATTTCCGCATCTTGCCTTGCGTAATGAGGCACGTGAGAACCGAGTAGTCCAGCTGCGGAAGAGGAGGAAGAGTATTAGAGGAGGCCGCGGTCGTGGTGTAGACCTAGATGGTAGAAGAAGTGCTAGTGGTGCCAGCATCTATTTTGACAATATTCAGATCTTGTCAATCAAATTTCTAGGCGACAATCCATTCCTTAACTCGAAGCTCCGTAGAGTTGCTGCTGCGCTGCAGCAACCTGCTGTTGTTGGAACAGATCGGGTTATCTTAGAACTCACTACAATAACAATTATCCCTTTTTTGTCTCATTTGATGTGTCCATTACCATTTTTCTACTTTAAAACGGCTTACAGATGAGCCAAAAGATGGACTAAGTGAGCCCTTAATTGTCCTATGTCATTTACTTCGACAGTTCCGGCACCTGCGCCGCCGCCAAACATAGAGGCGAGACCAGCACCTACACCAGCTAGAAGTCCTCCTCCTGGCTGATGCTCATCAACAGGAGCTAATGGCGCCATCGATTTCATCCCACCCCCACCGCCGCCAGGAAGAGTTAGAAGGAGGCTTTTGGTGTTCTTGTTTCCCATTTGTTAGGAGAGGCAACAGAAACGGAACCAGGAACACCTTTATTACCCTGCCTTAAAAGAGGTGCCATCGATTTCATTCCACCGCCGCCAGGCAAAGGCGCCATCGATTTCATTGCCCCACCTCCATGTGTTGGACTTTTGACCGGTGCCATCGATTTGTGAAGCGCATCTCCACTTCCAGCACGTATTGGTGCCATCGACTTCTGCATATGTCCCCCATGTCCTATTGGTGCCATTGACTTCTGCATAGCTCCACCTCCTCATGTTTTAGCGCTGGTTGTGGTAGTGGTGGTACAACTCCTAGATAATCTAACTCATACCTGTTGCACTTACCTGCTATATTTCTAAGTGTTGAGTAGTCCTTTATTCTAGATCCACTCAAAGTGTTGAGTTCTACTGAAGTCTGCATTTTAGATCCACTCAAAGTGTTGAGTTCTACTGAGGTCTGCCCCCTACCTCTAGATCCTTTCAATTAAAAAATTAAACGGCTAGCCTTATCTATCGGAGCCATCGACTTTTGCATGTCGCCACTTCCAGCTCTGGTGATGGGCGCCATCGATTTATGCAGGTCACCGCTACCACCCCTGATGGGGGCCATAGACTTCATGTTTCCGCCCCCATCAGGGTCTCCGATAGGCGCCATGGATTTCATCTTTTGGAGTTGTTGTTAGTTGTAACGCTCGATGGCACGGAGAAGGTGAAGGAGGACGTTTAAAATAGTAATTGAAACGACCACCACGGAAACGCAGTTTCACATCAAGTGCTTATCTTATTACAACAATAGCAACTGCTAATGGAGGAGCAGTTGAACTAGTGCACTTGTTCTACCGGGAAGCGTAAACTAGTAGTTCTGAGGCTCTACTGCACATTGCCGGTCGTTTCCCTAAATTGTTCGTGAAGGTGAAGACGGAGGCAAGAAAGGATGAATGAAGCGCTTTTCCTTTTGAAGATTGGCATTATGTCTGCTTTTCTCAGTTCTACTCCTGTAACCATCTTTCTTGTGAAGCACCTACCTTTTCACCTCATCCAGCACACTTTAGTATACTGCTCACTCCAAGTGGATCGCTCATTAGTACCACACAGATTGTAACACCACACCAAGTAAACATAGCTAGACAAGCAGCAAGACTTTCTGGTGCTGAAAAGGCTTCGTTAGATTTCAGATTTCACGTGTTATTTTGACCTATGTATATGTTTATGTAACACCTAACATTTTTGAGTACTCGCAAAAGTCACCTCATCAGTGATTGTCATTTTCGAATCAGGGAGAAAGCTATCTGAAGACAGTGACAGACTGTAGCTGCTTCATCCCTCTTATCGGCCTACCTGGACATGAAAATTCTCTTCTTGATGCGTATGGAAGTTTTTTACTTCCTTGAAGACTTCTGGGAGATCTAGAATCTTTTCAGTACCTGTAGAATTTTGAATCATTTTTCTTGTTGAAAAAATCGAAGGATGAGAACATGAACATCTACACATGGGAAAAGAAAATACTTACAACAATGTCAATCGTATCAATCGACATATTTTCTATGATCAGTAGCTCAATGGATATTCATAATCATATTTATTGGATAATAGCAACAATTTATTACACTCTGACGTTTCATCAATACCATCTACTTATTACATCTCTGGCCGAATGTGTACGTGGCTGCAAGAGGTTAAAGTGAAACAATATCATCGATGGCCTATACAATGTTGTCACTTCACGACACACGGGAAGCTTAGAATGTTCACGTAGTCGCCAATTTGGATGTAGATCTAATTCTAAAAGTAAGATCGTTAACATAGAATTTGTTTTTCTTTCGATAATGTTCGTTGTTCTAAATCTAAGTGTAACTGGTGTAAGCCTAACAACTACTTGTAACTGTAAGTTGTAATAGGAAAGTAAGGGAATGAGAGTAAGAACAAAGCCAAGAAAACAAAGTTCTTAGCCTTGTTGTTCACTTCACAACGACCTTCAGCTCTGTTCATCAACGATGCACTAAATTACAAGTACAACAACTACATACACTACAACTTGCGCGTTTCAGTACTAGCTAATTACTGCTACTACACACTGTGAAATTCTTCGTGATTGACAAGTAGCTTCTGGTGTTTCAGGGATTATCATGATGCCGATCATCAGCAAGTTCCTTGCGCACACAGGGCCAATTTTCGCTGGAGGCCCACGAGGCAGGAAGCTGTGTCGACACGCAGAAAGCTGGATGCTATCGAGCCCAAAAGTCCTCGTTCCTTAGGTGCAAAGCGCTCGTTGATTATCGAAGGCGAAAACTGGGTAATATCCACGATGTTACTGCGGACGACCTCCGCGTCGTTGGGAAGAGGCACGCTTTTGGATAAGAGTTCGTCTTTTTCCGTGTCCAAGCGAGCCAGAGGTTCCGGGAGAGAAAGGTTAGAGCTTGACGGGAGAGGGTGTCAATGTCATATGATGATACGATCTATTCGGCAACCTGCCTAAGATGTGTCAGTGTCATATACTTGAAGATGGTGGTGACGATCATCGCGTTGATTAAACGTTGATCTTATCATGCAAGATTGATACTTCTGTTGGAGTCGGAAACAGAAACCGAAGAGTAATATTTCATTTCGCGGAGGACGTTGATCAAATTAACAATGTCGTGAATATTTTTCATAAAAACACGCATCGTTTCAAGCAGCTGGAGTCGTGCCATTGAAAGGGCGTCCTGTCTGGCAAGAACCGGAATCAAGCTCGAAGCGAATTTACCGTAGTGCGCTGTCGCTAGGACGACATTTTTTGTCGGTCCTATGTGAGGGGTTTTTGGACGAAGATAGCGGTTATAATCCCGAGGTCAACAAGGACGTGCAGAAATGGAATCATCAGGATCAGTTTGATATTTTCATTGTAGGTACTAGAATCTAAATCTACGTCTACTTATGGTCGTTTGATGATAGATAAGTATTACCCTTCCCTCCCATTTCCGCTTCAGCTTCTCCCATCACACGACCGTCGATTTTCATCTGCTTGACCAAAGCATGGTAGCCCACCGCACTGTGGGGACACAAAAGGTATTGCGAGCGCGCATGCACTTCGGAAATGCAAGCGACCGTTTCATTAGAGGTATGTCGCTTGTAATGCTCGCTTACCCCGCTTGTTACGCCTTTCTCCCCTAGGAGAGGCATCAAAAGCCGTAAGCAAAGCACCTTAAAGGTGTACCCTTAATTTCAGTCTCCGTCACACTCTGTGCCGCAAATTCCCGTTGCGCCCACTCTAGCTCGGAGATGGATACGGAGAAGCGTCCACTGTTCTTCAAATCTTCAGAAAACCATTGGCGAACGCGTGCTCGAGCTGTAACTTCTACCTCCACTGCTCCATTCTTAGACCACGTGACGGAATCACATTCCAGAGGCTGAGAACATCCACCCTGGCTTCTTTCCAAATAAGAAAATCGCCAAGGAGGACATGGGTAGCGAGGAATGCAATTCGGAAACCCTTAACATTCGCTGAGGTTTGATGAGAATGCTTCGATGCGGCATGATCCTCTTCCTGAGAATGCTTCGATGCGGCAGAGTACAATTCGTGAGCAGCGGTTCCACCATTGAGTGCAACGTCATACAGAAAGCGTTCGAAGTTGGAGCTCACCTGAATATCCATAGACGGCGACAAGGTCTCTCGCACACGCCCTGCCGGTTCGTAGCGCCCGCTCTGCATGAATCGCGTCAGGATATCGTTCTCGTTACTGCCAATCACAAACTCGAACAAATTGCCGAGACGAAAATACTTCTTGCAATAGTAGCCAGCCAAGACATCTCCAAAGTTACCGGTGGGAACGCAAAAACGCATCGAAGGGAGCTGGAGGTGGTGGGAATGAAATGAGCAGTGTTGTGAAGAGACTGATCGATATCCATTCAGCGATGGTATAATCTCGTGCCTATTCCTGGTAGATTGAATTAATAGAGACTGAAAGACGCAAAGGAGAGTTAGAGAAACATAGCATCTACACGTCGACTAATACCTCTCCCCTCTGCACGGCCCTTGCCAATAATCCACCTGAAGACAGTGCATCCAGCTTTTCCTTGTTCATCTGGAAGTAGCAGTACATATAGTACACCATCTGGCACAAAACACGGCTAATGTTGATCGAATTCACTGCCAAGATGTTGTGTTTTTTCACAAACGCTTCATCCCGAAAGACGCTCTTCACAATGGCTTGGCAGTCGTCAAACGTCGCACCCTTCACTGCACACGCAAGAACGACGTTTGAGGCTTTTGTGGATGCTCGTTCCTTGGAGACGATTCGGGATCCCATTGAGGAATTCTGGTTTTGCGGGTTGGATGCACTTGAGGAAGGTTAGAGGTGATAACTACGACGATTGAGGTGGAGGTGAAGGATATATTTTTTTCCGAGAATGTTGATTACAGTTGTCTAATCATCATGCTAGCATATCCATATATGATTTGGGGCCGGGCGGTCCCCCCCCCTGTGGGGTGGTCGGTGGAGGCGGCCCCTTGGGCCCCTCTTGAGGCCTTCCATCTACGTCGGAGGCCGCTAGGGACCGCCAAGCCCCATGACAGGGGCGCAGGCGTCTGCCGGTGGTGGCAGGCCTCTAAAGGGGTCCGGGGCTGCCGGTACCCCCCCCCGACGCTAGGGGGGGTACCGGCAGCCCCAAGCCCTGGATCATATATGATGATAGATTGGATAATAGAATTAGACTTTTTGCGCCCGATATCGGGTCGAGTTGCTCGAGTTGCTCGAGTTGAACGAGTTCCATACCAAAAAAGTTGGCGCTGCGCCCTTCGGGCGCACTATCTTCGAAGCGTCAAATACGTCGCCCAGGGGCGCAAACCACCTTCACAAGCGAACGCCTCCAGTAGCGCCCTCTCTTCTCTGCGAGGCGCTGCATGCGCGGGGCAGACAAGAGCAACGCCACCCAGGGCCCTGCCCTCGTAGTTTTGTGTTACTAAGATAGCGCGCCTGCCTGGTATAGCTGCTGCCCTATAAAACAAGCACACAAATAAACCTACTCCATTCCGATCCCGATGCGTCTAAGTACACTACTCAGGGGGGCCCTGCTTGTGATGCTATCGCTACCCACTAGGCGGCGCGCTACTCAGTAAGCCCACTACGTACAGCGCAAACAGGGGCCCCAAGAAGCCGAACAAGCTGGCCACTCACCAGCAAAAAAAACAAAGCCAGATCGCGACCGACATCAGCGCACGACCATGCAGAGACACCGACACCGCGGGGAAATCGCTGCACTTCACAAGGCTTGCGCGCGCGCCACTCAAACAAAAAAGGCCCCGGGCTCGCCTTCATACTTTCGCTAAGCCCAAGCCCCGAAGAGCTCGGCCGGGGCGTGTCTCTTTAATACAGACGGCAGATCTGCCACGAAGCAACTGGCTACGAGCTTCCCCCTGAACTCCGCGGCATCTTGGCCCGCCATACCGCCGCGGGGTGCTGCGCTTTCAAAGTGGCAAGCTGCCGAGAGGAACTCGTTAGCAACTCGTTCCGGACTGGGCGCGTGAGTTTCGGCAACTCGTGGCAACTCGAGAGAACTCGAGCAACCCGTAACTCGAAAAGCGGACTACTCTAGCGATAAGTTTATCATAAGTAAGAGTCGATGCGACATCCAGAGTTTCACCAGTAGGTTCATTGGTGTTAAAGCTCAGCATCTGCAACTCCTGGGTACGGCTGACACGGCCTTGAGGGTACAGAATCAACGCATTGACATTCTGCTTTCCCTGTACGCCAGCTAGAGCTGCGCTACCAGTGTCGCCGGATGTGGCACCAAGAATCACAGCGGACTTGCAAGTGGGGAGTTAGAAGTTGAAGCAAGAATGCGAGTGGTATGTCTTGTAGAAAGAATATATATGTGACTACACGACTACAACTCCATGATTCCTTTATATATAACTGTTACTGACCATGGCCACGCTGTCAATTCTACTTAATGTATTGTTTTGGTATTCGGTAGCCCGATTTTGATCATGAGGGAAAACAAGAAGAGAATCCCTGTGATCAAATTCAGGTTACCAAATATGAAATACCGAAACCATTCACTTAATAAACTTTATTCTACGAAAAAATGTTAATTATTGTAATAGTACATGTTGAGTCATAAGAACTTCCTTCCGCCTTGTTCTGTTCCTCTTGTCTTTGGATGAGGAGCTCGAAGAGGTTACCCAAAAATTGCAACGCGCAGTCCTTGAACGCGAAGGTAGGTCCATGGAATAGCTCTAGCATAGCGATGTCGTGCGGGTCGTTCTCGGGTTTCACGATTTCGACAACCTCCGCAGTCGGAGCTCGCCAGTTGGACGGCTCAGAGGTTTTGTAGGTCTTGTCGCACAGAGCTCGTAGAGTGGTGTCATCGATTTCGCGAGGTGGGATGAAGAGGCGGAGGATCTGAGTTGAATTTGAATGTAGATTGGGACGATGCGTTGTTGTAACTATTACACCTTGTAGTTTCTTGATGTCGTGACATCTTCTGAATGGTTCCGGTATTTGGTAACCTGAGTTGGATCCTAAGGGAAAACAAGAAGAGAACCCTTAGGATCAAATTCAGGCTATACCAAAAATACCAGAACCATACATCTTCTACACTGACTGTAGGAGCGACTTGGACATTATGCGAAACCTCCTTGCACTTTGTTCCTGTTGTTTTTGTTACAACATCAAAAATTATCTTCATAGAAATTATTTCTAGTGACAAGTACCTCAAACGCCAACTCCGCATAAGACAGTTTGTGCCATTGAAGAACGGTCGCAGCGGTAATCTCCTTCGGCAATTCATCCTGTGGCACCAAGAGGCCTCCGTCAGCGGATAATCCACGTAGGACGGCATCTACAAAAGCCACATCTTTTTCACCTCCACGAGTCGAAGCGTATTTCATGGAGCGTATTTCAGATGCAGCGTCTGCGCTGTAGTAGTTTTCGCCGACAATCTGGTGAACCATTTTTTTTGGATTTTATCGTGGATCTTTCTGAGATATCAACAACAAGAAATGTGTCGATCATTTCTTATAATTTTTGAATCACGACGAATTTTCTTCAGAATTTTCAAATCAGAAGATAAGCACTGAAAGGAAGAGGAAGACGAAAAACTTGAAACTATAAAAAATGTAAGGATGCAGCGACCCTATAATCGTCAGAGAAAACGATTCTAGAGCACTGTTGCTTTGTGGTAGTGCTACGCTTCCGGTACGTTCTCCCTTCTATGGCCCTTAGATTTCATTTCTGAAGTATCTATACTTGATACATCATCAACTACACACAATGGAGGATGCTCCTACTCAACTATGTTGATGACCACTGCAAGAATGTCATGTGTGCGCTCCGTGTTCCCTGCTCGATACTCGATCTTCACCTAAGGAGCTGGATGACATAGAAGTACTAGAAAACTAGCGTTTAAGTAAGTACTTCTAGGGTTCAGCTAGTGGTTAGTCCCAACTAGACTTCACCTATCCACTGCAAGAAGCTTCTATCTTCAAACTACACAAGAAGAATGACAACAACCATAAAACGGAGAACCGTTGTAAACAGAGGAAAACGCATCCATAAACATACTCATAGATAAATATGATCGTGGGGTACTCGTACTGAGTACGTTTCTTGCTCACGCTCTCCATGAAGATGATGACATTTTCAAAATCTTCACTTCTCAACACCAGGCAGAGGAGTCTACCCGAGTACGCAGAATGATACAACAGAAATGTGTTTGTTTCGAGCTCGTCCTCACACTCAAAAAATCATGTCGTGATACCGAGGGGAAGTGGTAGAACATATGTGATAGAAGAAAATGTTGACTAGTAGCAGCATTTTCTTTTAGAAGGTCTCTGACATGGAGATTCACGAGGCTCTAATACTCAGGTTCCTTCGTCTTGTTCATGCTAAAGGGTATGGTAAAGACTTGATGAAGCTGCGTTTGGTAAAGTGCGTTGTCTTTTCATGTTGCTTGTCCTCGAGTAGCAACCTTTACAATTGGATGCGACTGCGATAGGAAGGACAATTTATATTTCTCAAGACTAAAGAATAGGGATCGATTTCTAGCTTCATCAGTTTCATATTATGAAGAGTTCTAAGGAAAACAAAGGATACTACAACTCGTACATCATGATCAAAGGGGACATTAGGTTTGTCGGGGACATGAATTTTCTGATATCAAGACCCAACTACGTCGTTTCCCCTTTTTCGTTTATTTTCCACTCCCCCTACTAGTACTACCACCAGCACCCTCAAGACCTCCTCGTCGTGTACTAACCGTTTCTAGCAACTCCGGACGCGTCGTCTGTAAAAGCGTCTGGATCAGTTTTGTGTGGGCAGGATAGCGCTGTCGGAATCTAGCAGTGCGGTACCGGTTAATACAGTAAGCCGGATCCATGTCCCAGACAAGGCTTACGCTTTGTCCCGCAAACCGACCTCCTGATGGGAACATTAGGTCTGCTGGAGTTGTTGCACTAGAGGGTACAGCAGAAAGGTGAGCACATGAGCTATCGACGCCACCGGAAGCGTTGCTCGTCCCTCGTTGTTCGTCCTCGTGTGTTGACGGAACGAAAAAGGTACTTGTATATCCACCACGACCCAGAATCGAGGATGTAGTTCTTGACTGTTGTTCTGCAGCGGGTTTATCTTTTCTGGTCTTGTCCTTAATATTCTCGTGTTCAGTTCCCTCCTTTCCAGTTTCATCAAGAACTACATCATCGTCCCCATCTGGTTCGTCAGGGCTCCTAGGTAAATGTTCGTTTGGAAAATTCACTGGTGTAATCGCGCCACTCGGTGAGAAGTCGTCGATGTCGAAAAACGTATTGTAGCCACAAGAAAGCGCCATCGTGTTTCCAGCTGCAGAAAGGTTTGTGTTGTAGGCGGATGAAGTTCCATATGCATTCATCTTGCTGGAATCTAATCCGCCTCTGGTAGGACCCAGGTTGAAAAATGATGCTGTTCCATAGCCACCACGCCCTTGGTGCGCGCTATCGATCATCTGAGCAGGAGTCCGCCAAGGCGTCGCCTCAGGATTCAAGTGATCATCCTGACCGTGGTCGCCCACCAGAAAACGAGTATGCGACCACGAAGATGAAGAACCATCAAAAGCTGGTCCGTTATTCCTCGTCCGTAAAGCAGCTCCTGGACCTGCGAGCCACTGCATAGCAGCAACGGGGTCAGTTTTTGTGATGGGAATATGTGAGGTATTGGGACTATGCGCAGCAAAAGGCACTCTGCGGTCATGGAAACGATGAGGCTTCGTTCTGTTGACCTTGGAAGTTGAGCTTGAGACGCACGATGACGGTGCCGTCTCCTTGGTGGATTCCACAAGAGTGGAATCAGGATGCAACCCAGCAGAGCGCGCTCCAATTTTAGAGACCGCACCTGTTCGTACTCCGAGCTTCTGCACTGCAGCTAGCCCTCTTTTCCCTCTCCGGCTTTTGCGCACTCCCTTTGATGTAGTAGTAGTACTTGTACCCATCTTCTTCAAAGTACTTGTTCCAGCAGATGCAAGAATAGTCGTAGGGTCGTGAACTACGTGATGGTCGTGATCTTCAATCATTGGAACTCGCGAAGCGAGTATCAGTTCTTTTCCTTTTTCATCCTTTTCTCTCTCTGGAAATCCGCTTTTTACGACATCTTCTTGTAAAGCGGCGTACTGTTTTTCGCACTGGGCCATTTCCTCTGGATCCCAGAACATTGACGCAGCAGAATGCTCACGAGGCTTAACGCCATTCTCTTTTTCATCTTGTTGACTTTGAAGTTGTTTCTCCTCTTCTTGCTTGTTAATGCGCTCTAGCCATTCCTCGAAGGACTCCTCCCCCATCGCAGGTGAGCTACAATCGACGGCAAGAACGAGTGCATTTTCATTATCTTTCGAGGATGGCGAGGAAGCCGAAGCAGGTGCCAAGAGGTCGTCCTCTTCGTTCAACTTCAATGGAGTTGTACAACTACTTGTAGTTGAAGAGGTTCTTGTTGTACTTCTAGCCTTCTTTTTCGACCTAACCTTGACAGGAGTAGCAGACTTTCTTCGATCATTCTCGACTCGTCTACGAGACTCGCTGATGAACTGATCCAACGTGATGTCAAACTCGTCCATCGAGTTGCCGTTGGCTATGTGCGCCTCTACTGCTGCTGGATCCTCCCTTCTCAAAAAGCTCCAATCACGATAATGGCTAGGAAACTTGTTCTTCTCTGTACTGGGAGATGAAGAGAAAGTACTGTAATTGCCAGTGCTACAACCAGTTTTAGAGCGAGTATTTCCAGCAGCTTCAGATTGATGTGCACCGGCTGAGCAATGACCATCTTCAACAACAACTTCTGCCTGCGTATTTTGGCTCTGTTCAAAGCTTCCGTCTTGCGTTTGTTGTTGCGTATCCATCAGCAAAAGTGGATCCTGAGACGCGATGTCTCCGAAAATACATCTATCCTCGTCGTGTTCTCCTATGTTGACCAAAGTAGAAGAATCTTCCCGTAGTGCTTGTGCCTTCCTAGAAGTATAATGTGTATGATCATGGTCCTCTACGGGTTCATCTTCGTGCTGTTGAGGATCTACCTGCTGCTCTTCGTCGACATGAAGATGATCTTCGCCATCCTTACTGCGGAAGCTACTACTATTCGTCTCCCCCATCGTGGAAACGAAATTGAGAGAGAAGACGCGCTTGTATCGTTGGCCATCCTCAGAGGACGTTTGGATATCACGGTAGACCTTCTTCAACTCCGCCAAAGCTTGTCTTCGCGAGAGTTCTTTGTTCAACTTTTTGTTCACGCCGGATTCCATCAAGGCATTCCGCTGATCCCAATCATCTTGTTCGAGGTTTTGAGTTTGTCCCCGGGTGAGAATAATATCCTCATTGTCCTCGCTGCTAGGTATACGTTCGCGATGTGCATGTGAGTTGTACCCGTCATCTGCAACAACTCTGGAGGACGATCCAACTCTGTAGAAGTTGCCGCTCTGCTCAAAAATGGAGGTATCTCCGAAGAGCGAGTGGTCTGCGTCATCGCCATTCTCCTCGAGTGAGTCACCAATCACGTGCTGGAACCGAGGCACACACACGATAGCGGCTTCGCGGCGCTCGTGCAGGTATTTCCGCAACTCCGCTTGCTCCCAAAAGTGACGGCAGAGAAAAAGCCCAAGCCGATTTTCCTCTAGAAACTTTCGACGCGAAGACAAAGCTCCCAAACCAGGTCTGTAGATCGCTGTGCTCTCTAGCATTCGGCCTAATGCGGCGAAGCGTGGAGGCCGAAGAATCCCAGTTGTACTATTCAAGTCCTCGAAGGAGGTATAGTCTTCTGCTTCACTCTCCTGATACTTCTTCCACGCGTGTAGATGAAGGAAGAAGTTGCGGAAATCACCTGTTTTCGAACTGGCAATGTGCTCAAGTTCTGGATTGCTTCTTAAGTCGCTACTCGTGCCTAAAACTGCACCAGCACCATTATCATGCTCTACTAGAAGACCACGAGACTTTGACCTTCTTCTTGTCCTAGAGCTGTTGTAGATATCATCCACATGGTCAACATCCTGCTCCAGTGGATGTTCATCATCTTCATCGTCATCTACAATATCGTGGTACGACCTATCTTCATTCCCCACGAGGCGATGTTTATTCCAGACCGGTTGGGAGACGCATAGTAGGGAGCGACCGCGAAAGAGAAATGACAACGTTCGGACCACGAACTCTTTGGCATAGTCTTTGACTGCTAAGCGACTCCCAGGTCCTGGATTCGTGAGCAGGTCCCACCGAAATCCTGGAGACAGCGACAATGACCGCAGAATGTCTACTTGGGCGTCAAACGTCTCCTTGGCTTTTTCCCGCTTTGTTTTGTGGCTAAACCCCTTGATCGGAACCGCTTCCAAATGCTGTTTGTCCTTCCGTGCCAGGACCTTCTGGACGCGCTCGACTAGCAAGTCTGTGTTTTTGGGACACGACAAAGCTGTTTCCTCCACGTCCCTAATGATTAGAGGTAGGTTCTTTTTGGTGCTTGCTTACCCCGCTTTTTATGCCTTTCTCCTCCTAAGGGAGAGAGGCATAAAAAGCGGTAAGAAAAGCACCTTTAACCTACCCTTAAAATAAACAGCAAGAGCTCGATCCAGTGCCGCAACAGGTCCAAAGCGTTCCTCAGAAAACTCTGCTGGCTGTTGTATTTGCGATACAAAATGCGCTTGCAGTAGAAGTCGTGGATCTGTTCCACAAGGGACAAACGGGCCAATCTGGTGCTAGAACCAGACTCTCTCCTCTTCCACGCTTGCACTAGTTCCTTTCGATTTAGGGTCTCGCAGAAAAACGGCGTCCAGTAGGCCCAATTGATACCACTCCACAACAAAGACGGTGAAGCCGAATGCGCTAGTTGTCTTTCTTGTTGCACATTTTTAAGCATGATCGTTCCCGTGTTCTTGTTTGCCGATTCTGTATGCATCTTTCCTGTGTTAAAAAAAGTACTCGAACTCGAAGAAGCGGGCCGCGTCATCAAGTGAGATGAACTACTAGAAGCAGCTGGCGTCCAGAGAGCAGACGTTGAACTATGTAGTCCTAGTCTTCCAGACGCATGTAGATCGTCGGACGGTTGTAGATCGTCGTAGTTGAAAACAGATCTTGAACTTGATGAATGTCGCCCTTGCCCCCAAGGAAAAACACTACTTGTGCCAGAAGATGTAGGTCGTGTATTTCTGGGTTTATCATATGTAGAAGGAACCACGACACATGCTCCTCCATAAGAGGACATGGCTTCAAGCGCAGGAGCAAAGTTTTCAACAATGCGCATCCAGTCGTGTTTTAGTCGCTCATATTGCCTAGCTGCTGTTTCTTCGAGTGCTTGAGCTAGTGCGATCCAGTCTTGATCCGGTAGCAGGAGGCCCGCATAGTCTGTCGGAAGCGCGATAGGAACTCGGTCGGAAGCCGCTAGTTCAACAAAATGTTGATGTTGTTGATGATCATCATGTGCTTCGTTGTTGTTGTTGTTGTTTTGTGGTGGTTGCAGAAGATGGCGATGTGTTGGGAGGCTGCTTTTCATGCTGTGTTCGAAGAGGTTATGATTCACTCCGCGAAGGAAATTGTTTGGAATCAGTCGGTTTGCGTGTAGTGCAATCCACGAATCTACAGGCGGAGCTCCATCGAGATTTGAACAACTGTGTCCGTCAAGCACATCCAGAGGAAGGAAGAGGCCGTTTTCGTCTCCCGCTGCATGATTGCCATGACGACCATTTTCGTCACCATGATGCTCTAGATCTAGTATTCTGCTACCACCAACACCACCACGACCACCACCTTTGGGCAACACTATTAGATCTTCATCAACATTGAAGGCACATCGCCATATGCGGCTCAGCAGATCGGCGTCCATTTCAGAGGGTTCAACGTCTAAGGGCTGGTAATGCTGCGTTCCTTGCTGCCCGGCGTCTCCGGCTTGTACTGGTCCATCATGTAGTTCTTGTGCATCCTTTGGAACACAACTCCCACCAAACGTCGAATAATGCTCTTCATGTTCGCTATTCTTCCATCGCACTGGCAACTGATAGTCCCGCAATTTCTCTGCCGCTAGATGGCGAGGTGTGAATTTCTCGCTGCACTGCTCACACACGCGGAGTGTCTCACTCCTACAGCCTGAGAGCCTAGGAATCCGTGTCTTCCTCGAGAATAAGTGGCAAACTTCACAAGTGTAGGGATGAAGGAGGAAATAACGCCTCTGATTTTTACCCATGGCCTCGAGAGCAACACGAGGTTTCAGACACTGGTTCCAGGATGTGGATGTGGTGGCAGTAGAAGGATCTTCGTGCTCATGGTGTAGCAAATGGTTGTCGCCTGCTTCTTGTTCGTTCTGTTGATGAAGGTCCTGTAGTGCTGCATTATCTTCAAGAAGTTCTAATGTAGAAGTTTTGTCAGTCTTTCTTCGCTTCGTTGATGGTTCTTCTTGTTGATCTAGTACAACTAGTTCTGGATGCGCTTCAGAAGTCTTTGCTCTTGAACTTTTTGAAGCAGCTGCATTTTTAGCAGCTGCAATAGCGGTAGTATCTTTAGAACTAGAAGAAGCTCCACCAAGAAGCTTGTGTTCCAATTTTTTGGCATGTTTTTTCTTCTCTTTCGGGTCTGCGTCCGGTCCTCCGATGCGGTTATAGAGTATTCCGTAACAATGTTCTCGAAGCCACACTGGGAAGGGACAAGTGACCAGAAGCGCGCGCACCTCCACCGATCGCAAGTAAGGCGCGATGTGTGTGCCAACGGCCTCAACAATACAACGGAAAGTTGGAGCATTATGCGATTCCGGATAGTAGGGTCTCCAATTTTTACCGAGAATGTCTAAGATGCTTGAGTTCGAAGATAAAGTGCGGTTTCGGTTCCGATTCTTGTAGTTGTTGGAGGAGGACTTGGACGATCTTACTCCAGTAGTTGATGACGCACTGAGTGCAGCTTCACAAGAGGCAGCATTGATGTTCTGTCGTTCTGTCGCTGAAGACATCAACAACAACATGTTGGCGTTCGCGTTTTTAGCAGGTGGACTTGTTGACGATGTGCGTCCACTTGCCAAGCCCAAGGAGATCCCCTGACCTTGGGATGCTGCGCTTGCCTCGGAGGCGGTGGTCGCCATGGTATTTTTTTTCATCATGTCGACGTTCTGGAAGTACTTCAGGTTCTTGGATATAATTCTTATGGTGCCTTCTCTCTTGATTTTTCTCGTAAATAAAATCAGCTTGGTCACTCACTTTATTGTGTGAAATTAAGCGAGCACGTAGAACGCAGTTAGATAGGGACCACATTTTCGAGGAAAATAAAATCTATACCTCAATGGGTTTAGGTTCCACATGAAGGGACCCAGGTCATAAAAATCTTCAGGGAGGAAATCGAAATTATTCTCCTCACGATATTTTTACCTGCTGTTGATGTTTTTGAATGATGTCGAAGACTTTTGATCTTAGATTTCTCCAATCAGTATCAGACTTTTGATCTTAGCTTTTGTTGGTCCATCTTTGTGTTGCAGAGAGGCTGATCATGATCTGGATCTTGCATTGTGGCAACGCAAGAAAGACAGTGCTTGGCAGTGCATTTTTGGTTTCTATGAGTACTCAGTTTTGATCTGCGGGAGGAAGAGGATGTAGATGTTGAAGTTGTTGATCTTTTAATATTCTTTGGACGTTGTTGTATGAGCATATAGTGCAGCTTGGGCTGATAGAACGTCCGAGCAGATCTTCTTCTGGATCTGTTCTTCCGCAGTGGGATAACATGTTGACTCTTTTGGATACTTGATCATTCGATCGTATTCGTATAGAAGAAAGAATATAGAACAACTATGCTTTTGACTTCTACTGAGTCGCTTTCGGACTCAAAACGGCCTCGGGATGCTTAATCGAGTGTTTTGCTTTTGTATGACTCGAGATATAAGATTAAGTAGGAGATTGCGGCTTGCACTTCGGTCTGTGAATAGGATGAGCACTCCACTACATTCATTTCATGACTTCACAGCGAAGCTTTCAGAAACAGAATGTCTGAGCACTCCACTACATTCATTTCATGATTTCACAGCGAAGCTTTCAGAAACAAGAATGTCAACATGCGCGTTTATCATGAAGAATAGCACTATTTTGGATGTAGTAAGTGCTCGAAGAACTACGAAACTAGCGAAACGGAAACAAAGAAAACGGAAACGCATTTTTTACATCTATGTGAGGTCCTCGTTTCCTAGCGGCCGTGACCCAAAACACCAAGTAGATACTTTTACTTTCTGTTCTTCATGCTCTCATGTTAGACGAGGCGGCATTAAGCTAGTGAGTAGAATTTTCTTAACGTCCTGTGTATCATTTCCCGTCTCGTCTCATAGTCTTGGTCCGACGTATTGTTCAGCTTTTTTTAGAGGTAGGCCCTTGGTGTTCGTTTAACCCGTTCGCTATGCCTTTCCCCCTTCAGAAAGACAAAACAAACGGCAACAGGAACACCTTTAGCCTACCCTTAATTTTTCATGTGGTCTTTGGGCACAGGCTTACACAAGTGATCTGCTGCATCTTCCCCCACAATAGGATGCTGATATTGGACCCGCTTCGTCCTCTCATCGGGATTAAAGGTGAGCTGCTTGCCAAAGGGGTTTTTGGCGTCGACACAGCAAAGACAATGCGGCCACCAGGCTACTAAGCCCAAGTCGGGCTGGTGCGTTGGGACGTAGATCAACCAGGGCCGTTCCTTGTCAGGCTCCAGCTGTTGTGCTAGCGGCAAGCTTGCAAGCTTCAACCAATAATCGAGTTCGGCGACCCGGTCTTTATGCGAATTGCTGTCACAGTGGGAATAGTCGGCCCATTTCGTGCAAAGCTTGCAGTACACGCAGTTAAGCACATCGGCGTCGGGTCGTGTTGGTGCTACGTTCACGTTCATGTTTCCGTTTTGATGGTTTTCTGCTGTATAATCAAGAGCACCTTTTTGACGTCCTTGTAGTCCAAGTTGTACAAGAACTTGTCCTTTCTGTTCAGCATAATTGATTAATGGCGCTTCAGCGTTGCAATCCCTCACTTCGAATCCGGCATGGAGTAGGTTTCCATCAACATCGAAACAATGCTCATATCCATCTGTTAGAACTTGCCCTAATCCATCCTGAGATCCAATCTCGGATTTATTGCCCCCTTATGGGACAGCTTCGAGACGCTTCTGGAGATGGATTAGGGGATGCCTTAAATCTACCATGTCACGTTTTCTGAGGAGGTCCCGCACGCGTAGAAAGTGAGGGGATTGAGGATTCACCTGCGACAGTTGGAGAACTTGAACTTCCGGTTGTTCGTCCTCTCGATCGTGCTCCGCGTTAGCGTTAAGACTCTGTTCTTTTATTTGGATAGCAGGAGGATCTTCAAATGTTCCATCAGGTCGTCTCACTGCGATTCCTTTCGCTTCCTGAAAGCTTCGACCCTCAACTCCTACGTATACTAGCACCTCATCCAGCAAAAAGTCGCAGACGTCGCTAAGTGTAACTTCATTTTCATAGCGTTCGTCACCTTGAAGATGTCTAGAACAATGATTGTTTTCATCTTGCTTCTGAGTGCGCCCTCTATTGTGTTCTTCATCTTCACAATTGTTGCTCATCTTCTTGGGATAACCAGCATTGTGATTGTTATTCTTACGCGAAGATCCTCTAAGAGTCTTCTTTTGTCGGTCGAATTCCAGGGCTCTCTCTTCTTGTGCCTCTTTTTCTTTGCGCAAGTTATCCGCCTTCTCCCTAACGTCAGGCCATAGTTCCTTGAGCCATTCCTCCGCAAATTTTACGGCTTCTTCACGCATTTTTCCGTATAGAAGGCTGCCCTTATCGACGCTGTCTGTGCGGAGGTGCGTCAGATGCCACCCAGGCCTTCGAATAAGGCGAAAGTTTGGCGGTGGACGCGCAGGTAGACGCTCTTTCATCGCGTCTCCCAACATCATTGCATGGATTTCCTTACAAAAAGAATCGTGTTGGTCGTCGTCTTCTTCACTTGGCCGTAAACTTCTCATGGAATGGCCCTTGACAATCCTACTCCAATGTTCTGCGCCGAGACCACGTCGTGCTGCACGAGACCTTGAGCTAAACCTAGTATAAGAAGAACTACTGTAGTCGCCAGCACTCCCCAGACGAGATCCAGATGCACCATAGCAAGAAGAACTCTTGCTACCGCCACGACCAGGAGATCCAGACGCATTTCCACGAGAGCAAGAACTTTTCAAGTGCCACTCTGTTTTCCATCTGGTGTAAAAAACGGGTGCACCATTGTGACAGCGATATTGCTGAGGCAATGGATCTTGTCCAATCTCTTCAAGGAAACGGTTTCCCTCCTGCTCCTTTCTTCGGCTCTTAGCAGCTTCATCTTTCCTGTGCCGCTCGAGGGCTTTATTGGCGATAGCAAACGTTTGTTCCTGTACCTTTGGGTCGTCGCCGTGGTTCATGTTGTGGGTAATGTTGGTGACTTTTTCGATCTTCCAGCAGCTGTGACCAATTTTATCAGGAATTTTTCTGAGATTGTCTTGATTTGGAGATGCCCAGAACGCCTTGGAAGATGTTTTCTGATGTTTACCTCCTAGCGCCTCTTTCTGATGTTTACCTCCTACGTCTACAACAGCTACACCGCCCAACCTCCGCCTTGCAACCGGAGACGCAACAACATCAATCGAACAAGCATCATCTTCTTCGTCCTTCAACATGTCAACATCGCCATTTTCGACGTCTTCATCTACTGACGTCCTAGATACATCATTCACCATTCTCTTTTTCTTTATTTCAGAAAGTGAACATCCTCCATGGCTTCCACCTCCATGCGCATGTCCTCCATCGTCCTCCACTTCGCGTTCGCTCTCATCTGAAGATTCCCCGGGTCTAAAAAATCTTGCTCCATTCTGAGCCCACTCGAACCGCTCTGGTTCACGCGAGCTCAACGAGGCATTCGAAACGGTATCGTCTGTACTTGAGAGATAGGACAATGAGGCTCGCCGTTGACATGGAGGTTCTGAAATTTCTGCAGAGCTAGCAGAGTCTACTTCCGACGTTGTACTAGTAGTAGAGTCCACGAGGACCTTGTTTTTATCGGCAGCATTGTCGTTCCCAAATAACCTTCTCGTGTTGTGCGTGGCTTTGCATTTCTTGAGAGACAAAAAGCCGTCTTGGTTGGTACCCACCCTCATCTTCTTGTACTTGTTGAAGCAAGGAGCTTCTCCTACATTTTTATGTCGTGCATCTGCAAGAAAAGGCGCAGGTACTGTTAGAGGTAGGTTTTATTTGGTGTTCGTTTATCCCGCTTGTTATGGCTGTCCTCCTTACTAGGAGAGCCATAACATACGGTAACGAAAGCACCTTTACCCACTACCCTTAATACTACAGCTGCAGCCGTTGAGATCGTGTCCCCTGTAGAAGGTGTCACCTCGTCCGTCTCGCTCGTCGATAACTTCAACAGCCCTAGTTTGGCAAGATATTTTGCAGGATCTTGTAGACTCATCTCACTAGGGAAAGCGAAATTGGCGTCAGCACGCATGAACTGCTCGACCATATCCGTGGTTATGTTAGAGCTACCACGCCACATCTTCCTTGAGTGCCAACATATTATCCTTGAGCACCAACTTCTTTTTTCCCTTGAAAGACATCAGCCCAAGCAGTCAGTGTTGTGAGGAAGCAGTCATCACCAGTAGCCTTAATTATGAGACCGCCAGGACGTACACATGGGTAACACTTTTTTAGCTCTTCGCGATAGCAGCGACGCAGAGTATTGGAACCGCGTTTGAGCCGGGCTGCCATTGCCTGATGCTGTGCGGTCTGCCGATGCCGAGTGATCGCCTCAGAGTTAGAAGAGAAGTCCATAGAGGTGTATGTTCCTCAACAACCTCGAGCACAATACGCAGAAGTTGATGTTGAGGTGGATTAGGACACTTACACTCATCACGTTTAGGCTCATCAACATCTTAATCTTCACTTTGTAAACACTCATCACGTTGACGATCATCAACATCTTAATCTTCACTTTGTAAAAGATGTAAGTAGAAGTTGAAGTTGTAGTACTTCTAGTAAAGCCTTAACGCGCGATAGTTCGTTCATGGACATCTTGCAGAGATCGCACCAAATTTGTCCTTTTACGGGCTGAGCAGAAACTGTTTCAAGGTCTGGATGAGCATGGATCCAATCGTGCTTAAACTGCGCCAAACCTGCCTGCTCTTCTTCTTCGATCTTCTGCGAAAAAATAGACTTCTTTTCTTGTGCTCTGAAGGCTGTGGTCTTGCGCTCTGATCGATCTTGGTGGAGGTGATACATGAACAACAAGGGTGGATGTGGGAAAAGGAATGCGAATGGTTGTGCGAGGAACTACTTAGTTAAACTTAAACTACAAAGTTCTTTTTACTTTGCTACAACTAGTATGCATTGTAAACCTTCCACAAGTACTAGATATCGAAATCTTCAACAGTCAAAGGGTGGAGTGAAAAATGTGTATCAACAGCTAGAGGTAAAAAGTCAAAGCATAACTTGAAGCAATTGGTTTCTGTTCTCGAGTTTTTTGCTTTGGCAATAGACCTTTTCGAAATTGACTCCAATGAAGGTAGTATCTTCTTCCTCCTGTGCCCCATCATTATATTGCGCCCCGCCAGCAATGCAATATTCGATTGGTGGACTGTCAAAAAAATGCTTCACTTCTTCGCTCCCACTTTTATTGCTGTTTAGTCCAACATCGGAGGTACAGGAGACAACATGTTCGAGTATAAAGCATGGTGTACGACGTGGTTCGAAATATTCCTGTTTCGAGTCCTCTTCGTGGTGTGAATCTTCGATATTCGAATTGGTGTTTCTCCTTCTCCTATCTTGGTGTCCTAGTTTTTTGTTTCTCGTCAGTTCTTGTGTGATGAATTTCCAAGCTTCTTCTCGCCTATTGCGTTCCGCACGTCTCGGATCGCGAAGTCCGAGATATTCAGTCACGAGATGCAGCCTCAAATTAGCGCTGCGATTCTGATTTCATCAGAGTCAGGATCAAAATGAGGATCTTCGATACTAAAACGGACGACGAAATTATTGTAATATTCAAATATATATAATAATCCTTCCAGAAGCAGGCGAGGGAGTATGATTCATCTGTAAAGGAGCTATCACGAAGATCTGAATCTACCTGTTTCAAGAAGAAAGGCCGGCCATTGTACTTGCGCTATCTCTAACTGTAACTGGAGGCATGGATCTATAAGCAGGCTTCTCCATCTCTAGTCTCCGACAAAGCCTTAAGCAATGGACCAATCGCGCCTTTGTCCTCCCGCATCAAGTCATCCAGTTCTAGCATCAGCTGTCCTACCTCAATATCGCGCAACTGAGCAAGCTCAGCTGGGTGGCTGAAAAGATACTCGATATCCATTAGCTTTTTTAGAGGTGGGCGTATTATTTCTAGATTTTTAAGCTTCTAGTAGTACGTCGCACCAGGACTAGAGCAGGCCGCAACAGGAACTCCGAACTTGTTGTAGCTAGAAGGAAAAGAAAAACATAGTACCAAAGAAATAACCATGATCATCATGTTGAAGCATCTCTACCTTCAGCGAACAAGTATATATTTTTTGGAATTGGATTTTGTTCATACTCTAGCATAATCTTCCAAAAAATTCGAAAGGCGACGAGGCCTCCGATCTCTTGATGTACTTGTTCCGGTTGTCGTGAATTTCTACTACGTTCTCCGCGTCTTCATTGGCTATGGGACGTCTTCCGGACGAGTGCCCTCGCTGCATCGAGTCGTCTGAACCGGAGGTACTACAGAGGACAACATCTTCGGCACAACTTGTAGTACTCCATCTTCTCTCAGGTGAAGACCGTTCTTTACAACTTGTTCCGTCAATGTTGATGTTAATGTGTCTTGCATTAGTTCGTGCTTCATCTACTCTGTCGTGAAGATTTTTACACGACTCAGCGTCAGCAACAGCATCTTCACCAGCTAGTACTTCTCCATTTTCAACGGAGGCGGCTGCCGCGAAGGCACTTCCGGAACAAGAATTTTCGGAACCTCTTATTGAAGCAGTCCCTTCTTCGGAAGTAGAGGTGGATATGGTTGTACTTGTAGATAAAGCCTCCAAAATAGCGGTGTCGATGTTGTCATCTTCTTCTTGTGCTTCTTCTTGTTGCTCTTGATCGACAGCTTTGTTTATGAAGGAGAGAAACTTGAAACTACACAGTGATGATGTTCACGGGAACGAGTATGGGTACACGACACAGTGATGATGTTCACGGGAACGAGTATGGATACCACACACAGTGATGATGTCCTCGGGAAGGGGAAAGGACGAGGTAGTTTCCATTTTTTTGGGAGTGTTGTACTTTTTTCTTTTTTAAGGGGCTAAGGTTCTTTTTCTTTAGTAGCATTCTAAAAATGACACGACATTCTACAGCTAGTACGCCTGGTGAAGAAACACGAAATCTAACTGGTTTATTTGGATACACAGTTTTTCTTTTTTGGGCATTGCCAAAAGTACAACTCTCCTTTAGTTACACTTTGTAACTAATGATCACAGTAAACATTACAACTTGTAATGCCTTACGTTCTTCATCCTCTGTACCCGTGCTTGTGCTGCTTGTGCTTTCAACCGAATCCATGTCGTCTGCCTTCTGTCGTATCCTCTTTAGGTCCACGAGTCTGTAGTGCTTCTCGGTGTCAGCACGTTCTTGCGCCTTTTGGCGTTTGTGCAAAAGCCTTTTTCTCAGACCCTCTCCACGCGTTGCATTAGAGACAACATACGTTAGCCATTTCCTCCATTGTTCCATATCCTTTGGGATAACAAGAGCAGTCTCCCTAGTTATTGCACGTTGTCAACATGATCGTTCGTTGCGCGCAGAAGATGACGATGAGTCGCCCTCTTAATAGAACTTATTAGCTGGTGTTGAGACCAAGAAGAAGGTGCAACACCTACTAGGTAGCCCTATTCTTGAAGTATTTGCAGAGCGAGTATGTAAGGTGTAGCCTTAACCAAAAACTTTGTGAATTTCGCGTCATCGGTTTGCGTCAAAAAGCCACGTTCAACAAGCTCGGCAGGTGTTGGCCACGGAGGCAGTGTGATCATCCCCTCACTGAGAATTTCGATCAGCAGTCTGTACATTTCGCTCGCATTTTTGTTCTTCATCAAGTCGTCGTTGAAAAAGATACACTCTTCACAAGTTGTTCTTTTTTTGTTCAACAAGTCGTTGTTGAAGATAGTACAGCCCAATGTTGATCGTCGTGGTTCCGTCATCGTACTAGTAGTAGCACCCAGCAAGAAAGGCGCAGGTGACACGTGTAAAAATCGCTCATGGGCAGCTGCAGTCGGGGTCGACCGATTTATATCGCCTGCCAAAGTCGATGCCGAAGCAATTCTGTCACTGGCCTCTTTTCGCCGTCGCCTTTAGAACTTACTACTCTCCAACATCTTTTCCATTATCTGATGTGGTCACTTTGTTATTTGAAAGCATACAACAGTTGTAATTATAGATGAGCTAATATGTTAAAGCAGAGTAATCTTAATTTATAGCGGTACTAGCACGCATGTGTGGCGCATGAAGTCCATGGAGTTTTCCATCATCATCATCAACATTATCATCATCTGTGGCCATGTCTCTGTGTGAAAACACCGTATTTATATGAGCCCTTAATGTTTCTCGTCGTCCAGGCGTTGGGTCCTTTTCTGACGAATTTCTAATAATTTCAAGTAATGCTCCTGCATTTTTTTCACCGCGAGATCATCGATTTCTCTCTGCGCTCCTCGCAAAGTCTTCTCTTAGAGCTGCTACCGCGTTCGCATCCCTGTGAGCAACCTTGATCCCTCTATCTTCCCCTTGAAAAAGAGGCTAAGGATGGCCAGGAGGATGCTTCAGCGGTAGTCTTAACTCTCCTCGTATTGGAGGAAGGGAAAGCTGTGGTCCCCTCGCAAAGTCCTCTCCTCGTATTGGAGGAAGGGGAACACGTTGTGGTCCACGTGGTCCTCCATGTTGTTAGGGCTATGCATCTTTTTAGTGCACCAGTCGAGTGGGAGTGCTGGAGGAATCAAGAAGGGGTCGCCCTCGAGTTCCCAGCACCTCCGTAGAGACCTGCGCGCTTCGCTTTTCTACTTGCCGAGTCGTGATTCAGTATCCTCGACCGTCGCGGTTTTGAACGGATTTATCATACCTCCTTGCCCCTCTGCCTGTGCCTTCATTATCTTTTGTAATTCATTCCACTTCTGTTCATCTTCTTGTTCATCTTCGTGAAGATGAAAAAATACATAGCAATCTTGGACAAAAGCGCATGTTCCAACACCTATGAAAATCCTTCTTCATTTTTCTCCCTAAATGATATGGTGATGACGGTCTTGTTTGAGTTTGCTGTCGAAAATATTTTCATAATACCTTCTTGAGAATATAGAGCAATAGCTGGGCGGCCCATCAAAATGCAAATCATTAGAAATGCCTCTTGTACTACTACTATGTATGATAAGTGGGGACGTAGTACTGGCACTCCTGTTTTGCTGTTTTGCCGACCTCTGCCAGATGTTCGTCTTTACACTTTGATCACATCCGGAGAATGAGGTATCCTCTTCGTGTTTGCAAGATTTCAATGCGATATTACTGGCGAGCCAAGTCCCCTCGTCCATCATCATCATCATCATCATCATCACCACCACCATCGTGAACAAGACCGCTGCTGCACATACTTCAGCCACGAGGGTCGGAGGTGGGAAGGACTTTTCAATAGTTTATCTGAAGAGAATATAATTGACATTCTTGAAGATGTACTCGCGATTCATTTCTGACCAAAAACAAAGAGAAAGAAGTAAGAGCCACTCGATAGGTGCTTCGTTTTGGTTAGTACCTGTACCGTAGGTAAGGAATGGCCAAAATATCTTCGCCAGAAGCCTTTATCTACAACTCGTGGCAACTTCTTGCTGTGAAGAGAGACGGACCACTCACTATGACTATCCTACTTGTCTCCGTACTAGATCCTTTGATAGAACTCCAAAATGACACCACATCGCCTTCGATAAATGTCTAAGCCGCAAGAGCCAACTGCTATCAAAGCAAACTTTGAAAGCAACACTTACCTCAACGCTGCGTGACGGAATCCACAATGAGTTACTTTCTTACAAAGTTCGCAAAAACTTTCTTGGTTTTTACGCACGACTTCCGTGAACTAGTGCACCCAAGTAGAAAGCGTCTATTTCATTTCGGACCACCAAAGCTAAGAAGTAAGGGCCAACGAATCCATCGTTTTCGTTAGTTTTAGTACTACTACCATCTAAGTCTAATTAATGGCCTGAATGTCTTCGCAATCGCATATCCATACTACTTCACTCTCCATCGAAAAAAATTTTTATTGAGCTTTTTGGTTTTAATAATAACAACAACAAGAACAAGCCGCGACCGCCCCTGGGTTCACTAGCCTTGTTTTCGGGAAGGAAGCCGATCGTAGATTCCAAGGTCTCCAGCTGTTCTGGTTCTTGAGTACAATCCCCGCCATTTTTCCGCATTTATTCTCATGCCGGTCTGACAGTCTGGCCGTTAGTCTTGTCTTCACTTGGCGAGCATTGCACTTTTCAATGCCTTCTGCGTAACAAATCGATGGCTTACTCTTATTCCCCATTACCTTATTTATCACTTCAAACAATTCGGAAAATCTAGTTAAGCTAACTACGCCTACGCCCGGCAGGACGACTCAACTCAAGAAGGGGCTACGATTTAGCTGAGTATTTCCATTTTTTTGTTGTTGTAACCCCTTGCAAGCGCATTCGCCTTTCAACTGCCGGAAAGAGCGTAGACTTTATTATTATTTCTTTCTTCATCTATTACTTTTCTACAATCCACATCATTTCTAAGCCCTGTGAAGATCATGATCATGGCGGCAACTACGCATCACAACAGTCACCCAAGTCAACACTTAGCGACTGTTCGAAAACCTGAAATAATCGAGTATACTGCTCTAAAAGGCTCTTCTACTCTACCAGTAAGAACTGCTAGAGTAGAAGAGCCTTTTAGAGCATTTTTACTCGTTTACAAGGTGAAAACAGCAAGACAACTCGCAACAAGGCAATCGAATGTCCTGAAAATGTTTTTTTTGTCAAAACTCTGCATAAGAAGTAGAGGCAAACCCAAACTTACCATGGTGAAGATGTTAGAACGAGTACAAGCACGGGTCGGATATCTTGTCGTAGCCGAAGCACGGATCGAATTTCTCCTCGCAAAGAAGACAGCTCGGCTATTTATCTCATGCGAGAAGGTGGCCGCAAGGACCTACACCGAAGCTCCCCTTTCATGCTGATGATCAGAAAACCCGTTGCCCGTGCCAACTCGGCGGGGGCCCGCTTGTGCCTTTTCGTCACTGTTCCTCTCCTGGTTCGTCGTCGACAAGGAATGTAGCCAAGCCCAAGGCGCAAGAGAGCGCTTTTGCTGATGTGCTTCTGTTCATGCAGCGGCAGCAACAATGCCCGTGCCCGTATAAAGTGAGTTACTTCTAAAAAGGCACTGCGCTGAGGGAGTAACAATATTCCACGCGTCCTCTTCTATGCATTTGTTTGATGAAGTATTTAATTCGAATTCTTATCTATCATTCTCTTTCTGTTTATTTTATTACTGGTCTAACAAGATCACATAATATTACTTTTAGTACTTTTAGTAAACATTATGGAGGTGAAAACAGCAGCAAGATAGCTAGTAGAGCTCTTTTGCATTTGTTTTGGATAGACCGCAACTGCTACGCAAAGCCCCACCGTCGTCTTGCTGAGAAACTCCATGCCCCATAAAGAGCTACTGCTTGCATGCTGACCACTAGCGCGTCATCTGTCCGAACGAGGAACAGCACGGTTCACGCAGTAGTCATCAAGCCAGTAAATGTAGCTCTAGACGAGCATGATTTTGTCATGCTTGGCGCCAATTCCTAAGAATCCTACAACGTTGAAACACTCCTAATGAGTAGCGCTCTAGCTTCCTTGTAGAAGAGCTTCATCTGATGAAAACAACAGCAAGACAATGAACAGAGCCCCTCCAGCTTTTGTATTTGGTTCAGATTTACATCCCAACTGCAACTAGATCTAGTACAAGAACTTCCGTAGATTGATACTGATATGCAGCATGCATAGGCCGGCGGCTCCCGTGCCCGTCTTGATGAAAAGAAAGCAACCTAGTAACCTAAGGACCTACATTGTCGGCAAATAACGCGCGGCAACTCTAGTATCTTTTGTTTTGCTTTCATATCTACTCCACCCCTTTTTGTAACCATGCACCGGGACGGCTCTATATCTCTTACCATTTCTTAAATTTCGCTTTCATATTTCACCACTCTAAGCCCTTCTCAAATTTTACCACGACCCGTGATGCCTTTGATGGCTCTCCTCTCGCCTTTGACTTGTCCTCGTCTTCCACCATGTAGGACTGAGTAAAGGCTTGAAAATTATTGTATGTAAGTATTTCTAAGTTGTCCTCCTCAGTCGCGCAACAGCTACCACTCTCCATTCTTAGACGTGGGCGGACGCATTTTGCCATCCCAAATCTTGACATCATGAGAGGCAATACCTGGAACGCGGCCTTCGATCAAATGCATCCAGGTAAGAGGTTCCTTCGAGTCCTCTTTTAGCGCGTCCATAAGGCGGATCCCGACAGCGTTCTCCAATACGCGCAAGTTGAAATCCATATTTAGAGGTCGGAGCTCAACAGCATTGGTCACTGATTCTCAGGGGACAAGACCCCATGGCCCGAAGGTAAGTACTTAAAAACTCTCAGCTTGTTAAGCCCCCTTTTTTCCCCTGTAGTTCTCTCACGGCGTGGTCTCCTGTTCGCTGTCAGTTTGAGTGACCACTCTGACTCTCAGTGACCAATGAAGTCTAAACCTTAACAAATCTTTTGGGCCACGCAAAAAAAATTGAAGATGAGGGAAATCAAGCAGGAGGCGTCTAAATGTCTCCAGCACATCCACGTCTTTCTCTTGGGCCACATCAGGTCTGCCTATGTCCGCCGATGGTACTTGAAACCTCTTCTCAGCCTGAAGCAATACGTCGTTATTAACATCCAGGAAGAGCCCCTCCACGGGATTGTCACGCGCGTCGCGTTGGCACACAATTCCCTCGCTCTCGCTGATTTCTTGCGTCCGCTCATCCGCAATTCCACGTGCGTCCGCAATGCCACGTGCAAATAGATCCGCGCTTCCGATTTTGCCCGTTTTCCCGGGCCCGAACCAGGCGTCTTTCACAAGGTCATACTTGGAAAAGTCGGCTACTCTGGTGGCCCCGCGCCACTCCGCGCCGTACATGTGCTGTCGTCCCTTATTCGGAATTTTCTCCATTAGATTCTCGCAGCCCTTCCTCAGATCACTCCCGGAGTAGCTAGCAGTAGGGGACCCAAACGCCATATGCGTCATATCCGGGTTGATAATCAATCCGGTCACAGGGTTCCACTCGGTCAAACTCCTCACATGCAACGGGGAATGAATTTGATGACCGTTTTCCGAGGCACCAGTCCAGCCTACTGTGCAGCTAGATCCCTTTTGGGGAGGATGACGATTCGCCCCTTGTTTTGGGCAAATCTCTTCTTCAAAGTTCGTCGGGCACGACCTGCGAAGCTCATTGACCTGCATCGCCACCGCATCAACACTGTGCGCTTGCATAAGGTAGAAAAACGCGTTCTGCGCAAACAGCTTCTCGATTTGAGGTTTGCCGCTTGTGTCAAAAACGGGAAGGGCACGCTTGTTGTCATCAACATACTTCCAATTTGGATTAGTAAAGTGGACCCAAACATCTTCGTCAGGGGTGAATACAATGTCCGCGGCCGCGGCCCAAGGCTTGCCTCCTTCACCTGTTTGCTGAACAAAAAAGCCTGATGTCCACCCGAAAGAGCGCGCGCATGCGGCAGAAGAAAGCTGGTGCACTTCTTCGTTATCTTCAAACTTGATGGTAACCTTGCTTACTTTATTTGGCGTGTTGAACTGGAAGCTTTCAATTGTCGCCTTGCTTCCACGTCCACGCCCCAGCTGCGGCAACGCCAGAGAGAGAACGAGTTCCGTTTTGTCAACATTCATGGTGGCCACTGCAGAAGCCGAAGCAGACGGCTTTGTGGAGAGCGGCACAACGAGCACCTTGACCTGCGTCGCGGTGTTCACTCCATCTTGCATCGGATATGCCAGGGCCATTCCCCGCTCTCCCTTTAGGTCGTTCTTGAATCTCGCGGCGAAAATAAAGCCCTCACCTCTATTTTGCCCAGGATTCATGTTGTCCTCACTCACGGCGTAGCCCATCCATTTCCCTGGCTTGTTCGGATCGCGCACGTCATGGACGCCAGATGTCCTGGCAGTGTGCTGGTTGATCAGGTGTGCTACTGCAAAACGAATCACAGACAATCTGGCCTGAAGCAAATTGCTCTGCGCGGCAGGGTCAGCCCCAAACTTGTGTTCGAACTCCTGGTTAGCGATTGGTCCTGGCTGTGGGTTAGCTTGGAACGATATCTTGTTCGACATCGAGGTGAGTTCGTCATTGAAATTCCGTTCGAGTTGCACCTTCAAACTATAATCTCCAGAGGCTACTTTGCTGAACCATGCTGCGAATTTCATACCTTCTTTGATGGACGAAGGCAGAAGCCACGGGCGCTGACCGACCAAGTCCGTGGAGGTTGTTTTCTTTAAGGCCCCGCCATCCTCTACTGAAGGCAAAGCGCTTTCGTCTTTCAGATACTTGATAGAGGACACAAGTGCATTGCTCAAGCGCAGCTGCAACGCGGTCGCCGCGCGAAGGATAACGGACACTTGGGCCTGTGCCAGAAGCTCCGGGGAATCAAAGTTGCTCGAGTGCACCTGCGCAGAACCTTTCTTGAACGATATCTTATTCTTTTCTGGCTCACGATTGTTGAAATCCGTTTCGAGCTGCACCACTAGATTACCAAAACTCTTGTTGAACCAAGCCACGAACGTCCGACCGTGTTCGCCGGGTGCAGGTAGCTTGTGGGGCTTCGGGTCTGCGTCGGTGTTTGTTCCTTGTAAGTCGCGCCCATTCGCTGTAGGCACGATGTCCGCACTCTGCAAATACGTGATGGAAAGTTGAAGTAGTTGGTTTTCGACCGACAACGAGTCTTTTGCTTTTGGCATAAGAAGCGGCAAAAATTTTTCAAACGCCAAGCTTCGGTAAACGATCTGTGCCGCATTACACCGTCCACAATCGGTCGCATCGTGTGCGGGGAGGCTCTTGCGAACGATCTGTGCCGCATGCCCCCCTCGACGATCGGTCGCACCCTGTCGGCGCTTCAGCGTTGCATCGGCCTGATAGTCGTTCAGAAGTTTCGAAGCCGCATCGAAATCACCCCAGTACGCAGCAAACATGAGCGCCGTGTCTCTTTCAGCCTCCCCGGCTCGAACATTGACCAAGTTTCCGTTTGCCGCAAGCTTCTCGAACACTTTTTTAAAATTGCCGTTCTTGGCCTCGTCCAGAAAGGCGTTCTGATCCAGATCCGAGATGGTCAGGACTGCCTTGTGATGAGCAGAACGCAGTTTCATGGCGGACACCACATGCGCAGGAGGTTCCGCACTGCCTCCAAGGTTTCCAAAAAGCACCAAGGGGTCAATTTGCGGCAGGTTCACGAAGATGCCCCCCTGCAATAGCGCAGGACCGAGGGCGTGCGCGACTAGTACCTTTGATGCCATTCTGCTTTCGACCGAGCACAGGAAGAGCTCTGCTTTATCGTCACCGTTTCGCAAAGGAAAGTAAATGAGTCCTTATTTATATATTTCCAGTATGTTGTACGTCCTTTTGCTTGCGAAAAAAAGTTACTGCTAACTTGGTAAGAGTAAGTTGGCTAGTCTTTCTATTCGCAAAATATAGACCACACTAGATAGCCAGTAATACTTGGTTTCCTTAGACCCCCTTTGCCTAGTCGCCAAGAATTTGTAAAAGCAACATGAAATAAATGATCCTCTTTTCGCCAAGGAAAATAAGTTGTTAGTGCTCTTAGTTACAGCCTTATCTTTGTGCTTTCGGTATCGGTTTCGCCAAGGAAAATAAGTTGTTAGTGCTCTTAGTTACAGCCTTATCTTTGTGCTTTCGGTATCGGTTTCGCAAAGGAAAATAAGTTGTTAGTGCTCTTAGTTGTTACCTTATCGATTTCTTTTCGCAGAGGAAAATGAGTAAGTTGTTAGTGCTCTTAGTTACCTTATCGATTTCTTTTCGCAGAGCGCGAGTTGTGGATATTCTTAAGGACGCAATTAAAAAAGAGTAGAAGGAGTGGGAACTCGCTTAGACTCTCGCAGTTGTATCTCCTGGACGTGGACGCAGATGAAAAATTCGGATTGAAGGAGGTGAAGGACCGACCTCTCAATCTGAATGTCAATCACATGCTTCAGTCTCAAATTACAGCAATTTGGGCTCTCTAAGCAACTTACTCAAATGGATTCAGTGTAAACTGATTCTCGACCCGTCCCTCGCACCAAAACAGAGTGGTCCTCGCGCGCGACAGATCGATGCTTCCCTCTGTTTTCTCTCTCTTTTCTCCAACATAAAGGTCTACAAATTATGAGCAGTCAGGACAGATTAAGAGTTCTCTCAGGACAGATTTTTCTACAAAGCGAACGCATCGCAAGACCTCACTCAAACACTGCCTGCAACGGTACAATAGAGAAAGCAGACAAACTACGCTGAGCGTCAGGAAACAGAATAGAAGTATTCCGTAGGAATATGAAGGACAAGCTCTGAAAAAAATTACTTATGATCGCCGTGGACTAGCTGCAGCCGAAGCCGATATTATGCATTTATTCTCATCATAGTGTTCTTTGGGTCGTCTGTCAGCGGAGCTTACTCATCGATTTTCATCATGTTTGGCTTGATTGAGATTGACTGATTCAGCAGCATTTGCGTGACAAGGACACGTAGATATCAACTTGTTCTTGGATCCTTGCGTGATAAACCTGGTGCCTTGATTCTTCTATCCTACATGAGAATAATGTAAAAATCGTTCCCGACTTCGAGAGGACAAATCCGCATCTTCGGAGGACAAATCAGCAAGTGTCGTGACTGAAGGCCGTGGAAGCCTCACTACATTGCGCAATGGCTCATCGGCGCTACACATTGCGCAATTCGATTCAGGTTGTGCAGTGTCTCTTAGAGCTCTATAATGTTGAAATACAAATATAAGAAGTGTCTACTCCTGAAAGAATGTTGTAAGAATGAGTCTGAGTGTGAGCAGTTTGTACTATGAGTCCGTATATCCAAATCAATATCCCCACTTAAGTATGGAAGGCTGCGCTGACACGATTCCGAATTCGATGAAAAGTGTGTAGAAGTCTCTGCCGCATCGTTCGCCTTACAGCGCGGATTGGAACATTATGCAAAATTACTGCATTATCGATGTTCCGCTTGCGATGGAGGTTCAATTTTAGAGCTGCAACCGCGATAGCATCTTCCCTGAGTGCATCCTTGGTCCCCATCTTCCCTGAGAGTCATACCCTAGGGCTCTTCTTTTTCAAGTAGAAAAAAGGCCCTCGAGTGCATCCCCAAGTGCATCCTTTTTTCGAGTGGAAACAATTCATGGTGGAGCAGACTTAACTGTGGAAAACGAAACAGAAACGAAGCTATAGTAATAAAAGGCTAATGCTTGTTCATCTAAGGACATGCTCGAGCGGTACAACATCTAGTCGTAAGAATTGCAGTTGCATGGTGTAAGTGCGTTTTTCCTCGTCACGATCCAGGACACGGCCGCAAACGTACCTCGACGCCATTCTGTGACTAAAGCCAAGAGATGCAATCCAGGGATTAAAGATCAAGCCAGGAGAAGAAGAAGAACAAGAAAGAAACGCGATGATTCTTGACGAAAGAGGATCAAGGAGAGCATCAAGAGAGATCAATGAGTCTCGAGACTTTGGTGCTTTCAGAAAACATCGTCACTGAGAGTGAAAAGTGTCGTTCTTCTTCTTACTTACTCATTTAATATAACAAGTGAAAAATGTCATTCTTACTTCCTCGTAATGTGATGAGGTCCGGGGCTTTGAGTTTGACCCACCAACAAGTCGTCCAGTGTCACGCCTGCTGCTTGAAGGTCTATTCGTGCTGTTTTTCCTGTCGCGAGCATGGGGCGACGTTGTAGTGCGATTCCTCGGCTCAGGATTTTTCTCGGCAGTCGCTTGGTCAGTTTCGAAGCCACTTTATGGACTAAGAAATGACTGCTTTGTATTTGACGCCTTTTTCCCAAACGACCATTTGCCGACCAACATGATGACATCAGCTCTGGTGTGCCAAGAGAAAGAGAGGGTGGCCATGGGCCAGATGTCGGTGTGCTAGGCGAAGATGCTCCACTAGTTCTTGAAGAGGTCGTTGTTCCTGCTTGTGTACTTGGAGTAGATAAATCCATAGCACTAGAACTACTACTACAAGAAATAAGTCTACTGCTACTAGTACTAGGAGAGGAGCTCCCTCGTCCAGTTGTTGATGTCCCCAGGGGCATGGTAAGGGACGAAGAAGATCTACGTCGCGTAGGCGATGCACTACGATTCGGAATGATCGATGTGCAGGTGTGCGGATGCGGTCGAGGTTGTGCTGGTCTAGTACTTCTCCAAGGCAGAGGCAACAACAGCTCGTCGTGTCCTTTTTAGAGGTTGAATGAAAGTTGGCTTATTCTCTCTACTCCTTCGTAGGGTGGATAGGACGATAGGATAGGATAGGATAGGAGATGAGTCGCCGTCCACAGTTTGACCTGTACCCTCGGGCGAACATGTGCAGCCGCAGAGGGACCACTACCAATCATTATTTATGTTTACTTACAATCTCTTGACTGTATAACGCCCCTCTACACCCCTGGATGGAGCGTTAGTGTTTTTTTCCTTGTTATTTAGGTACTCAGTGAGAGTGAATGTGAGAGTGAAAGAGACCCTTAATGCGAAGATCGTTTCCGTTCTACGTCACCTCCTATTTCTTCGACGCGAGAAGCAGACGTCGATCGAAAAAATACTGCAGCCAGAACTGCACATACTTTTGAAAGTGTAAAGATCCTCATCCTCATCTTATATATACTTACTGCGTGACGAAGAAAAAACGTACCATCCTAATCCTTCAAGTGGAGATATATCAGAACTGATACCACAAGAGGCTTCTCAAAATACAGGGTCGGACGGAACTTGTTGTGGTGGACGCGGAAGTAGTGGTGGTCATGATGATCATGCGATCGACAACTTCTGGGGTCTACCCTGAAGATATACACCAGTTGCAATATTTGACTCTGAGCAAGAACGTGACAAGGAAGAAGAAGATGATGACTTGTCGTCAGATTGCGCACTTCGAAATCGTAGACCTACGCCCTAAGCCATGATGCGAATCGTGATGCTGCGCCGTTTTACAAATTACTTGGTAAATCTGCAAGTTTAATTCAAAAACAAGATCAAGAGTAGAGCAGTAGATGTAGATGATAGAAGATGAAAGATTACAAGAAACTACAAGGTGAGGTTCATGATGAAATCCTCTGTAATCCACGAGTAGTGCGTAGTTCCACGAGTTCTTGCTGGCATCACAATCACCTTGATCCCGCGACGATCACCTTATCCTTCACCGTGGTCGCTTCGATTTTTGATCGTTCCCAACATTCTTACGAGTGTCATTTTTTTTTGAATCATCGTCTCCTCGACCGGCCATCGCTGCAGAGAATTCCACGATTTTCTTCCAGAGCCAGGCTGCAACAGCAGCCTGCATCCGCGGGTTGCGGGCAATCACGCGGAAAGAATCTTAGAAATTAAGATTTTTTGCGAATCTCAACTTGCCTCAGCGAAGAGAAAGATGACCTTGCACGACTTGAATACCTCTGATAGTGACTTCTAAGACCTAGTTGTAATTGAAAGCATCACGACTTACCTCCATCAACATGATGATGAAGAACAGTATTTATTTCTAAACGTCTCGTCTTGTGTCTGAAAGCACAGTAAATCTAAATCAAAATAACAGCCGTGAGTCAATAAAGTTCTTCAAAGAACTATGAAAAAAGAGGAGACTCAGCCGCATTCTCTTAAAGGAAAATCCCAACACTTCCCAACACTCGTGTTGCTGCCATCGCGACCCAAGGAAACCGAAAAACCACAACGGCTGGAAGCACCACTCCTACTACTAGAGTTGTTTAGAGGAGCAGAAAATATTGAGTGATGATGAAAGGACTACACGTACACGGAAATGAGTATGAAGATTAACAGGAGCAGCGAAAATTCAGGTACCTTGGCAACGCGACCCGTGGACGATGTTGCCTCATCATGATGAATTTGAAGAATTACCCACATGCATAACTTTTATACATACTTCAACATCTCAATCAATCTCTTGCCGTTCCGAAGAATCGCATGATCGCGTAGCGACGGCACAGACAATTTTTTTCAGCCATAAGCTTTTCTTCTCTTGGCGAGGTCCCAAAAGGGTTCGTAGGATTGCGTCTGTATCGCCTTGTCGTAACTGTTCTGCACGTCCTCTACCAAAGTGTCGTAGTACATTTGAAAACCAAATTCGGTACATTAGACGAGGAGTGAAAACAGCCTCTAGAAATGAGCTGGAACTTCTACCGCCAGCAGAGCAACTTCTTATCTGTCGAAGTGAATCAGATTGACTGAATCTTCTTGGCTATCAAAATCAAAATCAAGTCTCTCGACGCGAACGTGAGTAGACCACCTAGACTCTCTAGCTTTTGTTCTTGTTAACTTCTTACTTAGTTGTACAAGTAGTAGTTGTCCTACACATAGTCCTACGGACTAAAACTGAAGATGAAACTAACATCAACAGCCATAACTAAATACTCCTCGAAACATCGCGAATGCTGCATCTAGATCCGGCATCTGTTCGCCTCCATATTGGTACGAGCCGCCTGTAGACGGAGCATCGTAATTGCGATCCTGGTACCCACTAGCGTCGTATCTAGTGAGTCGAATGGTGAAGGAGTCGAATGGTGGGTTTAGGGCTAGGGGCCTAGGGTTTAGGGTTCGGTAGAAGTGGGTAGAGGTAGTGGAGGAGTAGGAAGGAGTAGGGCCAAGCGGTACTGTATATTTTAACGCTAAAATAACTGGTAAGCGAGAGATGAGAGCCGGGAAATACAGGCAAACTTAGGTCTAACGCTAAAAATATGGGTGAGAAAACAAGTGCTGAGAACTTAACACACGCTCCTTAAGCAGCTTGAACTACAGTGAATCATTGCTATCCATCCACCTTTTCACCTTTATTCAGTCACCAACCATCATCACCTTGCTTCATCATCTTCGAAATGCCAACAAAATAATACGCTGCCTTTTTCTGGGGATCGCTTAGTACGGAGTAAGCGGCAGAAAGTTCCTGAAACTCTTTGGTTTTGGATTCGCCGTGTATATCAGGATGACACTTTTTAGAGCCGCCCCTAATTCATCAATTCGAAAATTCGATTCATTGAGGGATTCCCACAGACTTCTGACAAGGATCATGCTGGATTAGAGGCACAGCCTTAAATTTTCGTGCTTTGTCAAAGTAGGCTTTCTTTATCTCTTGCGGATTCGATGGTGGATCAATACCCAAGCGTTGGTAGTGCGTCAGGTATCGCTTGCTTATCGTCGTATTGGAAGAAAAAGAGGGTGGAGTAAGATGTGTATGTTGATGAAGAGGACGGTGGCGTATCCTCGTGCTGGTGCTGGTGCTGAGGGAAGAAGTACAACTACTAAAACTAATATTACGATGCAGGAGGAGCTGTTGAAGATTTACTCGCTCTTTGTCAGGTCGTGGCCGCGGGCCTCGTGGTACGAGTACGTGTTTGTCAATATTGATCCAAGAATGCAAACTTCGTCGATTCCTTGACTGCAATTCGAAAGGAGTAGGATTTCGCCATGAAGCAGTTGAGGAAGAGCTCGCGGAGTTTCCCACCACTACACCGAGGACCCTACTTGACATACATTTACCGAGCAGGTTAGCTCTGGCTTTTACTGCTGTACTAGACGTGGCTATGCCCGGCAAGCAACATGATGTGCTCGGCGTGGCAAAGCAACTTCCGACGAGGAGTGCTCCCTGCATGATTGATATTCTAGCGCTTTGGCTAATGGTGGAAACGGTAAGAGAATAAAGAAATAGTATACCGTTCGTACAACTAGAAAGAAATGCAAATGCAGACTATACAACTACAATAAAAAGTTGATGATGGAGAGAGGTTGAGCACCGCTCGATCTTCTCTTTTTCGGTGTTCTACTTTTGCAGTAAAAGACAAAAGTGGCCTATATGTAACCTTCCCCTCGAGGATCACCTTCATCTTCTTCGTTCTCAGTTCACTTCCACGAATATCACGACAGAGCTCTAATGAAAAATGCGCAACTGTCACGAGTGAAAATGTTGCAGCGACTTATATATGGGGAGTAGGTTCTTGGAGAACATCAAGTATTTTCCACATGCTGCACCTGATGTATCGTCATATGAGTAGCAAGTAGCGGTCGGAGCATGCAACATCACATTACAAGAACGTTGTAGGAGGCGGACATAGAAGATGAAATGCTAGTGCCGCAGCAGGTACAGGGACAACGACCCAGAAGGAGCACATGCACAACCACTGTATCATATTGATAAGTCCACTAAAAAGTAGCAGCACGCACCACAACTTCACGCACCACTAAGGAGCACGCCCTTTTATCCCATTATCGAGCATCCTTTCCGCCAGTCTTCTAGAGCATCACAAACCACTCGCGATCCATCTTTTGCGAAATAGATGGCGCCCTCGTGTGGCGGAAACCTCATAGCACGGATAAAGCGTTCTACTTTCGCTTGCTCCCAGCCTGGCTGGATCACGCCACCATGCGGCAATTTCCGTGAATGGTAACTCGGTTCGCCTTCTTGTGCACTGCCTTTGGGCAGGGTGCCAGGGACACAAGAATAAGAATTGTTTGTTTGGGGACCGGACGACGGGGAGGAAGTACTATTTGTAGAAGGTAATTTGGTTGTGGAGATCGTAGTACCAGATGAAGACGTCGCTTGATGATTCTCGGATGGAGTAGCTTCGTGATGTCCCTGTTGTTCTCGTCCTCCTTGATCATGACCAAAAAAGAACATCTTCACTACTTTTCTGAAGCAAGCCTGCGTTACCGGAAGCAAACTACGGTAGAGGGACTTGCTGGTTTCTGTCTGGTCCAGCGCAAGCTTCTCAACTGCGACGATGGTCCCACGATCAAATTTCCCTTCTTAGAACTCTTCACCCAAATGATCCATCTTGGGACTCGTACATCTTGGAGCTGTTAGTTTATTTCCCCTCGTCAATCTATGGGAATCCGACAGGAACAGCAAGAACAGCTCCAAGCAAGAGTATACTTACTTGCTTCTCTAGAAGAACAAGATGGATTAGCACGACCAGTAGCCTTAATCTTCCATGTGATGACAAGTCACGCCGGTTTCTACATCTCCATCAAAAATGGTCCAGAAGCCTGAGAAACAGCCACGGTGCTTCGGCAGTAAACTCGGATGGAAGTTCACACGATAGGGGGCTAGGAATTAGAGGACGACTTCAGTGTTGTAAATGGAGTCCGATATTATATATCGTCTACTTCTGGGTGATGTCAGGAGAGACCAAATTCAAAACAAGCAGATCTAGAACAGTCACGGTGACTCACTTTCACAGCATAAAAATGGAGGCAGTCGATGCGGCGCCGATACGATACTGATATCATCAGATGAGGTTGAAAGTCCAGTTCGGCAAGAAAAGCGTCAGGCTTCACGGAATCAGCGAATAAGTGGCACGAATGCTGCAAGCCAGCACTACGTGCTGTTGGCACCAGTTCTTGTTTTCCTTTTCCTTCCACCTTGGTAGAGTCATTCCGACTTGGAACTGCTGAAGAAATGCCCTCTGTCGCGGACGTGGAGCAAGAAACGCTATCCCGAGACAGTTCCGGTGAACTTGTACCACAATGCAACTCAGGAGTCCCTTGTGAAGATGATGGCTCTTCTAATTTGGGGGCTGCTTTGTTGTGGCCCCCTTTAACGTCCTCGTCTGATACAACTTCTTGTAGGTCTTCTTGTTGGCTATCAAGAACCTGCACCAACTCTTGTTCTTGCTGAACAAGTGTTTTCAACTTGGTGTCCAGTCGGTTCTGTTCATCCTGGTTTTCGTGGGAAACGATGCAAACCTGAAACCGTCCTGGAAACTCCTTGAAGAGGACTTCTAAGCAGGAAGTAGCAGCCTCACCCCATCCAAAGAACATGATCCGCCATGGGGGAGATGAAGCCATCCCTTTACAGGAGGTAGTACCTGCTCTTGAACACGTTGATGTCGAAGCCATCTTTTTATTTCTTAGAAAGTGTATGTGTACTTCACGTGTTTGATGAGGAGAAGTACTTGTGCTTGTATTCAAGTAACGAAGTCGTGTCGGGAACTTACTTCAAAAGTATCACATCAAAGATAATTCCAAGTTGTTATGTTTATGAGTAAAAACAACATATTTTTTTGAATTTTGGATTCATCCGGTTCTATCCTAGTCCTAGTACCCACCTGCAGATCCTTGATCTAGAACCGCAAGCCTGGCGTGTATTCATCCCCTGTCGTTCTGAGTCTTGTTGCTCTCTTCTGTCAAGACTCAATAGAAGTTGTTGTTCCTGGAAGAAGTATGACTCAACATGGTATCACAATCACCACGATTGGTCTACGGTATGGACAGACCACGCTTAGTTCTCTCACCTAAAGCTGAAAGTCGATGACCCATTTTTCATCCGATATTTTCATACAACTTTCAGGGTCATGGGTCAGAAACAGAATACACATTTAGTACTTGTGCACCAGACAACTACACTCCTAACAGTAATCTAGAGCTAGAGACACTGGAAAATTAATTTCTAATATTTCTTTCTATCACTTACAGTTTCAGAATTTAGTTTTAGACTATTATATCGGGCCAAAAATCAAAACTCTGAGGGACTTTCTTATGAAGATCCTCAAATTGATATTGTAGAGTCTAGTTCCATTGCTGTGCTTCTATTTTCTTACTCTTGATCCATTGCTGAGTTTTTTCTTACTCTAATATGATGGTTCTGTTAGTTCTAAGAAATATCCGATGCTTCATCAATATATTCTACATACAATACACTACCTACACTATGTTGGTCCTATAATATCCGATGTTCAACAAAACATTTCTACAGGAGTTGTACAAGTACACGACTATATTCTTAGAAAACACGACATGAGTCCTTAACCTTACTCTTCCTTAACCTGGCATACTGTTGGAAAAGACAACTCTCGAAGATTTTTCAAAAATCTTCTAGACTTGTGAGGGAGATCGTTGAGAAAAGTTATACCCAAACAAACATCCTAGCTTTCTGTGATAGACTTGTCAATGTTGTCTAGGAGCTCGTCAAGGTTGCTCCATATCTCGCTATCGGCGGCCCAATCCCTATACTCCTCCTCTGGCATGACGCGGTCAATCGTACTTCGCGTGATATGAAAAGGTATGGAGGATGGGGCTGATATCGTATTACTGGAGATTTCATCTACTAGTGCGACGCCCTAGCTCAGGTGTTGGTAGGTCCTTGCAGAAAGGAGTAACAGGAGATGAGAGACAACCGCGGCGCTTCTTGTACTCTTATGTGTCATTTCATGGCATCTCTTGTGTAGCTATACAATACCTGTCTACTTTTGAGAGATAAATTCACTGGACAACAAACATCTAAATCATAACCTGGAGCTGCTGCATCTAGCTCGCAGCCGCTTGGGTGGCCTTTTGCGCCAGGAATACATATTCGTGTGGCCTCCCAACCAAGCTCCAAATCCACGTTTGTTATGTACCTGTGCTTGTGATGACGTAATACCCAAGGTCTTCGGTCTTCATTGAATACAAGACTCGCGCGTTCGCGTATCCCTACGAACCAGCAGAAATTGTAATATCGTCGAGTCTGAAAAGAACAAAGGGCCATCGTTGGTAAAAACTATTCACCAGATGCTATCACAAATAGACGACTTATCCTGGAAGATCATTTCATCTTGAGCAGTAAAAGAGTGTTAGGTACCAATTCATGCTTTTGCATTGAAGTCGCTTGAAGTTATTTGCGCTAATGGAGAGGTCATCCTTCATTGCCATGCCCCTGGCCTCCGGCTTCACCTTGTAGAAGGCCTCTAGATATGGCGGCTCCAGCCAAACTCTTGCTAGTTTTGCGTAATTCTCGACGACCTGTGAATTTTTGCAGGTGCCGCGTGAGGAGAATGATCCACCATCCGTTTATTTGTATGTCATTATAACATCCGTTCTTTATTCGTACTATTGTCATTCTGTTGAACGGAGAAGGTCGTCCACCTGAAAATCCTTCTTCGCATAGTATTAGTAGTCTCCTAATGTTGGTCGTGCTCGTGGCCTCTTCCATGTTTGTATACCACCTTAACCTACCCTAACTTTAGCTTTTAACTTACTTACCCACCTTAACCAACCCTAAACCCCAAACTTACTTACATGTAGTACTAGTACAACGAGCACAAGACGACTCCTACCTGTGGTACATCCACTGGATATGGGCGAAAAGCGACATCGCGGAAAAGATGTCCGACCCGTGCACACGGCACCACAGTGATGCCACTTCCACAACGCCAGGCTCTAAATTAGAACATTACATATATTTATATATAAGATTATCCGTCTTGAATTTATTCATCTTGTTCACTGTAGTTCTCCATCTCCCCTTAGCGGAGCCAAGATGTAGATGCTTCATCTTGGTCCCTGTTTTCCCTTCTGAAACGGAACCAAGATGTAGATGCTGTCTAAGATGCCAACATGTTGATGGCACTAAGTATATGCAGCCATAATTAAAACTAAGTTCGATCTGGTCACCACCCCATTGTTTCATAGGCACGTCGAACAGCTCCAACTCGAGAAAAAACTGCTTCTTGATTGCGAAAAACGAAATGAAGGCTGGCCGGGTAGTACTAAACGAGGGGAAGGTGTTGATTCTTGTTATCTAAGGGGAAGCTTATTGTTTGAGAAGTTGTTTGAGATGCAGATAGAGGAGGTAGTAGAGGGTAGTGTGTCTAGGGTGTTCAGCTATCTAAATTTCTGACAACTACGACCAATCGTCCCCGACTCCATAATTCCGCCACTAGTTGCCGGGGCAAAGTAGGGCCGGCTAGTATCTGGATCCACTCCAGTTGGCGGGTTGGTGTAGATGAGGTTGAAGTTCCACTCAAATCGGTACCGACCGTTCGCCGCCTTTGCATAGGACCGGAAATTGTCTTGCGGTATGTAGTCTAACGTCGGCAATACTAGCGATCTAGGGTTAATCCTCACGTAATGCACCAAGGGCTCCAGCCAGTTGTAACCTACTATGCAGTGATATGAAGAAAGGGTGTTCGTTGGGGTAGCGAATTTTTCAATGGAAGATACTAGTACGATGAATCATGGGGGTTGACGTCATCCTACAGTATGATGAAAGGGCTACTCACTGCTCTTGACGTAGTTCCACACAGCTTTTCCTAGCAAGTAGCAACCATGCTCCTGACTAAATCCTAGTGTTAATCATCTTCACCTCCTGTACAACTACACTTACAAAAGTCCAAGTTCACCCATAAATGGGGTTCGAAGAACATAACCACGTCTCCCTTGGCTTCTTTTGCTCCTAGCTGCTTCGCGTAAATGAGACCGTGCCTGAGGGTTGTGGTCTCATTTGTTGAACTACAATTGGAAGCTGTCGCGTCAGAATGCTTAGTACCATTGGAAGTCGTCACCAAAATTCGGATTCGACTTATTCTCATTTTTGGGGGTAAGACTCATCATGCGATAGGCTTCACAGCTAGCTAATCCTAAGGACGATAGGACTAAGACTAACCTCAAGTACTTAGTACTATCAGGGGATCTCAAGGATTGTCAGCGTGCTCAAAGATACCTCATCCCACAGGAAAGGGAGGGTAAGTTGCAACATACCATTCTTTATGCCTCCTCTGGGGACTTCCGTTGGCATACAGCCTGAGTCGAAAGGAATTAGAGGAAGGAACTGATGATCTTGGTACTCTTCCAAAGAAGATCTCACCAGGAGGTGTTAGAGGAACAAGGCAAAACTTCGTACACCTGAAATCTTCATTTAACCTTTGTTTAAATATCTGTGAGTTGAAATCCAAATCAAAGATGAAGGATTACGTGTTAAGAAAAGGGACAACAACAAGAACCACGACGTCTGATTCTGAGATTATTCATTGTCCGTGTCCATCAGACTGATGAGTCACTGTAGTTATTTGACAGAGAACATGGTCCTCGTGATGGACACGATATACTATTCTCCTGTTTGCAGTGGATGTAGATGTAGAAGACCATGGAAATCAAAACTCTATCTTCACGAGTTCAAATCGACGATGGATAGTGTGAGAACGAATTCACATCGATGATAGTGTGAGAGTGAGTGTACGCGAGTCGCGAGGAGACGTTTGACTTTAATCTTTATACCTGCTAGGCAGCCTGATGACTCGGGCCAGCGGGCTTAGCTGCTCAATTTTTTCCTGGTGGGATTCCTTCTCGTTATTTCCGTCTGAAATAAAGATGATCTCCGGGATTAGAGCCTCTAATCAAGAGGAACGACCTAGGAATGCCGTAGATGAAGTCAAAAATGGAATTGAGGACGTAATGCTATTTTTCCTCTAAAACTCAGCTGCAGCATTTGCAATGCTGTCCAGAGAGTCGCGTTTAGTTCTAGATTGTGTTTGTCATGGTCAGATTTCCTCTAGAGCAAAATCATCATAACTTGAGCAAGTTTGCTGGCGTGTGTGCTATTATGCTCCCAACCGTTCCCTCGATTTAGCACTACCACAAATCCATCCTGAGGCTCATCTTTGCTCCCGCTTTCTCTTTCGAAAGCGGTCTTCACAGAATGCCGGGACGGAAAGAAGGATTTCTTGCAGCCTTAATTAATGTGCACATACTTTTCCCGAAGATATGGTATAACGATTGAAACTGTGCTATTGCCTACGTCGTATTTCGGAGTTTTTTTAAGACACTGTGCGGGTCGTGTGTCTGGTGGCACCGGAAACTTGATTTTCTGAGAGGGGTTGAGTAGAGTTCTGGTTGTCGTGCTGTTTCTGGTTGTTGAGACCACAGAGGGGCGTGGATCTACGATTTATATCTGAGCAGAAAGGATAAGGATTTTTCGATCTTTGTTCAGTGTTGTAGCTGTTGCTGTTCTGATAGTATTAGTTGTTCCGTGTGGACAAAAGATATGCGCCATCATGTCTAGGACTCTTTCTTACACGGTACCACTGGTTGTTCCCTGTCCCTTTGTTCTAAGAAACCTTGTAAATACCTTCTCCCCAGTGCCAGTTGTAGCTGCAGCTGCTTCCTTCATCTTCACTGGTACTAGTTTTTCCCCTGACGAGGCTGAATATACGAAGAAGAACCAAGCCCCGGCGGTCACTATTACTGTACCAGCGATCATCCTCCACTTCTTCTTGCGGGCCGACGAAAAATGAAAGCAGGAGGTCTGTGAACAGTTGAAGTCGTTTTGTTTAGTCTTGCTAACAATCTGTATCTGATGATGCTAAGTCGTCGCACCAGACGCGACACGAATATTTCCATGTGCTTCGTTCTGTCTCGGGTCAGTATCTGCATCATATCAGCAGACGTATCGACTAGCCTAATATATGAATGACCTGTTACGGTGGAGGTTAATTACATGATCCATATGCGACTGCTCATAAGATTCTGCTGCTTCACGGTCGCTTATCGAGTTCCCGTTAGGTATATTCTGTCTCTTCTTATTGTTTCCTTTATTTGTTAGGGAACCAAAATCGCCTCCTTTTTCGTCTATGAGTGATTCCTCATTGTTTGCATTGCTCATAGAGCTTCCGGGCAGGCCACGAGCACGTATCCGAGTTTTAACGTTGGAATTGGCCATTGCGTCTAATATGGGTGGTCAATTATGTAATTGGAAGTACAAGTAACCAATGGTACTATCTAATATTAATGAATCTGAACAAAAACAAGTGTAAGTGAATGTGATTGTAAAGGTCCTCTTGAAAAATTGCTTAGTAGAGCTTGTTCAAAATCTTGTTAGGTCAAGCTTAGTGGCAGACGGAGTGTCGATCTTAGAAACAAGTGATAGCTTAGTAAGTGACAAAACGGTACAAGAGGAGGTGGAGGAGAGGCGGAGAAGAGGTTAGGAGTGTACTAGATAATCAAATAATAAATGGGAGGTGATCAACAGGAAGATTGTAACAGGGAAAGGTAAGGTGATTAATACGGGAGGTGATCAACAGGAAGATTGTAACAGGGAAAGGTAACCTGATTGAAATGGAATCAACAGAGATCTCGCAACGTCGGCACTATGTTTGTAGTTGCTTGTAACAATGGTGGTCGTTCTTGAACTCGTAGTATTAATATGATTTTAGCTTTAAAAAAAAGACAGTCGTTTAATTTATGCATCTATTACATCCTTATCTAGTGTCACTCCTTCCATACCTCTGTCACACTCACCCTAATTTGTTTGTTGTGAAGCCAAGAATTACTCACTTAGAGTCAGGATAGTCCTAGGAACTTGTCCTTCTCAAATATACCAGCCGCTCAATGAAGCTCAGCACTTCCTCTTGCCTGACACCACTCCTGTCTGAATCAGAATCTGAATCTGATTCACACCACAGTCCACAATCCCACTCCTGCCTTCTCTCAAACTCTGTTAAGATCTTGATGATCTTCATCATGATGCTAGAATCTCTTAGATCTCTTTCCGGGTCGTACTACAACCTGGTAACGCACATCTGACTTAAACGAACTACATCTAAAAAGTGGTTCGAACTACCCTAGACCCAAACCCTAGAACTTGTTGTCACACACCATCAAAAAGACGTGCGTCTGCATACAACGTATTGAACACCATACAACTGGAAAGTCCCAACAACTGCCGGCGCATGTCGCAGGCCGTAAAACTAAGAGAAGATTATAGCAGGAGCGACCATACAGATGCGTTTGTGTATGCGCTTTGCTTTCCCCACTAAAAATCAATGACCCATATTCTGGGTCGGCTGATAAACATATTAGCTGCATTTATTCTCAATGAAAGTTGTCGTTCGATGCGTGTTTTCAGTTCTGCTTGTTTCTTATTCAAATGGTCTTCATGAGTAACAAGGAGTTTTTCATCATCCTCAATATCATGGTTCTCTTCCACTACGCAACTTATCCCTCGCTGATGATGCCTGTGACCCGCGATGTGCATCTTTGGGCGAAAACGGCGTAGAAACGCGTTAAAAGCACCATCTAGACTCCAACAATGTGTCATCAAAATGTCAAGACGTTCGTCAGTGCGCTTGCCAGTGTCGATGCTCTTGGTGGATGTTGAGTGCCTGCTTGTTTGATCATCAACATGGTCCTCCTCCAAATCCTTGGCTTGCTCCAACATCTCATAGTCAATGTTCGCACGAATCTAAACCACAACCATTCTGGGAATAATGATGATGTTGCAGCACGACTTATGGAGGAAGTATCGAAGAAAGATCCAAATAGTGGAATAAACATGTCGAAAGCGCGTTCAGCTCTGATTGGTTTGGAAGATGAAGAACTTGTGCACGTGGACGGCGACAAGTTCCTTTTCCCCGGTAGTAGAGACGAGGACGGCGACAAGTTCTTTCTCCCCGGTAGTAGAGACGAGGACGGCGACAAGTTCTTTCTCCCCAGTAGTAGAGTAGCACTCCTCAAACTCTCCAAAGCATCGTCATGATTCCCGGTTGTGGCAAATTTATGCGTACATCGCAGATTCTTCCACCACTTATGCAGTCGGGCCAATCGAGAATGACAGTGTCGTTCTTGAAGGTCAAAGATCTTTTTAAAGGCTCCTTCATCTTCATGTCCTGCATCCTCTTTCGCCGCATCATCATAGAAATTGTAAAGTCTCGAGTCATACAAGAAGTCTCCAGCATGCAAAACTAGGTCCGCGCCTCCAGGAAGCTCTTCTGAAGAGATACAGACTCGAATGCTGTCAGGCCACTTTTTGGGACCAAGGATTAGAAGTATAACAATGAGTTTACACGGAAGTGCCTGCGGGACGACACTGCCCTTGTTTATATTAGACGTTCATGTGGGTAAGCATGGTATCTTCCCTTAAAAATGCTCGAGGAGGAAGTCGTACTGCTAGGCAGTACTTTCCGTCACCTTAAGAGAAAGTGGACGGAACGCAACCGACAGGGATATATCGGAGGCGGAAGCTGTGGGTGGTCTCGATCATCCGAGAGATCTTCCAACGGCAGGTCTGTCCCAGAAAACTCTCCTACAGGAGCGTGAGATTGTTCGAGGTAAAATGTAAGCACGGATCGAAACCACATGCCCCACTTGTCGATGAGTTTCAGTGATGAAGAGTCAGGGTCTTCAGGTTGATCTTGAACATTTGCATCAGCATCAGCATCTAGCTTTTGATAATACATTTTCGCTTCTGCCAGAGCTTCTCTGTAGTCTAGGTATTCTACTTCCGTGCGACACCATGCTCCAAATAAATCATCAAGTTTCTGCAAGGTAAACCACGCTGGGCGTCGAATGTAATCGAGATAAATGCGAAGAGTGGATCATTAGCGCGAGCTGCAAAGATAATGGACGAGGGTTGATTCGTCGCGCAGCATGGCCTGTCTAGTTCTTGCTGTAGTTCTTTTCGGGCTATCTTAAGCTTCAGGCCGGAGCACTTCGGTATAGAATGGTATCACAGGCTAGCGCAGGGATGACGACATCCCTGCGCTGCTGTTAAGTTTATTGAGTGCGATCGGCTTGTCTCGTATAAGATGAAGGAGTCGAATAAGATGATGAGAGCGGAGAACTATTAGACCGAGGGGGTAGGCTAGAGAGTAGAGGAAAGAGGTAGAACGGAAAAACCGACTATGCTACAGAGCTTAGCAGAGCACTGAGGAGAGAACTGTGGAAAAAGTGCGACGCTGCCGATAGCTGAGCCCGATAGTTCGAGAAAAATGCGCGCCATTTTTACACACTGAGCCCCTTTGCCTTTCACTGCAGCCAAGTGGAAGGCGATAGAGATTGGCAGACGTCTGCGCCGCACCATGTGACAAAACGACAACGGGGCGCCGATAGGAAAAACCACAGCGGTGCGCGTTTTTTTCTAGCTGCTTAACGCTTTCGGGATAGTTTCTAGCTGTTAAAGAAGACGCCCGAAGATGATTATGAAACTGACGCGAGAGAGAGCCGCCCCCAGTTCTTTTTTAGCAAGTGCGCGTCGCTTTTGCGGTTATTGTCTGACATGTCTGACCCACGCCGCAGCTGTTTAGCGAGAATATACTACACGACGTTCAAAGCAAGTTACTTCTTAGCAAAAGCGAGCGCATCGCGTCTTCGCTTGACTGACATGGGCCAACTCACTACGGTGCACACTGCGCCGCTGAACATTAAGGAAACCGAGCGCATGGCGAGCAGTCACACTCGCCGTTTTGCTATGCTTTACGATGGTCGCCATTATCGACGAAACTGGTGTGGTCTGAAGATATTGCAAACATCACAAAAAGAACCGCAACCACTTGACTCAGCGCCATCGTCAGAGTTCGGGCCTGTGCCTTCTTCAGAATGTGGATCAGAAGCGGCAGAATTCTTAGACCGGGAATGCCGAAGATATTGCAGAGCTTTGCGCGCAAAATAGTTGAAACTTGCCCGGGAGAGGTTGCTAGGCCTGAAGTTAGTACCGACTGCCTGGGGAACCTCGTCGATTCTTTCTGAGGCTCGCCTTGACTCTTGAAGGTTTTTAGTATCTTACTCGCTGCTTTTTCAGCTTCTCGCTCTCCAGCCCAATACCCACCAGCGGCGCGGCTTGGTAAGGTGTTAAAACCCAGTCGGCGATCTTGGATGACGTTGCAGAGCGTTCGAGGCGCCCGCCTTTGAAAACTGGCGCGACAGGTAGGGCACTGCCTCCACGAAGCATCCGCGGCGTCTTGTCCCACGTACTACGAGGGCACACCTTTTGCGCAATCTGCTTGGTTTCGATATAGAATGGTATTAGATGCTCAACGGTATAGAATGGTATTAGATGAGAAGAAAGTTCTTTCCACCAAAATCACTACGAGCTGCGGAAAGGCATGATGTTATGGTGAAGGTGGTAAAAGGGGCAGTACAACGGGTTATAGGGCGTCAGGATGAGCAGATAGAGCCAGAAGCGCCAATTCTTGTAGTTTGTTTCTGCATCGAGCTTCCGCGGAAAGCGGAAAACATAAGAGAAGAAAGAGCTGGGTCGATTGCCTTCCTGCTCGGATTTGGATCGAGATTTGTTTGAAGACATCATTTTTTTGGAATTTCATTAGTTCCAATTCGGCGATTTGATTTAGGTTTTGGTTAGAAGAGGATTCTAGGTGTACGTCCACCTCATCGTTGTATTTCTAGGTACTTTTTGCTCTCAATCTCCTGTCAATCTAGTTTTGATTCTCAATTTCCAACACGAAGTGCGTGTGATTGCGATATCGGAAAGAGGGAGGTTCACTTGCACTTGAGAGACTATGTCCTCTACTCAACATTTAGACTTGGGCAACATGATTATACCAACTCCTGTTAAGGATCGTCCGAGGACGACCGATGCCGTATGATGGAACTGGACTAGTCCCATCTTATTGTTCTTAGACCAACATATCGAAGTGTAAATGAATTGGCGCTGGGAGCACCGCTTGAGAATGCTTTGTTGTTTTTCAAATTTGCTCTGCGTCTAGGAGTATGTGGTTTTGGAATGAGTGGTGTAGCTGTTGTAGTTCACCCGATTGATGAATGAATGAGTCCATGAGTGCCACCTTGGCTACGAGGCAGCAGGCCATGAAAGAAAAATGTGATATCACCTATAGCGTGTCAAGAAGATGCTGATTCAGTTTCTTATGTGACTTAAACATAAGGTATCCGAGGATGAATCAATGAATGATACAGATAATGAAATGGTCATGGTGGTCTATTAGAATGAAGGAGCTTTTGGCATTGCCATCTTTTTCGTCACCAGGTTCAGAAGTTACTAGATAAAAAGTCTTCCTCAACGAACTATATGAAATCCAAAAGTTGTGTTGTCATGTTGACAAGCAAAGACAACAGCACTTTCCCTAACCCTATCGTCCATCGTAGTATTTCTATTTTTTCGTCTCGTTGTTACCAAGCCAACGAGTTGTCAACATCACGCGACGTAGAAACATCGTATCTTCTCAAGTGCGCGTCGTGTCCGTGGTAACTCTCTCAAGAGATCTTCCGCGAAGAGATCTTCGCAGCAATATTCGTAGAAATTTTTAGGAGTAGCAACTACTTCTACTTCCGCTTGCTGCCCTTCGACATTTTTAGCATCAGGTTCAACAACATCACTGGAAGGAGACGCATCTATATTTTTTCCGAGGAGGACACATTTGCGAGGCAGCAACGAGCGATCTACACGGGAGAAAGAATGCTGCAGGGCGACGTCCATACGGAGGAAGGTCTCAACTGCAAGATCGAGGAGCCCGCGAAAATCTCCACACAACTCGTCGTAGTCGTCTTCGCTGAGTCGTCCACTTTCGATTTCATCCTCCACAGAGTATCCCAAAGTGCGAAGTGTCACTGAACAAAAGGTCTCCCAAGAATTCATGTTCACCTCCTGTCGTTCGTCTTTGTGGTTGATGGGTGAAGCAGCTGCGTACCAGTGGCGAAACCAGAGGAGAATGCAATAACCGAAGTAAATCACTGCCTCTGCTTCGAGGTTATTGCCAGCATCTGCCGGCTCTTCATGCAGCAAACGCGCGACATCCCAGAAAACATTAGCCACAGACAGCGGCGCTGCGACAAGCAATAAAGAAGTTCCAAAGGCGTCCCTCTCTTGATCTTCCTCGCTCTTTTGGATCGTTTCCAAGTGTTTGTGAGTTCGCCGCCTCATCATCTTCAGGAGCGTCGTCTCCGCCAGCGTGGCCGAGCTCAATGCAACTAGTTTTGCCTTTATCGAGCTTTGCGAATCGAGAGGCATGCGCTGCTTCTTCAAGATCTTGTTGAACAGCATCCAGTGCGTTCTGTGAAGTTGAATGAAGTTTTCGTTCTGTCTTGCGAAGGCCTGTGCGTAGATCTCGTCAACCATAGTGACAACGACCGCCATATCAACATAATCATCTGTAGCTGATGCAAGAGGTGACCCTGGAGCAGACGACGACACTTGGAGGTCCAGGCTCAGTAGCTCGTCCTGAAGATGACCTTGTCCGAGCGTTGCTACGGTATCAATCGAAAGATCAGGTGAAGTCTCTGCGGAAGAGGTGACTGATGCGTCTTCAGGGGAAGTGCCCGCTGAGGTTGATGACAGGACTCGCGACGAGTTCGAAGTGGTACGGGTGGTTACCTCAGAACAGAGCTTGCAAGTACTCTCCCTATAATGTTCACCTGTTTTTCGAGCAAAGTCGGAATCTTCCGAAGTGCTGGCTCCACTAGCAGAGGATGTCAGTCGGGTAAATCCTGAAAAAGCAGGAATTTGGACAAGGGGCAGACACCAGCCCGATACGTTGAAAGCACAAGCTCGCAAAGGACGCTTAACCGGAAACCGCGTGAGCGCCTGCATCAGTGTCTTAAGTGTCCGTGCAGGCATCCGATTCCGACAAGCACGAAAGGTGATGGTGTTCAAATGGATATCGTTCTTTTCGTAAATGTGCTCCGCAGCCGACAGAATTGACGACCAGAACGCGCTTGCTTGCTCGTCAGTCGGTGTCTCCTCCATGAACACATTATGCACAGACAGCCCAGCGAGATACTTAAATCCTCTGTCCTCGTTTTTGATTTTGACGTCGTCAGCGGTGATGAATGAAGCCGAACTCCAGTTGTAGTTGACATTATGTTCTTGAGTGGTTGATGATGTTGAAGAAGCACCAGGACCAGTAGGCTGACCCGAAACAAAACCAGATTCTGATTCTGTCTCGTGTCGTGGACGGTGGAGGAAATCAGCAATGGCAGCTCCAAAATCTTCCCATGTCCGAACCACTACTGCCTGGTCTACATCTTTATCATCACCCTGCTCAGGGCCTTCATCTTCTTCAGCTTTCGTGCTCCCAGCCAACGCGCCTTTGTGTGGTTGTAGGTGTTGTACTTCTGGCTCCTTTTGGGGACGAATCAATAATTCCAGCCTGGGCAACATCAGGTTGGAGAAGTCCCGTGGGTTTTGGTCCTTCCTCTCGCCACTTTCGTGAAAACCTAATCCGAAGTAGGGAGCCAGCAAGTTGTAACATTCAAAGTTTTGCCGTTCAAGCGCCATTTCGAGCAAATTCATCCCCTCGAGTCCGTTCTCTTGCTGCCAAAGCTTCTCTTCCTTGTTCCGAAGAGCGGTTACGTCGATGTCATGACGAGTAGCGTAATCAAGCAATATTCGAAGACAGTCCGCACGACCATCGTAAACGGCGCGATGGAATGCGGTGATTTTGTAACACCCCATGGGAAGGGTCGGCTCCGCCAACCGTAACCAAGGTGCCACTTGTGCGAGAGGTTGCTTCTCCTTTTCGACCATCCTAGTAGAAGTTTCTGAGTAGTTTTCGAGCAACTCCTGCAACAGCTCTACCTGGTTTTCCTTGATGATGTTGTGTAGAAAACATTTGTGTCCTTGCAGCCTGCCAACGAGCTTCAGGTTTCGCTCTTGGAGCTGATCTCCATTGCGATAGTACTCTTCAAGAAAGCGCACGAAGCCTGGGTCCATCATCAGCGCTTGGAAAGCCTCGATGGGCTCCTCTCCTGTTTCGGCATATCCCGTGAGCACCTCGTCGAGCCGCTCTACAAAGAGGTCTCTCAGCTCGTCGATTGCGCTAACGAAGTAGTTCGTGACGATGTCAACGGTATTCCGGTCTCCCGGAGGCACGAACCGGCGATCGTTTCCGCGGATAATCACATGGTACACAGGCTTCTGCGCGAGCTCGGTCCGAAGCTCCTGCTGCTGAAGAGGTCCGAAACTTCTCATCTTCATCTGATGCTGATGTCCCCAACCGCCTTTTGCCCCCTTGAAGAGTTGTCCGCTTTTTCCTACACCTCTACCTCCCTTCGATGTTCCCTTTGGAGTGTTAGATGGTCCCTTTTTTTCAGAAGCGTCCCTGCCCTTTTTGTCATACGCATCGTAGTACATGTTCGTGTTTTGCTGCTGGTGGAGCTGCGGTGCGACTGCGTCTCTGACGGCTTGAATGATATCGTCGTCTCTGTGACGGATAATGTACTGCCAACCGCAGAGCCTGGTGTTCCTTCCACTACCGATCGTTGCATGGTGCTGGCGGCGCAGTAGCCGAAACCCACGACCGTCATCGGCCTCCCCGTTCTTCTTCCCATTCTTCTTCATGGCAATAGCCCGCAGGGCCTCCGAACTTTCGACATCGCGCGTCGCCGCATGCCGACTGATAAAAGCAATTGAGGCATTTGTGAAGTCTGTCGCTGCAGTTGACTCTGCCATCTTGCTGAGCCATATCAGGTTCTAGTATTTACTCTGGTAATATGTAGATGAGCCGAATTCCGTAATAAAATCGGTGGAGCACACCTAACTAGGAAACAAAAAATACAAAAGAGTCAAGTAATCCAATTATTCAAAAAAAAAAACTATAGTGGCCACGTTTATATTAGGATCCGTTTATTTTAGGCGCCGCGAGTTCGTCCATCTGCCCTGGAGGTCTTCTCATAATCCGTAATAAATGCATTAAGAGGATTCATCAGCTTGCGAAACTGAAAGTAGCAGTAGGAGTAATCCTACTACTTAGAATGGCCATGATGTGTGAACTTTTTCAGTATGTAGTTGTAGTCTACTAGGTCTACTCCGATCTTTAACATCTTTCACGAATTATACTTCTTTAAAGCCGTAACACTAAACTCTTAAAACTCGTCAATCATCTACATCTTCAATCGGTGATTTGGAATCAAATCTTCTTCTTTACTACTCCATTGATCTTCGTGTCGAGCAGATGTTTGCAGCTCTGCAGAACAGTATCATCTCCATGATCATCACACCGATAATTAGTACAACATGAGCAACATGTTTCAGATCGAATGAAACGCGGTGAAGCAACCGCAGAACACTAAGAGCCATAGTACTTAACAACATGACTGAGTCAACAAAGCGTTGTGCGTATTGCGTGGAGACTGAGAGTTTGCGATCATGTTTCCTTTTAGCAACTATGGGAGTCGGTAGAAGGCTTGGGTATGTGCACTGGCATACTATGCAGATAATGAATCCCAAAAAAAAAAATTCCGTTGGTTCTCTGCTCCCTTGGAACAAGAAAATGCCTCTTCGTCTCAGCCAATTATATTCGTTCCTCTCCTCGTGTTCTTCATTTCCGCATGAACATGGAGAGCTTCACCTTACGCCATGTTCACTCCTCTCCTCGTGTTCTTCATTTCCGCATGGAGAGCGCTCATACAGGATCGATAATGTGCTTCTTCACCTCTGGAGACCATGTAATCTTTTAAAAACTCAAGAACGTCAAACTTTCCTAGGGTCATGGCCAACCTAAAATCCGCAGACTCGAACTTCAACCCTCGTTTGACTAACTTCATAAGCCCTTTTGTATCCCCATCTCGTATACACCTTTGCAAGTCGAGACGGTGGAGACTTTGGAGTAGCGGATAACCCTGTCCAAGGCCACCGTGTGTTGGAAGTTCTTTAGAAGAGGAGGAACTTGAAGGTGCAGGTTCATCTCGTTGTCGCGCTTTTGTTCCTCCTCCACGTTGCCGAGTCGTACTACTCTCGTTTTCCTCTTCTGATGTAGTCGACAAAGTCATCCCTTGCCGCTCTTCTTCCGCATGTTCCTCTTGTCCAAGTTGTACCTTCCAATCTGTGAGGTATGCTTCCACCCTTTCACAAGACTCTGCATCCAAGTCTCCTCGCCAAAATGTTGCTATCCCCTCTCCACGTGGGGTCACACGATAGGGATCGTGGTTAGCCTCTTGCACCAGATAGTCGAGACAAGCTAATTGGTTCTCTAGTACGGTATCGGTATTAGTACTTACTACTTCTGTATATTCTCCCCCACCCGTAGTTATTCCTCTCTCCAGACTAGTTGTAGAACCAGAAATGCTTCTCCTCTTCGACGATGATCGTAAGCGCAAGTACGACGCTGACGCGAACTTAGCGACAACGACGCACATGGGCCAGTCCTTGTAACTTTCTCCCGCATATCGGAACGAGATGGTTTTCGACTGATTCGGTCCCACTAGCCTCTGCAACAGTCCAAGATCCGCGAAGATCAGCGCTGCAGCGACAAAACACGAATACACCACGGGATTGGTGGCACCAGGGAAGCAGTCGTCGGGACGAAGCAAAAAGTTATCGAAAATCAGTTCCCTGATCATGCGCAATTGTTTACTCCACCCTTCTACTTCTTGCTGGTGATGAGCACGACGGAGCATATCGAGAACGGTTATGCCCGGGTCAATAGAATCGATTTCAACCAAGGTTGTGGCGACATCCACCTGATGTTGTTGGTCACTCAACAATGATATTCTTTTCGAGCAGTCGTCGTTCTGGTCGTTCGTGTTTCTTTCCATACCTCTGAAAATGATATTATGGATCGACCAGCTCTCGTTCTGATCGTCAATGACCAATCGAGGGTTGCTACTGATCACATCTTGTCTAGAAGCAGTTTCATCGTGATCACCAGCAGGCTGAGATTGTTCATCGCTAGGGTTTGCCCACGAAAATCTTGTGCGTTTTTTCCCATGAAGCTTTCTTTTAACCGAATGGGCCCCGTGAGTATGTTGTGCGTCTCCTGAAGGTTTGCCGTCTACACAGGTACCATTTTTACTACGCCTCTCAGCTGGCGCTGTTACGGGTCGAACTTTTTTGACGGCTCGTTTTTCATTTCCACTCTGTATATGAGGCAAGGTCGTCGTTTGGCTCTGATCGTCTCCTACTTGGCCTTCTGGCGCTTCATCTCCCTTTACATTGCTGCCATCTGCGTCATCCTTTTGTGCAGCTCCTGAAGCATTCTTTTTCCGCTCCCGTAATGCTCTTAAGGAAGACGAACTGCCTTGCTCTTTGGAAGACCTTTTTCCATTTGTATTTGCACTTCCTGCTCCAATTCCTCCCTGTCCGTTACCTCCCGATGAACCATTTCTAATCATACTGAGTCTCTGGTAATAATGTTCCCCTGGTGGGATTACGCCGTGTGGCCAGCCTCTCCATTCTACTTGGACGCTTCTAGTCCGTCTTGAGCCCACCTCGTCGACCATTCCACGAAGCAGTTCCGCGAGACACCGACTCGCCCCATGACTAACTGCCGAAACGAGCTGCGACGAGGACAAACGAAACACGTTCTTCTGATCATGATAGTGGCCGCCAGATGTCGTGTAGAGAAGAACTGGGGAAGGAGACATGCTAGAAGCAGATGTCTTGCTTGTTGTTGACTTTATGGAGTTTGTTTCACCAACACCATGATTGCCCAAGCTACCTGCAGCCCCACAGGTATACGATAACAGCACTTCCCGCAAATGCAAAAAGTCGTCTTCTGCGAAGAGACGAGGGAGAAGTCGATCTGGCGTAAACTTCAGCTCGAACAGATGACACAGCGTTGGATGTTTCCGTTGGTAAAAACGAATAAGCCTCAGGTATCTCGGTGACGATCGGCAAGCTGCGACGTCGTGAAGAAAACTGCGGTCATGCCCATGCCACAGAATGTATTCTTCCAGGAGTTCGTCTTCATCAGGTAGGTCCAAGGAGTCCCACACGCGAACAAGTTCTCGGAAACTCAAAAAGTGCAGGGATAAGGACAAAATCAACAGAAATCGGTCTAAATTAGGGACTAGGCAGCGGGCGAAAGGTAGCGAAGCTGGAGATTTGCTTGTGTTCGGTGACGAGGGTACAACTCCAGGTCCGCAGAAGCTCGTATCAAGCGCAACTCTGTGAAAATCTGCTGTCGGTTGTTGACCCTGGGCTGTACCTGTTCTAGTTCCAGGTTGATCAAATACAGATGGCAATACGCACGTCGATCCTCCTGTTCCGCGTGGCGATAGGTTGAGGTGGGCCGTCATTCTTGTGGAAGTGCATGGAGGAGGATTGAAAAATCGCTACCGCTAGCATTACGGAGTGGTCGATAACAAAGTTTCTGCACACATGTTATCGATCACGAACAGCGCTAAAGTCTCATATATTAACAAGCAATCAGTAAGTATAGTATAAAAAATAATCTAATGTAGTTACAAGTAATATCTTCAACGTATGAATTGAGTTGTAATAAATTGAAATCTTCGGTAGAGGAGCCGAGATACAACTAGCACAAATTTCTACATCACTTGGACTTATCAAATAAAGCTAAGTATTTCCATCGGGGAGAAAGGGAATTGCAACAGTGACGCGCTTTTCCTGCAGATCACAGAGAGAGAGCAGATGAGTAAATTAAGTCTTTGCTTTTGACGGGTCGTTGTCAGATTCCGAGTTTGCACCTCTCTAAAAATCCTTTATCCTCTTCCTCGTTTCTCTCGTTGTGGCCGATGATGCTCATGACAGAATCAAAGGTGGCTCTTTGAAAAACACACCGAAGCAAGTATTTCTCTTTCAAGCTTATGATCATGATCTGTCAGAATAGAACCAAAAATATTCAGAAATAACGTTCCACAAGCATCACTCAGCGGACATTCTCGTTAGATAAACTGCACACCGACTGTACGGTAGGTCGCAGATCAATTTGCATTATCATGCGCTTCGCAACAAACCCGAACACATGCAACTCGTAACACGCAGTCATCAAGCGCAACATCAAAGGACCACAAGTAGTTAGAATCAAAATTATAGTTCCCTAGCCCTACTAATCTTCAACTTCAAATCTGACAGTCTATCTCTACCTGAAACTGCATCGTCTTATCTCTAATTCTAAAAGTTGTTCGCGTCTGGGTCATCTATTAAATTCTGATCACGCAACTCCCTCCTGATCAGTCCTCGGTGACTGTTGAGGATCCAACCACGGTGTGCTCAAGATCATGCAACTCCATGATCAGTCCTCGGTGATTGTTGAGGATCCAACCACGCTGCCCTTTGCCGCCATAAAATATCTTTGAATCTGCTGCAATCTAAGCTACAGTCTTGCGCTAGAGAAACCATATCCGAGACGTCCTCGAGTTTGAGCTTGCCTACAACGTCCTTGGCTCCTAGAGTTAGATGGGGAAGCATTGCTTCTTGGTCGAAAGGAGCCAAGAATATTATGTATGAGGGATAAATATCCGTAATATCTTCAGTCAACATGCAAAAATTATTCTAGTTCTTAGAAAAAGAGACGTCGCTTGTGGATCTTGATCATGGAACAAAATCAAGAAGTTGATAGATACTGCTTGTTGAGATGATCACCAGCAGCCTTAAGGCATCCTCACAGGCGTATTCATAGACGGTTTTTCGGTCTCCAGCTACGTGTACGATGCCATTCAGGTTTGGAAGTTTTTCTGACAAGACTAGTTCCAAAAGTTTTGCTACGTCCCGCGAAGCAACCCGGACCGGCTGCCGCGATGTATATTGATCAACGAAGGCTTTCGGGTACGGGAACACGTTGGGGCCGAAGATTAGAACGAACAACGTGTTGACGAGACGAAGTTAGTACTGGATAGTTTCTCCTTCTACGAGAGCGTGATGTGCAGCACGTGCATGATAAGAATGGAATTGAAGATAATGTAACTGCATTTGCATACTTACTCGTCCGAGCACCGGCAATCTCAACGTGATCCCCCTTACCATCTATCTTCAAGGTCAACTCCTTGTCTAAATGTTTTCCTAATATTCCTCCACCATAAAAACGGACACCGAATTATCAAATGTCTAGGAACCATCTGTACGACGCATTCGCCACCCAACTTCGACCATCCGTAATTATTCAGCGGTCGAGTCGGATCACTTTCGGTGTACAAGCCGCCAGCTTTCTTGCCATCAAAAACGTAATCGGTGGAGGTGGAATGAAAGATGGCGGTAGGAATTGGCGGTAGTGGTTACGATGTCACTGATCATGATCGATGCGGTGACGGTGGCTGTTGGTGGACTGTAACAATGCCTGCAATCACAGCAACTAATGCCTGCCTCTCTACATACTGGCGGCCCCGACAATGTCGATGCTCTCAGCGTAATCCAAATACTAAATGCAACTATGCAACTCTGCTAATCTTCCCATGTCCATCTTCCATAAATGTAGACAACTTGTAAGTTGATGTGCTTTGTCTATCTTCCATAAATGTAGACAACTTGTAAGTTGTGCTTTGTCCATCTTCCATAAATGTAGACAACTTGTAAGTTGTGCTTTGTCTATCTTCCATAAATGTAGACAACTTGTAAGTTGTGCTTTAGGGCCAGCTTGCAGACGTTACTGGTTCCGATGACGTTCGTATCGATGCCCTTGGTTATCTCTGCTGCCTCGTTCATTCTCACTGTAGATACGTAGGCTGCAAGGTGCACGATTGTCGTCAGTCGTTTCCGTCTGTGTTGTTTAGAAGCAAGTGATATTAGATGATGAAATTCAACTTCAAACTTATTGATGTTTCTTTAAGTTTGATTTTGATTTTCACGATATGAAGTAGGTGAATGATGCACTGACGGTGGAAATGCAGCGCGAGCACTGCAATCGATTTAGTCTTAACCGCTTCAGCTCTCTGCGCAGGTTCTATCATCTCTTCGTCGTCAGGAGAACCTCCTTTTTGGCTGGGACTAGGCGTCTCTGCCAAGAAATCGCTCATGCTTGCTCTAGCACGTCGTGCTGTACTGCTACTAGCGCTGCTTGCTCTACCACTTGAACTTGACGTGCCGCCTCCTCCAGTGCTCGCATTGTTTTCCTTGCACCATCTGTCCAAATAGGTCTCCATCTGCGTCAAGTCCGCTACATTGAAATCTCCTGACGAAGGTGCTACGACTTCCACATGCGAAAGCAATCTCGCCTTTCCAAAATGCTGTCGGAGATCAGTACCCAAAACGCCGGAACCGCCAGTCATAAGCACTGCGGTTCGCTTGGCAGATGACGGACTAGTTGAACCAGAGGTGGATGACATTTTGGTGGTCGTACTTGTTTTTTCAATTGTCGTCGTTGTTGTTGCGCTCGTGGTCGTAATGTTGATGGAAGTAGTCAAACAGAAAGACAGAGTATAGTAGCTTGATCGTAAAAAAAGCCAAACTTAAGGCTGAAGGAACATTTTTCTGACAATTTTTGATCGTCGTGGATTTTTGTGGTGTACTTGCGCGTAGTCGTGATGAGGATTGTCGTGGTGCAAAAGTGCTAATCAGTTTTTCTTGGAACACACAGGGCTGAAGCTGATGCATTCCTCCAAAAATGCTTTCTGTTTCTTGCATGTCAAATAGCATTTCTACAAGCTGGTCATGCGGAATTCAGTGGTTGAGCTTGTGTCTCTATTTTTTGATATCACTTAATATCATGAGACCTGAAGGAGAAGGGGGTTGAAGATGTGTTTCATGTCTTTGAAGTCACATGCAAAAATGATGACAGGAAGACAAGGACATTGAAGGTCACAGCCGTATCAAGGATACATTGAATTTGAAGGTGGGGACCGATGATGATGAGTGCTAGACCATGCGTTGTCCCTATCATTTTTCACTTGCACGCACTAGTTTTGTTCCCCTCCACCGTCTTCACGTATATTTCCTGCGTGAGGCTTTTTATCCGCTCAATCTTCCATCTATGAACGGACAAATTACAAAAGGCTTCAAAGAAAAACCCGCTTCGTTCGAAAAAATTCCCACAGCGTTCGGAATGCTGTGGGAGTTTTTTCGAACGAAACAGTTTTTTCTTTGAAGCCTCTTGTAATTCGTCCGTTCATACTTGCTTCCAGTACTTCTGTTTTTTCATTTGCTCTTTCTTCGTCAGATCAAACTCCCTCTTAAACGCTTCGGCACGTTGCTTCTTTGCGGAGTTTGTTAGAGATAGAACTAGAAGTAGATGTATCTGTAGATGAGGGAGATGGGTTCGTTTAAGACAGTGACAGTGTATGGCTATCGTCTAGTGCTTGTACTGGTGATTGAAAATCATGCACAAAATATGATGTTTTAGACCAAGAAGGGCCTCGATTTTTATCCTTATTCGAAAAAGGTACTTGTTTGGATCTTATATGATGATCGCTACTTTTAATTTTATGAGATGAACGCAGATGGCAATGGGGACTGAATTGGACTAAATAATCATAACTCAACGTCTACTTCCACCTTGCCTGAAGATGACGTAATTGGACTAATCATAACTCAACGTCTACTTCCACGTTGCCTGTAGTCAGTCGCTCCGGCTGTGTCCACAGCGGTTGCACGAATTTTTCCACTTCTACGTCTTTTTCAGAAACAAGTCTCTTCAGAATGCAACTGTTCATACCCAGAAAGCAAGCTGACCGGACAGTGTCCATATTGAATTTATTTTGTTCCGGTGGACCTTCTATTCTTCTAGCATCCATCAGACCGGAGACTAGGGAGCGCATATTCTGAGTGGGAGCTGGAGGAATCTTCGCGAACGGCCATTCCCGCATGTCTTCGCAGAAGGGGAGGTCGGACATGTACAAAACATACCGATTCTGATCTGTTTCCTCGAGAAGCTCTGGATACTGCTCTAAATGCCGTTTACAGCGCGCTTCACGTGCCAAGGACCACGCTTTACTTTCATCTTCTGCGTCCTTCGGTGCAGTGGCGGTGGTGATGGTAGCTTTCTTAGAAGAAGTGATGGGGGAAGGTTGAAGGAGTTGCACAAGAGGTTTTCTGTATTTTAGACTAGTCAACAGCAACACTGCTTCGTAATTGCATAGGCACCACAAGCTGCATCCATGATGCAATAATACTTTCGGGTAAAAAGCCAGAAGCACTAGTTTCCCACACTCAGGCCTGTATAATCATCAGTGATTCCGTAAAAGAAGAAGCTGAGCTAGACGATGCGCTGGCTGTGCCTCCAATAGCGACAATCGGCAAGGACGTCGAAGCAGAAGCTTCACCAGTTTTGATTTTGTTTTTGTAGTTTTCCGTCAGCATGGGGTTCACCCCCGCTTCGAGGACAACCACCTTGGGTTTGTAATTTTCTCTCCATACGTATCGGCAAAAGAGAACGGATATTAGCGGTGGTGCAGTAAAGGTTCATGTATTTTCGGTTGGTCAAGACGACGAGTAGTGGTGGAGGTACAGATTCCACTGTACCGCCAGAATTATGTGAATGCTCCCTGTGATTCTGAATATCAGATGATGAACAGACTAGAAGCCACAGCGTAAAACAGATGACAGAATAAGTATGTAAATGTTGTCTCTAGAAGCAAATCCATAAGTAATCCTCAGCCATCATGCTTGCTGCGAGAGCGCTAAAAAACACACTCTCCGGTGCCTCCTTTGACTTACTCGAAGAAGAGTCAGCGCGAGGAATGACGAAATCGCTTTCGCCTAATTTCCTGATATTAACGTTGTATGGAGTGGGAAAGATGATTGGAGCGACAGGAGCATGGTCCTTGAAGAGGACAACGAACTGAATATCTCCCCTGAAGATTGTTCTACTGCAACACTCATGTAGTTGTAGTAGTTAATATGGTTCTGCCAGCACCGGATAATCAGATCATCGTGTAGCGCATTCTTTACCAGAAGCAGAATCAAGATTCAACAAAGTCTAAAAAATCAAAGACTCTTAAAGATCAAAATAAAGGTAGTACTTTGATACAACCACAACGTATTGTAAGTACTACTCTGGTCGTAGGTTTTCTCTTTTAATTCCAAAAGGTAAAAAGTACCACTCTGGTCGTAGGTTGTCTCTTTTGAGACTGCCTAGAAGCTTCAGGCACATCGGTGCTGTATGCTCGAACATGTGCTTTTCTGCGAATCCCACAGGCACAACTTCGTTCCGTCCATACTTGTAACCATCAATCAACTCTTCTGGACTCACGCACTCTCCATTTTCCTTGCGAAACACCTTTTCCCATCGCATTATGGTAGGGCCCTCGGCTTCTTGCTTATTCCCTTCGGTACTGAGACGTCGCCGCTTCAGTGTTGGCGGGATGAAGGAAGTCACCTTGGAAATAACGGTGACGGGAATTCGAATCTGACACGAGATGCCGATCTTGCATTAGAAGTAGGGTTACTTAGGGAGACCAACTGATGTTGTATCTCTTGCTCACAACAGCTTTAATCCAACTCCGTCTTCGACTTAATAAATGGGGAAACCGTACAGAAGATCTGCTCGACTGTTACGCTACTGATGTTGTATCTCTTCGAATATGAACTAGTCCACTAACCGTACAGGGTTACAGCTTAGGCAGAGTTTCCAATTTTGACTATGACTATGTTATACACTTCAAGTTGTAAGTACCATGTTAAAAGTCTAAGTACATATGTATCGTGCTTACAACAGCCGTAATCCAATTCCGTCTTCGACTTAATCGAGCTCTTGACTTCGCGAACGGTCCTCTCTGCGGTCCGCAATCGCTCATGCGTCTCCCGATTGATTTCCTCGAATGATACTAGCTTACTGTAGTCGTTGTTTACCACGTTTAGGCCATCATCTCCATCTCCAGGTAGGCCTACAGCGAAGCTTCCCCAAGTTTGTGGATATTTCGTTTCTAGGTAACTCTTGTTCTCTCGTAGCTTCTTCGAGTTTTTGTTGTTCTGCTCGTTCACGATATTTTTGTCGTTGTCGAAGTCAAGATCTAGATCAAGAGGGTCAATGCTCTCTTGTTGTTGCTCCTTGTTGGATCCGTGTATGATTCCGGTTGATGCTGCGCCAGGTATGGTGGGGTCTGCTACGTAGTAGATTTTGACTCGAAGTCCGAGACTGTGGAGCTTGTCTAATATGCTCGCCCACGCGTTGTAATATGAAAAGGAAAAGGGAATCGGAAATCTTCAATTCTAGGATCTTGCCCCTTGAACAAAGCGCTTTTTGCGCCGCAAGGTTATGCTGTACAACTACAACCTAAGAACTCGAACAAATCTCGAGGTTCCTACAACAATCTTCTACAACAATCTGATTTCTTTTCCGTTCGTCCATAAGCTATCCTGCCCAAACATTTCGTCGACTCCAGCAGGACCAGGCCAGGTAGCCAGCGTCGCTTCGGTGCAGAAAAAGACGATCTCTGCATTGTTGTAGTATGGCTCCTTAGCTCGTGCTTTCGTTTTCAGGCTATTGCCTTTGCCAATCTGGCAGATGTTGTAGTTGAGGGGTAGAGAAGAGGATTCTGCAGTTCATCTTCATAAACAGCATAAGAACTACATGGCCTACTTCTAGTTCCATTGGCTGAACTCGAAATGAGATTGAGAATCTTCTACTTTAACTTTACTTCTATTACAAATGATCAAAGATCTGCGTCTGCAGGAGAAGTTTCTTCTGTATATATAATGGTCTTTGACATTTTCATTCACGACTTTCACTTGCTAAAAAATACCATATGATGCGCGAGCAGTAGAGCATCCGTGAAGATATCTCTGTTTTCACCTCCGACAAGCTCTTGTACTTTCTGCGTGCTGCTAGCCGCATTTTCGTCCGTGGCATTTCCTTTTCCTGCTTCCTCGCGCCATGCAACCTGATGAACACGCCTAAGGCTTTTCGGGGTGATGAAATTCAGCGGGCCTTCCGTAGGCATCTGCTTCCTGCCAGCCGGTGGTGGACCAAGAGGGCTCTCTTTGTTAGAAATAGAATCGAGTGACTCTGTTAAGCTATAAATTTTTCAGGAGAGCAGACCACGACGACATTGACGAGATGTACTTGTCCATGGGACAAACGCATGAATGTTGACGATGACTCCAACAACTTCGCTAAAACCACGCAGTAGACCTCCAGCAGCATAACATACACTAGATTTGCGTAGCTGCCTTCAGCGTCCTCGAGGTCGTTGTTTGTTTCTGAACTTCCCACCTCAATAACACCAACCTCAGGCGCTTGGGCGAGCATTATCTTGTTATCCTTCGTTCCCAGACAGCCCAGCAGCTTGTTTCCCAGAGATGAACGACGCCACTGATTGAGAACGTCGATACTAGGGGAATGTCGTTCCCTCTTTTTAGCTTTCTTATTTATAGGAGCGACATTCCCTTCTCTTTGTTCTCAATGCGTGGCATCATACGAGATAGTCAACAGCGAAGTCTCGCAGCTCTTCGTGCGCTGCTTTTGATGCGGACAGAGCGTCCACGCAGACAACGCAAGCTTCCCTGCTCATTTTGGTGCTTTACTTCACTTGGTATACTTGTAGAAGTTGTACTTGGAGCAGTATTTACGACTACCAAATAGAATGTGAAGGAGAATGTGACGAGTGACTCAATCGAATATAAAACATTCTACTACAGATATAGTTTTACTTCAGGAGTAACAAGAAGTACGAATGATTGATCAATCTTGTTCTACTTCATTAAAGTTAAGACGAGGACCTGGATACGGATTTTCTTCAAATTCAGCATCCTTTTCCGAGTCATTTCTTTGAAAAATGTTGTTGACCTTGACTGCACAAAACCAGCGGTCATCGTCATATTTATCGATCGGAATGCAAAAAATCAAATTTGATCTTCCTTGGTGCAACCGTTACACGTGTTACACCTCTGGCCCCCGTCTTTAGGGGACACACAAAAGACGAAAGCAGCTTTTTGCGGTTGTCAGCCAGTTATGCGAGGGCTATCTCATCGCTAGGACGGTTATTCAAATGCCGATTCATCCTGAGGGTAACGTTTGAAGATACTCAAATTCATCTTGTTCTTAATTGCTTCTACAACTTGTTTCATAAGGATTGTTTATGTTTCAGTAGAATAATCACAGCACAGGAGCGGCAAAAATTCGTTCTTAGTACATTGAAGTAAGAATTGTTCAAACTTCACATTCTAAACTTCTCTTGTTCCGTTCTACATCGTCATCAATGCGCATGCGCTCTGTATCCACATGATTTCGATCCCCACTTCTTCATAGAGTGAGGATGGTGTTCTATTCTTTCTTCGAATAAAAAAGTAGGTCAAGAAGCAGCTCATGCTCAAGGCCTGCGTGGACCATTTAATTTCACTGACTACTGAGAAGTAGTCAACATGCCAAAAGTTGTAGAACTAATCTTGTCATGAAAAGCAGATTCTATCACCACATCGTGCTGCAGTTCGATCATCCTCCTTCGTTCTCATCAGTCCTCAACCTCTTCCTTTCTTTAATTTCACTTTTCCTAATGCTGCTGCAAAGTCACAGAGGTAGCTGCGCCAGCTACATTCATTAGAGCAATATCTTCTAGAATATGGTAGTAGAAGAAAGCCCTGAAAAGACGCCAGCCCCATCATGATGACCGGCGTAGCTCATTTCTGTAGTTTCGAGACTCAACTACAGTGTTTGTGTACCAGTAGCAGTACTATTAACTTTAGCAGGAAACTATAATTGAATTTTTTTTCAGGAGGATGTTAATGATTTAGAGACCAGTAGTTTCTCCTGTTTCTTTATCTCTGTCTCCATAAAGATGGGCTTCTCCGCGATTGCCCTGCATGCGTCGGAGGAGCAAGGCAAATGTACCCACGACAACAAAAATCGGAATCCAAGTCCCAAAATCCGCAAGCTGAGCCTCTTGGTAGACCGCTGCAAAGGCCGAGGAGATGTCGTGCAAAGATTAGAAGCACTTCTTTTTTTCGTAAAAATAATATAAATATACTTGAAGATGATGTGTTGTTGTTGTGTCGGATAATATGCTTCTACATAAGAAATATACCAAAGCAACTATAGTTCGATACCTGAAAAAATTGCTTTAGTCTACATATTTTTAATGTACTCAAGAAGCGTAAGTACATTGGTATTCTTCTTCTTGTATTGACATAACAAGCTCTGTCTGCATCTTGGTTGTAGATTCCATGCTGCTCTAATAGGCTTGCTTGCATCTGCGTCTCGAAATCCGGACCGTCTAGACCTGAAAACGCTGTCTCGTCAGCGTTTGTTAGAGATCACCACAACTAGTCTGCGAAGATCTACTTCGGAGAGTGATTCATCTATTCTCAGACGCAGAACCTAAAAAGAAAAGGACTAGAGCAGAGATAGAGAAGTTCATAATTGTTAGTGGACCTTCTAAGAGGGAAACGATAACACAGAAAATTTACTCCTTCCGTGTCTACTGTAAAGAAGAAGAAGATAAACATAAATTGTCCTCAGCATCTTGATCCTGCGCAGCTGTGCGGCCACTCGTCTCCTCGTGAACAACACCTATGCCCTTCATTGGCGCAGTCGCTTCTTCGCGTCCGGATTCGCTGCCTTCGTTCTTCACATGAACGGAAAAAAAGGGAGATCCCAGGAAGAATCAAATCATTTTCTTTATGGGGATGCATAATGACAGAAAGCTTCACAGCGGCAACATGATATAATACTGAAAATACTTAGAATATTTTCGCACGAATGTGATTGCAACCTGCGCTTTTCCTTTGGAAAGAAAAAGAAACTGCTAAAACATGGAGTATGTGTTCAAGTTCTTGCTTCTATTAGAAGATGAAGCTGTTGTATAATATTAAGCATAAGAAGTAGAAGATAAAGATATTTATATTATATATAAGGATGGTGACTACTCATATGCGTTGTGATCATAAACGTCCTCTTCACCTTGCTGTTCCCCAGTTTCAACGAGAAGATCAGTAGACCGGAGAGATGCGAAGGAGGTCTTCCCAGCTGCTGGAAGTGGGCGTGGCTCTGCCGGTTTCCTCTTTACTGTTTTGTCAGGGTGGAACACATTCTTCGGCCCGCATATTCTCGTGCTGCCGTCGGGACTAGGTGGTGCTGCTGCTACATACTGTCTGGGCGATCCTCTAAACGCATCATTACCTGCAGATGGAGGCGTTGGCACCCTAATGTCGCAGTAAAACTTCGAAAGCAGGTTCTGAAAATCGAAAGCCACGCCGTATTGGATGAGCCAAACGAGGTGACCTCTCCCTTCGCTATCGAAGAGCTTCATACGGCGTGATTCGGGTATAGGTGGTAGCGCAGCGAAGTAGAATACTCGTGTGAGCTCGTAGTCGGTCTGTTGCTGGAAGCTTAGAGATTGAGATCTCAGGTTCAAAGTTGTGACGATATACATTTTTTCCAATTCCACCTTATTAATGCTAAAAGCACAAATGCAAGGGCAGCGGTTTTCATCATCTCCCGAAGACGGCAAGCAAATGTCTATGTCTATCGATTTCTTGCCATAAAGAAGCAACAGGAGGAGTGTCGCCATTCTGGTCTGTCTTCGCTCTTGTGGTGCCGCTTTGCGCCTGTTGAGGTGGAGCAGGAGGTAGTGGTAAAAAGTATAGTGACGTTGTATTCGTATCGAACGCGGAAACCAAAATGAGGTAGAAGAAGTGTGGGTAATTCGTTATCATCACAGTCATCGTGATGATTACAACACGAAAACTGTTAGAGTTAGGGACGCGGAAAAGGGCACTGATAGTGATAAGAAACATGTGACTGGGGTGTGCGTGCCGTCTCTCGTCTGTCTTGTATTAGTTTTCTAGACGTGGTTTCCGTTTGACAATTTGCGAGAATGAATTTTGGAGATACATCACAAATCCATTCTCAACGATGACTTGCCCTCGCCACTTCATTCATCAACATGTACATGGTTCTAATAATCTTCTGAGTTTTTTTCTTCTCTTGTCAATGGTATTGGCTCTAGTAGTACCGCAGCGGCCTCCACCAGGCTGATCAAAACCTTCGCCTTGACGTAGTATAATGGCAATTCCTCTTTCTTTTTCACGTCTTCTAAATTCCCCTTGTCGATAGCCGGCGGCGTTCCGCACTCAGCTACTTGCCCATACAAATACATCCTGTACTTTTGCTGCGGTCCCTTATCACTAGTTTTCCTGGACTTGCGCATGACTTTGGCGTAAGCCTCAGCCGAAGTCGTGTCGACCTGGAACGTCGCGGATTTTCCAGAGAACAGATTATCTTAGAAGTAGAGGATAACATCGAGCTATGGAGTGGAACGATTCTTGTCCACCTGTCGCCTCGTTTGGACAGTTTTCTCAAAATTTTGCCAAAGCGTGCTCCAAACGGGGCGAGCGATGAGATTCTCAGTGATGCTAAAGCTGTTAAGAAAAAAGTAGGATTCTATCAAATGTTTGGTCAATGACTCCAGTAGTAGAGGTCGATCATAGCCCTCCAGGTCGTTATGCGAAGATTCTGGAAAAGGCAATCGAAAAAAACGAGAGGTGGAGAGTCCGTTGTTGCAGTAATCTTCTCGCGCCAGAGCTTCCATTTGTTCATTGCTTTGAGGTTGGCCATCAATCTGTACAAAGTCAGATTATTGCTCAGTAGGTCATAATAATAGAACCATTTTGGGAGGAGTAGAAGATTTAGATTATACGCGCGTGATAGTAGTTACTCGTCAATTACAAGAGCAAATTTGCGTATAATGTGACGCTGTTATTTGAGAAGTGTAGAATCTTCAACAAAAGGTGCGGCGTTGAGTGCACTGTTTTCAACGAACAGTTGTTTTCCCCGCTTGTAATGGCGCTTCGTGGATCGAATTAAAAGTTGGACCCCAGCAACAAAAAGAAGAGGGACGCGCGTCAAGGCTTTATACGAGGTCACCCTTGCGCCGCGTTCTGTTCGAAAACGCGGATACGCGAGAACTTCGTTCAACAACGTAGCTCGCGAGAAGAGCAAAAGAAGGCAAGCGAGAAGATGGGTAGGCAGTGAAAATCGCAGGAAAGGGCAAAAATTTAAATCGCCCAAGGAGCAGTTCGCTGAGAGAAAGCGCAGGGGGTCGGGAGATCGATTCGCGGCTGCGCGTGGCCGTGACGAGGACTTCAATGTCAATATGATTCTCTCGCCAGCACTGGTCGGACTTCGTTCATTCAATGTCATTTTCTAATTGCAGGGTCGCTACTGCCCCTATTTCACTTTTCTATCGTCTGAATATGCGGAATCAGTGTCAGTCCGTCGTGCCAGTATGTAAAGGAAAGTGATAAAGCAACCGTGTAGTTCTTTATCTGTTTCTACCTCAGGTGAGATCGCAACAGCAAAATCCCCTGCGCGCATGCTCGCAATCCCCCCGGCGACTGTTAGAAAATCAAATTCTTTCGCCAAAAAAATGAAGACGCTTCCTTCGACGTCACCTTGACACAATTATGTTGGTGGCAAGCTTCGTCCTTGTATGTAGGAGTAAATGGCAATGGCCTCATCTTTTTTCAGTTTAGAGACAGCGAGAGAACCAGCCTTAAAATGATCTCTCCCATTTTTCTGGACAAGCTTTCAGAAATTGTTTGCGGCAGGGCAGTCACAGAGGAAGTCACATCATTAGTCTCCGTTTCAGGAAAACAGCCCTTATTAAAATCTTCTATCGTTTCTGTTTGTGATACGGGTCTTCTTGTTAGAGAGTGGAGCTGGGGTCCGGGTCCCGCATTCTTCAGAAAAAATCGCGATCATTTATCTTGTGTCGTGACACTGTAAGTCAGATATCATCCTTCCAGTAGAGGGCATCAGTGAGACTGCCCGCTAGAGTGCGTGTGTGTTTTTCTAAAACACTTAAACTAATCCATCATCGTCTTCGTCCGAGTCATTTGTTAGTCGTAATTAGAGTAAAGTAAGTTGATTACCATCATTTTTACCTTCGAAAATACTTACATATTTGTTTTCTGTAGCAGTTGCGTGCTGATAGTTCGTAACAGTTTCGCTAGGGGACAGAGCATCTTATTCTCTGTTAGCGCCGTCAAAATCTCCGCCTCTACTCATCTTAGAGGTTACGTCATTGCACTCCTAAGCTCCACCCCTGACGTCCTCGTTCCACCTATTTACAGACGGCAACTACAAGGATGGCTCGGAGGTATAGTGCAATGGTCTAACCCTTAACCTTGGCTCGTTTTTTCCTGCTCCTTTTTTGAGCAACGGCCTATCTAGAGGACCCATAGTCGAACTCGCGGCCTGTCCTGAAGTTGGTGTCGTGCCCCTCTCTGTTAGTGCTCCTCCTTGATGTCTTGGTGGCGTTGATAGTGATCCTTGACTGTTCAATGGTGGTCGATTGGAAGTCCTGTCTGTCTCTGCATTTTGCGAGTCACCTGGTGCTGTTCCAGTTCTTTCCACCTCGGACAAGGGCAAGGCGAGTCTCGGGACGGCTGTAATACCTCCTCCAGCGAACGGCATGCTTTCGATGAACGACATCGTTTCATTTCCAGCAGTGTTGTTGGAATCGAGGAAGTCAGCATCTGCTGTGAACGAATCAGCGAATGCGCGTGGCAGCAAGGCTACCAGATGGCAAACCCAAACGAAACTAGAACGTCGGAACAACATCTTGATGCTCTTCGTGTTTCTACTAACTACTTCAACCTCTCATCAAGAACACTATCTAAGTAGTTGAACAATGTTGCTAAAATCTCGGTGATGTTGGAGGTTTGTCAAAACCAACTCGGAGTCGCTTTTTTATTTGTGTTCCTTCACATTATGATTATGTTAGGAGCTGCCTTTGATACCTAGAAGGACTGGTCATTTCGTACTGTGCATGTGCCAGCGCATGAACCGGAAAAGTGTGCTCCTTGTTGTGTTTCATCTTCTCGCTCTCACCGTTTTGTCATGAAGCCTCTACTAGCGCGTCTCTCTCCCTCTCTCTTTTTCTCTAATTCCCGAAGCTGCATGATGTGCCTTTTACGCACTTTTTTCGCACCAGGCTGTCGAGCAGCTGAAGTTTAAGAAAATCGACATCATGAGTGTGAAACTGAAAGTGCTTAGTACTGCAACTTGTGGATAGATGATGGCATCGACCAACTTCAGTGTCAGGAGAACGAACGTCTAATGTTGGTCACAATCCCACGTCAGACCACAAGTGCCATCATTTACAGAACAAAAATCCCAGAGCAAGAGCCCATCTCGACATAGCCCATAATTGTTCTAGGTCATCAGAGGCAACTTACTTGTTTGTGCAAAAACCACATACTTACTCGCTATGGATATGCCCAAATTCACTATCAGCTACAAGCCCCATCTCCTCCATTATTCATCTCCCGTTTTCTGCAGACCCAAGCGAGAGGGTATAAAGAGTCGACTGCTGCCAACCATGTGACGATCTTTATTAGACAAGGAGAAGCATCAAGGCAGCACAACGCTTAGATCCCATCGGGTTTCCAATTGTAGTCACCACAACTGCTTGATATTGAATCGGTTGATGATCCTACTTGCTGGCGACGAAGATAGATGAAAATCGACTACTTATCTTCATCTTGTAAGTACTTAGTCAGTTCATTCCTTCAGCCTTTTCAGTCAGGACTGTCTTCCTCGTCATGCTACGAGTCTTAACGTCAACAGAGACTTCAGTGTCGGTCTGGACCTCAGTGTCGGTCTGGATAAGACGCGCTTCCGGATGTTCTCTTGGCAAAAGCATCAAACTGTCATCTTCGAGAAAGCACAAGCGAAACCTAGGATACTCCTTCACCAAGCGTATCTTTTTCTTCGTATGTTGACATGTTGAAGATACTCGTCCTGCAGTCTGCTTCATCTCAGCAGACGTTACTGAGCTAGTGTTCCACTTTGCCGTCAAGTCAGCTGTCCCTCTTGCAAGCGCGCGCGTTGGTTAGAGCTGAAAGCGATCGATCGTAACATTTTTTGCACATATCCAAAATGAATGGCTCCGGTATTTGGTAACCTGAATTTGATCATAAGGGAAAACAAGAAGAGAACCCTTAGGATCAAATTCAGGCTATACCAAAAATACCAGAACCATACACAAAAGTGTTCGTGTTGCACTTCTACACGTAGGATATTACTCACTACACGTAGGATATTACTCTACATACTCAAACCAGATACTTGAAGAGGAAGCGTGCTACAAGTGATACTAGACGGAACTTATTCTACTTATCGCAAGAAAATGTTGACAAATGCGAATGCATCTTCTTGCTTGCCGTAAGTGAGGATCGAGGAGGAAAGTTGCTCCTCTTGGTTTCCCGCAATGCTGAGGAAACGCTTCGATCTGCCGACACTAGGGTCGTTCGGATTCGGTCTCTCTGCGCGCACTAATCGTTGATACATCGAATGGTTTGCCCAGACGTCCTGATAGAGCGAGAGTAGAGAAAGAGATTGGTCTAGTCGTGAGAAGGAATTTTACTATAATTTCCACTAGTTCTTCTAATACGTTGGTAGTACGTTGGTGTTGTAGTGACGTAGTTGTTGTACTAGAGAAAGGGTTAGTGGCACTTCGTCTTGCTGAGGCGTGAAGATGTCTAGTACATGACTTGTAGTAGTACCAGCATACAGCTCTGCATTCATTGCGACTGGTGTGCTTGTCCTCGCGTTCTTGGTGGCGTCCTCATCATTGTTGTTGGAGTAGCTGTGGTGATATTGCTACGATTGTTCTTGCCCAAGGATGAAAAACTGTTGAGAGGCACAAATCCGTGATTCGCAGTCGTTCCTCCGTTATCATTAGCATTAGTCGTCATGGTCATGCTCATGCTGGTACCCGTCATCGTACTACCAATTCCAATTCTGCGTGGTTGGAACATACTGGGTGGTGCTGGTGGAGGCATCACGAACTTGTTGCTCATATTCTCGCTCTCCGTGACCGTGTTTCCGGTAGCATAAAAGAGGTTGTTTTGCTCGTGTCCTCTTGCTGCTGCCGCTCCACCTCCACCTCCATAGAAGCCATACACTGTTGGGTTTGGTGCGTTGTTGTGAATAAACATGTCGTTGTAGTTATTTCTCATAGCGACGTCGTCCTCCGGAGGACCACGATAGGTGGTCTGTTGTTGATTCATCATGCTATTGGCCACGTCGAATTCCCAAGACCAAGAGTCGTCGTGCTCAAGTTCCCTCAGTGTCTCATACGTGCTTCTCCGACAGAAATTTTTCACGACACGAGCAATGAATTTTGCACAGACACTAGCGATCTCGTACAAGGTCGCACAGCACTCGCGGGTGCGCCGAAGCATCTTGCCAGAGCGCTTATAAGCGCGATTAGAATAGTACGAACCGGCTGGCATCTTCGTGATGTAAAGGTTCTTCAGTTGAAGAAGCTTCAGCGTCGTGTAGTTCTTGGTCTTGTTCTCTGCTTCGTGAATCGTGTACGAGCCCAAGACCCGTTTATATCGCTTCTATTCCTCGATCCACCTGTCGTTCTTTCTTCTGTTCATCCTGTTCCCCTGTGTTTTCGTCCTTGATCGGAATCAGATGTTGATGATCTTCATCTTCTTCTTCTACCTGCTGCTACTTTCAAGTATTGAAGAATCACAACATCAATTTCAACATTACCTGGCTTGGTGGTGGTGCTTCCGAGATAGCACGTGCATCAGTCTGCTCAGGATCCAAAGCGAGGCTTTGGCTGTCACCGGATTCAATTGAATCGTGAATTACAGCTGCACGCTTGTTGTTCTGTCCACCCTGCTGCATTGCTTATCGTTGTCTCGTCTACTTTTACGTAAGTAATATCGAAGGTTGATGAAATTTTTGTAACTTGTACTTCTACTGCTCGGATGTTGTTGTACTGGAAAGGCAAAGCTTTTCATTTGAGTTTTTCACCAATCAACTCGTATTCGGTGCGCCGTCTCGAAAGCTCCTTCAGTATTCGTCTGTACTGGATGAGTAGGCGACGCTGAGGAGAAAGTCGCGCTAAACGACCAGTCTCATAGGCTGACGTGGTGGCTGTGGAGTCGCTGCAGGGTCCTCTATTATTAGCGTTGTTGTGCTGGGTTAATTTTGTGAACCTGCATTGAGTACATCATTACAATGAATGAGTAATAGTGCCCCTAAAACATGACCTCTACTAGCCTTAATTGTTCATATCGCCAGTCCAGTAGATTATCTTCCTCTTCGAGTCGCGCACCCCCTTGGCAAAAGAAACAGCGCCAGCAGCGCAGACAACAATAGAAGAGAGGCTGCAAAAGTGGGAGTTAGAAATTCTTGTTAATTCCTGCTCCCGGTGGCTGCTAATTCGTCGGTGTATACTGCAACTACCTGATCGCAAGAGCTAGCGGAGGTCCTCAAAATAAAATAGATGCAACTACTATGTCCTATTTCCAACATTCCCGTTGTCCGCTTTGAGAACAATGGCAATGGGTACCCACCTATGCAACAGAACTGGTCGTTAAGGTTAGGTTAGGTGTGGGTCCACTAGATAAACCAGCAGACTTCAGTGGCTACTGAAGAGCCAAAACAAAGAAAATAAGGGGCTTCTCGCCTTAACTTATCTTGCAGGTTGTACGGTCGCGTTCACTTCGGGGACCCGTTCGAAAAGACTGAGGGAACATATTTTTCCATCCTCCATACACATTTTCAATCAACCCGCTTTGATTGCTTAATGTACTTACTGTTCTTGTTGTGGTGGTTCTCACTCCTAGCAGGTACAAAAAAGTTTAGTAGGAATGACAACGCCTCTACAACGCAACGCGCTAAATCTCACACAATCTCATTGGCCTTAGAACTCAGGTCCCATGTCATAGACGTAGAACACACATTTTTCTTGGTTCAGGATTGTGCCAAAGATCATGGGGTTACGATTATCACCCTGAAGCATAAGAAGCTTGTTAAAAATAAAATGTCATTAGAACAGCATCCTGCTGATGTCTTCTACTAGATATGTAAATATATCACCTGCTCATAATTTCATCCAACTTCTAGTACCTCCCAGCACTACACTGACCTTCAATTTGTACTACCTGTTGAGGCAGTGAGACATCTTCAACTCGTACTTGCCAATATAGTTGTACTACTCAGTGTCACATCTTCGAAGACACTTGCAACTGGTACCGTTCGGTAGAACACTAGGTCGCGAACGGTACCAGTTGCAAGCTCTGAACGTCAACCTCAAGTGAAGGCGAAGTGGTGTCCTCTGGCTTCGCTCTTCTTGGTATTAGAGGTAGGGTTCTGGCGTTTCTGTATCCCGTTTGTCATGCCTGTCCCCCTTTGAATGGTTCTGGTATTTTTGGTATAGCCTGAATTTGATCCTAAGGGAAAACAAGAAGAGAACCCTTAGGATCAAATTCAGGTTACACCAAAAATACCAGAACCATACACCCTTAGAAGAGACATAACAGACGGTAACAGAAACACCTTTAACCTACCCTTAACGGTAGCCACTTCACTTTCTTCTCGATGCCTGTATCTCTGAAGTAACTCGCATTCGGATCAGCCGCCGAACCTGGGTTGTTGGCATACAACTGCTTCCGTATCTCGTACTCCCTTTCGTAGCAGATTTTAGATGATCCTGAGTTATTCCTATTGGCGATGACGGTTCAGTAGATGCTGCTCTACGTCTACAGTATTACAATGGTAGTTCAATGCGTTTACGAAGTTGTACTTCAACAACATGAACATCTTCTCGATGATGATTCCATCATGGTAAGATAACACTAACTAAGCACTATGGAAATCCATATTGACGACTAGCACGGTCTTGTCTTCATAATTTCCTCACTCGATGCGGTAGGTGTGCGTCCACGCTGTATGTCGCGAATAATCGATGGGTCCGCTTCTGGAGGCGTCCAGGTAAACTGGAAATATTCAAAAAATGCCTGCTGAACATCTGGGTTTGGATTAGAGAAGTAGAACTAGAAGTAGATGTAGATGTTAATAATTCCATAAAGTGCTTAACTTTTATTTGTATTTCGTTTCCGATTCCCATTTTCTTTATCATAAATGTTGATGTTTCAGTTTCTAGCTGGGAGTAGATGAATGGAAATGCAGGAGAAGAGGCTCTTCCTCGCCATCACAAATGAAAAACTCCTTCCAAGTAGTTTGTTATATGCGAAAAACATCTTCCCCCCTTTCATAATGATTCCGATGAAGACCGACCAGATTGGGAAAGACATGGTCACGATACAAATATGCATCCCCCATATTCCTATGCGATAATTCTTTCTCGTCTGTTTGTTGAAGCCGTGATGAAAGAAAATATGCTTTTTCGGAGAAAGAAACAGCAGTCCTCCGCCGCTGGTACTGGATGTTGATGTAGTTGAGTTGGTTGAGAATAAAAATGTAGATGGAGAAGAAGTTTTTCGTATGCTAGAACGTGCAACCGGCGCAAGAGTTTCGGACAAGACGGATAATATGCGGCTGCATATCGGACTTCTGGAAGGTGCGCTGGTTCTTGTTGAGAAGGAGACGCTTCTAGGAACCCCTGTTAACCTCGTGGGGAAAAACCTCTGTGTTCGTGAGGACGTAGCACGGCTGCTCCGCGTCAGCAGAGTTGTGCTTGTGTTCGAGTAACTGCTCTTCATGGATCCAAACATTGTTGTAATTGTTGTAGTTGATGTACTAGTAATTCAGAATTCTTTCAGGAGCTATCGTACGTAGTAACCTTTGTGTCTATTGCGAATGCTCGAAGTGTTGCGCGCTAGTTCTGGCTTCTAGCTTCTACGTAGGATAGGATCACTCATCGTTTTCCTGCACGATATCCGCTCAACAAACTCCCAAAAAAATGGACATGATCTAGAGCTTTCCACCTCGTAGGGGTAGGGGGTGGGATTGGCTCGCCTCGAGGAGGTCGTGAGCGTTCAGGAAGATCTTTGTGTATCAAAGTCAAGCACTACCAAAGTGAGCCTTCTGTTTCTTTCTCGTCGGTCTCGATCTCATTGGTACGAAAAGTGAAAATAAACTCAACATCAAAACTCTCACGTTGTAACTAACTCTAACTAACACTAGTAATTTCCAGACAAATGGTTATTTGATATTCACATCCCAATCCTTTTACATTCTATAATACTTCGAGTTCTTCTTGCGAGTCACTGCCTTTTCAGTAGCTGACTTTCAGATACATCATACAATTGCCATTGTCTGGTCCAAAGTCTTGTACAAATTATACGTGATTCTTCAAACTCTACTGAAGAGCACTCATATCAGAGAATAAAAAATCGTTACAACGCGGATTATAAGGAGTCATAATGATAACAGCTAGCAGAAGCTTGTTCTAAATCAAAAATGAACAACATCAACTTTCTTGTCAGTCTTTGGCAGGAAAAAAATGGCTTGCAATTCAGATGGATAATGACGCCTTTATTGTCTCGTTCTCCATCTTTATCCTCCCACTTGTTTCTGTATGTCAGCCAACGCGAAATCGAGTGCTTCACGCCATACTTCGCGCCCTAAGTCGTCTGGGAATTTCAGGAGAAGGTTCTGTCCGAAATTAAGACGTAATATCGACCCTTCTTCAGCGAATTCCACTTCTGAGAGACGTGAAATGTCGAAGGAATCGAGTTCCGAGAACATCTCGCCAGCACTTTGTTTCGAGGCATCACTTGCTAAAGGATCGGAATTCTTAGAGAGGGTTATCAATCGACGTTAGAAGATCTTTATCTCGATATTGACGAGTTCCCTGTAGACTACGACTGCTCGCTACGGCTAGTACTAGGGGTAGAGATAGTTTTATAAATATAGATACATAGAGGCATAAGCATATTCATTCATCAGATATCACATTTCTTAGTACCTGTAGTACTTACACTTAGTTCTTGTGGAAGTTCTTCAAATGCAAATAGATCCCTAAAATCTCCTTCAACGCCAGCATTGTTTGACGCTCTTCGGTACTTCCTGCCACGATGACGCTTGACACGGTGCACGAATTGCTGTCGCAAACTTGCTACCTCATCTCGCGGACCCTGTGCTGATACTGCTTCTTCAACTTCTGCATCCGATGTCTGACAAACGAGAGTGCGGTAGATTAGCGAGAAATCCAAAGCTGAGAATGAGATTGTACTTCTGATAGTCTTTTCATCTTTCCCGCCTTAACTCTAAGTGTTTGGTAAACGAGTATTGTCTGTGCGCGTCTCGCTCTTCCTCTACCGCAGACGGCAGAGCTTTGTCGAAGACGTGCCAGTTGAATCCGTATTCCTTGATGTTTTTCTCAGTCAGCAAAAAGAACGACCACCGATCCACTCCCGGTCGCAATTCACGCTGTGCATACGAGAAGCAAAGCGGTTGCCCACCTGTGGGAATGGCACCTGGCGGAAGCCCAGCATGCGGATCCCCTCCATGAACTTCACTGACGGCCGTTGGATCTAGACCTATACTAGTTTTGATTTTGCCCAAGATCTCGCTCCAAATCTGAGGATGGTGGACTAGATTAAAGGTCGACATCGACACTCATTGGTCACAAATTCTGAAAGAAAAGGGCCCCATGCGTCTCCCTTCGTTTTCCCCTGTTCGCGACGCAAGGGGTCTCCTCTACTACCTCAGTGGCCAACCTCAATGAGGAACGAAAGTCGAGTCTTAACTAGAGGGCACTGTCGCTCAGTATCTGGCGCACTGAAACAGCGGATTGTTTCTAAAATCTCCGTTCTGTCGCTGCTGGATCGACAAATGATCGCTGTTGCAGAGCGAGCCTCATTAGCGCGCTCGAGCCTGCGGAAAGCATTCCGAGCCTGTGTGACAGTGAATGGAGTCTGCAAATCTTGAGGCTCCAGTTCCTGATGCGGATCGGCAAGGGTGGCACCGGTGGCGCGAGAAGGTGAGCCACCGCCGCGAGGAGGTGAGGATCCAGCGGCACCTTGAGTTGGCGTTTTACTCGTGGATGCTCTTTGGGGAGCACCTGCTTCTCCGGCTGGGAGATTAGAGCGGGATGGTCGTGATCGTGATAGGGAGCCATCATCTGTCTTTGAATAGCCAGGTGCTGCGCGTGAGACAAATGGAAATGCAGTGAGGGGGAACTGTAAGTTTAAAATAACAGTCACACTGTGTAAGAAAGTTTTCAATCAATATGAGTACTTGGTTTATTTTCCGTCCTTAACAGACGCCTGTTGCTTGCTCATTGGTCGCCAGCCGATCGCGCCTAACTGTTCTCCACAGCCTGTCCACAGGCGTGCGACGGCATAGTAGGGTTTGGCCCATAGAAGTGTTGGCATTCTCGGTGCCCTTAATTCCCAGGCTGGAGTCCATTCTGTGCCCAAATTTTCCGTATGATACGCTGGCACTCCTTCTGCGATCCGTAGAGCATAGATGCCACGGGTTGTCAGTCAGATTAGAAGTACTTGGTGTACTTGTAAATAGATGAATAAGCTCCACCAGCAACTGTTCGTGTTTCCATGTCGTTGATGTTCTTTCACACGAAAAGACTAAGAAGACGTGAAGAACATGAACAATATATTCAATGAACTGAAGTAAGCAAGGAACAAACGAGAATAGTGGAAGGATAGCCTTTACAAGCTTGCTACGTCCCTTTTTTCAATTACTAACTCGGATATTTCAGTTCTTCGAGTATGATGAAGTAACACCAGTATCTTAACATCAACAGCCCCCCATTTCCGCCCGCAGAAGCAGGCCCAAAGAAGACCTGCGAAAGGAAGAGAATACGCTCATCCTCTATGTCGAAAGCTGTTGCGCCTGGTGTTCGTCCGACCAAAGACTTTAACCCCTGAGCTTCTACAAAGAGTCTGTACGTACCCAAGCTGACCATAGCGGATGTTAGAGCTCAGACAGCAGAATCGACTCGTTATCTCATCTCGTTCTCCCATTTCTCGGGTTGGAAATACTCATGCTCATCTGAAGGCTTCCAAGGCTAGGAGGAGCCACATTATCTTAAGTAAAAACACTAGGAATGGAGCGACGACCATGTCAAGTCTTAATAGCAAGTCACTGAGATAGCTCGCCCTGACATTCTGCTGAGAAAACACCTCGGCGGAGAGAAAGGCTTCTAGTACTGCATATTTGGTTTCTGGCGACCGCAAAATGTGTTCGCTCAGAACCCTTGTACCCATACGACGCAATACATTGTAGTCTTCGTGGTGTAAGACGCGATGGAGCCTTTTTTCCCGAACATGAACATCTATTGAATGGTCCAGAGCTTTCACATCACCCTTCTTACCACTGCTTTTCTTTTTCTTGGGACTTGAGGATTTCTTGTCCTTTTTTGACGATGACGCAGCTCCTTTCACGTTTTTCGTACTTGGGTCTTGGTCTTCTTCTTTCTTCAATGTGGAAGTCTGCAAGTCGTACAGGATCATGGATACAATGACCCGGACCATCACTGGAGGAAGTGCACGTTGTAGACTCTTGTGAATGAAATTTTCTTGTATTGTCCGCATCGGTGAGAATGTCACGTGCATGACATTTGTGCATATCACAGCAATCGCTCTAGCGAGTTCCGAGCAGAGCGTTTGCTCATTCGCGGACAGATGTTTCGACTGGGTACTGCGGAGTAAGTGTAGCAATTTGCTGCCTATGCGCTTTAGGAAATGACATACGACGTCGAAAAGCACCAGTTGTTCTTCTTGCTCCTTTGCAGCTGCGTCGCTTGCGACAATTGCTGAAGATGTACGTTGGGCTGCAGTACTACTCCCTGAACCCGATGGATTCTGCTGCGTAAGAACCCTCGCAAGAATCCGCAATAGCTTCGCGCAGCAGTTACATGGCAGTGCAGGGACGCTATCGACTATAGCCAGAAGCTTTCTCATTGTATCAAGCTTCCTCAGGTAAGCCCCAACTGCTCTGCTTACCTTCTCGCTAGGAGGACAGACGATGAGTGACCAGGGATTAGAGTAAACAAACAGTCGAGGAGTAGAGATCTATTTCTAGAATCGAAGAGGGACTTCATACACCTCCAAATTGAAGCAGTCACCAAGTTACAAATTAGTATCCAAGTTACAATTAATTTAGTATCTTCACCAAGTTACAAGTTAGTATCCTTAAAAAAAGACCGCAACACAGCAGCGAACAAGTAACCGCGGTTCACGTAGAACTCAGTGGGATCCACAAAGAAGTCTTCATTATTGGAAAACTCAGCTGGGTGGTGGAGAAATAGGGCTTCAGCGTGACTTCCACCGGATGCGAGTTCACCCTGACCTCCGGAACCGGACTGATCAGCCCCTCCACCTTCGTGCTCCGTGTCCTCGTCTTCGATCGCCATGAGTGCCCGCATCAAATTCGATCGCCCCTGCGCCGCATCAGCGCCGTCCTCAACCTTCTCCCCAAGCTGTGCTGGAGTATAGAACAACTGCAAAGGTTCTTCTAAGTCCTCTGAGGCTAATTGAGCTACACTTTCTTGTTCTTTTTCCTTCGAGTAGGCAAAGACCTCCTGACGGAACGCAGCGGCTTCGGATTCCATCACTCGATAGGCTTTCTCCCGCTCTATCGTACCTTGATCGCTCAGAAGCTGCAGTAGCATCTTCAGACCTCCTGCTTCTACAAACGTCTCGCAAGTTGTACAACGATCAGCATATTCGTCATCATCCAGAAATAGGATATGCTCGCTTTCACCTTTATTGACCGCTGCGGATGACCACATGCGGCCTTCGCGTCGGGCGAGGGTGATGTAACTCACCCCAGGACACTCTGCATCCATGATTTCGCGCAAGGTGTCTGTTCGGCCTCTTGTTAGAGGGGAGTAAGAACTTGATTCCAGCACCTGTTGAGTAGGCACTAGAGACCCCTTACTCTACTGGAAAAATCGCTACTAGCGGATCAGGGGAGGAGCATGACAGTCACTCAATGACTGAAGTGCAGCCGGGAACTTACAGGCATATCTTTCAGTAAAAATGAAGAAGAACTAGAAGAATAGTAAGTGTAAGAACCAAGAAATGCGGCATATCGCATTATTAGCCGTAGTTCCAGTACATCAGCAATACGTACCGCGACTCGGAAGCATTGCTTCTTCTTCGGATCTAGCTGTACTCCTTGTGGGCCATTGAGGGTTTGGAGAAGGAAGGCAAGCGAACGCCCCGTCCACGTTTGCTCCAGGCAGATGTCTTGCTTGTACCCAGAGTGAAAATACTCTTCGTTCCTGAATTAGAGGAAGGTCAAGGTGATGCTCTTTTTCACGAGAACAGGGATCATGTAAATGCACGTGGTTCACCTGGTGTTTGAAATCAATTAACTTCCCTAGTCAATTGAAGCAAAAGTATCTATGAGGAATATGAAGCAAAAGTATCTATAAGAATATGAAAGAACAACCTAACGTCAGCCGTAATTCAGCACGTGCAAGAAAACGCTTTCGGCTTCTTTTGTCCGGAAATACTTGCGCATCGAAGGAAACGACGACGCGGTGAGCAGGAAGCTGAGACAATGCGAAGAAAGCTGTATTTTCTGATCCTCTTCGTCTTCGTCACCGTAGGTGTCGCGTGTGCTGTTACGGCCTCATTAGCAGGGGTCAAGCTTTTTAAGTACATTTAGCATTAAAAAAGGTATCCATCAATAATATGGTGTGTGCACTCCATCTTCATCTCCACACTCACTCTGGTCATGAAAAATATGCCAAATCAAATCGAGCCTTAATATAAAGTGTCTAGCACTTCGGCTATTGCCAGCTCAGCCTGGTGCTCTCGAAACGCAGCACCTACAGCGGCATCCGCTTCGTCCGTAGTATTTTCCAATGTGGCTCCCATGATCAGACGCAGAATGCAGATGATAATGGACAAAACGTATTCTGTCTGGCCCACTCCGACCACGCGTGTGTCGGTCATGACCTTGATCATTTTCGCAGTTTCATCCAAATCCAACTGGCGAAGCGACACTTTGCTGATGCAACGCATGACGGCGATCCGCAATTCGTCACTAGGAACCTCCAAAAGCGACATCAGTATGGTCTCACGGCCTGCCCGATCGAAGCACTGGGCGATCATCTCGCTAGTCGCATCCAGGTTTCCCGCGTCGTCCTGTGGCTCCGTACAAAAGAACTCTACTAGGAGGAGTTAGAACTACCTCTAGTAGTACTATGATGATCGTGCATCTGCAACTGGATTTCAGTGAATCATAGGTACTTATGAGTGACCCGTCGTGGTCATCCTCATCATGTGAGTCGTCCATACCTAGTAGTACACCTACTGGAGTACTGTACTTATCATGAATGACGTATGCATATAGGCTTACCATGAATATGACATATGTCGGCCTTAACGCACGATAGCAATGAAGACGTTCTGCATCAGCTCACTCGTAACGTTCGCTAATACAGGTTTCGTCGCGCCCTTACCATCCCCAACACCTGCAAGCCCTCCGCTATCTTCGATTCGGTATTTCTCTATGCGTGCGTACATCTGCGCACACTTCTTGCCGCCTGAGATTAGAGGGAAGAACGGCGTGTGGTTATGGCAGCCCTAACGCGTTATTTTAGCAACACGCTAAAGAACCGAACTTTAGTAAAGCAGTACTAGACTCCAACCAGCATGCATCTCTAACTTACATTTCCATCTCTCTCTTCATAACAAGTAATGCAACAACGGCACCACATTCGACAACGACTCAGCCACGAACCGTATGTATTCCATGCGAATGGCGTTGTGGTACATGATCAGTGTCAGCATAGCACATGCTTCCGTCAGCAGGTAAGGGTCTGCAATTTGCTGCCGAATGATCTCGCACAGCTCTTTCACTACGTGATACGACCTAGCTAGATCGATTAGGATGTTAGAGAGGTGCTCCTCAGCCAAAAGATGGATAGCTGGAGGAGAACTACTTGGCTTCGAGAAATTGGCTCTACTCCGAGGTCATGTCTTTATTGAAGATCAATATTTTTATATATTACCTTCATGTTCATGATTATATTATCATTAATATCATGATCAACATTAATTTTTATTGAGTTTATCATTATTATTACGAATCATGATTAGGAGAAGCCTTAAGGATGGTAACGTCCTTGCGCATCACCGTTCGCACAAATTTTAGAATTTCAGCGCCAGTCCTGCAATCGGTGGGACCCATAGTCGCAACATCCCCATCGGGACCCTTTGCCTCACGGAAACAGGCTAGCAGTTTCACATGCAAAGCGACGCTCTTGAAGTGCTTGAGGCAGAGACCAACGTCCTGTTCCTTGTTGCCAGAGACGAGGTTTTAGAGGAGCACGAGCAGTACTGCGTGTAAGTGTTCACATCAGCAGGAGCGCACTACGTGTGAGTGTTCACAACATCACTGACAGTGACTACTTACAAAAGAAGTTGAATTGTTCGAGGAAAATCGAAATGCTAAACATCTTTTCTACTAGCATGCTTCGGCTTCCACAGGACAAAAATTCGGCATAACGCTTACGGCTATCCGCGGGCTTCCGCTGCTCTGCGAGAATTTCTTTTCTTTCCTCTACAGTGAAGGGGACTCGGCCACGATTCTGCTCTTGCACACGCAGGAAATGAGGATCATCCAGTCGTTCGAATTCCACACGGATTATGAACAAAGGTGGAAAAAGAGGAGTCTATGTTTCAAATTCCTCGAGTACTCAGTTTAGCGTCAAAAATCCATCTTCAACCGACGTGTGGATCGAATCATGTACGTACACCTCTTCCAGACCACTAACCTCCTTCGAACAGCTTTTACATCTACTAGATGATACATCATCAGAAACAGAATCTTCACTAACCTAACAGGTTTCAGATCTACTAGATGAAACACAAACATCATCAGAATCAGAATCTTCAGCAACGAGCCATACAATTCCTTGCCACCCTGAGCATTCCGATCCACATACGTCTTCTAGTGTAGTCGCCGAACAAGCTCTTGTTATCCAGGGTACTTACGCTCTGCTTCCGCAAGGGTTCCCCGAAACGTTGAAGGAAGCACTAGTTAGAATGTGGAAGTGGATGGCTTTGAGAGTTGTCCTCATAAAGTAAGTATATGGAACCTCCACCCAGCACTGTTCTTGGGAAGAAATGCACTCAGCAGTATTAACAAGTAACTCGTTTACACATCTTCCGATTCGGTAGTGAGAATTGTTTCATCGCCATAATCAAAGCATTTTGCCGGTAAGCTGTACACGCATCGATCAGATCGATGATCTCTTCGTTGTTGGGCGTTTTTACGAACCAATCTCCAAGGTTGTGCAGCTTTGCTAAGGAGTGCTCAGCGATAACCTGATGTTCCTGAGCCAGCTTTGCTATAGCTCCGTGCAACATGGTGCTGCTTGCCGTCATCTTCGGAATGATGATGGTGTCCACCACTCGTTAGAGGTAGAGTTTAAGATAAGGCCGTCACAACTATCTACAATAAAAAAATAATATGGTTCTTGATGGCTGATTGTGATCCTGATAGATGATCCTGACCAGTCGTTAGCAGAAATATCATGATTGATGGCTGATTCTGATTGTGAGCCAGTCGTTAGCAGAAATATCATGGTTGATCATGGCTGATTCTCTGATTGTGATCCTGATAGATGCATGATAACTGTATGGTTCTGGTATTTTTGGTATAGCCTGAGTTTGATCCTAAGGGTTCTCTTCTTGTTTTCCCTTAGGATCAAACGGAGGTTACCAAATACCAGAACCATTCAATAACATGATCCTGATCATAGATGATAAGGATAACACAGCCAAGAAATACTATAGCCTTAAGCATTTGTGCATTCATCTTTCGTCAGCTGATCGCCTTTCATCAGCTTCCCCAGTTGTTCGACACATCGGCGACCGAACTTTCGTGTCGTAGTTAGAGCTTCCTTCTTGAGTGTCATCCTGGACTTGCTTTTCCCTTAGAGGAAGGCCCCAGGATGCCTCTGGAGGAGGCGACCCCTTTTGACAAAGCTCTCCCCTTTCCCTTCGTTTATTTCCGCTGTTCTACTCTCAAGGGAGGGTCGCTTCTTCGATCTCAGTGACTCCAATCTAAATGGTGACCAAATGACCATTGAAAGCTGAGCCTTAACGTAATCAACGAGAGCATTGCCAATATGTGAACGATCGTACTCCGGATTGCATCGTGGCGTTCTAGAAGCAAATTTGCAACTTGCAAGAAATTTTCCACGGCTTCTGGGACATGGGCCGTTAGAAGAGGAGGTTCTTGAGATGACGCTGGTCCGTCCTCAAGGAATTTGACTTTGAGGACATACAACTAGCTAAACTTATTTACTAATATTATGCTGGTTACATCACTTATTTGGTGGCCAAGCCTCCGCCTTAAAGGTAAGTCAGCAAAGAAGCCTGGTCCTCCGTATGCCTCCACGTCGTCTGCAATGGACCGGCAATGCTGCACCGCTTTAGCAGAACAGGTCTGTGCGCGGTCAGCATCTTGCACAATCTCTTTGAAGATTAGAGTATTCTACTAAGGAGCGTGTTGTAGGTCGTAGTACTTGAACAGACAGTCGCCTCATCATGGTCCTTAGCACAACTAGTAGTCGGAGAAGAGCTAGTAGTATAATCTCAAGGTCGGCCATAAGAACAAAGCGATGAGCGCCGCGAGACAGGGAAACTCTAACAAGGCATCCCCGTCTTTGTGTTGCGCAGCGTCTTCTTCTGCCTGTTTTTTCACTCTGTCGGCGAAGATTTCGTCGAACCTGTCCATCGACAACAGAGGGGTCGACGTGACCTCTGCTCTGGTTTCCGCTGAGATTTTCACATCGTCCAACGCGGTCAACTGCCCCAAGGCTTTGAGAAAGTAGACTTGGTACTCTGGAAAGACCTTGCAAAAGGGGTTGTCTTTGATTTTCACCGTTACGAGGTTGGGCAATTTCCTCAGACTGAAGATGCCAGACTGGAGCTGTGACGGGTTCAGCTGAAACCGATTCGAGCTCAAATCTAGACGCTTCAGTCGCTTGCATTCTTTAGCTACGGACTCGAACTTGCCGTCAATGCGATTATGAGCGGGAATTAGAGGAGGAGAGCGTGAGCGGTGCTTCTTTCCAATCTAAATTAGAAGTTTATCGTGATTGGAATATAACCGGCGCACGTAGTCGTAGGTAGACGCACTACTAGTACTAGCACCACTACTACTACTACTACTACTACTACTAGGCACCCACATGAATAAGAAAACTCTAGAGGTGTTTAGCACTTTAAAAGCCCGAGGCTCCAACTCTCCGAGAGGGCTTCCGTACTAGTAGCCCGACGGGTTTCCCTCTGAATCCTGAACCCTGAATCGAGAGCCGGCTCCCCTTGGTGTCCCTTCTATATGGCAGCCGACGCGATGTCTCACCTGAATCCTGAACCCTGAACCGAGAACCCGCCTCCCTTGGTGTTCCCTCTATATGACAGGCGGCGCGATGTCTCATCTGAATCCTGAACCCTGAACCGAGAACCCGC